GTTCAAGTTCTTTCAAAATGATTACTTCTTCTACATCGTCGTTCTTTAAGTGTTTGGATTTCAGTTTCTTTCGCATTTTCTTCTCTTTATCAGAGTCATTTGAGGTACATTTTCGTTTCTTTTTCTTCTCAGAGTTTTCAATGCTAAATTTATCAATTTCCTCATCTTCTACAGTTAACATGTCTCAAACTACAGCAAACGAAAATACCTTACAACTCGCATGTAAACTAACTATCAAGAACAACGAGTACTGACGAGTGAGCATCACAATGCACAACATTACAAACAGACAGAAAAAACATAACATTGAATGTGACTTGATAAAATGAATTTCATACAGCTCTGACTATAGACATCGACTTACCTTAGAAAGTTGGCATACAAACTCAAAACAAAAATTATTGAACAGATTACAAATATCAGCACCTTATAAATGGCTTATAAACGAACAATTAATAAGTATACCACACAAACTAAAACATCCACATATTTCCCTCTCTGTCATGACGTCTCGAGAACAAATACGGCGAACCAGACTAATGTTTTGGAAACGTCAGTCAACTCTGAACACCAACAGTGGTTCCAAACCTTTTAATTTCTATTTATTTGTACAGTAAATAAAAAATAATTTAAAAAGACTTATTCATACCAAAAATGAAGTTATACTGTGAAAGTTGTGCATTGCGAACTTTCTTATTAAGTGTTGATCCGTGATCCAAGTCTGTATCAACACGATAACCAGCTGCATGGAGCTTCTTTTAAATCTAAACATGATCAAAAATGTCAATAAAAAAAGAACAAAAACATTCCAATTCATAAAATAGCAACAATTTGTGTATAGCTGAGTTTCCATTAGCCTGCGGAAATTCAATCTGAGTTTACTAAATTAAATTTACCTGTTCGGCATAATCATCGTATTTATTAGTGACAGGAATTACTACAACTTGACGGGGAGAAAGCCATAAATTCCTAGAAAATAAAAGAACATGCAGCGCGTCAAAATTTGGAAATAAAGTAGAGTAAAGTAACAATGATAAAAAATTTTAAACAATTCAGACCGCTTTCAGCTCCGGCACGAGCCAAGAAAACACTCACCATTTTCCACAAAAGCTTTCAGTAAGAATAGCAATCATTCTTTCAACTGAACCTAGAATAGCTCGATGTATAATAACAGGACGTAATTTTCATCTCATTCACTACTGTCAATAGAGTAATAAAATATTGATAAATTATTACAATTTGTTACAATTTTTAAAGATCTACATTTTCACGGAAACTAAAAGAATAATGTCGCCAATGACCTGACGTCATCCACAGTTTGGAACTGTGGATATTTGGTGTAACAACTTCTTGAACTGTCTTTATGAAGTGACGTACCAGCCCGCAAGTTTCATGGTATGTAAATATTTTGGTGCTTACTTATTGTAAAAACAATAGATTTTTAAAGAAATAAATAATGATAAAAAATTTTACACAGAATGAACAAATTTGTGGGCTGGCTATGTTTAAGAACTCTTTAGCAGGTGCAACTCTCGACCTTCAGTCTCGGGCTTGCACTGATCAGCTCTCGAGTTCTCCCAAAGGTCTCCTCGGTTTGCATAAGCCTGTGCAAACACAGTAAACATCTTTTATTTCTTAAACACAAGTTAAATCAATAGACAAACACAAAAGCACAAACATAAAATATCAAGTAAAGCGGAACATTACCATTAGCAATACTGGAATAACAGCAATTAAAAAGTTTAATTTCAAGCATTTTAAAAATATATTAAAATAAATTATAGTATATATCCAACAATAGCTGGTTCATGAATATCAAACTTTCCTTAGAATTAAATTTTCTTTAGAGTATAATCTTTTTAATAAACCAGCAACCTATAGATGTCACAAGATAATCTTCTTTAACTTATAGTGGCACACTTTAATTGAACCACTCATTTTATGTGTTTTTTTCCGTTGTGATAAACATGGATGAAGAACATTTGCGTGATTGTCTGTTAATGATTGTAAAAACTCTTACTGTTGTATGCTTAATATTAATGAAATTGCATAATTTCAATCAAATCCCTTTTCTGTAAAATAAGTACGTATTGTTAAAACTAGTTTCAGATGTCCGTTAAACATGGTGTGGAGCCTGAGTATGAGTGAAATAAAACATTAGTCAAATGACGAACTGTATGCAATCGTACTTTATCTTTAAGCATGCAAAGCTCTTGTGGAGTAGAGTAACAATTAAAACATTCAATAACAGATTTAACAAATGCTTTGTGAGGATAATTATTTAAAGGTCCTGAGCAGTCTTTCTATCATGTACCATTGTAGTCATTTTTGATGTGTTGAAGAAGTAGAAGATCAGAAGTTTCTGAAGAATTCTCATTTGTCTATTCTTCCATAGAATCATCACTAATGCATTGATCAAATGAATGCCCTCGATTAACAAGGAAACAATCACTACCTTTACAGCCAGAATTCCCTTTTTTCTTCAGTGAATATTTTCTTCCAATTATTTCATCTGAATATTTGTTTCCTTTAAGTAGAAAATCATTTTCAAACACAGATGAGTCATCTTCGATGTTTGAAACATTCAAACTCCAGTTGTTGTATATAGTTGTTATATGAGCATTTTCAGACATTTTTAATTCCTTCTTTACATCATTTACTTTTGATTCATTGACAAATTGTAAATTCTCATCTTTTCTTGGTTTAAATTCACATGAAGAGTCTTGTTTATGAAGAACTCGCTGCACAAATCGAAATTTTCGACGTACACCTGCCCTCCTTGTGTTGCAATTTATTTTCAACTTTACTGGATCCAAATCAGTTTGATCAAATTTCATTGAAACCTTCGCAAGTGACTTTATGTTTTCCTCAGTTCTTTCAATCTTACTCATTTTGTCGGAAGAGTCACTGTGAAAGATTTTTGATGAAAGCTGGGTGACTGGTACATTAAGTTCTGTGTTATCCATGAACATGTTCTTAAATATTTCATGTGTCGAATGAGTATTACTAAGGAATGAGCCTGTTCTTTGATGATTTCTTTCATGTTCATTCAATATTTTTGGTTCATTTTTTATCTCTAAAGACTTACGTGTTGTCAAATGATTAATTGAAAGTCCTTCACCTCTTTTGAATGAGCCACTACAGTCAGAACTGAAGCCGCTAGAAAGAGAAAATCAAGGTGAAACAAACAAGACTCTTCATTGACTCATTATTATCTGTATATTACATAAACATGTGTTAAAACTTCTAATCGTTCATAATTTTCCCAAAATATTGTTGCTATTGTTAATAGTTTTGTTATGTTAAATGAAGATTGTGATCACCTTGATCCAGAATCTGACACATCACTGTTATCGTCACTTTCTTCATCATTAGAGCCAACAACAGACTTACATGGACTACTGTTGAACCGACTGTACCTTTCTAAGTAATGCAAATATACACATTAGACAATTACCTAGTTTATTTGTACAAATGCTGATAAATAAAACTGTATTTGTGAAGATAACGTAAATTAAGAATAACTGTACAAAATGCTATGTAAACGGATAAATATAGATCAAATCAGACAGTAGACTTCATGTTTTGGAAACATCAAAGTACTGTCTAATGCCGGAAACACTAAAGACTATTTTGACTGAAGCATTTCCTTCGAAGTTTGAACAACTATTACAAATATATTAATATTTAGGATGGGCAATGGCTATCATGGTAAATTATATTAATATTAGAGACAAATGAAAGAATTTATAGTGTCTCACCGATTAATTTCACATTCTCTGGCAATTCACATGTGCTTAGCGTTACTTCAGGAGCACCAGTAAATGGACGACAGTACTATGTATGAAAAATATTTTGCGATGAAATTTGCACAATAATTTTCACAAGCCTAAATATTATCATTCTAAATTTTTGAACATACTTTTGAATATATAGTTTCAAAGTCTTCTTCGAGCTTACGCTGTAATCTTGTCACCATCTCCCTTATTGACACGAACACTCTTCATCTCCATTTGTACTCTCCCACTCAACGAATTCCAACCATGTGTCTGTCTCAGCCTCAAGAAGTTAGGGGGGTGGGGGAATGGAGTTGGGGGGATGAAGAGAATTGAACTAGGGGGAGAGGAGCTAGGGGGGCGTGAGAATTGAATACAGAATGGCCACCATTGTTATATACTTACAAAAACAGATAGGTTGAAATAATTTCAAATAAAATATGAGTTAAAGACATTACTTATAGTATAGTTTACACAGGCATTGGTGATTAATTTAAGGCTTCATCAGTAGTTACATTATGAAATTGTGGACATTTCCGTTTTGTCTTTTCAATGATGTTTCCAAGTTTGTTTAAAGACTTTTTTAGTGAGTCTTGATCTTTTTTTACTTCAGCCATTCCATCATACAGATTCTTTTCTTTTTCTGCGACTTCTTTCATCATCATTTCAACTTCCTGTTGCTTCATTTCTTTTGTAAATGAACTAGATATTGCTCTTTCCTTTATATTTAACAACTTTCCTCTGTATTTACTCAGCTCCAAATTCAATTCAGTAAGATTTGCTGTTGAATCATGCAGCTACAGAAGTGGTACACAAATCCATATTTCAGTATTGTGCAAGGCAAAATATTTTTGTATGCTATAAAATTGAGAGTTTACCTGTGACAAGAGTTCAATTAAATTTTCATCTTCAGTGCGAAGTTTAGCAGGAAGCTCTCTTGATCCATAACTGTCGTGAAACTTTGTCAAGTTATCACGAAGTTCTCTCTCGCGTGGTTCTAATAGTTTTGTTTTGTACACTATCCAAACAGCATCAATGTAAAGTTTGATATCTCGTTTTCCCCATTTATTGTATGCTCCATCGCTGCATAGCTCCTCTGCCGTTTCATTCCAAAATTTCCAATATTCTTTGGTCATTGCAGCATCTTGTCGGCCTATTTCACGTTGAGAGAAGATCTTAATGCCTCTAGACTTGGCAAATGGATATGATTCATCAGATGTTTTGCTTTTCTTGCTGAATGGCTCGTATTCATCGTTTTCTTGTACATTGGTTTCATTTATTGAAACAACAGACTCATGTGTAGTAGTAATATCAACACTTTCTTCTTTTTCACTCATTTCTATTTTCTATGAAGAGAAATTCAAGCTGTAAACAACTATGAAAGCGCTTGTCGAATGTTCCTTTTCACATTACCTTTACATGAAGTATACCCCAGACTGTAGACGCTCGCAGTGCTCACAACACAATGGCAAAGGAAGATGATATAATACTAAATTTGACGGGAAAATCGTCTTTTGGCTGTGACAGAGATGAAAATTTTGGAAAAAGAAAGTCACAAGTTAGAATGAAATATATAAATATAGATTTTTTACTCAATAACCAAAACGCAAGTGAAGAAAATTGGATTGGATACTGAAAATATTTGATAAAATCTTCCTTCTATCTACAGCAACGACATTCCACAAAGAAGGCGAAACATATGAAAAAGTCAATTATTAATGAAATCGAGAACAAAAACACGGTGATTAAAACGGCTTGCAATTCTTTCATGACACTGAAATCTTACGTTCGGTTAAAATTTTTCATTTAAACAATTATACTCTTCTACTTTCATTAAGGTTCAACAAGTCATTAGGGGAAAGTCTAACAAGTTTCAGGTTTGGTACATGTTTAATGGTCCATATAGTATCAGTTTCACAAAAAGTTCATTTCAACATATTTTTCTATTGTCAATATTTTTCATATTTTTATATGAAAAAGTCAATTATTAATGAAATCGAGAACAAAAACACGGTGATTAAAACGGCTTGCAATTCTTTCATGACACTGAAATCTTACGTTCGGTTAAAATTTTTCATTTAAACAATTATACTCTTCTACTTTCATTAAGGTTCAACAAGTCATTAGGGAAAGTCTAACAAGTTTCAGGTTTGGTACATGTTTAATGGTCTATATAGTATCAGTTTCACAAAAAGTTCATTTCAACATATTTTTCTATTGTTGCCAGATCATTTCATCTGTTTTCGAAAAGAATCCAACAATTCCAAATATTTCAAGGTAAAGTCTAAATTTTGAAAGCATTCTAAACATGGGAATCAGCTTTGTGTGAAATTGATCAATCCTTTACCATTTAGAGATGTTGTACAGTCGCTGGACAATAAGATAGACGATACATTTAGCAAGAGTGATTTTAGACAGCTGATGCTGGCTCCACTCATGGTTAAACAGAGACACAATATTATTGACAAAGCACATTGTCTTTTACTTAAATAAATTATATCTAACATTTAGATAATTAACCTGGAGAGAAATCTTAAATTAACTAAAATGACAAGGTAAAGCTTCTATTGCCTTTTTCACTCACAGTTCACAATTTTTGTTAATTTTTTTTTTTCTGAAGTGTTCAAAAGGCCAGTATTCCACTATTACTCAAAGGCAAAGATGTGTTTGTTCGCTCGCCTACTGGTTCAGGTAGATATGTTGTCTTAATTTGTTTGAAATATTTTTATCATTTCAACCATATGCTTAAAGGTTTATGTTATGGAATGACTATATTTAGGTAAAACTTTGTCGTATATTGTTCCTGTTGTTCAATCTCTCCAAGCCATCATGCCAAAAATAAAGGTAGAAACTTAAAGATGCACATTATTTTTGCTGTTGAAAGTTGATACAGAACACATATTTCATCTTTTGTTTTAGCGTACTGATGGAACATATTGTCTTATTTTGGTCCCAACACGCGAAGTAAGCATTTTCTTAGTGTTATAGCAGAAAATGCTGTTAAGTTTCTTTCCAATGAGCTAAATGTTCATATTGATGAATTTCTTTTAAGCTCGCTACACAAACTTTGACAGTGTTGAAAAAAGTTCTTAAGGTATATAGAATTTTAACTTTGTAGATGCAAATCCTTAATCATATTTCTGAAATTTATTTCCCTTCAGCCGTTTATTTGGATTGTTCCTGGCTCTATCACTGGTGGGGAAAAACGAAAATCTGAGAAAGCCAGGTGATGTTAATGTTTTGTTAAATGTACATTGCATATAGGAGTAAACTTTGCTAATTTGTTTTTTTTAGATTGAGGAAAGGAATAAATATCTTAGTGGCAACTCCTGGAAGATTAGCTGATCATCTTAAGGTATGATTCAATATGATGGATTGCTTATGTGGATCGGATATGTATTGCTTATTCATCATTCAATATATACTCCTTGTTCATCATATAAATTGTTTTATTTTTCAACAGACCACTTCATGCCTTAAATTATCACAAATCAGATGGCTTATCCTCGACGAGGCTGACAGGTTAGTTAAAATAATCACAAACATTAAACATGGCTAATCTAAACTCCTGATTTTTATGTGGTAGGTTACTTGATCTTGGCTTTGAAGAAGACATTTCCTTCATCTTGTCAACAGTTAAAGAGCACACTAGTTCAAAAAGATATCAAAAAGTTTTACTTTCAGCAACTCTTGAACATCATGGTCAGTCTAAAAGGTCATGTTCTCCTTTTAATAAGTGTTTGTTGAAATAATCTTATCATCATGCAGCAGTACATGGTTTAGTTGGAATGAACATGGAGTCTCCTATAACAATAAATATTTGTAACCAAAATGGCTCAAAACATGAGGTATAGTGTTTGTTTCCATTGATTGTCTTTATTATGAACAAAATGTTAACCAAGAATTGCTTGAAATTGTACATACCAACAGGAAGAATATGACATTCCTATGGGACTTGAACAATTCTGTGTTGTTGTTCCTCTTAAATTAAGACTTGTTACATTGTCCACATTCCTAGAGCAAAAATTAAAAAGGTACGTAAATCAATCATAAATACTTTAACCACAATAAAAATATTCAAAAATTTTATATGTCTGAACAGAGCAAATGTAAAATCATTGTGTTTTTCACAACGCAAGATTCCGTAGAGTTTCATTTTGTTCTCTTTGCAAACATTCTCTCAACATCTAAAGGTATTTATGTGTGAGTATAGTCCAAAGTCTCTGTAAAATTAGGCATTTGTTCTCAAATATTGTTTGATTTGGCAGGAAATGGGACATTTATGAAACTACATGGAAACTTACCACAGCATGTAAGTATGATTCGAATTAGATCTTTTCATTTTATCCAAATTGTGCTATTGATTTCTAGTTTTATAACAAAGATAAACTGATGCTTAGGAAAGAGTTGAAGTGTTTCAGTCATTTAAGGATTCTGAATATGGAGTACTTCTTTGCACAGTAAGGCAGATATTTTATCTTAATGTACACTAAGATTGTTTTTCTGGCTAGAGGTAAATTAGATATAAATATTTCAGGATGTTGTTGCTCGTGGACTTGATATGCCTTCTGTTGACTGGATTGTCCAGGTGATTTAATCTTCTTTCTCATAATTTCTTAGTATATTATCTTGAATAAAAAGTAGTTCATGTTATGATCTTTAACATATATTTTTTCCAAGTACAATCCTCCAATATTGAGTGCTGACTATGTTCATCGAGTTGGTCGAACTGCAAGGATTGGGAATTCTGGTCATGCTCTTCTTTTTCTTCTTCCTTCCGAGGTAGCAGTAAAAATGAAGGGGCTCTATCCTAATCATTTATCAAGTATTTGCTTTTTACTTTTTTTCAGGTTGCATACTTAAAATTGTTGAACAGTCAGAATTTAAGGTCAGGGAGGCAAGAAAACCCTGAAGGATCAGTTATCTATCGGTTGTCAACACATTTCATGTTTTATTGTTTTTAGGCTACGTGAATTGAAAATGGACGAAATTCACGAAGGGTTTCGCAGTTTATATCCTGCAGAAACTGGTAGTATTCAAAATATGATAACTGAAGTGCAAATGAAATTTGAAGAATTTGTAGTTGATAATACCTCAACAAAGCAAAAGGCTGTGACAGGTGAGAAAACTTCTATCTGATAATGAAAAGGTACAACAAAAACACACACCTTCTTTGTCATTTAGCATTTCGTTCGTTCATTGGAGCGTACAATACATTTCCATCCTCGCTAAAACACATATTTCATCCCCGTAATTTGCATCTGGGACACTTAGCAAAAAGTTTTGCCTTGAGAGAAACGCCAAGCGAGCTGAAACGGTATGGAATAATGTAGCTGCTTTTTATTTTTAACTGATATATTAAACTGCACACTAAATAATATACTTGGTCAACAGGACCTTCGCTTCATTCAAAGTTTGTCGTAAGAAGAAAGAATCTCAACAAGTCGTTCATTCTTCGAAAAGGAACTTTAAACAAAAACAGCGTGAGTCTGGTATCAAGTAAATTGCTTGGTCAGTCACATTGTCTTCTTGCTTTTGATGTAATTCACTGCCATAGTGTATTAATCTAAGTATCTGAAATAGAAAACTAGACCTGGATTTTAGATACAAAATCAAACGCCGATATCCAATAAACATCTTTGTAAGAAAACGTTATCACTAACAAGTCGTTCTATTGGTTACTGTAAAAAGTCACGTCAGCAAGGTCGAAACAAGAAGTTGGATTTTTTAGACGTCTTTTTTTATTCTACTTATGTTGCGAACAGACGTTTAAATCTTCTTTTATTGGAGTTTTCTTAAGCAAAATATTGGATAAATTTAAGGCAAATAGTATAGAAACTACAAAACGAAACTTTGAGCTTGCAAACCAAATTCTTGATACTTGATATCGAGTTTTCGTGAAGGTAAGGTTTCTTTTTTTCTGTAGAAAAAAACACGCCAAGTTAGGGATTTGGCTGGATGAAAAAGGTTTTCCTAAAAACTGTTTTTGCTCTTTGAGTTTTAAAATATTTACTAATGAAAATATAAAATATTTTCACGCAGGAGACGTATCGTCAACAAAATATGTCGAGCGTTCACAGTCCATCTTCCTCTCCTAAACTAAGACCACTGAGTCCATTCATAGCAAAATTAAAAGTTTTACTTAGCGAAAACAAATACCAGGATGCAATAAGATGGTCTGGCAATGGAGAAGCAATTGTGATTTTTGATGCCGATACGTTCAAACGTATTGTTCTGGACAAGACGGCGGAAATGTTCAAGACAAAGAACTTCACAAGTTTCGTTCGTCAGTTGAATTTATACGGCTTTCGAAAAGTACCGACCAGCGGGAAATCTGATCCAAATAAAAATATGAAGTTTGAACACCCCAACTTCACACGAAGCAAGCCTCAAATGATGCATCTTGTTCAGAGAACCTGTCCTTCTACCAAAAAGCGCAAAAATAGTATTTTGGGCCCTTTTTACGATGAGAAAAGTCGTGGTAGGAGCGCAAGGTCTGCTAAAAACACCGAATGCTACACTAGACGAAATGCAGCGTGGTTTCACGATTACTATATGCATGCAAGTACCAAAGAAGGCAGCAACGAAACTTCACAAGATCATGAACAGTTTGCATTAGATTACATGTACCAGAAATTTCAGGAAGAGCAGCACGCAGTTCAACTGTTAATGTATTTAAAGTACTCACCTCCCAATCCACAAATATTTCCAGGAGTAGTTTGGGAACCACAACTAAATGAAAACCTTTATTCCATGCCATTTTCTGCAGCAGCCACTGGAAACTTCTCAAACATAGGGATGTGCCATTGTTTGAGTTGCCGTCCGTTGTGCTATCAGTCCACTGAAACAGCCAGGCAAAATTAACATTTTTTTACTAAACTGGTTCACTTACTGGCCATAAAGCTTTTTGAATTTCATGTTTTGCACTTAACTGCTTTCTATATTTAATTATTGAAAAATATTGGAGTATGAAATTATTGTAAATGATAATTAAAATTTAGTCTATTGTACAAACTTAAAAACATAAATAGTTCATATGCTGGACATATATTGTTTCCTATGCTGACAATTGATTTTGTACTTGTAATGTAAATACGTTGATTTAAAAAAAGCCATTGAATTAGCAACAGTTGGGTAAAATAAATACACCACAGTTTTATGATACAAACCTCTGCACATGGTAGTTTTACCTTCACATACAGTCTTGACATGAACAGGATATGTACAATATATAAAAATACAGTACTTAGGTACACTACTAAATGCCATCACTGTTATTGTCATTTTCTACATAATGAATAATTGGAGGTTCCAGTGATTCTTGCAAACTGCTACCTGACTGTGATAATTCATCCTCAGAATTTGGGTTGTTGGTCAGTTCACTTTCTCTTTCAACAGCTTCAGCATCATCTTCCTGCAAGTTAGAATATCTCCAACATATTGTTCTAGTTTAAAAAGCTAAAGTAAACTGATATACCTCTGACGAGTAGCCTGGTAATAGAGGTTCTTCAAAGCGATTCTTGTCTTGTTCATTAGATGAGAGATAAAGACCAGCAACAACTAACACAAGACCTTTAAAAATAAACATGTGTGTCAAATTAAAAAGTTTTAATCACAGGACATAGAAGAAATCTTAGTCTTTCACTTTTCTGAGCAAGTTGATTACAACAAGTTAAATGTGAAAATGTGATTAAATGGATAAAATGCATTCAATATATTTAAGGTGATCAAACAAAGGATATTTTGTACCTAACTGATCATATCTTTCCAAGTGAAAGTAATCATGCAGCACCATTTTGGTGTATGAACCAATGCACAATATATTGCAATGGGGAAAAGCAGATTGTTATACAAAATAAAAATGTGATGTTTTAAGTGCTGTGAATAAAATAGTTACCAAAGGCTTCCAAAACACCAATCCATAATTGAGAACCACTTAAATGATGAAGAAAGAGTAAGTCTTCTAGCCAGGTAATAATGGGTACAAGACACATCACTCTGTTTGTTGATTTAGCACCTAAAAATATTAAGAATAATCAGCAGCTCTTGTTCATATGTCATGAAAAATTAAAGGAACAAACCTAATGACTGGTATAGATAATACAATAATAATGACGCTATCCAACTGGAAGCAATTGAAAGAAAAGAAACAGACAATGAGCCCTTCACACTGTTCCACACAACCTTGAAAAATAGAAACTTTTTGGCGAAAAATAATTAAATAAAACAAATGATTTAAGGACAAATAACTTACATTGTCTGTGTTAATATGTTGTTGAACAACAACCCATATTATAACAGCATAAACACCAGCAAATGCATTGTTCAAAAGGCCACCAATCAAGTAAAAAACATTCACCCTCTTCAACTGGGAAATCACTATAACATGAAAAAGATTTTAACCAAAAAAATGAAAATGGTCTCTTCATGAAATCTTTAAGAAAAATGATAGTTACCTGCACTGACAGACCACAAACAGGTTGCCCCAAACAGTGCAAGACATGCAGTGGAAACTTCCAAAGAAGTAAAACATGTATTTGGCTTAACTTGTACAACTTCATCACTTCTATTTCCTGTAAGATTGTCATATCTTGCTTCACAAGTGGTATCCATTGTGACAATGAAAATATTAGCCATAGTAACAGCAAGTATCCCAAAAACACCAATTAGAGTGGATGATGAATTCCATCGATTACCATAGTTCCTCTACAAAAAAATATACCATAATGTAAGCGTTTAACATGAATGATTAAAAGATTAAATGAATATCAAAATAAAATTAAATTAATATAAAAATCAAATTAAATTCCTACCTGAGATGTTATGGATAGTAATTTTAGTATGAATTGTGTGCAATAGGGTGTAGAGCTCATGAAGACTGCACCTACGGTTGGACTTAAGAATTTCAAGGCATACATGAAGAGGAGATAAGGCCCAGATAGTTGAACAAATCCTAATATTGCTGCTCTCCTATAACTTCTTGCACTTTTCAAATTATTAGTTATCTCTAATTTCGAATCTGATCCTTTCAAGTATAAATACAAAGTGGAAATACCAAACAAGACGATAGTTCCTGGTGTTCTCAACAAGAACAGTAAACTTGGTACTTTATACGAAGCCATTCCATAATGGATTAGTAAGGGGAAGCTACCACGAATGAAACTCAAACAGAAGAAGGCACACAACGCTATTTCTGATGCCATTTTTTATATATTTTGACTGTCCTCTGTCGTCTTTGCTTAAATTAAGTATATACGTTATATTTATTACTTAGATTTATTATTTAAGCATAAGAAAATATGCAAAATTATGTCGCCTATGCACATAATTAATTATTTAGCTTTGGCTTCAGCAAGGTTGTCCATTTCTCGTAAAATTCATGGCATTGATGAAAGTGTCGTGATTTTCGATTTGTGTTGTCTTTATAGTTCTTTAGAAATATGTTGAAAGTGCCGACATTTGGAACGTTCACAAATAAAACATTCCTAGTCTTATCTATTTATCATTAAATAAACAAACAATCAAAATATTTGGGCGCCCTTTTGTACTGCAACCACGAAGGATCATTTTTCATGAGATATTTTCTTATCAGTTAACACAAAAGAGGTTTTTAAAGCTGAAGGAATATTTTTTAAATGCGATGGCAATGGTTGTGAAGCAAGACCATGCTCACACAATTTTTTTATTCCTTCAACTACATTTTTTCCTTTAAATTGCGCTGAACACTTAACAACGTCTTTTATTTCTTCTTGTTCCTCATCACCAATATATCTTCCACCTTTGAATTTTGTAAACATCTGGCAATTCAACCATAAAAATAATGTCATTTCTTCATTTTTGATGTTTAATAATTATGTATAATGCAGAAGTTTTAACTTCTTTCATGAGTGTCCCAATTGTCCCCCATTCCAATTCATTGATATGAATTATGAAAGAATATATTGTAGAAGCAGAGTACAAACCTTGAATTCAATTTTCTCCAATGCAGGTTGTTGATGTGATCCAAATGTCTTTAATGCATAAATCTTTCTTGTTTTATCCTTTACATGTTCTTCGTTAACTGACATAACATTTTCTTTATTATCATCATCATTTCCTGTAACATTACCATCAGCCATCATACAAGAGATCAAAGAGTTTTCAATGGAAAAAAACAACAAACAATCAAACTACCAATGTCTCTTTTACGTTTCCGAGAGAGTGGATTTTCATCAATCTGGTTTAATCTGAAGTTACTAAACTGACCCTAAAAATATCTTATATACCAGTACACATATTTCTTGGAAGGGATTTTAAATTGATACTGACATATTTTACCTGACTGCTCATATTCAAAATGAGATTAAAAAGGGAATCACTTCTTCCACAAAAATCCATTTCATCCAACCCACAACAAAATATGTTTTCAATGGCCTAATAAAAATTATTGTCATCAGAAACATACATGAGAAATGATTTAATGAAATTTGTTATGGTACCTTCAACACAAACTTTTTATGTGCTGCTTTTAAATTGGACATAAGAACATGAGAAGAGCGAGGGACACAGATCATATAAATTGTTGATGACAAAGACAGAAAAAGATTCTCCTCATTGCAAGGTGAAATTCTTGTCAATAAAATATTCTTCTCAAACAAAATGCAAACCCTCTATAAAAATATTTCATTGGCAGATTTTGTATTATGAATAAAAAAACACAGTAATAAAGCTCATTTTAAAGCATCCCTACTTACACAATTAAAATGGTGTTTTAACTCTTTTTCAAAATCCTTTTCGAATTTCATGGGGTCTGTCAGCGCAATATGGTTATTCAATCCTGTTTGAAAAAGTTTAATTACAATATTGAAACAGACACAATGCACAATGCAAAAAACAATACAATTTTTCTTTAAATCACAAAAGTTTTGAAATTCATAGCTACCTGTATTTTCTAATTTATAGACTTTCCAATTTCTATTTTTGCAACTAAAATACCCTAAAAAGCATAAACGCTGCTCAATAGTAATATGTCAATATGATGCCTCTTGTTCAATGGTCCCATGGCCATTGCCTTCCATTGAAAATACCCTACATTTTAAGTCCATTTCTTCAATTTCCCTTAACGTTAATCTTCCATCCTAAAATAAATATTAAATAGTGCTTGTAGACTATATTTTTGTATTTAAAAAAAATACGATGATAAAATAATTCTAACAATGACACGTTCAGCAATATGACGGCATAAACAATCTTTCGTGGTCGACGACTTCTTCATAACAAAGGAAGACTTCTCGTCCGCACACATGTGAAACAGAAGACTTTTGCTAAATCTCATGAAAAAAGGACGGAGAGTATGGTAGTTCAAGGTCTGCAATGAAGACATTACTGCTATTCAAATGCTTTGAGTCTTGATTTCTCTGATTTCGAATTTACCGCCATATAGTCACAAACCAAAGCATGACCATTGAGTTCTATTAAATTACCTGCAGGGGAAAGGGGGCCTGGAAACGATTATCAGCAAAAGACAGCGGACTTGTAGTCGCAAGAGACATTTAAACATAGCTAACTTGCCGTTATTATACTGACCGATTAAGACAAACAGTTAAACGCCAAAATAACCGACGAAAATATTTACAAGTCAAACAATATGTAAACGTATATCAAACAAGGCTTTTGCCATCAAATTTATCGACATTTGAAGTACTTTTTTAAATAATTAATACAAAAATTCAGACCTACCTTTCATCATGGAGTCTTCAGGCATCTAGCTGTGTGACTGTGAACTGTGATTGATATGTATTAACTGTGACTGGCTAAAATAGGAAATACGTTATATCGTTGATGAGAGAGATGGTAGCATTAAGCTCAATGAATGGTACTTGGTGATTTTTCTCCTACACATCTTTAAAATGAAGATACAAGTGATGTGTGTAGATATATCTCATACGAACGGATCTGTAACCAAAAGTGGACACTTTGAGGCGACTGCTGGGCATTCAACGCTTCTTTCTGGGCATTCTCTAGAAAAAAATGTTCGATGCCTCCCCACCCCCCGGTGTCAGTTGCAAGCTTTCACAGATGCGAGAGGAAAAGATGAGGTACGTTAAAGAATCAAAATCAGCTGAAGAATAAAATTACGCATGTAATAATGCTTTTTACGGTTTAACAAAAATTATTTTAAAAGCTAAATGCGACATAATTAGGAGTTACATCCTTAAAAGGTCTTTACTTTGTTTCCTTCGTCCCTCTCATTGACGAATGCGACATAGGTCGTGTGTCCTCAATATACAATTCACAACATACGTTGTTTGTTGAGCGGTAATCTCTACCAAACATGTTTGATCTTGGATCGAGTTATCTGAGCTAAATCAACACAATTATTTTACAAAAACTCCTTACCTCCCATCTAATGTTCTAAATAATTACTTTCCACCTCAGAACAAGAGTTGAGTAAAAAATTACCAGTGCATACGGGTTCTTCTCAAAGCAATATAGAACAGACTTAGCTAGTATTGTTGTTAAAATCATGAAAATTTCTTCACGTTGATGGTGTTTTCCTCACGTAATCACTGAGAGATGTTATCGGATCATTTGTATTGCTAGGAGATGATGCAACTTTAGTACGATTCAATGCAGGACTTGGAGTGAATCTGGATTCTTTTCCTAAAGTATTTGATGATTTTTTCACATCATCTGAAGTCTTGTTAAGCTGTTGACCACAAACATCGTGATGGTTATCCCAATCCTTAAGTTGACAAAATGATCCACAATAACGTGCAAGATTACATCCACTGCATGTTTCATTTGCTTTGCGACCACAGTTCCAACAACTCTAAAACAAAACCCGAACTTTCACTGTAAAATGATCCATACAATGTAAAATTTTATAAAACAAATATACCTCACTGGATTCTGACTGTCTGTTCATCATTGTCAATGTCTCTTCAATTGCTTGACGTCTCGCTTCCATTACAGCCTTATCAACTTTATTTTGTGTCTGTCCGACAGCTTCATTGGCCTTTTCCTCGGCAGCTCTAACGGCTTTTTGAAGTTCAACAACAGCCTGACGTTTAACATCATTTACGGCTTCCTCAGCACGACGTTTAACTTCAGAAACTCGTTCTTCCGTTTGTTTGATTGTCTTGGAGACAAGATCATCTGACAATCAATGAAATAGCATTAATTGTTTGAAATCATTGAAGTCCTTTAATGATTTCTGCCAGTATCGTCGTTTAATTTATTTCCATATTGGATAGCTTCTGACCTTCCCCCCTTCAAAAAAATTCGATACCCCGTCGCACGATCAGCCCCGACCTAGTTCGGATTATTTTCTTACTTGCGCGTCTCTTTACGTCTTGTTCAGCCTCTTCTGCAGTCTTTCTGGCCCATGACATGAGCTCATCGCGATCTTGAATATTTCGTTGTTGCAAAACTGTGATGGCACGCTTGGTTTTCTCCACCATGCCCAGAATGCATTGCAGCATCTGAAACATATCAATATGAACCTTACAGTGATGTATTAACAAATAAGAAACAGTATTAAATAAATATAGCATACAGTTTCAACATGACGCCAGTCATCAACATCATTAGGTATTTTTGGATCAACAAAAGGATCATGAGATGCAACTTCACTGTCGCGACTTCCTATTAAAACGAATACAATTTAAGATAAATAAACGTCTGTGAAAATGAATATGAAATTTTTTGCCCAGAACTTGTCACAATGTACTAAAGCCATGTTGATTGAATAAATCTCAAAATCTGTAATAACATATGTTTCAAAATAAAAACTTAAGTAATTGTGCAGGGAAATAGGGCTATGTGCTAGTTAGTGTAAATTTTAAATCTCAGAGGTTACCTTGAGCAAAAAACTCAGCCCTAGGAGCAGTTTTAGAAAAGGATTCAGTGGTACTTTCAGTACTACTTGCACCTGTAAAAATAATATTTCATTCAACCACATATCATTCAATTACCATTATACTACATGTGATGTACATACTTAAACATTGCCTCTTTGGAGGTGCAAGCTTTTCAATAGAATCCATAACAGACACTAAGTCAGTGCCATTTTCCTTAGATATACTAAAATATAAATTACATAAAGTCCAACCAGAAGTAAGGAGATCATTTAGTACCAGGGGAATCACTATTAAACAATATACCTATTATTATCACAAGACTTTCTTTTGTTATTTTCATTGAATTCAGAAGCATTATTTTCAATTTGTTCAGATGGTAATACATCGTGTTCTTCAAGAAGTTGCCCATGTTGATTATGAAGATACTGATGAGTAGTTTGTTTTGACATTTGTGAACATTCAAGTAACTCTCTTTGCAAGAGAGGTAAATTGGCCTAAAAATATTTAATCTTGATAAACAACAAAATCTTTCTTTAGTTTATATAACACAAATATATCTACCTTCAAGAAAGGAATAACAAAGGGCCGCAAAGGAAAGTTTGTTGCTTCTTGAAGCTGTTGATGAAATTCTTCAATGGAGACAGCAGAGTTCTGAGAATGAACAAAATATAATCAACACTTTCAATGCAAGTTTTTGACATAAAAATTTCAACTTACAACTAAATTCAACACAAGTCCCCTGACTCTTTCCCCTATTTCAGGAGAAATATCTGATCCAAACTGCTGTAGCGTAGTAAGAAAACGCTTCAATTTACTGAGTTGCCTTGCACCACAAGCAGGAGGAAGTTGGTTGAGGCCATTACCAACTGTTGGTGGTGTATTTGTTGCTAAAGAACTTGGGTGGCTCCCATTTATATGAGACAATGTTGAACTAACAGATCTTGATTCAGCAGCTACAACTGTGTTTGATGTTGCAGGTGATGTGGCATGTCTTGGAGTTGCATGATTTGTGCCTTCACTAGGTGACTCTGGCATTCTTGGATCATGAGTTTCTAATGTGTCGACAAGAAATCAAATTTTTACGACTTTTGATAAATAATCATATTTATTCACTGCCACACGAAATAAAAATATTCATGGAATAAAAGTTTATCAATGTCTCAGTTGGATCTCGTTGGCGTACGAAAGTATTTCAATACTGTAAATAAATGTATATGTGTGTAGTGAATTGCTTAGAAAAAATGTCGTCTTATGTATGTTTATTGAAGCAGAATCATTAACGTCGATGTTGAAATACGAACATTTGATGTGCAGACTTAGAGGGTCAATTACAAAGAAAAACTTTGAAAAATCTCTTTACAGAAAAAACACATTTAAAACATTTTAACAGCACAAAATACAATGCACTTACGATAAATTTGTAATATTATAATCCCGGGTCGCAATTTAACGAGCTGACAATTATGAGGATGACAGTACTGTTTAAAAACACAGTGCCATTTCATGACACATTTGTACATTTACAATTAGTAAAATTTCTTTTTAAGAAAACCTACTCATTTGTTTCATTTCAATAAACAATCCATCACAGAAATATTGCATGCTTTCCACTACTTAAAAGGAACTCGTTTGAATTTTTACAAAATATTTATATCTTTTCGAATAAGATAAACAAGTAAAAACTGGCTAGTAATATGTTAAATCGTGTAGAATTTTACCTGCAGTAACGGCTGGCATCACATTCACTGTATTTCACAAATTATTGACGATTTTTAGAGACGTCTCGCCTGAAACTACACGTCCTCTACTTCTTCGACAAAAAGCTCGTGACGTCACAGCTCTTTGTGTCACATGCTAATGAATGAGAATGTCTCTAGATGGTGGGCTGAATGGTGGGGTACATTCGAATTTACTTCTCAATGAGTAGAAATATTGCTTCGTACTTACTGCTCAAAACTTACTAAATGCATAACCTGACAGTTTATTTATTTAAACAATGCACTTTTTTCCTTTAATTGAAGAACGAGACATTTCTTTATTAACTGCCACACTAAAATCTGTCTTACATTACTCTGTAGTCAGTCATACTACAAACAAGTGCAGGACAAATTGTCAAACACATAACAACTTTCTTAGAACTTAGAAAGGAATAGAAACTCTTCTATCACCTTTTAAAGTAATTTAGACATGCACAAAACAGCAACTTAGCAGCTGCTATTGTCACCTGCCCATATACAAGAAATGGAAGAAGCTTTACATATGTTGATATCATCAGAGCAGATAAAATTTTGAATCGTTTAAATTATTAATGAAATTTAAGTTGCTTGGATACGACATAAGAAGTAAAAAGGTTTAGCTTTGAGAGATTTTTGTGCTTTGCAATTATTTACGTATATTGTTTCAGAATACAGATAATGAAAAAATCGTCTCAGTAACAACAAACGAAAACAATTTGTTCATAACTGCTTCATTAAAAACACGAACAATTTACATGCTCACGTTATATTAAAAGATTGTAAAACAGTTTACCATAAAACTCCTTCAAGTGGACCAAATTTCTTAGCTAAAATGTTCATTCCTTTTTTGCTCAATGAACCAGTTGTTGCTACATAGTTGGTTTTGCCACATTATCAGAAAATATGACATGGCTCTTTGCGATAAATATTTAACAACCTGCAGACCATATGCTTGCACAAAAGCTCGTGATCTAATTGGTTAAATATGATGGCGGGAATCTATTGCAGCTGCTGACAATATTATATCTATTTTTCGTTGCATCTGCCCGTTGATAATGGCGAATATTCACAATACTTAAGGTTGTGTGGTCAATAGGCTTTTGCTACTTAAACCAAAAACAGCTCAACTAAATCAACCTAATTGACAACGTTTTACTCTTTATTACGATATTTCAAATCGATTCTAGCATGAAAGTGCAAAATACGAAACACTACTTGTAGAAAATTTAAAAAATGAAAAACTTTCGTACATATGTTGAAGATTCCTCATTAACATAGTTTAATTGAGTAATATTTCACGGGAAAATGTCAAAATGTGGTAGTTTCAACATTTCTAATCAGTTTCTTCTACATATAAAGAGGTTTAGACTTCATCAAACGTTCACCAAACATGATATTTTTTATCGTGGAAAGAACACGGTAGTGTAATAGTAAATGATGCACGATATAATCGATTATTTACATGGAAACAATGATTGTCACCTGGACATACGGGACTTTCCTTGCCAACAGCTGGCATACATATTTCCGGCAGGCATACATCGTGTTAGCACATAAACGACAAAGGAATTAAACTTCAAGCAGTAAAGAAATCACGCTCACGGAAGAATTGCATGGGATAAAAAATTTCTCACTGAATTTTCCCTTCGTCATGCGAGAGTTATATTTTGAATAATTTCATATACTTCGATATACATATATATGTAGCTACTAAGATTTTAATATAAATACAAGTATTTACGAATGAGGAACCAGCCTCAAATAAGAATACAACAGTTACTGGTAACACGTGATATTTTAGGATTATTAAATATAGTTCTTACCGCTGGTCTGTATAATTCACGTTCCTTTTTCATCATTACCATTTCTATGTCATTGATATCATTATCCAGTGATTTGTTACAGTTTGAAAGATCCTCCATACTCACTAAAACATTCTCGCTTTCATCTTGTAACTTTTCCGATTTGAATTCTTCTTGTTTATATTCCTTTACATTATCTGTTTCGTTTTTCTTCACATCCTCACCAACATGTCTTACAAAAACAGTAACTGCTCCATGTTTACTCCCACTTTCCCGTTTATTATCTTGTGTTGTCCTTATTTCCTCTATACTATCTCTTAAACTGGCTTCGTTCATTGTTTCCTCTTTGCAAGTGGTGTCTGCGATAGTTTTAACATTACAACCTTCGATAAAACTGTTGTGAATGAGTTGGTTTTCAGTTTCAATGTTTTCTTCATCACGAGTGAAACATACGTTATGTTCAACGACGTTATTAGCATTATTTACCTCAACAGTACCAGAATTATTTTTATTTGATAATTCATTTATTTGAGAGTCTTCATTATTCGTTCTCTTGTTGTCTTTTCTTGTTTCCACATCTTTCTCACACATCATTCTTTTCTTTGCAATGGCAACAGACTTTAACACATTACACTTTTGTTATCCTCACATGTTCTCTCGTCATCCTCATCATCACTTCGTCGTTTAGGGGATCTTCTTGACGACTTTTCAGTAGTTAATCTTCTCATTTTCTTATCAAGATCACCGGCATCATCTTCAGAACTGCTACTATGACTTGATGATTGTCTTCCTATCACAGATTGTGCTGGCGATGTACGACGTGTCATTACTTGATTTAATGGTCGACGGGACGATCGACGTAAACGAGGTGAGGCACGAGGACTATCGTCTAAATCCGAGTCTCTTTCCTCCGATATTTGATTTAAAAATGCTGGAGTACTCTTTACTTTAGCTACACGTCTCTTTTGAAATGGTTTTCTCTTGTTCATTGGGAGAGATATTGAAACTACATTGTCTTCACATGATTTATCTACTTCAGAATTTTTAACGTCATCATATATAGATTCACTTGAATGATATCGTAGTTTACTTGTAATAAGATTTAAATCAATATCCTCATTTTCATCATTCACAGGAAGATCTTGAACTGACTTTATGTCGGCCTTAATGTCATTAGAAATACTTACTTGTGGCAGACTTTGCCTATGAATAAAAAAGAGATATGAATAATACACAGCGAAAATCAGCCACACATCTTCCTTGGGAACAAACAAAAACTGAAAAATTTACCTTTTCAAAACCATTGCCTTTCTGCATTTTTCCTCATTGGATAACTGAGAAGGGGATTGTCTTGTTTTGTGCCAATGTCTCAAGACTTGCTCAGCCAATAAGTAATATGTTGCAGAAATATGATTATATGAACCTGATTCTAAACACCTAAAAATATATGTATTAAGGTATCACAAAATTGAGTTGAATGTTATATCTATATGTAAATGATATTCATCATATTACTGTGTGATTAAATCATCATCGGCTATGTTTCCAAGCTTCATTTTTTCCACAATCTCATTATGTTGATCTGCAGCTAATGTTACTTGTTTAGACAAAGGAATGGAAGTGACAGTGACTGGGCCATTATTCCCATGGACCCAAGAATCACCAATAATTTCCTCAAGGGATGCCCTCTTGGAAACATCACGCACAATCATTCTAGAAATGAGGCTGTTGAAATTGCATTTGTGAGTGATGACAATCAGTTACATATAGTATTGAAATAAACATCTTACCTTTGACAATCTGGGGACACATGGTCTGGAATATGAAATTTACAATCTAAAATCATTGTCAGTGTTTCACTTTCATTTGCCTCATAGAATGGCGCCTTTCCAATAACCATCATGTACAAAATTACTCCAAGACTCCAAACATCTAACAAAAGTAAAATTAATTTACATCAAAATTTATTTCAACAAAAGCTTAAAGAGGACCAAAAGAACCTTCCTTTACTGTTAATACACATGACTTCCTTCGCAAAATATACCTTTTCTCAACAACAAAGCTTACCAATATGACATATTATATGATAGACTTACCAACAGCAGGAGCATCATACGAGTCTCCAAGTAAAATTTCTGGTGCGGAGTAAGCTAAAGAGCCACAAGAAGTCTGTAATTTTGTACCCGGCATAAATATATTAGAAAATCCAAAGTCAGTAAGCTTTGCTATATCATGCTTCTTAAAAAAAATGACGTTTTCAGGTTTTAAATCTCTATGTACGACAAAAAGTTTATGACAATAATCTATAGCTTGTAATATTTGACGAAAATAACGCCTTGCTTTTTCTTCTGACAGTCCACCTTCGTGTTTCATGATATAATCATACATATCTCCACCGTCACCCAATTCCTGAACGAGATATAACTTGCTTTTTGTGTCAATAACCTCATACAAACGTACAATATTCGGATGTTGTACAAGTTTCATACAGCGAACTTCTTGATACAAATGTTGCTTTGCTGTTTCATCAAGTTTTAACTTATCAATAACTTTAACAGCCACTCTTTCTCCTGTAAATACATGTCTAGCTAGTTTCACTTCAGCGAAATGTCCAGATCCTAAGCGTTCTTCCAGGTCGTACATACCAGCTATGTTGCTCTCTCCCCAGCGAGATTGTCGCGTAAATTTCGCCATTTTCTGCTTCAAATCCGAGCGAAATAATACACCTCCTGGGGAAAGCTCTCGACCAATGAACTTCAAATTCAGCGATGAAAAATATGCAATATACATTGATTGATATAGAAATACTGGAGTTACCGACAATGATGTGATGGAAAGAATGAAAGCAATGCAGGCTGCTCTTGTGATGAAAAATTTAAGTTGTTTTTGCTCTAAGATTCACATTAACGTAAACAACAATAAGCCAATTAACTTTTTGTCTCAAATTTTTGCAATACTTTAATAACATCACAACATCACAAGCATTTAATGTTGAGCATACAACAATTGTAAATATTTCAACTGTCTTTAATTCCTCCTTGGCAATTTCCCCTTGGAATCATTGACTTCCATAAATCTCTAAAGAATCAAAATCTCATGAGTGAAATAATTTTGAAACAAAATTAGTGGAGATGCAAACTAACTGGCTTTTCCTGGCTTTCCATCTGTCCATTTTGTGACTTTTATATTTGTCTGGTCAAGTCTTGACGAATCAATTTTAAACTCAGATTTAAGACAGCGTCGAACAGCTCTTGCACAAATTGCAGAATATTGCAGATAACTAAATAAAAATATTTGTGTTCAATGAAAGATAATTGGCTAAGCATATACATCGCTGCATTTAAAAGTTAACTCCCGAAAAAAAGTAAAATAAACGAGTAATTCTTAACATAAATCTTCAAACTTTCATTTCTTCAAATAATATACTTAAAAACATAAAAAAAACAAGTCATGTACCTCATTCCAATCTGCCTCCATTGGGAAACCATTTTTGATGTAGATTTTAATTTATCAATTTTATTCAACATACAATCGAGCGCATGCGTAAATACCGCTGGTTATATAAATACTTACGGCGCAATAATTTATGTAAATATCATAAATATACAGTTTTGGAAATAATTATGAAATGTAGCATGTCGTCTCAACTCGATCACATAGGAGTTACCGAGGGTTTGTGCACCAAATTTCATTTTTTAATTTTTTTTCATGCGCACGTTCACGTTATGGTTAATAATTTTCAGATCTTAAGGCATTTGAGCGCCGTCTCACCGAGTACGTTTCTGGTTTGCATCCTAAAGCTATTCGTTGGAGAAGTACTTCATTTTAATATTTGTTTGTATACAGTGTGATCAATCTTGGACTGAAAGGCGGCTTTTTCTTTAAATTCATGCTTTCTTTAGTCATATTTGCTATCTCCACTTGTTCAACTATTGCTTCAGCTTGGATATGGATGAGCGATGAATCTACATCCAATGTATTGAATCATTCATTTCATGTTTTTTGATGTCTTTCATTTAACAATGCCAATAAAATTTTCATCTTTATAGTTGACTTTGATCGAATCACTTTGGAATCATCAATTCTTCACAATAAACCTTGTAGTTCTTGCACTTCTTTTCTTATTTGGAATTCATAAGCGAATAAGAGAACCACAAACGTATCCTCCACCAAATTTAATGTATATTAATAATTTTCACATTATGTTCATATTCTTTGACAATTGAAAGCATTATTAAAAGATGTAGGTTGGTACTAGAGGATTACAACATGTCATGTGATGAGGTAAATATGCACAGAAACCTTCCATACTTCAAAAGCAACCATGAATGATTAGTTTCTTAATTTTACCAGAAAGGAAGGCTCATCCTGAGACCACAGACTTCAATAAAAGACAATTATTTCTCATATGCAAGATAACACCTTGAAACTTAAATGTTGTTTTAAAGCATAGTCAATAATTTAAAGCTAATTTATAGCATGGTTTGGATCACCATTTGTTCACAAATATACGTGTAATTTACAAAATATCAAACTATTTTACAATGACAGTAAATAAAAAGTTAGTAAAGTAAATCTGGCCATTAAGTTTTGCATATGAAGACCAACAAATGTAGCCACAATCCATGAAATGCTACATGTTTCTTGGTGGACCTAAAAAGAATGTTAAAATGGGAAACACCATGTATGACAAAAAATGTAACAAAAATTTTTTCACTTACCCTGTGGTGGCATACCAGGTGGCATTTGTCCTTGCATGTGCGGTGGTGGTCCTTGACCTTGCATTCCTGGTGGTGGTCTCATTCCTGGTGGTGGCATACCAGGAGGTGGCATACCTCTTCCCATCATTCCTGGAGGAGGCATGGGTTGCCTCATACCTGGCGGACCTGCATTTGTAAGACCACAATCAAACAATAGCTCTATAAACATATGATAAATAGTTTTCATACCTTGAGGCATACCAGGTGGTCCTGGGCGAGGAGCAGCTCCTCTTTGCTGTGGTTCATTACGACCTAAATAAAAAAGAAATGTTATTTTCCAAGATAACTGAAACATTATGATGCATTGAAGACATAGCAATTTCACCACCTGATGGTAGGCCTCTGCCTTGTGGTGTCATAATATCTTGAGAAGGACCACCAACCCCTCGTACTGGACCACTTAAACCTTATTAAAAAAATAATTTAAAATTCTATAATCCACACTTCTTTATGTTAAATTGAACAAAAAAACCTGCTGGGCTGAAAACTGAGGCTGTACAGCAACCCCACGTCCAGCTGCTCGGCCCATGCCACTGCCTGGGGTTGCATTGGCTGTTGGTATTCTTGGTTTGTCCTGATCAATTGTTAAAAGAAGTTAAAAGATAATACTGAAGTAGAAACACAAACATATCTAAAGGCACACTAACATCAGAGACAGGAGGTCCTTCAACTGTCATGGAAACCAGATGTTCACCTCGTAGTAATATTAAACCTAAAACTCGCTTTTCTTCTTTATCTGTTCCTTTACTGCTCTTCGACTTTACTCGTCTAAATTCATCACAATCTCCTAATATCAAGTTCATATGTTTGTCGAAAGCTAAGAATGATCCGATGAATATACGACCATCTTGAAGAGTGCATCGCATACGATAGTTGATGTGCTGTAAAATCTTAGAACTCTTGCCCATAGGCTGGAATAAAATTGGATAACATTAAAAATTATTAATTTCATACAAAGTAGACTTATCCATATAATAACTGAAACTTACCATTTTGAAGATGCAAATGGATTCTTTCTGTTCATCAACTATAAAAAGTAGTTGGAAATCGAACGAACGTTCAACGTTGGCCCAGTCAATACGATTACCAATGAACATTCTAATAGATAACCGCTGACGTGTTATTTGTCTGGACGGCAGGCGGCGTTTCATTTAAAATGGCGGATGCTTCGTCATCTAAACATGTTGAACAAGCTTTTATAAGTTCTCCCTCAATTCTTGCTGAGCATTTTACAGATTTAAATGTTGATTTGTGTGCTAGAGAGTTTTCGAATTATTTGAACGTAAATTTATCTTCTCAGGTTGTAAATTTTATTTTAACAGAAACGTTAAAAACTTTAAATTTCTAACTCGTAGACGAAACACTTCAATCTACTTAAACTGTGTTTGACAATTTCAGGTGCAAACCTATCAAGACATTATAGAAGATATGTTAGTCCGTTTAGAAGAGCTCTCTCAAACTGCAGACATGGTTTGTTTGTTATAAGAAAACCAATTTTGATTAACCAGAGTTAGGGACTTGGGGCCCCATCCCATCAATGTAACATTCAGTAGGTGAAAACATGATTCTCAGACGATGTTCAACGTATGAGGAAGAGTAGTAGCAGATAGGAATTATTGCAAGCTCATACACTTATATTTTCAGATCCAAAATGAATCGGAAGTTGTTGTAGCTGACCTTCTTCCAAGAATTATTTTACAAAGTAAAAGTCTCCCTGCAATATTTCAAAAGATTGAACATCTAGAGGCAAGAAAGGCACATACATAACGTGGTGATTTTGTGTGGTATTCAAAATAATCTTATTTATTGATTGTTTCAGAGATTCATGAAAGAGGTTTCTGAAAATATTGATAAGTTGGAAGAAAAAGTAAAAAAAGCAGAGACTGATCTTGAAACTTCAACTGTAAAAGGATTTCTAAAACGATTTCAACAGGTTTAGAAATTCAACTATTGCGGTCATATATGAGAATTGTAGAACCTGAATACTATTTTTATTTGTAGAAAAAAGAAATAAAGAAATCAGAGAACATTTCATGGGTGCCAGTTGAGTTGACAAATTTAAAACAATATTTCCGTAATGATAAAACATCAGAAGAGAAAAATTTCATTCCATTGTCTAATGTGGAAGATAATGATACTTGAATGGGTTTAGGTCAATTTCATATATTTAATTTGTAGAGTCATGTTTTTATGATTATAATGCACATCTTACTCATAAAAATTTACACCACAAATGCACAATAAATACACATAAACACAATATCAACCACATTAATTATTGAATAAATATTGAAATGTCTTATATATTTCAACTTAAGCATTGCTACAATGCAATTTTTCATGACAATAAAGCAGAATCGTATTGCATTTTAAGCCATTAGATTTGTGACATTACCTGAAATAATAAACCCTACCTACAATGTTCTTGGCTGCATAAATATCTCTTCAAATGAAAGAAAATAAATGCCAAGAAAATGGCCATTTGATTTCAAACTGCACTGATTGTTACATTACTATGTTGTCTGATAATATTTATACTTTGCAAAGATATCTGGGAACACTCCTCAATGCTAAGATATGTCAGACATTGTAGATGTTCAATTGCATGTTCAATACTTTTTAAGGTGATTTTGCAACAGAAAGTCAATGCTACTTCTGTAAGAGTCTGGCAGTTATCAAATGCAAACATCACACCATCATCAGTGATCAACTGTGATCCAAAATTAAATCCTTCCAAGTACATTAGATGTTTTGAAGCTGTCTTAAGACCATTGTCAGATATCTTACAACCTTCCAAACCAATCGAGAGCAATTGTGGCAATTCTTTGGCAATATAAATAAATCCTTTATCAGTTGTTCGAGTGTGATCCAGAGTTATGTGGCGAAGTTTTTTGAGATTCTTTGCAATATCTATCACACCTAAAACATTGAGATTTCAAAGCGTTAACTGCACAATTTTGAGTAAGATTAAATAATAGGTTGATGTTACCTTTATTGCTCACTTTACGACAGAAGGAAAGATTTAATTGCTGTAGATGAATCATGTTTAAAGCAATTAATGAAACACCAGCATTCGACACATGTTTACAATCCATTAGGTCAAGACTTGTTAAAGATGGAACATGTTCAGCTAGGCTCTTTATTCCAATATTTGTAACTTTTGGATGTGATGATAGCACTAAAGATCTTAGACGATGTAATGACGGTGCAATCTCACAAAGGCCATCATTAGTGAGGGGACAGTTGCGCAGGTCTAATGTGACCAGCTTTTTCAAATTTTTTGCCAAAGACACGATTCCAACATCATTTATACAAGAGCTATTCAATGACAGCAAGACCAGGTTAGGTAAACACTGAGAGATGACCTTTGTTGTTGTATCTGTTAAATTAATAACAAAACCCATGTCTAGACTTATCAGATTGGTTAAACATTTTAAAACATTACGAAGACAAACATCATTTACACCATCAACATCAAAGTGTAATGATTGCAGTTTTGTCATTCCTGCAATAGCTAGAAACATTTCCTCAATCTCCTCGTCATGGCTAGAAAACTGAAGATTATCACTATCTGAGCCACCAAATGCTAAATAAACAAGCTGATGTAGATTTTCAGCAACATATTTTATTCCTTTACATGTGACTAATGGACATTCTTTGACATCAAGATATTTCAGAAGTGGAACTCCCTCCGAAAGAACTTTCAAAGCAGCATCATTTATGCCATGACTCCAACGAAAGTCCAAATGCACTAATTTTGTTAAGTGTTTAACCATATGCATCATAGCAGTAACTGATAACCAATCACATCCTCGTAATACAAGTGTTTGCAAATTTGGAGTGTTTAGACCAATGTCCTTAATAGAAATATCTCTCATATTTTCACACCATGTCAAGTCCAAGCCTGCTAAGTCTTCAACATGAAGCAAAAATGTCCTAAGACCAAACTCTGTAATATTCTCACACTCCTCCAAAACCAAAAATTTCAAATGCTTCAATTTTGGAGAAGACTCTTCAAGAAATGTGTCACTAATTCTTGAACAACGTTTAAAAACAAGATGTTTTAATTTAGTTAATTGACAGACTTCACGTTTCAACTCAACTTCAGTAATTCTTGGACAGCCTCCCATGTTCAAGTATGTCAAATTTGGTAGATTAGACGTGATGACGGCAAAATCGCGACCCGATGTTCTAGGACAACTGATTCGACTAATTCGCCTTTTTACAAGACTCTTTATAAGCACGTCGTTACAAGTAAATGGTAACTCAACTGTTACCATTTTCCAATGAACAGGAAAATAGACAATATCTCTCCAGGCACGGCACACAAGGGCAGCATTCTGTTTTCCCTGTGTGTCAAGAAAACTGAATACAAGCGATGTAATGTCTGGAATTAAAGGACCTTGAAAATAATTGACAACACTACTCATTCTGACATGCTGCAGTAAAACGTAAATGCTTCCCAAAGTTGAGACACAGGTTGCGATGTTCAATTCAACTTCTTCATTTTTGAGGTATTTGTCGGAAATAACCGTAATCACCCGTTGTTGAAATTTTTTCATTGCACATGATCGGGAATTGCCGTTCGTCGTCGTCATCTGACGTTCTTCAAAATGGCAGATTTTGACGAAATAAAAATTCATGATTTTTCTGAACGTATACTTGAACATGTTGTTCATTTTCATGTAATGAAAATGAGAGATAGTGTTTTTATTTGGGCAGGAGAAAATCTAGAACTGAATTCTTTATCAGTTGCAATGTCCACTAAATATGTGAGTGCAATTCAAAAATTCATTTCCTAGCAAGCCAAGTTGCAATGTTTTATCAAATTTCATTTACTAACAAGTTCAAATGTTCAATGACATTGAATGATATTTATAAAACCTGTCTTTCTCTACATTAGGATAGTATACCAGCAGTTACCAATGTACTAGGAGATGTATCTAATGTGAATTCAGATGCCCTGGCACAGAAATTTGGTAGAAACATCTTTCTCACTGATTATTTTTATACCAGGCATAAAATATTTACTTCTTTTTATAAATGCCTTTACTAGCCACAAAGTTGAACAAGCAGTGTTTCATGAGCTATAACATACCCTTCAATGAAGACATTCTACCTTTAGTGGAGAAGAGAATTTTAAAAGAAATAAATGTGAATCCAAACTACTTTTGAACATTGGAAACACAATGAAATTTTTGCACATACTGCTCAGTACCTACACACCTGTCCAATGTGAAATGTTGCATTGTTTCATATTCAATGTCCATTATCCAATTGCATTCAATAAGGAAACTCGAACTAATTGCATGCATTGGAAATAGCTGTAGAATTAGCTGTCTAAAATGAATATTTTCTATACACAAACATTATTCACAAAACAAACATTTATGCATTGCTTTCTAGACTGTGAAATAGCTTAATTCTAATATGTACAGCATGTTCCCTTGTGTCCCTCACATAGATATGATTATTATTCATGAATTACGATCTAGTTTACCAGTTGATGTGTAATGCATCACTGCTTTACGATCACCAACATCTTTCAGTAAAATATCAACAGCAGCTCTCCATTCTTTGATTTCAATGCATGAACTCTGAAGGAAAACATTGCAATGAAAAAATTATGCTAAACATTTCACCATTTAAAATAAAAGAACAGTACCTGCTCCAAGGCAGAACAATCTTTTCCTCTGCTCAAATAATGGCTTTTCCAAAACTTCAAGAGCATCCTGTTGTACATATAGGATTATTATCAAACTTAACAACAACACATAGCATATATACATAGCAACCAACACTCAACATGATGAAACAATATAGCTAACCGTAGATTGTCTATAATAAACCCAGGCTTCTTCAGTGCAGCTTCCTCGTGCTGAAAAGCCCGTAAGTATAGATGGAGCTCGCCTTTGTTTAATGAAAACATGAAAAACACAATAGCAGTATTCAAGCAGCTCACATTTTCCTGTGAAATAAGAAAGCTGAAATAAATAAGAGAAACATAAAAAATAAAACAATTTTTCAACTGGATATTTACCTGAGTAAGCGTATCAACAGTGACAGACATTATAAGTTTAAGTAGCAAATGAACCCGTTTTTTTAAACCAGAAACCATAGAGCTAAGACCAAAGGCTAAATCTTTCAACAGAAAGGAGGCAATGTATTAAGACTTTGGGTGAAACAAGCAGTACTTTAGATAAACTTTGGCAACCATAAAAACATATCATTACCAATTGATATTTTGTTGCATGACAAAAAATGTTCATAGGATAGAACAAGACTTCTGATAAACATGTTTGAGTCAATAACATTACTTGTCATAACCATAATAAATGTTTCCAACTATAAAATAAACCAAAGACATGAGAAGATGAGTATCTAAATGTTTTTTCTGTTCACTATTTATGTGTACCTCTAATTCTGAAATCATCAGAGTAAACTCTTTAAAAGCCACATGGTTAAATTTCATAAGTTCTCCCAATAAATCAAAACTGCTTTGTAATACTTCTTTGCTTTTTATCTCTTTTGAACATATAATTTGAAGAAGATGCTTTAACAAACCACGTTTGATAAGAAAGACTTGATCAGCATAAGATGCTTTGCCACGCAAAAATCCTTCCAAAGCTCGAAAAAACCAAAATCTGCAATTGAACCAAAAATTGTTTATTGAGTTAAGAGTTAAACAGTTAAACTAATTATAAAAAATTCTTACTGTAGCACAGAATGAGATGATAAAGTCTTTGAAACATCTAAAGTTTTAGCTAGCAATCCTTGTTTACCATCACAACATTGTGAATGATCAAAATTTTGTAAAACCTCTGGAAACAATAGATTATTTTTTTCTAAAAAACAACCAAATGAAAAACATGTTTGAGTCAAGTAAAAGTCAAGTTTAAATACCCAAACTCACATCGATACCATATATTGTCTTGAGTTCCTTCAGTTCGATTGGAGTGAGAAGAATGTATTTTTTACTATAAATTCAGAAATAATTCAGTATAGTGTTTAAAAATTTAAATAATTAAACATACAAGTCAACTTACTCATTATGATCACAAAAGCTATGAATCAAACGAAGAAATTGAATCTTTAAAGCTGATTCCTAAAATTAAAAGTTTTTTTTATAATTTAACAGGAAAGATTATACCCACTATGTACAGATACATCATATTCATTTGTACCTGTGCACATTGATTGTCCTCCTCTCTCATCATTTCACTGGAATATAAAAGCATTCATTGTGGTTACAAATAGACATAACAAAAACAAAAATTACTTTGAACCATGAAAAATCTTATTAAAACATGAAATTCATGAAATCGACCAGAAATATCAGACCTATTATCAATCCATTTTAGCTCGTCAAACAGCACACACAGTTTAGGAATGAGATAAAGATTAGCTAGCTGTTTTTGAACCTGAAGCAAACATAGTTGTTTTATAGTTAGAAGCAATACAGTTGTTTTTTTAAGTGCTTTCTTCTGAAAATATTTCTACTTACAGAAGTTTTATATTTCCCTGTGAGAAGAACACACAATACAAAAAGTGCTTCAACTTTCAACATAACATCTTGAAAAAACTTTATGGACAGTGTGAAATATGGTGAATGTAAAAATGATGCACCATCACCTACAAATAAATAGAAGATATACTTAAGTTCAGTGAAATATAAACAAAAAATTATCATCTTAATGAGACATTTCACAAGGATCATCCAATCATTCAAAATAATTGCTAAAGCTTTGTACACTTACAAGAATGATTGATAGGGCATTTGAACTTTTTACACAAGTTAACAAAACTACCAAAATATTTTCATTTTCTAAACACTAAACAGAACTTGAAACTATATATATTTATCTCTTACATTTCAGTGACTTGCTAGCATATTATGTTATAAATTGCATGCATCATGAACTTAATAAATACAAAATTTGACAATTGAAACATGTTTCATTTTGTGAGTCCTTCTATACACTTACTATCTTGGTTTGCATCTTCAAAATCATCCAATACTCCACTAAAATATGATGTCAACTGTTGCAATCTTGCAGGTGTGTGGGGTGAACCAAGGGAAAATGGTGATGACTTATCTGATAAAATAATTTCATCATTCATCAACAAAATACATAGAAAGAACAAAATCAAAAAATCATGAAAATAAAAAATATGAAAAAAGCACTTCTTATACCTATAGATTCACTAGCTAAAGAACAAACTCTAGGTAGAAACTCTGGCACTAAAAGCAAAATCCTTTGATTTTCATCAGCTATTTCAGCTCGCTGTTGGAAAACTTTGCTTGTGTCTTGATTAAATACTAAAAAAGTATAGAGAAGAAATATTTTCTTTTGAAAAAAAATATTGACATGCAATCTTTTTAGAAGGACAATTACATGTGTTTTTGTCATCACAAGCCTCTGCATCAGTTAGAACAAAATACAAAACCGACAAAAATTTGCCAATTGATGATCATTCATTTGAATGATTAGTTTCTCCAAGTTCATGTCATTTAATGATAAAATTTGATGTCTAACACGAAGAATATCCTCCAAGAGATGGGATGCATACCTATATTTTTAACAATGGAGACACTCTTTCAAGCAAAAATACATTTTTGATAACATGTATTTCCATAAATTTCTTACAAGCACTTACACATATGTTTCTTTGTACTTTAACAGTGAAAATAACTGTTCAATGAAGAGCATGTTGAGTCCCAGGTTTTTTGCAATAATATCATTCTTGTAGAAAAATAAAAAGTAATAAGTATTAATAATAATAATGATAACTGACAACATACAATAACACATACATGGCAGCTGATATTACGCAGTAAATCCAAGGATGAAGAATAGAGGCTGTGAAGAGCTTCCACTAAACAAGATGAGATGTAGTTGACATTTATGGAAACATTAATTATAATGATGCCAATGAAAAATACCAGAGGGTCTTGTGGAAAGATGGTCGAGGCCATACATCTCTTTGTAACAAAGAATGTGTACCAAAATCTGAATATTTTGAAAAACTCATTGCAATAATTTTCGCTATGAAATAGTCAACTAATTTAATCTTGTGGAAGATATGTAAAGTGATGATTACACTACCTCAGGACCGTAGAAATCGTTAACAATTTTACTGAGATCTTTCAATTTATTGCTTTCATCACAAGATGCTTTTTCAAACAAAATCTGAGCAACATTCTGTGAAACGACAATAAAGCTTTGCAATGCAAGTCTTAATGACGTCAAAATACGATGGCAAAAATATAAACCAGCAAGTGAATGCCATTAATTCTGTATAAATTTTGCTCTAAAAAACGTATTTTATTTCAAAAAATTGCACAATACCTTTAAAATTTCTGTACAAGATTCAACATCAAATTTCTGGGCATTACAACAATTTTGAAGTTGCATAAAATGTTTTGGAATATCGTATAAATTCAATCTTTTGTTAACCAATTCGAAGAAATTTGGATTTCTCTACATCCAATAAGAACATATGAAACAATTTGTTAGTAAATAATCAAATATCTTGGGATATTAAAATATCAAATTAACAAACAATAAAATATGTATTTTACCCTAAGTATTTCACATCGACGTCCATACTGTCTTGATTGCAAACAATGAAAAATATTCTGCGATTTAACTTTCTTCATTATTCATCAACTAATGCAAATTTTGAAACACCAATAAATATTCTCCTTCATTTATTTTTCGACAAATTCTCGCAAACTGCTGCAGCCATGGAATGCAAAATGAACATAGGACCACTTCAATTTCCACTTTCAAGTGCCATACATTTTTATTTCACTAAAACCACACAACCTTTAATAACCAATGAAATTGTTTGAAACAAATGAAACATGCGATTTAACCAATCAGAGAACGACTTAAGATCATTCTAGCTTCAGAGATGTCTCTGATGTCTCTACTTACGTCGCCATTTACAAAACTTGATGTCCATTTTATTAAAAAATAGAAAACTTGGGGGAAACATCGTTGGCATAAAGTTTCACTATTCGAAAATTGTAATTAAAATCAACGCACTATTTTAGTAGTGTGTATTTTGAAATTATAAAATCAAAGACGGACGCTTGCGGTGTTGGCGTAGTGACCATACAATACGTGATGACAAGAGAACTAGGAAGCAGCTTTGGAAAATGAATTCTAGAAAAGTCTAGCTACACTGCTACAGCACACAAATTCATAAAATAAGGATAGATTTATTTTACACAGCAAGTTACATAAGTATACACATCAATATGTAAGAACTGTTCTTTGTACAAAAAACTGATCAAGGTTGAAGTTTTCGAGCCAAAAACTTCCCATTTTAAAGTCATGTAGTACGATAAGAATATAAAATATGTATTTTATATACACAATACAATTTTAAAATAAATCAATTTTTGTCATTGGTAGTTTTCTTCATTTTAAATTTTAAGCCTGCATAAAATAAAAAATTAAAAGTTATGGAAAGAAAAAGTGAAAAAAATTATTAATGAATAGGTTTTAGCAATACCTTAGCTTTATTCTGTTGAACAGGAAGATACAGTTTAAACTCAGCAGGTAATTCATCTTCAGAGTATAATCTGTCGGAGAAATATACTCGGCGAATACGACAATTGGCATGGATCTAAAATAAGAAAATACAAACTTGGTGATATTTTATAATTAACTCAAGTCATTTGAACAATGTCTCACCTGAACTCTTAGTGTTTCAATATAGTTGGTACCATATGCCCTCCTTGTAAAATCTGACAGATTAAACTTTAAAATAAAGATATTATTAAAATGACATTTGCATGCTAACCTCCCTCACCCACCAACAAAAGAGGTCTACATTTGCAAATAAATTTGATGATGCAATCATAATTGCTTTATTTTGTTGTATATTTACATGCATATTATAACTATTTTTCTATTACTATTCGGCCTACAAACAGTTAATGTAACGCTAAAGTGGATGTCATCATATATGTAACATAAATTTAGAAATTATTTATGTTCATAATCACAAATAAAAAAATTACTTGTATCTGGTTCCAACCATCATCCAATCTCATGGGCATTGTACAAATAAAAGGTTTAACTCGAGTTGTCGACTGGTAATTTGAGGCTCTAAATCGTCGACGTACATTTTTATCATCAAGGACCTGGTATATGTCAACAAAAATATATCTTGGCAACCTCATAACATCAAACGCAAATAAACTTTGAATTAAAGATGTTCATGAAAATATGTTCTCAGAAATTAAATTATGCCCTTATATCTCACCTGTACTTCAAAGGTAAAATATTTCTTGAGATTTTTTATGATCATAACAAGAAAAGGTAATTTTATGGCAAGAGTCTTGTTGGCTTCTGCTGGGCATGTTATAAATGTTGTGCTGCAACAAAAGAAAAGTCTTTTAAAGCAATAATAAAAATAAAATACAGTATTTGCTATACAAAGTTGAAAATATGCAAAACATTTCACGTAACGGGATATTAACATGAAAATATTCTTTGAAAAATCCCCAAAATTACAGGTCGCGTAACAATATGTAGTAATGTAGATAAATAGGAAATACCCACCTTACGTTTGTACCTACTATTTCTAAAACTAAAGACTGTATATCGTTATCAGTAATTCTTTTTATGTGACCGTTTCGAACCTGAAAGAAAACGCAAAGAAAATTTCTTATCATGCATTCAAAAATTAATTAACTGGAGCGTCAAACGTGGACAAAGGACCGCGATCACTTCATACAAACCAACCTTTTTCTCCCATATTTGAAGTGGTTTACTCCCGATACTGTAGAGAATGGATAGAAATCCGGATTGGAAAGTATTTTTGAACATATTTACCGATGAATAAAAAAGGAAAAGTGAATTTTCGTTGACGTTTATCAACTGTTCAACACCGTTAGCCTGCTGTGGGTTTCCAAGTCACGCTGTTTGCACTCGTTGTTACTAAGCAACACATAAAAGCCCGCGAAATTAAACAGATACTTGACTATCTTATACTTTGTGTAAGGCAACTTACACTTCAGTAAATACATCATGGAACATATAATAATTTAATTTTTCTATTATTTTCATAAATTTACAAAATTAAGAATAAAATATTTGAATAAACAATCACGTTCTCTGAGCTTCGTGTCTTTCATTCTTAAACCATGAATCAGTCGATGTATGTAACTGTATTTGTTTCCACATTTTTCTGTAGGTTTTTAATGCCATCTAAAGGAAAGAAAGTTATTTATGCAGTAAAAAGAATATTGAAAGGATTATTTATTTTACCTCAGCAATTTCCACTTTTCTTTCCCACATTTTCACAGTTTTATTGAGTTCATAGAGACTAGCTCTCTCTCTAACATACTCTAAAACCTGCACATCAGTAAGTTAAGGTGAATACACAAAAGTCAGAATTTATATAAAACGAACAAGAAAACACTACAATACCTGAGGAACTTTATAGTCATTAAGTTGCTGCCTCCGTCTTTGATTTAACTCTAGTGCTTTTACTCGTTCCTACAGGGGAAAAATAAGGTCAACACTATTCACTGGTAAAGCAATGAACACTCTCCCTACACTCACTCACTCTTTAAAAGAAAATTAAACATTCTTATGAAACCTTTTCAACAAGTTGTGTTTCCACATCAATTTTTGAAGAAAGCTCACTTCTTGAAGCTATTTCATGCTTTAATTGAGCCGATTCTTCTGTGAGGCTGTGCAATTTTTTCTACAAGAAATATGATAGTGAAAATAAGAATGAAAGAAAGAATGTAAAAACAATTATAAAGTGTACCTTGTAAGTATTCAAAACTTGAAGTACATTTCCCGCCATAAGTTTAAGTCTCAAGAGATCTTTATTTCTGTCGTCAATTTTTTCTAAATACTGCTGATTTTCAATCTTCAGTTGATTAAAATCTACTTCATGCAAAACTTCTCCCATTTCTTCCTTCTGTAAAGGCAATAACATACATAAAATGATGATTTCAAAGAGGGAGAAACTGAAGAATGGTATTTATAGACCTGCTTCAGTTGCATTTGTAACTTTTTCTTCTGGACACGAAATGTTGAGTTCTTCAATCGTAGTTTTTCAATGAGAGTATCCTACAATAATGTAATGAAATCTCTGTATCAGTTCTGTACAACATAATCCTCATATGGTACATTCAATTTAGGGAAGTCCTTACTCTGTTTCTTATCTTATCTTCAAAATATCGAACAACTTTCTCAGCTATGATCTTGTTTGTTCTCTAAAACCAAGAAAATATTCAAGCAACATATGTCATCCAATTTTGAACATTACTAAATAACATACTAAATTTACAGATCCTTGGACAATATCTCTGTTAAACTCATAACATGATTTCTTCATTTCTGCAGTCTGGAGATCTGCTTCTTCCATGATTGCCTACACACAATCAAACTTGATCAACAAAAATTTCTAGTCCTCCTTTTTCATTAATTATAATCACCTTGTAGTTATCAAGAATCTTTTCGGAACTATCCCTTAGTTTTTCCATTTCCTCTTTCAGTTCCTCTAGTTCTCTTTGCGCAATATCACATTTTTGTTCAGCAGTAAGCTTTAAACTTCTGCAAACATGTCAAAAAGCATATTTATTTATTCATTAAAATCAAGGAAAGAAAAAGTATTACTTATCAACAGATAGTCCTCTAGATCTTGTCCGTTTTTTGAATGTTCGAGAAGTTGTTTGTTCTTGGACAGTCTGCACAAACATGGCACCTTAAAACATACAACATATCTAATTATCTAAAGAAAATTGTAGCATTTTAATGATTGGAGAACCATCAGAACAATATGGATTCTTTGGGTGTTCTGGGGGTACATGTGTTTATACACTTACTTGTACTAGCACCATATTTGTTATCCACTCTTTTTAGATATTTTTCGAACATATTTGCTTCATTTTTCAGTATGCTGTTTGCTTGCCTCAAAGAAATATATATATGTTTGTATGATAATGGTGTTATTGGTACATGGACAAATCACAAATATATACTTGGCAAACGACGTTGACTCGTTTAAAATGATATATTTCATAATAAATACTTACAATGTTTCTTCTACAAGATTATATAATTCCTCGTCGGTTAATTCATCAACTCTATCTTCGTTTTGATCAATTGAGCTACTGATATCTACATCAGACGCCGCCATACTTCTTGTTTCTAAATATAGTAACCATGACAACATTTGAATCCCAAGCCCCCACTCCAACTCCATCAGCGCGCGAACGTTCATGTTACGTTTATGTGCAGTGTATAATTCAGATTATAATTTTTATACTTGGAATCCTTCAACAAAGAAGGCATCCTATTATTTGAAATGAAACTTGTACAGTAAGTTACTTTACTTTTATGAGTTATTTTATAATTTGGGATTTTTTAAAATATTTGTGGAAATATTTTACTTTAGTTTATCTAATCAATCTTACGTCAACTTTTGTAGGTTTTTAATGAAACTTAGTCATGAAACAGTGACCATAGAGTTAAAGAATGGCACGGTTATACACGGTACAATTGCAGGTAACATTGCCTATATAATAAATATGCATAACAACATTTTCATATTAGGTAAAGTCACTGAACTTTTTTAACTATTATTACAATTCATTAAATTGTAAATTTTTCAGGTGTTGACATGAGTATGAACACTCACTTGAAAACTGTTAAAATGACAATCAAAAACAAAGATCCAGTTCAACTAGACAGTTTAAGCATTCGTGGTAACAATATACGTTATTATATCTTGCCTGAGAGTCTACCGCTTGACACATTATTGGTTGAGGAGCCACCACGAGCCAAAGGAAGGAAACGTGAAGCCAGTATGTAGTGTCAACTATGTATATATTACTTTTTTTCATGGTTCACAATTTTGTCTTTGTTTTTAGTGGCATTAGGTCGTGGCCGAGGACGAGGTAGAGGACGGGGAAGAGGAGGTCCTAGAGGAAGAGGTCGTGGACGTAGATAGGATGTGGAGTAAAAACAGTAGTATTGTTAAATATTCATAAATGTTCCACTGTACACAATGACTCAACCCAAAAACATAGCATTTTGCAACAACAACATGAAAGGACCTAGGACATTTTGTTTTTGTGTAATATATCAGGTTCAACTTAAACTTTTCATACACTGAATAGGTTGACATTGTGATGTAGAAACTAATTCAGTGTGTTTTTATTATAATATTTTCTGTTTATTTCATTGTGAGAAGATCTCTGTCAGTGTATTATTAAAATAATTTTCATAGTGCAACATAAAATACAACCTGTTTATTTACACGACTTTTCAATAATTACACAATGGTCATCATAAGACCAAACATTCTAAATGGCATTAGTGTCTGTTCCATTTTCGTTTTCTAGCAAGGCTTGGATTGAACTGTGAATAATAACTATGTAGATAGAAAAAGTTTTTGATACATTTATACATATGTACTAAAAAACCATAATATCTGTTTTACCTGTCTTTATAAGGATCATCTTCAATTGGTTTTCCTTCTTTTTGCTCTCTGAGAAATTTTTCTGATCTTAGTTGTTCTTCTTTTTCACGTTTTACTCTTTCTGCTCTTAATTCTTCAATTGTTTTCTTTGACCTTGATTTCTAAAAGCCATAGTTTCTGATAACAAGAATTTCTTAGGAATGTGGAAAATTTCAAGAAATACCTTGGACATTTTTTCTTGTTTCTTTCTTTCTGATCTCTTTGAATAATTTTTTTTTGTTTGATCCAAGAAAGAATTCATCTTCATCAATGGGTCCATTCTCTGTTTATTGTCGACATCTTTCTGACTAAGAAACATTAACTCCATAATCATTTTACAATATCATGAGATATTTCTATTGTTGTTAACCTTTCTCCTTTGTTGTCTTTTCTACGTTTTTCAGTGTACCAAGGTTGTTCATCTGCATCAATACATGTTAGCAACAGTAATGAGTTATCAATATATGTTCTAAGTAATGTAACAATTTGATTTTGGAAACAAAGAAAAAACCCCATAAAATCTAAGGTTAATACCGCCCAGAAGATTAAAAGTAAGTGAAAAATAATTTGCTGCAACTCATACCAAAAATTTTGTTCAGTAGAAATTTCAAAGGCTTTTCATGTAATAACTTTATTAAAACTAGATCCATCACTGATCAATATTACAATAAGGGACACTTCAATTTTCTACACAGTTGATTATGTCAAGCAACACAGGTAAAAAATTTCAAAACCTTTAGTTACACCTTCACCAAGATATTTTAACACTCCCAAAGCTTTTTCCTTTTTTTCTTGTTCAGCTTTTTTATCGAGCTCGTAATCTTTATTTGTTGCCACATTCTGTCAAGTCAGTTGAAATATCAAATTTCATTCAGCCAATGTCATCATAAACTAAACAAAGGATATATCTTACCCCAGAAAAACTGCAGTCAAAGAGATTTATGGATTCACGTTGACGTGTCTGTTGTGAAACCGTCTCTTGTGTCTGGAAAGATTCTTTAACCCTATCTCTGAGCAATTTTGTCCTGGCTTCTTGCTCCTGGAATATTTGAAATTAGGTATGTGCTATTCATTTGATGTGATATTACAGTATTAAAACTATATTCACGATTATTACCGCTAAGGCTGCTCTTTGGAGACGTTTTTCTTCTTCAAGTCTGGCATTTTCTTCATCTCGGCGTACCCGTTCTATGTTATCTTTATTTCTCACATGCCAACTGCACAAAATAATTACATCTTTTAACACAACTCTTTAAAGCACGGTAATATGAAAGACATCATACCTCTTTTTTGGTAAAATATTCATCGCAAATTCTTACTTTTTTTATCATATAAAAAGGCTCATGACAAGAGTTTTGACGCCCACGGTGTATAGTGTTAAGCGACTATTAACAATTTTCACAATACTTCGTGCAATATTAGTGAGATCGTTATATTTGTCACATATTTGGTAATAATTCCATGTTCTACATACACCAATATACACAGAAACTTTATGGAATTTCTTTATGAGACGTCATCTATACCCCGTAATCAACAGTCATAGTCTGTAATCAACAGTCATACCCCGTAATCAACAGTCATACCCTGTCATACCACGTTTCCTGTGTATATTGGTGTATGTAGAACACGGAATTATTACCCATATTTGTGCCGTAAATTTTCAACATGGCGCAAATATCAACCGCAATTTCTGACTTTGTACTAAGTGCAGTTTCATTTTATGGTGCGAGCTTCCTTGCCAGGAGTTATGTACATGCTGCAATTGGTTTTTTGTTGATAGCATTTGCTGCAGGCTCAGGAGCAATCCGCTTTCTTGACATTGTATCAAGTAAAAAAATGATCACTGAATTACACGACAAAGCATCATGGTTTGCAGCTATTCTTGGTAAGTCAAAGGTTCGTTTGTTTCCTGGTCTATTTTATCATTGATATGTGCAATATTTACTACTTTGTTAGGAATTCCACTTATTGCAACGTCATTTTGTGTCAAGTACGGAGTAAAGAATTATTTAAATATACACTTAATAAGTTCTACATTTGGAATTATTCTCTCATCACTGTTCCCAAAACTGAAAGATGTGTGTACTCAATGTGTTTCAACATTAGCAATGTTTCATATCATGATATTGAGTTTTCAAGTTAAAAACATAGTTGCAATTGCTGCTGTCATTCTCTATGTGATTGCAGTTGTAGTGTTTGGAACTTCTGGGAACATGATGGGATATCGTAATGTTGATATCTTTCATTATATTTTAGTTCTAGCAAATTATACTTTTATTAAAGCTTTGATGAAATATTAAAGCTTAATGTCTTAATATTCCACCCACAAACACTCATTAATAAATATTTTGTAAAGAACTTTGTAAAATATAGTGTTTCATACTTCCAATAAAATAGAATGTTTTTACTGTCAAATTTTTAAAATACAACTCTGATGCTTTACAATGCCAATAAAACATATTTTTACCATTAAACTTAGTAACTCTATTATTATGACTTTCCTAAAAACATGACAAGCCTTACTGGTACAATTCTTGCAGCAAGAAGTTTATTCATGTCAATATTTTTTGATATGGGTAAATTATGCTCAAGAGATTCTGTACTGTCTTGAGTAAATTCATGTTGAAATATCGTAGGTTCAATATCAACATCTCCTAATGGACTTCTTACAAATACAAACTTCACAAATATATCACTCCTTGTTGAGAGAATTAGCTGAAAAGTGAAACTGCGTGTTACACAATTTTCATTACCCACAATTTGAGACTTAACCATCCAATCTTTTCCAAATGAAGAAAAACGAGTACTTTGATAATACAACTGAGGAAGGTAATCATCTGACCTTCGTGGTTGTAGTTGGAGATCTATGAAATTAAGTGCAATAAAGCTGAAAAAAACAAGTAACTTAAGAGATATATTACTAAATATCTTACCATGTATGCATGTTTTACCATAGGAAAGAAGGGCAAATAATGACCGATACAAGTCTAATCTGTTCTCTTCTTTTCTTGATAACTTTTCCAGTCCTTCCATGATTTCAAAGCCGGTCTTTCTTGCTTCTGCACATTTTCCTTCATGTTCAGTAACAAACTGTGCAGCACCTTGCCAAACACATCCTATTTTCTTGTATTTACATGAGACCACTCTTTGAAAATAGAGTGAAATATACTAGGGACAAATACAACAAATATTAAATCAATATCATAGAATGCTCACCTTTTAACACATTGTTCATTTTCATGTTTGTCAACGTAAAATCGTGGGAGCAACTCATTGCAAAACTTGCATTCTATTGGTAATTCTGACACAGCCTTTTCAACAGCTAAGTTACGTATACATAGTGATTCTGTAATATCAGTTCGACAATTTGGACAAGATGCCATTTCATTTCTCAATCTAGCATCAGCTAAGAGATGGCTAAGACAACCCACACACATTAGATGACCATTTGCACACTAATAAAAGAAAGTTCATCTTACGTTAATGTTTAGTAAAGTATACCCTCCGAACCTGCAGGCTGTACATTGTAACATCATTAAACATCATTGGAAATGTACATTTTTCTAGTTTATCAACCTGTTTACAGGTGAAAAAATCACAAATATTATAGACTTCGTTAAACGATTCTTGCCTAAATGTTTTCTTTCAGCAAGTTGATTAAAATAATAAGTTATTTGGTTGGATTAATCTTGTCTTTTGACAAAACAATAAAAATATATATCTTACTTGAAGAATCGAGCTTTTTGGAAGATCCAAACAAACTGTACATCTAAGGACTAGAGATAAACGTTTCTCAAGCTTCTCAAATGCAGCATCCGAGCCTGACGTCTCACCAGTTTGCAATTCTTGATCACTGTTCGACGTCAAACAGACTTTTTTAGCGACTGGTTCACTGCAATCTTCGTTCCTATTTACATTCATGAGTATTCAGAATTTACACAACTTCTGTCAGTTGTGTCCTTTGCTTTGTTTACAAATTATACATGCTATTGTTAAGTCATCGCCGAAAAAAGATGACGTAATTTTTACATTGACCAATTAAAATACGACCACATTCATATTGCATCACATGGCATTGTGACGCAAATTATTATAATTTATATTACTTTCAATTCAAAGTTGTTCGTCATGGTCAGACAGAGTCCTGTACATCCACATGCAATGATCTTGAAACAGAATTATAGAGTAATGATTGTCACCATTCAGATAAAATCCATGCCGCAGGTCTCTCCATGTAACTGGACTGTCACTAAAACCCCATATTGTGACATTCAACCAAGGGATATCAGGGTTTTTTTTCAGTAGATCTCTGAAAGAAACATGGTTTTAGAAACAAGAATGCATGAAAATCCAATGTGAATACAATACCTTGCAAACTTAAGCACATTTTGAACACTATGAGATGAAATAAAGCCAATCCATGTGGAAAGAACAACCTGTTGACAAGAATTTGGTTCTGGAGATGATAATGTGTTTAAGTAACTATCTGGTGATGATTGTGAGCTAAAAATGAGATAAAACAAAATGAAGTAATTCATTACATAACTTGAAATGCCAATACAACTTACCAATCAACATTACATAGAACACATCCCAACCATTCATGAAATTCCAAGTAATTACACGTAGCAGAAATGTCAAAGAATGACTCATCATGAAATGAAATAGTTGGAACATCAATATTATTAAAGTTTTCTACATAGTGTTCACAATGAAATGGCTGTGAAATTATGCCACGTGATTTGAGGTATGATTGTAACTTCTCACCATATTCACTTTCTGCAAAAATGATGTAATTATGTTAACTGCTTTCAATAAACAAATTGAATTTACTCAAAAAATTCTTCATATTTACTATCATCAATTGATCTCTCCGAAAACAAAAATTCAAACTTCAATCCTGTTTTTTGAAATGCTTTTAAAACCCTCTGGTAAAATTTCTTGCTTGGTTCAAAGTAGGACTCATTAACATCAATTACAACATCTAAATAATTTGATAAAAATAACCAAGATCAATGAAATCAAACAAGACCAAAATTAACCCACTAATTACAAATTGCACTACCAAATTTTGGATTATTCTTGAATGGAGATGGTTTTCCCTGGAGACCAAGGCATTCATATGTATCTTTTGTCAATGAAAGCCAAATAATACCTAGAAAGAAAAAATAAATTTGGTTACAAATACCATAAAAGAAGAGAACTTTGATTTATTCAATAAGGTATAAAGTAACCACAAAAAATTACATTATGCATTTAAAAGATACTATGACCTGTTGGTAATAAAGCAACACAATCCTCTGTATCAATCTTAGTTTTATAACTGAGAGCACTCACTACGCCTAAACAGAGAAAATACATAGCATAAAACACTTTTGTTCAATATAAATTGACAATGATGAAATAATTTATTTACCTCTCCTAAGAAATTGGGACAAAAATTTTGGATTGATAATTTCCAAAAGGGTTGTAACAGCAAGGCAGCATGATTCTGAGAACAGAGATGACTCTGAGATTTGATTCACAAATTTCTGCTTGGATAATGTTGGCACAAGTAGCCCAATCTTTAGGAAACAAAGTGAAATGAATATCTTGTCACAGAGTTGAAATATATAATAGTTCTCATTCATCGCAACAGATGTGAAATGCAAGATAATTTTTAATTACTCTATAAAACTTACAGAAAAATTGAAATGGTGGTCTAAAATTCTTTTAAGAAATTTGTTCTCATCTTCTTTACCAAAAAACTTCTCAAACGTCATTCGTCTTTTTGCAATATTTCCCGCCATATTTGAAATACTGATAAAAATCATCACGTGATATATACAAGTTTAAAAATTAGTAATCCAGGAACATTAATATAGAAAAATAAAAGTTTCTATATATTTACAACTAAAGAAAAAGAACAGATTGAGAAGAACTACAAATAACACCAACTTATGAAAATAAGTAATCCTGAAATCACCTTATAATGAATACTACTGTGAACAAAGAAAAACGAGTCCAAATAACACAAGTCTGACTTGCTTGTCCAGCTTCTTTTTATGCCCAATTAAGTTTGCATCAGTTTTCAAAAAGCTTACAATGTGTCCACCATCGACTGAATTTGTCGGTGAGGTCTATATTACAGTGAGTGACGAACCAGACATTAATGAATGGTAGACTGAACACCAAAGTATCTTTTGCAGTTTTCGTCCTCTATTCAAGTCACTGTTCAAGTACATAAATGTCTTTGTTCGCTTTCATAAGTCAAGAAATATAACACACTCTATTACCGCTTTTTAATTAGCAACGATTAGTTAAAAGATAAGAATGGAAACAAAGGGAGTCATTTACAGGTGAGTGCAAATAGCAAGAATAAATTTCCTTTTCTATTTTTTGGGGAAAAAGGATGAAAATGGAAATGTGGTGTGCGGTCGTTTGCAGACGATGATAAAAAAGCATTACACAGCTGAATTACGGAATACTAATCTCTTATATGGATTGTAGACAGAATGAATTGGTCTAAAGGAATACTTCTATTTAGATGGGGAACGATGAATTTTATTGTTCACTTGAAGAGAAGCCGGCTCTTCTTTCTTCGAGTGGATCGGGAATCCAACCCAATAACCATACAATCCTCGCTGCAGGTCCCAGGCATGGCCACCCTTTTTTGTTGTTCTTTAGAGTGATTCTCTAAAGATGAGGGAAACCGGCGTATCGCCGGAGGAAAACCCTCAGAGATCCAACAAGCTACGAAAGCCGGTCGATGGATACACATTACTAGAGATCACCTCATCTATTTTTACCTGTTATCTTTACAAAAAAGGACATTTACTCATAATTTTAAGGCCTTAATTATGCTTACAGGATTTAATTAGACTGCCTTTATCTTTACAAGGTTGTTTAAAAGAGGTGATTTATAGGCAATATGCATCCTTCAAAAAAAACCCGAAACCAGCTCCATTTTTTACGTCTTTTTTAGACGTACGCCATTTTTTACGCCATTTTTACACCGCTTTCAGCTGCAGCATTTTTTCCTATGCGCATCCTTAACTAAACCCTGTTGATCAGTGGCATGAAATAACCGATTTGAACATAAACCTATGAACTGCTTCAAAATCTCATAAAAACATACCTTTGAACGATGAGACACCTGTAAAGCAACGTTAGTACCCGAGCCGAAAGGGAACCTAATGAATAGGGAACCGCCTCCCTGGGCCCTCATACATTACCAAACGGCGTGCCAGCCAATCCTTCTTGTGTCCAACACTCGATCACCTAGGTACCAATTTGGCACCGTTTACTATTATTCCTACCTGGAACTACACTAAATGTATCGAATTAGGTCGCCTCTCTATCAAATCATCTTCCATGCATAAAATAGATGAAGACGTTCGACTTGATTTCGAGACGAGCAAACCCGATTCATCATGAATAAAATTATCTTCCGGCTCTGACTTATGTTACTTCAAGTTAAATAACAGCGAGTGATTTAACTTGGACATGCCACTGCCATATAACATTGATTTTGCTAGCTGTTTAGCAAAAACAATGCCGGGTTTCATGCACCTATTCTGTTTTGCTGTTTATTAGACCAATAAGACATTGTTTGTTGTATATTCCTCTTGATGATGCAAATCACTCATTTTTTTATACAAAAATTTGTTTTAAACATGTTGACTTGTAGCTATTTTTTCTTTTTCCCATGTTTGAGAGACATTTTAAGTTTTGCATGGTTCAAAATTTAAACAATTCAAAGGTTAAAAGTGTTGATTCTGATGAAGCATCATCAAGCAAGAATATTTCTGACTTTTATAATTTTAAATAAATTTAATTTGCGCTAAGCGGTTTGCATGCCAGATTGCACCATGTTTCAGACCGAAATTTTCTTTTTTGTAAAATGCTATCTATGATTCGGATTTCGAAATTTTTTAGCGCGCTTTAATTCGCGCATTTAGATTTTTAATGTTTATTTATAGAATCGTGAATACTAGAATTGAATACAACTTTTTATGAACTAATACACACGACCAAAACTCAAAGAAACCCATGCTTATTTCTTTGAACTGAGGATCGTGTATCCTGGTGATCAAATGTTGTACACCGTTTTTGCTGTTTTAAGAACATCTTAGCTTCAATGATAAACTTACTTTGCACGATATCGGCAATATAAGATGTATCATTATTTGCAGGAGCCGGAGACTGCAAGATCTGCGCCATGCACAAAACTGAAAAAAAAACACCAACAGGAATTAAAAGAACTACTAACTTTGTCATATAACTCAGCCAATGTTCAGTCATCTTCCTGTTAGTACTGATCACCAGGATTTTAACTAAAACACCACAAACCTAAAACGTCGTATTCAGTCTTCATTCGTAGATTAAGGTAATCCTCCTCAAATGATAAATCCCCAGGATTTATACCATTAAGTCCACGACAATGACGATGTTTATCCACAAAAAAACGATGATAGAAATCCATAATATTAACCATAACGTAATCCACGACAGCCTTGTGTCAATTTACGATGACAATGATTGTGATCAACGACAACTTTGATTTAATCCGCCACAAATATGATGTAGTATATGAGTATAATGTGCCACCGTTGTATTCTTTCATAACTACAAAACAAATGAAAAGTTTTAAGGTAACACAAAATTCTTCAACATTTACGTTTAAAACCGTTATGGGCAAAAATGTGACATAATACCCGTTATTAATGATGCACTGAGAGCTCATCATCGAACTCCAATAATCTTAAATTTTACTGTGAAAACTTATGAATTCTCTGTAGCTTAACACTATTCAGTGCGAGAAAGTTCTTGCAAGACAAAATGTTACCAACAAATAACATTACACACTTGTAGACGTAGATTTACCGGGCTAGTATAGTCTTCAAAAGGAATACTGGTGTCATTATTCCCTGACGTTTCGACAACCTTAGCGGCAGTCATCTTCAGGTTCAAGTGACAAGTGAATATGGGAAGTGAGAAGTACACGTTTACCTCTCGCTTCAAATTGAACTCTGAAGATGACTGCAGCTAAAGTTGTTGAAACGTCAGAGTCAACATTAACATCAACACCTTAGTTAGCAAATTCAAGTGTCAAATACTACTCACCTATATTTAATTTTCCACGTAGTGTTGGGATCTATACCATTGATTGTTTTAATGTTCCCATCATACAACGTTACACCCGTCTTGTCTTGATTCATAATTGGACTAACCACCATAATTTATGAAATTAGGTGTGCGTTTTGAACCCATGTTCGTGTAACACAATGTCAAATTGTTTTTGAAGTCAAATAGCAAAATTTTTTTTAACTCTAAGCCAATGTTTGATTATTTTCCTGTTAGTGTTGATCAAATGGACATTAGAGCATTGCTTTTGAAACGTCATCGTCAGTCTTCATTCGTAGATTAACGTAATATAACCCAAGATTAGTTTGACAAGATCCACGACAACCACCATGTAATCCACGAAAGCCACGATATAATCCATGAAAGCCATGATAAGATCCACGAAAGCCACGATATAATCCACGAAAGCCATGATATAATCCATGAAAGCCATGATAAGATCCATGAAAGCCACGATATAATCCATGAAAGCCATGATAAGATCCACGAAAGCCACGATATAATCCACGAAAGCCATGATAAGATTCACGAAAGCCACGATGTAATCCACGAAAGCCACGAAAAAATCCACGACGACCAGAATGCATTTCACAACTACCATGTTGTAATTGATATAATAAACCACCATTGTATTGGTCCTTCGCTACAAAACAATTAGATTCAAAAGATTCAAAATAACACGAAGGTCTTTCAAAGTAACAAAAATAGCGTTGTATTCGATAAAAAAGCCTCTTGACAAAGTCCATGGCTTTTTCAAATTCTGTGTCATCTTATCCCAAATATAGCCTAACTAAAGACTCTAATACAACAACTCAAATTGTACTTGGGAGATTCTTAAAAGTTAAACGTTGAGCAATCTTTATCCACGAATTGCCAACTCATCATGTAAGAAGCTTTGCAGAAACTTCAGATAGTGATCAAGTACAAACGATATTTACAAAAAAAAACGTGAATACCTGTAGATTCGTCGTCATAGGCAACAAACTGCCTCTCCTAAACGTTCAGCAGTGGAGAAGGTGGTTTTGTTTAAAACAAATCTCTGAAATTAAAAATTATCAAAATATTATTACATTTATCTACCTGAAACGACCACTTGTTACCTTACTAACAGGTTTATTCCTGTCAATAACCACTTACCAAAATACTTGTGATGTGCATAGCAGCGTGGTCATTCCGAAAGATGATTTGTTTCCATAAAGAATTTGAAGTTTACCATAACTGTTAGAAAACTTTCACACAATGTCATCATTCGTACTTTCATCATTCAGGATATTTCAGCATAAGAAACCACAATTGAACAAAGCCAAATAACTTGCGTTATCATATGCATGCTTTTTCTCTGAAATTCAGTGGCACAAATCTAAGTCAATTTTAGTGATAAGACCGTACATCAAATAATTTTAATCTTACCTGACATCCATTCTTCGCTTTGCACCGGATGCAGCATCTCTAGAGATTTACTTGTGCACACTTGGTCAAAAGTCACATGCAAGTAAAAACAACGACAAAGACAACTTTTCAAAGCTAGGCTATTCATGCATGTTTGTCTAAATTAAGTTGGGCAATAACATATTGAGTTTAAGGTAAGTTATAAAAGACAATTAAATCATGCCAATCACGTTAGAAAATGCAACCCACAAATAGAAAGCAATAAGTACTAAAGGTTACATCTGCCACAAGAAGTCTTCAAACGTCATGCATGAGGTAAAGTGTCGTGCAACGTGTTTACAAATATTGTTATAGAGCTCGTGAAATCTATATCTTCTATCAGTTTATCTTATTTTTTCCCACATGATTGCTGTCATCTGTTTTGCATTACTTCATCTTAGTTTTCTTCACAAGATTCGTATGGTGACACTTTCTATTGCTAGTGCCATTTCGATTGTTTTGTCTTGAACAATTACATCTTATTTGTTTAATAAGATTGCTGTCATCTTTGTCTTTGATTTCCTTGTTTGATTCTTTTTTTAATATTTTTCATTCGATCTTACACCTCATGCATTAATGACGCTCACACAAAAGAAACGCTAAAAAACAGCGAACGTTGCTGACCTCTTAAGTATCGTTCATCATCCCTTACAACGGAGCAATGCGCTTCAAAGAATTAATAAAGCACCTCAACAACGGAAGACGCTGCGCGCGCTGGCATTCGATGAAGCACCTCGACAACGGAAGACGCTGCGCGCGCTGGCATTCGATGAAGCACCTCGACAACGGAAGACGCTGCGCGCGCTGGCATTCGATGAAGCACCTCGACAACGGAAGACGCTGCGCGCGCTGGCATTCGATGAAGCACCTCGACAACGGAAGACGCTGCGCGCGCTGGCATTCGATGAAGCACCTCGACAACGGAAGACGCTGCGCGCGCTGGCATTCGATGAAGCACCTCGACAACGGAAGACGCTGCGCGCGCTGGCATTCGATGAAGCACCTCGACAACGGAAGACGCTGCGCGCTGGCATTCGATGAAGCACCTCGACAACGGAGGACGCTGCGCGCGCTTGCATTCGATGAAGCATCTCAACAACGGAAGACGCTGCGCGCGCTGGCATTCGATGAAGCACCTCGACAACGGAAGACGCTGCGCGCGCTTGCATTCGATGAAGCACCTCGACAACGGAAGACGCTGCGCGCGCTTGCATTCGATGAAGCACCTCAACAACGGAAGACGCTGCGCGCGCTGCAAAAGTCGATGAAGCACCTCAACAACGGAAGACGCTGCGCTTGAAAGAAAAGATTAAGGACCGCAACAAAGGAAGACGCTGCACATGCACTTATAGATGAAGCATCTCAGCTATAGAAGACATTGCACTTGAGTTGATGAACGTCCCAAACAACGAAAGTTCTGATCTTTTGTGCATTCCTAAATGGCACACTCTCGTGTTTTCTTGTTCTAGTTCTAGAATTTTCTTGTGCTAGTGAACTTGCGGTTATCAAAGTAATCTCTTTGATGTAATGTTAACTCTTCAATGGCTTTCTTTACTGTTCTCGACATCTTGCAATAATACTTGAACCTTTTTTTTTCATAAAGATATTTACAACAATATTTATAACTTACTAGGAAATAGTGGGCAAATGAAGACTTCAAGTGGCTGACGTAAGGAAATATATAATATTTACTTTTGTTTCGAGAATAAATTTCTTCCAATGAATTGTTTCTTTTGATATCTTACAAATTTCAAAAGAAAGTCGTATAGACTTCTTTGTTTGCTTTTGAACGTCGATTTCATATTAATCGTTCACAACAATAATTTTAACTCATTGACTAATAATCCTTACCCTAAACTCAGCAGCAGTTAGTTTTTGTAAACTATACATTTACATTTGTTTCATGAGTAGATTTTTTTGCAGTGAATGATTCTTTAGATATTTTATAAATTTCAAAAGAACGAAGTCGTATGGACTTCTTTATATACATGCCATTAAATGTCGACTTCAGACAGGTCGTTCACAACAATTGTCATTGACTTGCATATTTAACCAAAATTGTAGGCAAATGAAAACTTCAAGCTTCAAGTGTATAGACAAGGACAATATGTACAAAACATGTATTTTTGTTTCACGAAGAGATTTTTTTCAGTGAAAGTTTCTTTTGACATCTTACACATTTCAAAAAAAAAGAAAGTCTTATAGACTTCTTTATACAAATGCCATTGAATGCTGATTTCGAACAGATCGTTCACAACATTTGACATTGACTTATATAATCTTACTTAATCAAAACTGTAGGTAATGATAACTTCAAGCTGCCTGTGTATGAACAAATACAACATCCACACAATATTTATTTTTGTTTCATGAGTAGATTTTCAGTTTCAACGAATGTTTCTTTTGATATTATACAGACTTCAAAAGAAGAAGTCTTATAGGCTTCTTTATGAACGAATGAACGACAGATCGTTACAATATTTTTGACTTATAGTCCAATCATTCTTATCCAAAACTTATGAAGAGAGGAGAATTTTTGAATGTATGCACAAGAAAATCCCTAAAAATACTCTCAGTCTGATTATTTTTTTCATTTGAGTATCCTAACAATTCAAATTAAACGTTATGAGATTCTGGTTTTTACCCATTTGACGGTGTACAATCTTTATAACAAAAATTCATCAAAAGCGTTTTCATTGTGCGTAAGAACATGAAATAAACAGCTCTAAAACAAATAAGGCAATCAGTGAAAGTTTGAATGATTCTGAGTTTCCTACCTTTTTTCTCCTTAGTTCATTTTCAATTGTTTCCATAACTATTTGTTTTAATTGTTTCACATTTCCACTTTAGGATACGAGTTTGGTTGCTGTGCTCTTGATTGCTCATTGTAAAGTTTCAGCAGAATATTAGCTTCTATTCCTATATAGAATGTAAACAAGTCTGTTGGCAAAATGCTTTAAAAACAGTCAATAACTTTTCATCGAGAACTGTGCTAAAATCCGACACTCTTCAATGCCTACACATTTAAATACATTTATTCTAATGTTACAGAGAAAATTTTTCTCTGTATCCCATTCCACATTTAAATAATTTTAGATATTTTTGGTCAAAAACTGTTTTTTTATAATCAAGCTGGTTAGTTTTGCATAATTCGTACCCAGTTTTTCATTTCACGCGGAACAAAAAAGGCGGCAATTTAATTGAAAGTCCAACGTCCAACATTTTCATCTTTTCAAATGTCTTCAAAATTTTTGTTGAAAAATAGACTTTTTACCGACAAAAATCAACCACAAGGGATAAAAAAGACCCTGCTTATCTCCATTTTGCCATATTGTACATTTTCACCTAGTATTTGTTCAAATTTTTGTGTTGAAACGAGAAAAATGTGCGTCGCACAAGTTCTTCGCTGAAAATATATCGATTAACAAATACATGCTAAAAGTAAGGCTATTCAACAAAATTTCGTTTCGAAACACTCCATACACTAGCAAAAGGCGACAGACTAAAAGTAAAATCGAAAGAAAGACACTGAAACATAGAAAACTTGTCGTTTTTACACTGACAAGGTCCTCGTGCAAAGCAAACAGACCGAGGAAGACAGGCACGCGGCACGCCAAATTGCATAAAAATAGCCTACGAATTGATTTACAAGTCAAACAATACATAACCAAACATCAAACAAGGCTTTTGCCATCGAATTTATCGACATTTGGAGTACTTCTTTGAATAATTTATAAAAATTCCACTAACCCACCTTTCGTTTCCTTCTCGAGTCGCGGGGCATCTAGCTGTGAGTGAATTGTGAAAAGTGATTGACGTGATCATTTGGTGCGCAGATTTCATTGGTTGATTTCAATGAGATTCTGGCAATTTTATTTCGAGTTCTGATTGGCTAAAATATGAAGTAAAATCTTAGCGGAATGAGATGGTTTTTTGTGCTTTATTTCCACATCTTTCTTTAAAATGAAGATACAAGTGATGTAATCTCTTACGAGTGGATCTTCTGGCTATACCAAAAATGGAGTATCCTGCACTCATATTTTTTTATGAATTTACTTATTGAAAAACGATGTTTCAAAATGTCTCGAAAAAACATGGCAGATATAAAACTTATCTAGACGTCTGTTGAAAAACATTTCTTTATTCGATGTGTTAGGTCATTCTCTACTGCACTATTTACCCATATAAAACCGAGAATTCCAAAGCATTTTACGAATATCTCCGAGAATCCTGAACGTGAAATTATTACCTTGGAAACGTACAACCACAACAATGGTTGACGAGACTTCGTTGCCGAAGACTTTTTTGTCAGACGTTTTTGAGACTCTGTTTTGTGCAAATGGTGAAAATATTCAAGAAAATTCAGGAAACTCTTGTAATAGCAAAGAATTCGAACGTGGTTGGACTTTAGACGACAGAAATAAAAACGACGTTGCGCGTGACGGCCAAACTAGTTACATCAATTGTACGTCAAAGATTTGTGGACGAATTAAAAAGCCTTCAAAAAAACATAAAACTCACAAAGAAGCCATAGATTGCACTAAGATTACAAAGTTTACAAACACAGGTACCCTTTCATACGAGATGTCTTCATGGAGAAGAATAATTGATACAAAATCATTCAACTATATTGAAAGAAAACATCCATTATTATTAAAGAGACAAGCATTGATTCAACAACGTTCTTCCTTGATCCTGCTACGATGTTTGATAGGTATTTAAAAAAATTTCTGCGACAACAGCGAGCATATTGTGAGCTACGTGACTTCACACTACAACAAAGTAATTGCTCCAAAGACGAGAAGATACGAGCCATACGACCACTTGTAAATATTGAATTTCAGGAACGTCAGAACAGTCTTATGAAATTACCCGAAGCAGTTAATAGCCTCAAAAATAATCTTCTGATACCGCCAATCACTGTAATTAAAAAGCACCTTTCAGTAGAACCAAAGAATCTTCCTTCAACAAGATGGAAGTCATTGTATAGACAGAAAGATGAGCGTTGTAGTCAGATGAATGATTTGATGAAACCTACCAAGTCATTACTCATGCCAATTGAAACTGTTGAAGAAAATAACAAACAAAAACTTAACTGGTTTCCCATCTCTGTTTCACCTTGCCTATTAAAGGCAACAAGACAATGAAATGAGAAAAATTACAATGGTTATGATTCACGACGAATGATTGCTTTGTTTTATAATCTAATTTTAAACTAAACTAGGGGTTGAAGTGTGAAAACTCACCAAATTTTTATTACCACTCATCTTCCAGCTTCTTATTTTAAGAGCACAGACAATGCAATGAGTCTTAATAGCACAAAAATTAATAACTTTGCACAGCAGTTGAAATACAATAATGAAAGTTTGCTGCTCATTGTAAATATAAAATAATTACCAATAAAATATTAACAATAATTACATTTTATCAAGGTGAATATTTTCACTATTAAATAACAAATAATTGTAGACAGTTTTGTTTATTCTATTAAGAATTTTGTGTTTGAGCGATGTCTTCCATCAAATTATACTCGGTTGCAATGGATATAACATCTTTGGATGAGTTGATAAAATCACTCCAAGGAAGAAATGTTTGAGTCTGTCCATCTGTAGAGTTATTATTGTTGATATGAGGGAAGTTTTCGTCCAAGTTTAATGAAGGAAGACGGGTTTGTGTCTCATTATCCACAGAAAATATTTCATCTAAAAATGTCTTAGTTTGAGTTCCACATTCATTTGTAGAAGTGTATAGTTCAAGATAAGACTCAAGTGTTTGTGTTTCATTGTCTTCAAACAAAGGGAAACTTTCTAATGCCAAATTTAAGTTTGTCTGTGTTTGTGAATGGGTCACCTCTTTATAATCATCCAATGGAAAATCCACATCAAAGTCAAATCCATGACTAAAATCATCTTTGGTTTGAGTCTGTTTACAAATAGCCATATCTTCCAGATCAAATGGTCCTATTGCTTTTCTTTCTACATCTTTAGGTTGAATGTCTGTTGTTGATATGGAACCATTTTTCTGTTGCAAAGTATCATATGAGCAACATGTTTGCATTGTTTGAGTTTCAGCATCAACTAAAGTAAGCTTTGATTTTAAAGCTTTGTCATTAACTGCAGGTATAGTTCTCATTAGTAAAGAGGAACTACCCATTCTCACATTGAACAAACTTTGCTGCACTTCTACAACATTTCTATAACTCAACAGAGAAGAAATGATAGAAAATAATTAAGATGCAACTTTATAGGTAAGTAATTGATTTTATATTTTTGTCATGGTAAACTTACTTTTTGTACAATTTTGGAACATCATGGTCATTACGACGTGCATGTGTCAACAATGATGTACGACAGTTAAACTGTAAACCACATGAGCATGTAAAAATCATTCCACAAGTCTTCTCGTGTCGTACACAAACATCATTTCGACCAAATTTCTTGTCACATTTCTTACAAGAAAATTTCTTTTCACCGTGAACAATCATGTAGTGCTAAAACAAAAAATATAACACACACATGATACATCATACATACTTGTTCATGGTTTTGAAGGAAAAATTTAAAGAAAATAAACATTCTGTAAGATTACCAAATGCATTATTTGCCACCGTTATAACGATGGCGTCATTTGCAAAACTTTCAAAATTTCAGCTATTTTACTTTCTCTTTCTGTCTTTCATAAAATTGATGTACACAACACAATTGGATGCAATATTATTTCGTAGACTAAAAATTATTACATTATTAATATACAGTTCAAATACCTGTTTAACATGAGCTAAGCGATTAAAGTATTTTCCTGAGTTTCTTCCACGAATACAAGCAGCAACTGGACAACAATAGACTGACTTCTTTTTCCACACTTTTTGAGAAGATTTCTTTCTTTCAAACACTTCATATCCATCTTCTCTGATTTTATGTCTCTTAACTAAGTGCATTCTTAGCGCTGATGTACTTGGCAGGATCTTAGAACAGCCATTTAAGGGACAAGATATATTAGTTTCAACAGAAATTAGGTTTTTAATATCAGGACAAATGACTTCTCTTTCTTCGGAATTCTCCGCCATGATTGTCGCCATCAGTTAGCCAGGGCCTGGGTCTAGTTTGCCAATTCAACTCAATCTAAGGAAAAACTATAAATGGACATGGTAAATGTTGTTTATTATAAAAAACTTTTACACTTATTTTTTATTTTAATCTTCATTTTGTAAATAGATTTGTCTATTTAATTTTTTAATCTGTAAATGTGCAATTTCAACGATTTCTTCTCAGAAAACCAATAAAAAATTGGTTTAACTAACAGAGAGGGTGTATTATAGTTAAAACATAAAAATCTCAGAGAAACAGGATTCCCATTCTAATAAAAAGGTCAACATCAAGAATGCCAAAAGACTGGATTAAAAAAAGGGAAATATTAATCTGTCCTATTACCTCTATGTACTTGAAAAGTAGAAATAATTTTTCCAATATTCAATATATTTTACATGTTCTGGAAACTAAACAAAAACTTCTTCAGCTAGGATATTATATTCTAACGAAAAACAAATATTTATACAGGTAAAGGTTTCCCTTCATAATCAGATTCATCCTGGAGTCCCTTAAGTCCCTCTGGTAGTGTAGTATCTTCAACGTCAGAACCAGTCCCTTCAACAAACTCTTCATAAGTGGTATTTTCTTTGAAAGGTCTTCGACCTAACAGCTCAATCATATCCTCTCGATTGAGAACCTCTTGACTAAGTAATCTCTGAGCAACCTACAATGCCACACGAAACTTAGGGAAAGAGCAATGACAGTATTACGAAAGACAAACATAGAAAAAAAAATTAAAATAAGACGCCAGTTTAGATAAAAGACAAAATCAGAAAATTTTTCACTGACACTAAAAATAGCGACAATTTTTATCATTAACAATCCTTTTCATTCAAACTCAACCTACTTTTTCAACATGAAGTTTATGTTTCAATAAAAGTTCCGTCGTTCTTTCATGAGCAGTTTTAATCAAATCACGAACTTGTTCATCAATAAGTTGAGCTGTAGCTTCACTATATGGTTTTTCAAACGTTGGTTCACCATCACGAGGTGTATCAAATGAGACATTACCAATCCTTTCATTCATACCAAATGTCGCAACCTTTTTAAACACAACGAAAGAACGCAAGTTTTACATCCCAAGGAAAAAACATTTGTTGTTGGGGGGGAAATGATTTTTCACCTTAATTTACCTGAGCGTATGCACTTTTTGTGACTTTCGAGAGATCATCCTGAGCGCCTGTTGTAATTCTACCAAAGAATATCTCCTCAGAAACTCTTCCTCCTAAAGTCATGCACATGCGATCTAACAACTAAAATGGAAAGCAAACAACAAAAGCCGTTTTTGGCGTCAATTTAACATGGAAATTACGTTGAAAAAGAAATAAAATACCTGTTCCTTTGTATAAAGATATTGTTCCTTGGGTAAATACTGAGCATAACCCAGTCCTTTTCCACGTGGGATGATAGATACCTGAAAGAAGAAAGTTACAAATTAAGAGAATAATTGATAGCACGCAACAAAAATCTGCTGTATTTTTATTTTACCTTTAAAAGTGGGTCAGCGTGTTCAAGAAACCATCCAGCAACAGCGTGACCAGCTTCGTGATAAGCAACAGTTTTCTTTTCTTCAGGTTGAAGAACCTGAGTTTTCTTTTCAAGACCTTTAATTATGAGATTACTAGTGATGTTCACATCTCTCTATATAAGGTTTTCACCATGGTAACATATCTTACCGGCAATAACTCTCTCGACAGCTTGTTCAAAATGCTTAACTTCAACTTTTGGTGAAAGATAACGTGCTGCAATCAAAGCAGCTTCATTGCATACATTTGCAATGTCTGCACCTAGATATAAAATCATTATTTTAACCGAGAACAAATACCAACAAATTTATCCTTGAGAATATTCTGGTTACCTGTAAAACCAGGTGTTAGAGCTGCCATTCTACGACCCACCGTGTCAATATCAACATCAGTTTTCAATGGCTTTAAGTGAACTTTGAAAATGGATAGTCTGAAATTGAAATATTCAGTCACGAAAACAAATACTTACTTTGTGAACTCATGAAGTCTTTGTGTAAACGCACCTTCCTTTAATATCAGGTGGAGGGAGAGTAATTTGTCGATCAAAACGACCAGGTCGTAAAAGTGCTGGGTCTAGGACGTCTGCACGATTAGTTCCAGCCAAAACTACAACATTTGTTGTTGATGTAAAACCTGACAAAACAACCATTTTTAAATATTTGTACTTCATGAATGCATAAATTATCCGTCCATAACATTACCGTCCATTTCGACAAGCAGTTGATTCAAAGTATTTTCTCTTTCATCATGTCCACCAAACTGACCACCTTTACCACGGGCTCGACCAACACCATCAATCTCATCAATAAAAATGATACATGGAGAATTTTCCTAGCTTGAGCAAAAAGATCTCTCACGCGTGCTGGACCAACACCAACAAACATTTCAAGAAATTCTGAACCAGATATACTGAGGAATGGAACACCTGATTCACCAGCAACAGCTTTGGCTAGGAGAGTCTTGCCTGTTCCAGGTGGACCTGTGAGGATTGCCCCCTAAATTCAGGCATGCAAATTATAGTTTCTCAGTAACGTAGAGTAAGCAATATCAAATAAGCAACTCAAACCTTTGGAATACGAGCTCCAAGTTCATGATATTGTTGTGGATTCTTTAGGAAGTTCACGAATTCCATAATCTCAAGTTTGGCCTCTTCACAGCCAGCAACATCATTGAATCTGAATTTCACATTTGTTTCTTTATTATAAAACTTTGCTTTAGATTCATCCATTCCAAATATACCCTAAATTGCAATAACTTGATGTCAGAATAACTGTAATTAAATCATTGTTAATTGCTACATTTGAATGATTCTTCTCACCCCAGGTCTTCTTGAAACATTTGACACGACGTGTGAAATACAAAAATGCCCCAATGATGAGGATTGTTGGAGTCAGTCTGAATAGTTGCTTCCTAAGAAATAAAAGTTTCTGGTTAATGCATTTATATTTTTAGCATGGTGTACAACAAAAGCTAACTAACATCCATTCAAACTCCATGGAATATGTTACAGGAAGCCATTGTGAAGAATCAATGCCCATTTCTTTCTGAACTTCTTCCAAATGTCTCTCAAAATTTTCAACACTGCCAATGTTGAATGAAATGGAACTCTAATTGATAAAATAACTTAGTTTTTTAAATAAATTGGAAGTTAACTCTTAGAAATGGCTTTCAATGATAATAACTTACATTAAATGGATCACCTTTCAGGTAGACACGAACAAAACTTTTATTGACAACAATGAGTTTTTCAACCTAAACAGAAAAGGATTTAAAACAAATTTTCACAAATAAGAAAAATGATGTGAAAGGTGAACATACCTCTCCTTTTGCTAAATAATTAGTTCTAAATTCTTGCCAATTTATCTCTTTTGAATATCCCCCAGAACTCAACATTAACCATCCAGCTCCTACACTGACTGCAATACCTAACCACAAATACTGTTGTGGATTTTCATATATATCTCGCCACCATTCACTACCATTTCCTTCTGGCTTTTTTGGAGAGCCACCTGAGTTTCCATCTTTGCCACCTGATGAGCCTGAAATTCATACCATGTAATGACTTGTTGTTTATGAGGAAAGATTTAAGGTTTCAGTGAAATGAAATGAGAGGCACAAAAACGTATGTGGCTTTCCTAATAATTATAGCTTTCAAACAAAGATTTTTATCATAAATAAATAAACAAGGCAGAAGAAACTACTACACAGAACTTTGAAATCCTGATGGTTACTAAATTATCATTTACTGCTATCTTATGTTGATTACCTTGCCTTGGTTGTGTTTTGTGCGACTTGGAAGCATTGGGGAAAAATTTTTCAAAGCCTGAAAAGTAAGAATTAAAAAAAAATTTATCATGCCAAAGTTATAAAGGTATTAGGATAAAATTCATAACAATTTTTAGTCAGAATTTCGTGACATCCACGTCAGGCAACAAAATTACAAAATAAGTTGATTAATAATTACATTATCATCCAACATTATTGAACATCACTTTACCTTTAGGTGGCTTGGAATGTCTTAAAGATTGAGCAATTTTGCACCCACTGCAATACTCTGTAGAAACAGCGTAAACAATAAAAATTACACAGCATTATGCAAGAAAGTGAGGACGACTGTAGAGCATTGTTTTAATATTAAACTTACATTTCGAGTAAAAAGTAAAAAATGACGAGGTGTCACAAGCGTTTTCAAGGTCGACAGCATTATTCACAACTGAATATAACTAGTATCACAAACGTGAAAGGTTTTAGAGAAAAAATCTTTTCATTTAACGATAAATGTCATTTTCAAGCTTGCTATAACATTCATTGCTGGCATCATAACATTGCATAAGCAATGACGTCATAAGATTAGTGTTTGTTCCAGTCTCTTGTGTAGCCATCGCAAATGAAATTTTCAATATATTAAATACATGCATTTATATTAATTTTAAAGTCAAAATATAATTTACTATTTTAAGCCTTATTTATCGTAATTTAAAACTTTCATTCATCGACAACAAGTTGACATTGTGATGTAAAAATTCTCTTTGTTTTCCTCATCGACTGGATTTCTTTAGGTGTAAAGTTGTAACCACGACATATAACTTTAACGATTGTGTTGTCCTATAAGAAAGCAGGACGTTTTTAAATAATTTTTCCACGACAATAATACTGCAAGTGAACTTACTGCCTCTAAATGTTCAATTAATGTAGGAGATAAGAAAGAATCGTATTTAGCTGTGGAGGAGATGTTTATAGTTTCAACATATTTTACAGCACGCAGGATATTCGAAAGTATCTTGCAGGACATAATGTTGAATGAAACATCAATAAATCGAAGTCTCCTAAGGTCTAAAATAAATATTTGACAAAAGTAAGCAACGTTGATGAAAGCAAAATGAAAAAGTACTTTTGAATAGGTCATACTTTGAATTGCTTCTGTTAAAGTACTTCGTTGATGAAATGAGCAATCACCAAGGGAAGTAGAAGAAAGGCCTAAAACTTGTAGTTGAGGAGCACTGCAGAGTAAGGAAGCAAGGTCAGATGATCCAAGATCAGAAATCGTATTAAACGAAAGATCTAACTCCTTAAGATTTGACCATGAATGACAAACCTAATACGTAGATAGTTTAATTAACAAACACCTCTAACTTATATCATATATTTTAACAGAACCTATTTACCTCATCATCTGAGTTCATTGTCGCAGCCAAATGGTGCAAACCTTTATGTGTAATGCCGTTACAGGATAGTACAAGGGACGAGAGGTTAGGAAACGAGGATAAACAAGACACAAAAAATTCAACACCTTTATCACCTGAAACAGTTAAAAAACGACGACAAATAAAAGAAAAGATGACAGAGGCTGTTATCTTTTCATTGTCTCTACAGGGAAGCATTGTATATTGATCGTACGTAAAAACTAATATTTCCAAATAACTTTGAAGACAAAAATTAACACTTACCCATTCTGTTTCCCGGTAAAGAGAGTCTAACCAAGGATTCATGACATTGCAGACAGCGAAATAATGGTTGCAGTGAAGACGAAGTTAAAGATTTGTCTTTGAATTCAACGTTGGACAAATGGTCATTTTTATCCAAAACGTCAACAATAACAGGAGAAATATCTATAAAATCATCAAAACAAAATGCAAGTTAAATGATAAATTTATGATTTCGAAGTTTAAAGGTCTTGCTGTACGGAATTTATGTATTTCTAATCATGTTTGAGAAACATTCATTTCATAACATTTCTTCCATGTAAAACGGAAGGAAATTATTTGATGTACCTTTGTTCAACATGGAACACGCCTCTCTGTAACGTTGAGATAATGGAGCCAACTGCCAGCTTTCTACAGTCGCATTCACCAACTCATTATTAGAGAGTACATCAACGATAAAGTCATGTGACGATAGAGTTGCACCTTCAGTTGTACAAAGTGATAAACAGGGTTTCAATCCCGTGGCTGAATGATACCGAAATACTGCCTGGTTTACGAGAAAGTATGTTAAGTATATATAAAATTTAAAACTGAATAAAAACAAAAGCATAAAATATTACCTGCTCAGCCAACCATTTTATAGTTTTACGTTGAGGATCATTTGGACATGGTATAAGAAATGTTCTCTTGTTGACTTTAACACGAATTCTCATTGGTGGATTAGAGGAAACAGGAACACCATGAAATGATGAAGATTTTCTCGGGCTAGAAACATCTTCTAAAAAATCATCGTGCGATGAAAGACCACTGACCACATTAAGACGTGATTGACGTAACCTAGGTTTACTTCTTGTTTGAGATGTACTATGCGTCGGTTTAGTATTTCCATTTACACGTTTATTTGTATCATGTGAGTAATGAGAGTGAGAGCGCATGCTCAGTATGTTTCCTGAACGTTTACGTTTACCAGATTTGATTGGGTAATCATGAATGAGCCAGTTGTCGATATCATTAGTAAGATACTCTTCTTCAGAAATCAATGCTGGTTCAAATACTTCATTATCTTGTCTTTGTGTTGATCCTGTGACTGGATCCAAGTATTTAGACGCTGAACTAACTGAGCTGAGATCAATGGCTTCTCTTGAAGAATTATTCGCAGGTGTTCCTCTTTCTGAAGTTGTGTTTTTGTGCAAGTTATTATTCGTAACTGACGATGAATAGCAAGATGAGTTTCTTTCTAGGAAAATCGAAGACGAAGGAGAATCATTCATGGAATTACAATTAAATTCTTCTTCATCTATATTCAACAAATCGCACGATGTTTCCGTAAAATCCATGTTATCTTGGTAAACTCCACATTTTGGTTGTGTCAAAACAATCTTATCACTACAGGAGTTTAACTCTTCATCACTACAGGCGTTTAATTCTTCGTCACTAACTAGAACATTTGCTTTGCGTTTTTTTTCATTGAGTTCTAAAGTATTCTTTCTTTGAGATTTATGATTTTTAACGTGTCTAGAAATTATTTCTTGGGATGATTCCGAATCACTATCATCAAAGATGAGCATTTTGTCTCGTCGTCTCGTTGATGATGTTTCTTTTGCATCTCCTATAGAACTGTTCGCATTTTGAAGGATATGAATAAGTTGATTTAGTGTATCTACCGTGTCTTCTGTATCTTCATCATCAGAATCTTTATCTTCAAGAGTAGATAAGACAAGATTAAAAGGAGTTTTACCATCATTGTTACATTTGCTTACACATGCTCCTCTCTCAACGAGTAATTTTACAACATCAACATGTCCATTTTGAGCAGCATCATGTAATGGCGTCATACCACGACAATGAGCTCCCCCTGGATCATTAATATCAGCACCTTCATCAAGGAGAAGCTCAACTATAGCCAAATTACCATGGTTACATGCTTCGTGAAGGGGTTGCCAACCGCAATAGTCACGTGAATGAACACTTACACCTTTATTTATGCTTGTCTTGGCAAGATTATAGTCACCTCGAATGGCTGCGACATGTAACCTGGTTTCACCTTAGGAAAAAAGAAAAAGGAGGATAGTGTAAATAACTTTTATATATGATTTGAGTGTACCACTTCCACTTTGAAGGACATTTCCTTTTGAAAGGAATTTAGGCAAAATGAAGGAAATTTGAAAGAAAGGAAAACGTGAAGAAAATTTTGCCAGTCAAGAAAGTTTTTCGAATTTTAGGAAAAAAAGGATTTTTTGGTTTGGTTTTAAAATTGAAATCACTGGCTGAGTATGACATTAGCGAATTATAAAAGTATTATATTATCATAAATGACAGTTGATCACCTTTCTCGTTGCGTTTCATTGAGTTAACATGACGTCGTCCTAATTTTACAATAGATGAAGATTTTTCATACTCCTCTTCATCATCAGAATCTGATAATTCCATTTCTTCTTGAATCAACATTTCACCATATTCATCATCGTCCTCCCAACGTTGAGATCTTTCTGATTCACTATCGTCTTCAATAATCTCAATACCTAAACAAGCAACGACATAAAGCATTAAGGAGCACTCACAGGGCAAGAAAAAATAGACTTTAACGAAAATTTCTTCAGTACATTACATTCTTTAGATTCATAGTCATTTCCATCTTCTTTCATCTTCAAACATTTCAGTAACTTTAACACTCGTTGTTCCCTGTTGCTGTTAGAACATTTTCTTGCACATTTTAAGGCATTATTGTAGGCCATTTCAATGTCCTCATAACTATCCCCAGCCATTTCAGAAACATTTGCAATATTACACCAAGTATCACATTGTTCTAGTTCTTCTCCTGTCCGCAATAAGAGTTCTTTGTGAAAATATTCCTTTGCTTTGTCAAATTGTTTATTGTCTAAATAAGATTGAGCAAGCGATACACAAATAACTGCCTTTTCTGTCTTAGATAAATCTAACTTTTCACTTAATTCCAATTGTTTGTGATAGTTATCAATTGCCTTGTCAAAACAGTTTACACTGCAATAAACATCACCAAGTTCTTCATGGACTTTCATTTTTATATTGTCATCTTTCTTGTGCGTGAGTTTGTCTAAAAGTCTTGAACCTTTTATAGCTCTGATTAAATTACTCCTTAATTCATCAACCATTGTTCCATTTTTCGTTGTTTTATAACATTTCTTTAAAATATTCTTTGCAGCTTTAAAGTCTCCTAGGTGTAGCAACATCTTTGCCATTTGAACAAGAGTATCAATTTCTTCAAATTTAATTCCCTGATGCTTGGCTACATTTCTTGCATGTTCAAAACATTGTAATGCTTGTGCTGGCAAGTTCTCTGCAATTTTAATTTCACCAAGGGAGAAATGACAGCGATATTCTGTGTCCTTGAGATTTTGATTAACTGCGATAGTTAATGATTTCTCAATATATTTCATTGCTTTTTTTTGATTATGAAGATTTGAATTGACAAGACCAAGATTTAGATAAAGTCTTGCTTTCATTTCAAGAAGTTCCTTTTCTTTTACTGTATCTTCAAGTTTATTGCAAATTGATAAACTGTCCACGAAAGCCGATTGAGCCTCTAACATTTCTGAACTGGTTGTTGCAGACTGAAATAAAGTTCTACCAATTGTTGCCAAAGCTCGCTGCTCTTCAACAAGATTCTCACATTTCCTTGAAAGCTATTATCAATAGACAAAATTTAAGAATATTTCAACATTTAACAGAGATGACATCAACTTATCTCAATATGATGCAAGGTATAGCATAATATTGAAAAATATTGCATGCTTATATTTGTACAGCAATGTTAAGCAGATAATAACAGCACAAAAGTTTAGTATATAACTTGTTATAACAATCCCTAATATAGGTGATGATAATAGTAAATATACATTCACATATGTCTGTTGATGATGTAACGCTTGTTTGAAATCCTTTAGTTCACATAGACATTCCCCAATCTTTCGATGTGCAATGGCAACCGATATGTCATCATTAAGACGCTCCGATACATGCAACTCCATTTTGTGTTCTTCAATTGCATCTTCATACAGTCCTAAAAGAAGATAAAATATATAAAATATGTACACAGGATACAAGTGGGTATGGGGGACTAGGGGGATACTCTTACTATATTCGGCCAAATGTTCCCCACACACATTATACAGCTTGGCAAGTTCAGCAAGATCATTATTTCCACGAGCTTTCTGCTTTTCTTTCTCTAAAACTATTTTTTTTTACAGGATAAGATATTTTATCACAGTATCCAGCACAATACGAAATGACATTTTTCCCAAAATAGTTTTAAAAGCAACTAGCCTTTTAACTTTTTCTTTAATTCCCCATCCATTGGTAGAAATTGTTTCTTTCATACAAAATTCATCTGTTGAAACTTTTGAACAGTTAATAATAGAATATTAAAATATACTATTGACGTGCATGTTATCTTTCCCGCGTAATTAGATTTTACGTCAATTTCCGGATTTGTACGAAGATGCGACGATGAGTCTGGCCTTGGTGTGGTCGTTAATTTGTTTAATTTTTTTCAAGCACATCTGGGAAGATCATTCAAAGTTAGTATTGATTTCCTGTAGTACATTGCATACAACATGAAAATTATAAGAAATTATTTTCAATATGTATAAGTGTTTTTTTCGCACATGCAGTTGTACAATATTCCCTGAACAATTTTTCATTATTAATTTAATTATAGAAAAAAATACAATTACAAAAGTATCTAATGACAAGTCTCAACTTTTACGTGAGTTCATTTTGAAAGTAAAAGCCGAAAAACAATGACATAATTTGATAGGGGAAATTACACCTAGTTAAAAGTGACGACAGGGGAAAGATCCCTACCTCCAACTTCCATTTATGGCAAAGGGTGACAGAACGAGTGTCAAATATTTTGGCAACAAATCAGGTTACCGAGTACAAGGAATGGTAAAAGTCGTCCTTTTTAGATTTTTCTTTCCTTGCTCATCAAGGTTGAATGAGAGGCATATACATGAAATAAATAAGTCTTTAACTTGCTTCGCAAGAAGTTTCGAAGCTAAGTTCAAAATACAAGAGTTGTAATAGATAAAATCAAAATGCCCACGATTAGTGATGATGGCTGGGTTAATGATATGGAAGGGCCAGAAAGGCTTGAAAGAGCCAAAATTCGTCGTGCTGAACAGATTAAACGATGGAAAAACAGAGAAAATAATACAGAAAACAATGTCAATAGAAATATTCATCAAGAAAAAAAGATTAAATTTACGCCTAATATTGTTTTACTTGATGCTGCGGCAAGAAATGATTTAAGTGAAGGTTTGTTCACATATACTTCATTTTTAAACATGATTTTTACCCATGAAATTCACAGACAACTATCTACATTGTTCGTATTGTTTTGCTTTGAAATGCACCTAACAACGGTATTTAAAACACCTGGTTGTAACGTTTATGCTCAGGAGAAACGTTGTTCGGTGTTTTCAATTTTGATTGTTAGCACATATTTTGTTATAGTTGCGAAACTTCTAGAAAGTGGGGTCAGTCCTGATCTTGGAAACGAAGATGGTTTAACAGCATTACATCAGGTTTGTTTTGGTCCTATACATAAACATGAATAGAAAAACACAATGGTGTAGTATAACACAGCAGTGTTTCAATAAGATATTTTTGCGAAGGAACGAAGTCTGTGGTAGTCTAAACACCGGCGAATATAGTTATAAATATTCAATACCGCGTTTACATTTGTACATGCGTGTGTTTGTGTTTGTTTACTCTGTGAAAATGTTTTGTTGTTGAATGATACACAAGACGTTGAACTTGTGATGTTTGTTTTTTTAAAGATAACTTAAATCGCTCTGTTTAGCCCAAACAATTTAAAATTCGAATGGTGAGCAATTTGTGACAATTTGCAAAACATCGAACGATAAGTGTAACAAATTAAATTAAAGAGCATAATACATAATTAATGTGATGTCTAGGAATTATAACACATGTTGAGAAACATGACACTTTCTTAAAAAATAGAAAGTAAATTATAGTTGTTCATTTCCAGAGTTGTATAGATGGTTGTGAGGAGATGGTCAAATATTTGATTGAATACAATGCAAATATCAATGCTTGTGACAATGAGTTATGGACGCCATTGCATGCTGCTGCTGCATGTGGTCATCTTTCAATTATTCGATATTTGATCGATAATGGTGGTGATATTTTGGCCATGAATCTTGATGGCAACCTCCCAGCTGATGTTGTGGAAGATGACACTGAAGTTGAACAATTTCTTGAAAGGGAAATGGCAAAATTAGGTGAGCAATAAATCACTTTTCTGAAAAATAAAAGGTTTTAGCTGTAATAATTTGCATTTTCTAAGGTTATGAAGAAGAAGACCTAGAAGAATTACGATTAAGTCAAGGAAAACAACTTCTTGATGATTTGAAAGATTCTGTAGAAAATGGACGTAGTCTTGATATTCAAGATTGGAATGGAGCAACTGCTGTATGAAATTAATGTCTATATCAATTAACATTAGAAAATAGTTTAGATAACATTAATATTTATGTTCCTAGTTTCATGTTGCTGCTGCTAATGGATGGAACCACATAGTTGATTTCTTGCTGGAAAATGAAGCAGATTTTGAAATAGCTGATAATTCAGGATGGCAACCAATACATGCTGCCGCAGCGTGGGGACATGTTAGCTATTTCTCAATAACTTGTATGTTATTTTAAACTTGGATAATATACTTTTTGTTTAATGTTTTATTTCCAGGAAACTATTCTTGAGATCTTAGTTGCTAGTGGCGCAGATCTTGAATCTAAAACAAACGATTTACAGACACCATTAGGTAGAGAGGTGTGAATGATATTGCATGAATATATACAATATATAGCACATCACACGTACTTAAATGTACTTCACAGATCTTACTGATGAAGAAGACATCATTGAGCTCATTAAGGAACTTAAAACAAAACAAATTTTATATCCAAGAACGGGCCGAGGTGTGAGAAGAAAACGAAGTAATACTTCAAAGTAAGTTTGAAATTTTTGAAAATGGAGAGAGAATGTCTTTCATAATTTGAGTTCATGTCATTCTAGTTCTTCTATCAAGAGATTAAGTATTCATGAGAAATGTGAACTGTCTCACACAGACTCAAAAGCTTATTGTGCTGCTCTGTTCACTCAACAAGAGAATTCTAATGTAAGTAAAAATTATTTGAGGGAATATTTTTAATTGGTTTGTCTTTCTCACAATGGTTGAATGAAACATTATAGGAAGAACATACTGATGACTCCTCTCCTTTCAAAGAAAAACCGCCAAAGCAAATGTCAGATGCTCCCACATCCCACATAGAAAATGAACAATTGAATTATGCAAGTGAGCATAAACATGATCAGGCAGATCAGGTGAAAGAGACAAAAACATTTCATCTCAAAATTGAGTTAAAAACTGACAGTCAGAAAATTGACACAAAAACAGATGATCAGAAATGGAAGACAAAAACAGATGATCAGAAAATCAACACAATAACAGATGATCAAAATGGAAGAGACAAAAATTGATGAAAAATGATCACAGAAAAACAGAAATGGAAGGCAAAAACAGATGATCAAAAATGGAAGACAAAAACAGATGATCAGAAAATCGAAATGATCAGAAATGGAAGACAAAAACTGATGATGAATCAATGATCAGAAAACTGATGATCAGAAAATTGAACAATCAGATGGCAATGATCAGAAATGGAAGAGGAATCGAGATCAGAAAGATGATCAGAAAATGAAACTGATGATCAGAAATGGTGATCAGAAAATTGAGATGAAAACTGATGATCAGAAATGAAAACTGATGATCAGAAATGGAAGAAAACAGATGAAAAAACGATGCAAAAATCAGATCGAAAATTGATCAGAAATCAAAAATCAGAAAATGATGATCAGAAATGGAAGAATGATCAGAAATGGAAAATCATCAGGCAAAACTGATGATCAGAAACAGAAATCAGATGATCAGAAACATCATTCAGATCAAAATGATCAGAAAATTGACAAAAATCAGAATTGACAAAACTGATGATCAGAAAATTGACACAAAACAGATGATCAGAAATGGAAGAGGAAAACAGATAATCAGAAAATTGACACGAAAACAGATGATCAGAAATGGAAGAGGAAAACAGATGATCAGAAAATTGACACGAAAACAGATGATCAGAAATGGAAGATGAAAGCAGGACCGAGTGATGTTATAAAAGATAGTAAAATGTCCAGCCAAAATGAGCAGAATCTCCAAGCCGAAAATTCAACAGATAAAAGTGATAACGAAAAAGAACAGAAGAACAAAGCAAAAAACAGGTGCCAATTTCAAAGCCTCCACGTCTTAAAACGACTACAAGAAATGATCCACCAACGTATATAAATCTTAAGATTGAACCAATTGAATCCAGTAAGACAATAGTTGAAAGAAAAGTTAGTACAGGCGAGGAGGTTACACATAACGATAGATCGATTGTTGCACATGAAAATAAATGGAATAGTAAATATGGACAGTCTTCAACTGATAGAGACGAGAATATAACAAGAACTCTTCAAAATAACGAAGATAAAACCAACGTAAAAAAAAGTAACGATGAAAGTTTAAATGAAGAAAAAATAAACTCAAATGACAAGTCAATTAAAGAAAAAGATAAGAAACCACGTCAACGAACTCGATTATTATCATTACGTAAATCATCGTCAACGGACAAACGAAAATCTCCAGAAACATCAAACGACAGCTCGTTTAACAAATCATTTAGAAGTTCAAAAAAAGGTGATTGTTATTTCATATTTTTCGCTTAGAACATAAGAATAGGAATAGTTTTATGTTCAAATAATGATTGTACGATTCTTTCATCCCAAGGAACTACTACATCACGAAAACGAAGTTCAGAAAGTTCAAGCAAAAAACGTTGTATTATTGCTTAAAACGACCATAGCTGAATGGTAGGAGTACACCTCACTGGAGAGGATAAATTATTTCTGTGAACATTTTTTGTTTTATCATGTCAAAAAGCGTCGTATTTATTTTGTTTATAGAAATGATTTTGTCGTTGATTTACTAAACCATATGAATAGTAAATGATTTCGTTGCAAGAACAATTTAATGTGTAAATTAGCCATTAGAATTGTAGAAAAAATTTGTTTAGGTGAAATTGCAACTCAATAGGAGCAGAATATTTTCTACAAAGAGTGAATATTTTCAATAAAATATCAATGTACTTTCTTACGTCAGTTTTGTGTTCCAAGATTGAAATCATCAATTTATGAAATGATAAAACTTCAACATGACGTTGCATAATTTCCTCCAAGGTCAACATGACGATGTTAAACTCCTCCAAGGTCAACCTGACCATGTTCAAATTCTTCCAAGGCCAAGCAGACGACGTTCTAATTCCTCCAAGTCACCTCCACTTCATCAGTTCGATACCTTAAAATCATTCATTGCATTAGAAGTCTACAAACGTTTAGGTGACGATTTTCAAAAGATAATGTAGGACCTCTGTGTACACCAGGTATCTTCTAAGGATGTAACGTGACCACTACGAAACATTTCCCAGCCAGCCTGAGCAATCATTACTCCATTATCAATACAATATCTTTCGTCCGTGGCATAAACTGTGGCTCCTCTTTCCTTTGCCATTACAGCTAAAATAAAAACATTGAGCATCAGCATTATCATACATAAATTAAATTAACACAATACGTAACATAAATTAAATTAACACAATACGTAACATAAATTAAATTAACACAATACGTAACATAAATTAACACAATACGTAACATAAATTAACACAATACGTAACATAAATTAAATTAACACAATACGTAACATAAATTAACACAATACGTAACATAAATTAACACAATACGTAACATAAATTAAATTAACACAATACGTAACATAAATTAACACAATACGTAACATAAATTAAATTAACACAATACGTAACATAAATTAAATTAACACAATACGTAACATAAATTAAATAAACACAATACGTAACATAAATTAAATTAACACAATACGTAACATAAATTAAATAAACACAATACGTAACATAAATTAAATTAACACAATACGTAACAAATTAAATTAACACAATACGTAACATAAATTAAATTAACACAATACGTAACATAAATTAAGTTAACACAATACGTAACATAAATTAAATTAACACAATAGGTAACGTAACACGAAAACTGAAACAAATTTTGCATATTGTACATGTTGGATATTTTAGCAGATAAATGTCAAAACACGTAACTTAGAATGTTAACGAAATTTCTGATTGGAAAGATATCGTTCAATTAAGTTAATTTGCCTTATTCAAACCATAAAAGTAAAAAGATTTAAAACAAACCCATCATTTCTTGAAGTCTGACGTTGCCTATGTAAACATAAAATGATGAAAGACAGTTAGAAAGATGGTTGTAGTAAAAAACTTATAAAGTGAATGGTTTGAGCCTGGGAGTATTACATAGAGTCCTGAGAAGGGCTGTTACTGTAGGTGTTGAATGACGTTTCGACAACCTTAGCGGTAGTTATCTTCAGAGTCAAGTGAGGAGTAAACGTCAGGTTAGCTGTATATGAACCAGATTACAAATACGGCTAACCTGAAGTTTACTCCTCACTTGACTATGAAGATGACTACCGCTAAGGTTGTCAAAACGTCATTCAACATCAACACAAACAGTTCTTCTAAGGACTCTGCTAACCTGGACGATCTACATCTATAAACATGTAAAGAATCTTATACTAACAGCCAACTCCTCCAACAATCAAAACTTCATCTGCATTACAATGTGCCATAGCACGCTCTGAAATTAATAAAGATAATATTAGGAAATTCAAACTATGAAAGATTTGTAGCAGAAGGTTATATTAAATACCAGTAGTTTCCACCAACATTGCAAAAACAGTTTCCTAAAACAAAATTATCTTTTGAAAAAGTGGAAAAGATGAGTGCCACTATAAGAAGTACATTTCTGTTATTTCGAAAGTGTTCTTCATTAAAGTTGTATTTTTGAAGAAATCTTATATTTACCTGAAGAGAAAAACAAAGATCTTCTGCAGTACACATTTTTTCTTTAATAAGTTGTGAGCTGAACTCTACAAATAAAAGATAAAAATGCATAAATCTCTTTAGATACATTATCAAAACAATAAAGAAGGAAATTCCCACCTCAATGTAAGATAAAATACCAGAAAATGAAACATCCATTCCTTTGACGACATAAGGAAGTTCAATAAATTTTTTACCTCTAAAAAGGAAAAACTATTAATAAAAATTGTGATAACAATAATTTAGTTTTATACAAGTTGTGTAAAAAGATAAAATAACAATATGATAAAAACAACAATAAAATAGATTTAAACATTTTCAATGTTTGACCTTTTAGCCATCTGTTCAATGTTATAACCTGGACTGGGATCATTGGAGACCTGAAGGATGTGATTATTGTGATGAAAGTTAGAGCTTGAACAGAAAACAGGCTGACTATCAGTATTATGAATATTGGCTACAAAACAAAAGTGTAAATAATTAATGTTACCTTAAGAACTCGAGCAAATCTATCTAAACAATTTCCAACAGCTATATCAATAGTTTCACCAAATATACGATATCTTTTCTGACTATATGCAATCACTTGAGTGTTGCCACCACTGACATAAAGGACTATTGGATTGCGGGCTCCAGTAACAAGTCTGCCCATCTCAATATGACCAATACAATGATTGACAGCAACAATCGGTTTCTTCCAAATCTGAGCCAAAGTCCTCACAACCACTGCAACGGACACAAGCGGGGCAGCCATACCTGGACCTTCGGGATGAAATAATGATAACAGATGATAATTTGTACAAAGAGAAAATCTGATTTTCTATGTTTTACAAAGATAAAGATTTGTATATAAACTATAAATTACAATACCTTTTGTATAGCATAAACAGTCAATATCTTCAGGTTTAATTTTTGCTTCTTCTAAGGCTCTAAAAAGAATATATTATGAAAAATCATCACTTTAAGAACTTTTGCCAGAAAAAGTTAAAAAAATAAATTTTACTTGTCAAGAATATCCAAGATATACTGTTGATGGTGTTTGGCCGTTTGTCCTGGTAAAAATCCTAGAATTTAAAATAAAGTATGGCACCAATGCATCTTGACTTGCAGAATAACATCACATTCAATGGAATACCTCAGGTAAATGGTTGAATGGGTGAGGGGTACCACATCATTTACTAAAATATCTCTCATAGTTAGGTGTGTGGGTGGTATGTGTAACTGCTTGGTGATAACATATGCAATGCAATATTTCATAATTACAGGGAAGTTTGAAGAAAATGTTACATTTATTGTAATCTTACCTTGACCAGGGGGGGTAATGTATGTTTTCCTCACATTTGATAAAACTTTACCATCTTCAATGATACCAATACCAATTTTATTTGCACTTCCTTCAAAACCTATGGCTATCGTCATGATTTTATGTATTTGATACTTGATAGTTACGACTCTCTTGAAAACTTCTTTTTACAGCTCAGCAATCAATATTACAGCACATATTTAAACAAATTGCCGACTTCTGGTGCAGCGGGCGTCATGGTCTGGATAGTAAATCCAACTGATTACCATCAATCAAAATGTGTTTTTATATTCGAAAATCTTTGTAACGAAACGGTATTTTCATATTAAACTACTAAATTGAAACAACACGATGATATGCATGCGCCAAAATCAAACAATCGACATATATTAATTTCATTGTCATCGTCACTCGCTGTAACTTACTTTCAAACGAGGCCATCGTGATGCATTAATCGTCCATAGTCAGCTTCAATATAAACATTTTTGTCATCAACTGTTACTTATCGCCATCTACCTAAATAACAATCTCAATTTCATGTAAACCAATTTTCCATTTTGGTTAAAAATTTCTAATTCAAAAAACTGCTTTACTAATTATTTTACAGTGGTTGAAATTTAATTTGAAAATATCAGAACTAAGATATTTTATCAATGGCCAGTGTTCACACCTTTCAACAAAGAATTATTTGAATATTTTCCAAACAAACGCAAGAGCAAGGCTACACCAAAACCAGTAGCACGTTCACCCTGAAAAAAATCTACTTAATGACATCGTACAAAGAATTACCTTAAATTCAAATGATGAGTTTCTGAGAATTCATCTTACTGTTGTTGCTGGAGCAGCAATGTCAAAATGAACCCAAGCTCCGGGAAAGTCAAAACCAAGATGAGCACCTTTAATGTTATTTAAGATAAACATAAATTATTTACAAATTTTCACTTGTTCAAGACATTTTTATAGAACTCTGGTTTTATCTGTCAAATATTCTTTTGCCATCAATAAAAATTCTTCCACTAAAATATACTTTAAAATAACAAACCAGTAATAAACTACAAATTCTAAATAAATAACTTTGACACGTGGTAGCACAAAATAATATAAAATTACCAATAAACAATCCTGCACAAGAGCTTTGAGCATTATCACGATTTCTCACTGAATTCTTCATATCAGCAACAGTGCTGGAAAATTCTTGAAAATGTAATTCAGGAGCATAAGGCAAAGGATGCTAAAATATAAAAAAACATTACATGACAAAAATTTATCTTTCAAATGAATAGGCTAGAGTATTATTATTACAACAAGATCTCCACTATATTTGCCAGCTGATACAGATTTCATTTCCCATTCTTCCAAATTAGTTACAACAGCAGCATGATATTGTCCAGTTGATACACCTTGTGCTCCAGTCAGGGTTGCCATGTCAACCACAATATTTGCTTTTAAATCTTTAGCAGCATAAGCCACCTGAAGTCACATTGGATTTTGTTTTATAACTGTGGTCACAATTTAAGATTGTCAAATTTAATGATTTTAATCAACTAACGCCATCCCCAAGTGCAAGCCTTCCTTCAGCATCTGTATTATTAATTTCCACACTTCTAAAAAACAATATTGAATGGATCAGGAATGTAGAAATTTTTCTTACATAGAGACAAACATTGTGAACATACTTCCCCGAATAAAATATGTGAATATCATCAGGTCTTGTAGAATAAGGTCCAACAGCATTTTCAGCCAAGCAAAATAAGGCATGCAAATTTTTTTTAAAACCCTAAATGGAAAATAACATTTGTGCAAATTGTGTAAGATAATACTAGAAGTTTTTGTCCATATTTCACCTGTTTCACAGCAGCTTTGAATGCTCCCAAAATTGCTGCAGCTCCACCACAGTCTGCTTTCATGCCTGGCATTGCCGTCTGTTCAAAATAATGAAAAATAAGTTTCAGTACAAAAGAAAGATACAGTAATAATGAACATTGAATAACCTTCATCTCACCTTTCCTTTGATTGAAAGACCACCAGTATCATAAACAATACCTTTACCAACCCAAGCAATGTTTTCACTGGCATCAGCCCCATCTGGCATATGACTAAGAATTGCAAGAGCAGGAGGATGAACAGCTGCTTTTCCAACACCATACAAACCTTAATGATGACACATTTGATAATTATTTATCAAATGTACTCCACAATTATCAAATAATTAATATCACCTCCTAATCCTTTATCAGCAAGCTCTTCACCACGTATAACAACTGGTTTAATGCCAAGATCTCTTCCAACCTTCTTGACTTCCTTAAAATCACAAAGATTGAGATAAGGACTTCTTCACGAAAACAATGTATCTCCTTAAGGCAAACCTCAACAAAAGCATCTGTGTGCATTTCATTACATGGTGTATCAACAATCTCAGCTGCAAGACGAATGCCATCTGCAGCTGCAGTCAGACAATCAATTTCAGCACTACTTGGAGCTTCATTATTAATTCCTTTAAAACAAAATTCAACAGTAATAGTTGATTTCTTTCGCAAACCATGATAATTCTTGCGAGTATAGAGTGGAAATGAACGAGCTACAGCACATCCCAATGCAAACATATGACTGCGATCACAAACAATCTGAAAGAAAAATTTACCTTTAAACATGGAGATATAAAGTGCAAGTTCATTAAAGTTGACAACCTACCAACACAGTTCCATCTTGCCCACTCATTATGCTGTTTAATAATGTGACAAGACTGTGTGGTCTGCTTGGTGAATCATGTCGACTGGCAAAATGTGGTAAGGCAGCTACATATGCTTGATTTAACCATAGACTGCAACCATGTGGTTTAGTCATTGATGGTGATAAGGACTTTATACATTCATTAAAAAGCTAAATTAAAAAACATTAAGCATGTTGCAATTGTATGCTTAACACTAAAACAAAATCAACTCACGTCTTCAGTGATACGACCTGCAAACTTTTCTTGAACTTCGTTAAAACTAAGTTTTCTCAAGTATGAAGGTTGACCAACAATAAGCAATTGTTTTTCTCTTGGATCAAGACTTGATTTTGCAGCTGAATACACGATGGTAACACTATATCCCATTGTAGAAGAATAGAAAAAGTAAATTCAACATAAACCAATTTTTCAGGCCGTTCTTGTTAATTTTGTTTAAACTAACCTCGCTTCCTCCCCCCCTGATTACAAATCGTCTAATCCAAGATGGCTGCCAAAGTGAAATTACTCCGTAACATGGTAAAAAGAAAGTGAAGAGGTCAATGTTTTCGTCCTTTAGTTAAAAAATGCATAGCTTTCATGTTGTGATTTCATCGCCTTGCTTGAAAGGTCCGAAATGTTTCTGGTATTTTTTATTCCATGTAAAAAATGACAACAAATAATTTTTCCATTTTTTCCACTTGGCAGAAAGCGTTATATTAAGTTGTTTGAATACAATCACCGGTATATTGAAATCATTAAAATACCCTCCACAATATTGTAAGTATACTTCACTATTTAAACGTGTTAGTCGGGAAAGATACAATCTACTCTCATGATTATTTTTAGGCTCATTAGCAGGCTTTGACGAGATAATAAACAAAGTTCTCTTTTTGCCGAGCAGAAAATATCAGGTATTTGACAACTCATAACTGAAAAACACCGAAATAGTGTTACTTCTTACCAAAATAAGATTTTTGTTACTTTAATAAAGTATGAGTGGGTTGACCTTGCAAAAAGTGAAGAAGAAAATACACTTGATTTGGGAAACATTTCAACGAACTTAGATAATGTGAAGTACGAAGAAATATTTGATAATATTTTGAATTTAAACACTTCAGTTGAACACATTTTATCATTTTCATGAAGATTATGTGATATTGAGAACATATCAGAAAGATTACATGAAATTGCAGATACCTTACACTTACATTGTGAGTTGTCATTCATCTTTAGAGCTACATCAGATAACAGAAATTTTGTAAATATTTCTTCAATATATTACCATGTAGATTATCATTTGAATATGTATTGGCTTACTTGTGGCCATGCAGAATGCATAGAATCATGGTAAAAATATTCATTTATATTTTTATTGTTTTTACGTTAGGATAGATTGATTTCTTTGTTATTTTTGGTTTTTTTTAGTGAAAATATTGCAATCCATGGTGTGTTAAGACGTCTTCAATTATGGAATGATGCTTCAGTTTATCTTTTTCCAAAAATATTTTAGGGTAGATGGATAACTTTCTTTGATAAAATTATTAATAGATGGCTGTCTTTCATTATTTTTTTAAAATATGTATAGGAATTTTAAAGACAAATGGTTTGAATGTTTTTGTCAACATGTCGTGACAAATGAGGGCGAAATAAAGCTAGATAATGATGTAATATGGTGGGGACAGTTAAGTTCCTTGTATGATGATAAGGTACTGTTTATGACTTTCATATGGGATCAAAATCTTTAGGTATAATATGTGTTATAATGATTTGATAGATTCGAGATGACTGGCGACTTTCCATTCTACAAAATTCACAGTCATTAAAGAAAGAAACAAAACTTTTCAGGTATGATGAGGGATATTAAATTTTTTACCATTTTCAGCTTCTCATCTTGACTGTATTCAACAGAAATAGAAATACTGCTGGAGAGAGTGAATCAAAACTTGTTTTTAATAACAAGATTAACGTTTTATATGAGATGAAGAAAGAATCACTACCAATGTGGAGAATCCTTCCTTTTCAATTCGTATTGTATCTTTTTGAAATCGTGCAACGAACATTTAAGAAATAAAAAATGTTAGCTGTGTTTTCACAAGCTTATGCAACAAGACGAGACCTTTAGGGAAACCTAATAAAAAATCAGTTACACTCCTCTAGTGCTCTCACAAATATCTCCAAGGTTTGCATAAGTCGTCAGAAACACGATAAAGGTCTTTTAATTCTTTTAACCCATGTATGTAGTAAGTAGATTGATTTGATTGAGCTCAGATGAGCTAATTTAGGCGTCTTTGATTGCTTTAATTAATTGAGCTCAGATCAATTTGCACAGGTTTATGCAAACACAGCGCTAAACCAATCACTACACACTTTTTGTTAATTTTATTTTATAGTTGATTTTAATGTGTGGAATTCAGCCTTAACTTCAATTTCAGATATCATAATAGTTTAATGAAAAGAGTTTTAGAAATTAAAGAATCAGAAGACAAAAGCTTCGATGAATTGTTTGAAGAAAATGTTTGTGAAATCATCCCGCATAACATTTACTCTTCGTGTGCCTTGATGAAATATGAATTTCTGTGTAGGAAAATGTCTTCATGGCTTCCCTTGCCCTTCGTGACCAGAAAAGTGAAGGACGAACAAAGAAAGATTGGATAAAGTTTATAATGAATAACGAGGGGGAAAATGGTAATGTGTCCAAGGCAATAATTTTTGTTTTGGCCAACGTGAACTAAAAAAGATGTAATTGCAACATTATAGAGTATGAAAATAGATGTGGACAGCACGAGAACGAGGCTCGCCACCTTATTTTGTATCCTGTCGAGGCGGGAATATTTCTTGCGTATTTCCTTAGAGAGGAAAACATTCCTTTATACATTATCCTTTTCTCGCTAGTGATCAATCAACGTTTGCATCAAACGAAAAACGTAAGACCAGCAACTTTATTTTGAGCTCTAATGTCCAAATACTCAAACATACATTTCTTAAATATTTTATGAAGAAGAATTGAATGGTTTGTTTGAAGACAAAACCGAGAGAAGATGGTTAAAATTAATTAGCATGATCAAAAGGTCAGATTGCTTTTTCAACAGTTGTAATCAAATGTTTTTGTTGTTGAACTTGTCTTTATGATGCTAGTTTGCACGAAGCTAAATTAGGAAATAAAAACTTTCTTTGTTGAATGTAGATCTCGCAAGAGTCCACTAGAAAGCGCATTTTCCTTGGCAGGTTAAACATCTTCCGTTCTATCGTTTTGTTGGTATTTGTCCTTGCTCTTTTTTTAAGCAGTTTATATCCTATTTATTAATAGTGCAATTAGATGCGACTGAAATGCTGAAATATTTTAATAAAGATGGGAAACCAAAGATAAGCAACTTCAACGATCTTACAACGGTAAACATACAGTATTTCAACTTTAAATACTAAAGCAATCCTCACGGAAATGTTTAAATTCAGATTAACAAAGAAAGAAACTCGAGTAAAGGGAAAGACACAGGTTTGAATCAACATGTTTCTTAGACTTATCGATTTTAAATATTCTTGTTCTATCATTTTTTTTCTTTTATAGATGACGAGAAAGAGAAAGTAATTTCTGGTGTTGAGTAAGTTTGACACTTAGGAAGAGGGAAGAAAAGTCTCTATACTAAAGCTCATCTTTAAAGGAAATATTTCATTTATTGCAGTTACTGCACAGATAGCAACAAATCAACAAGAATCCAAGTTTCACCCCAATTACTCCTCAAACATGAAACGTTATCCATTTGTAACACTCCAAACAGATTGGCGAAAGCCAAGTTACAAGATGTGAAACGAAATAAAAATAAAGATGTGTCAGATGATGTAAACTCTAAAAAAACAATCGGAGAAAGAAAAACATTACAGTACACAAGCAAAGATACAAAGATGAAATTAAGGTAATCATTTTTCATAAGATCATATCTTGAAATGATCTCCTTCAAACTTAATTGTTTAGAGCAAAAACCCGTTAAATAAACTAAGCAAGAAGGAAGAAACGATCGAAGCGAAATCAAAAAGAAGATCTTTTGATGGCTTAGAGATAAAGAAAGGTCTCTAAAAATTTCCTTTCTCTACTTAGTATATTTAAGTGACGTAGTTAGACGATTCCTCCTTTTCTAGACGCCGATAGAAGAGAGAAACGTTCAGAACGTCATAAAAGAGTAAGATGAAATGTGAACTTTGAGCAATAACTTGTGAAAGAATGTTCAATTCATCGTGAGTTTATTTTTTAGCGTTTAGCTCGAGTTGTAAAGCATGCACTGGTTAAATATGGAGTAAAACCAACAGATGATAACTTTACAACGTGTTCTGAAAGACTTTACTATGTTTGCAAAAGTTTCCTTCAGGTATCGTGAATTTGACATTAAATTAAGAAAGATGTGAAATGTACATGATTGAAGGATGTATTTTGAAGGATTTGAAGTCGTCAGAACGTCTGAATGAAGAAATGAAGAAACTAGCTGAATCGCATGTTTCTACGGTAACGACATTTACGTCATATGTCAATAGAGAGAGAACTTCAGCTGTCATTTTATGTTTTTATATCTTACTTAGGTTGTGGAGTTTGAAAAACGCCAAAAAGAAGACAAATCTTAGATATAGCCATTGATTTTATTATTAAATTTATGGGATTTTGTTCAAATCGTTAGTTCCCCAAAGGAACATTGTCATTATTTAATGAATATGTTATTATTCATTAAATTGTTGATTCAATGTAACTATGTTTCTTGAATTATATTATGTGTAAATATTTGAATATATATATATCAATTGTACGTTTCATGTAATGATATGAAATCCACATATTTAGTGCTTGAATACCTTGTGAATATTCTATGAACGTCAAATGTGACGTATTCAAAAATCTTCAACCTCAGTAATCATCGATCCACAGCTTTAGTAGTATGTCCAACAATCACAACCATTCTGGTTTAAGTCAAAAATCATCGCGTTGAACTTTTTCATTGGCCAGCCTCAAATCTGTGCGAAACTTTCTCAAATTCATGACCAGAAAAACTTAATTTTTCTCCAAAAATCGTCTAAAAAATGGAAAAAGTAAAAATTTCAATCGTAAAAATGAAATAGAGTTAATCTCCTAGTTAACAACTCACTTTCTAGCTTTCTGTAACATCTGTTTCTTGCGATCTACCAAAGATGTTTGTCTTTCACCAGATTCTAAAGCAAAATCAACACCAAATGCTCCTGGTTCGTTCACGTGAACATCACTAGAGCTAGAACCCTGTTTCTCTTCACGCTGACCAGCGGCATTGTCCACGTGAACATCACTAGAGCTAGAACCCGGTTTCTCTTCACGCTGACCAGCGGCTTTGTTCACGTGAACATCACTAGAGCTAGAGCCCAGTTTCTCTTCCTGCTGACCAGGAACTTCGTTCACCTGGACATCACTAGAGCTAGAGCCCAGTTTCTCTTCATGATTAATAGTAAAACTTGTTGGAGGTTTTTCCTCCAGATCATGACTAACAGCTAAGGAAGTTATATTTTCTTGCTCTTCGCTCTGTAAAAGGGAAGCTTCAGAGGAAAGTGAAGGTTGGTTAAACGAGGATTCCTGCCATGCCTACAAACACCCACACCTCATCATTAACGGAATAAACATGTAAATAAGAATATGGTTCAATAAACTCACGCTAACATTTGGCATGTTTCCTTCAAGAATGTTGTCAGTTGTGACGTCAATGGAGTTGGTCCGAGTGAGGTCAGCTCGTATGAGTTGAACTGGTATATCAGGGAAAATATTTTGAACAACATGAGTCTAAATAAAAAAAACTATGAGCAAAAATAAAATGACAAAAAATATCATTATATTAATGTTTACCATAGCATCAATTCTACTATCTGGTAATGCTTGTCTTCTCTCGCCATCTCCACCATGAAGAACTTCAACAGAAAAACTTGGAAACCAACTGGCAATTTGTCGACCATCAAAATGAAAGAAATGATTTCGAAATAATGTTCTTCGTGGAGGTCTGCTTTCTTGATCATTTGTATTTCTCATTTCCTCCTCAAGAGAATGACGGCAGGTGGGACATGTTGAATCATGTATGAGCCATGAGCACAAACATTCACTAATAAAGACATCGTGTAAAGAATTACATCATACTAAAGACAAAGGTTACATCATACTTAAGAGAAAGATTACCTCATGCTAAGAAAAAGACAAGATCATACTAAAGACAAAGGTTACAGCCACATACTAAAGACAAAGGTTACATCATACTAAAGACAAAGGTTACATCATACTAAAGACAAAGGTTACATCATACTAAAGACAAAGGTTACATCATACTTAAGACAAAGGTTACATCATACTAAAGACAAAGATTACATCATACTAAAGAAATTACATCATACTAAAGATTACATCATACTAAACAAAGATTACATCATGCTAAGTTACATCATCATCATACTTAAGACAAAGATTACATCATGCTAAGAAAAAGATTACATCATACTAAAGACAAAGATTACATCATACTAAAGACAAAGATTACATCATACTAAAGACAAAGATTACATCACACAAAGATTACATCATACTAAAGACAAAGATTACATCACAATCCAGTTACAGCTACAAAATCATATCTTACAAACCTGTGAAACATATGACCACACTTTAATATTTTAGCATTTTCCATTTTCTCCCAGCAAATAGCACATCTATTGTCTTGCATAGCCTCAAGATTTTCCTGTGAAGCATTTGTAAATCTACAACACAACAGAAAATGTTAAACATCTTTATAGCAAAGACTTCAAGATTATTTTTTTGCTTTATGATATTGCTTCCCATATTTATCTTTTAAATGTGTTTCATTTTAATTTACCTATTGTGGACAATTTTTCTCACTCTGATTATTTTGCGATGTTTGGCCAGTTTTTGTTTTACTTCATGAAAAAGTGAACGCAGTTGCATACCAAGAACAAGACTTGCCATACTCAGGAATATATTTGCATATATCTAAACAAAACGACTTGTCAAAACATAGAAACTGAGGAAGGAATTGCATTTTTATTCAAAGTCAGCTTTGCCATACCAACATATAAATATGATATATCATATCGAGAAACAAAATTGTCACGTCAAATCCCATTTCACAATAATATGTCACAATTTTCTGGTTTTGCCACATTGTGCTGCTATTGACCTCCAATAAATGTATTGCATATCTAAATAACATTAGCCATAAATTATTTAACCATAACTAGTTATTGTTTGATTTGTAACAATGTCCTTACTTTGTCGCCAACTGTAACACTTTCAACAACACCAAACTTATCTAAAAAGACAAGATTTAAAAGTAAAATAAAATACCAACTAACATTTTATAATAATCATTTTTTCAAACAAAGTTTACCTCACAAAACATAAATACAAAAACGTGAATATCTTTGTATTGTCCAACAAAAAATGCCAATCCAGTCAAAGAACAACATGAAAATATGATTGCAATAACAAGACAAACGACTTTACCATGTTGTAAATTTGTTGTTGATGGTGAATGACACAACTAGAACCATGTTAACATGATAAAATAATTAATTCAAATGTAAGCAAGATTTAACATCAATAAATAACATACGTACATATTGAAAACGATCATGACACAGTTGAGTAAAAAGTTGACAAAAACCAATAATTGTAAGCCAAGCACACCATAGCATTGCATCATTGATCTTCTGAACATTCAATACTCCAAACACAAATATAAATTTGTAGAACAAAAAATTCCAAAATTTATCCTTTAAGTGCTGAAAAGAAAAAAATTGCATACGTAAGTCGTAAATAAGACTTTAGGAGTAAACACTAACATGAAATGATTTTACTGATGAATTTCACTTTCACCTGTATTTCAATGGCTCTCAAATTTCCAAACACAAGCCTCTGAATGATTTTTCCAAATAGAAAGAATCCGCAGTAAGCCATATTTACTGTGGTCTATAAACAATAAATCATCACAACATTAATTTATTTTTAAATTGTATCTTCAACGAAAATGGTTAAAATATCACAGAGTTTATAAATCAAAAGGAAAGCATAACTTACCCAAATGTAAATGGGATCTTTCTTCGAACGGAACGTTAGAACATCAAATATACTTTCAAAATTTGTACCGTTTTCACCATCGTAGCTGTAAATTGAGACGATGATAAACAAGGAGAAACTTGCAAGAGAGTAGGTTTTAAGAGACGGAAGAGGAAGATTATCCAATAATACAACAGCCATGAGACAAAGTTCAATTTAATCTTCTTCTTAAACCTCTATAAGCGTGGAGAATTGATCTTAATATCGATAATTTCGACGTAGAGTTTAGAAGATGTCATCAGGCAGCAGCCATTAAATGGAAATGTTTTTGTTCGGAAGTCATCACCTTTCGCCCTGATCTCTTTATAATTGGTTTATAAAGAACTTCAATGATAGCACTACGGAATACATTGAAAAATATTAAATTTTTGAAATTAAAATCAAAAGTTAATTGTGCAAGATAACAAGAAAGATTACTTTAAAGATACCAGGGCAAATATCTTTTTATAAAGTTTTTCTGAAGTAAGAATTTTATTGGCATGTCATCACAAAAAAAATTTAAATATAATATGTGTTTCCACTTAACATTTCATAATTAAAAGTTTTCACAACAAAATGGCCGCCAGACAAGACATTTTACGAATTTATCGTTTACTTTTGATTGAGGCTAGAAACTTTAATAACTATAATTACAGGTAAGTTTTACAATATCATACATTCCAAATATCTCTTTTTATTGAACTTTCGTCTTTTATACTCGTTATTTAGAGTATACGCCATTCGAAAAGTTCGAGAATGTTTTCGTGAACGTATGAATGAAAAAGATGAAACAAAAATCATGGCGTTTTTGAAAGAAGCCGAAACAAGTTTAGTGAGTTTGAGAAGACAGGTAATATAATACTTCTGCCTTATGTAAAATGAGTCATTTTAAATATTGCTTACGGCATATGAAATATGTTTGAAGGCGTCAAATATGAGAGTCTAACGTACATATTTATAATTTGTTATATTTTAGACATTGCTGAATAATATTTATGGAACGTCAAAGTTGGTCATTGAATCATGAAGAAAAACACATCGTTATACTGTTAACACTTGAGCAAAATCTAGAAATTTTACTACTTGACTGTGACGTATGAAAAGAAGGTGATGAGGAAGAAAAAACGATTTCTGATGAACTTTAGAAGTAATAACATCATCCAAAAAGTAAACATTGTTTCAATTTATTTTTAAATTCGCTCTAAATTTACAACGATTGATGTTATTCTTAAATATAACATAAATACATTTATTACTAGGAAGAATTACTTTATTTTGGATAGAAAATTACTGGGAACGTGTTTAAATAATAGGATTTTCAACAACAGTTACAACACTAGAACTATCACTGGTCGTTGAAATTTCACTTGCTGGTCTTCCATCGTTATTCAACATGAAATTTTGTGATGCTTTATACAATTTTCTACCGTAATCTTCAATATTTCTCCAAACAGACAGTGAATCTTTATAGGCCAAGTTATTCGTTGATTGTTCGGGTATAACAGCCAAGGTACTAGCTTCTGACAGTGAAACGTACTTTGCATCTTCCCATAAGTCATGTCTGTCCTCCATTTTATCGTCGTTTACCGGACTACACTCGGGATTAGACGTGAGCACAACATCAATCATCGGAGGTATATCCCACGCAGGAAGTTCAGATAATCGTTCACATTCAAGAGGTTGAGAACTGTTGAATTTTGACGAAGAGCGTTTTGTATTGTCATGAATTAATACTTGTGTTGTATGCTGACAAGAAAACAAGCTTTTTTTGCCATTATTTGATTGATTATCGTGTAAATCATTGGTTTCGTTATTTTTATCTCAAGTTTAGTGATGATTTTGTTGTTGAACTTCTTCGTCCGTTTTCTGTTGTATTGATGATAAAACACAATGACAATTATTACCAAGAGTAAAACAAACGCAAAACTGCATAAACCTACAACGAAGAGATGAAAATTTACCATGAGAAATAACTCGATTCATTGCTTCAATAAAAACTCTTACCAAAAATCAATATAATATCTAATTCTATTGAATCAGCAGTCAATCTAATGATGTTTGCACCATGTTCACAATTTGATCCATTGAAACCAGGAATACAAACACATTTGTATGTTGAATCACCATCAACAACATGATCAAAACAAGTAGCACCATTAAGACAAGGATGTATTGTATCACAACGACTTTTTAAACATCGACTTTGACGCCATTCATCGTGACAGAAATGATTCAGACGACATTGAATATTATCACAGGCAGACGAACGACAATCGTTTTTTGTGTCTAAAATAAAACTGAAATGAATACATTCAAAAGAAAGCTCTTATAACTCATTGTTTGAATCATACCTTTGTAATGAGTGATGAAGAAGTATTTGTTTGATTCATAAGGAAACGTTTTACCATTCATACGTATATCTTTGATACAACCGTTAAAGTTTTCTTCATCAAACTTCACATTACCAAATGTAATTTCAGTTTGTTTGTTCAACTCAAGATGAATAAATGTATTCGGTCCCAAAACTGAAAAAAATTTTGTAAATTAAATGCAATAATTACCTAACGTAACATCGTATTTAATATATATAATACCTTTAGTTTCTTCATTATCCTTATCAATCGATAGATGAACCAAATTACGATATCTTGTAAGAGTTACATAATGCCATTGTCCATTATTTAAAAACGCACTTGTAATATTGGTGATAATTTTATCATTCTTTGAAGTTAAATTTACTTTAAGAGAAAGTTTGCCAGTTATGTGCTCTTTTACCAACTGAAAAGAATAAATTGCGTTGTCAATGTGAAAAGATTTATGAAAATGAAATGCATTGCACAGAGATATTTTATCGTCACAACTTACTCCAATGGAAAAGATCTGATGGCCATGTTGATTTTTGACTGTGACAAGACGTCCACCGTCTTTATCTCTTGTTCTGAACATCATTTGAAATATTGTCAATTTCGGATTATACGTTTTTAGAAACTCTTCATGCAACTTATACTTTATGAAACTGGACTCATTTAGTGTCTGTGCAATTGAGTCTGCAAATGAAAAGTATTCATAAGTTAGCAGTTATTCATCACCCTGTGGAAAATTGCAGTATTTTACTAACGTTTTTCACAATTAACTCCTTCAGTTCCAGGAGGGCATGTACAGGTATGTTTTGTCCTTGACGGCAGGCAGGTGGCATTCCTTGTACAAGGGGATGGCGATGGACAATGCTTGTTAATACTAGGACATCCTTTTTGTATACCCTTGCCGTACAAGGCATTATTCATTATTATTCCATTTTTTCTCACATTTCGTATACATCCATCGTAGAAAGTCGGTCGAACATCGTAAATATCCGGAATTGAAGTCAACAAGCCACCAAGTTGAACTGGAGTGTATGTACCAGGAAGGCTATATTAACAATTCAATAAAGTTTTAATAAAGGAATCCTTCAAAGTTAAATATTAAAAGAAGAAATTTACCGTAATTGTCTGTTGTTAAATACTATAAAACGTTCACAATTTGTACGATCTTCAACCTCAATATTTTCAACTTTTTTTACAGTGGATGAAAGACAATCATCAACAATAACACGTAAAGACTATAAAATGTTGAAAAAATTACAAATTTACAGATAAAATGCTATATTTAATGAAGAAAATTCAGTTTACACTACCGTAGCATTGTAATAAATTTCAACAAGATGCCATTCTCCATCATGAAGTGAGGATAAACCATCTATCTCTACAACTTCAGGTAATATATCTTGAAGTAACACCTTTACTTGTATTTTACCATCACGAAGTAGTATGACAAACATGCCATTTGTAACATAATCTTCGTAAAACGTAGGTCCAGAGTAAAGAAGAAGACCATTTTTATAGACGGTAGAAAACTCTAAGGATAAACTTCCAGTGATTGATGACTTCAATGAAGGAAACCATACTAAACCTTTGCCATTAAAACTTCGTGTGTTAAGTTCACAATTCGTACCAATAAAACGAGGAAAGCACGTACACAGAAAACCTGTAGAAGAAATGAAATATAAATGAAACAATCAGTAAAAGATTTAAATAGTTTCAGAGTACAATCATAGTTTTAAATTATTTCAACAAATCAACGTCGCTATTTACCTCCAAGTATACCTTGACAGCTAGCGGAATTTAAACATGGCCATTTTCGACAGGATTCTTCTACTGGTTGCAAGCTTTTACTATTCTCACATCTTACTTTGCAGTCAATTTCGAGGGAAGAAAATGAAAGACCTCTACCATTAGCAACAACTCTGATCCCTCCAGTTAACGATGGCGAACTTTTACATCCTTCAGAAGGACGTAATTTGTCATTGCATTCTTCATGTCCTATGATGACATTTTTCAAATATTCTTTATTATTTTTAGATGAAAGACAATCCATTCAGGAGAATAGTAAGGACTGCCGTGAATAGCTATTCTTAAATCTACCATATGATCAGATGTCTTTTGAATACTAAATACATCCACGTTTCCAGGTTTAGTTTTCAAGATTTGCGCCATACGTTTTTTATATTTATCAAGATTTGTCATCAATTCAATTTCTGTTGATTTTAAGAAACGAAGGGTTATACTATTTAACCACGCTTCCTGAGGGATGATATTCACGCGAATATTGACGCTACAATTCACTGCATCAAAGCTACTGTTCCTATCGGACACACGTACTAAGAATTTGTAATCTCTTCTTTCAGGTGGTTTTATCACAGTAATATTTCCTGTCTCTCTGTTTATAGTGAAAGTGTTATTGTCACCGCTTACTACATCATAATACCGCAAGTCAAGAGTATCGCTGTCGTTTACAAACACTTGACCAATAGGTACCATATGAGATAAAATTTGCTGTTCAAACACGTTCATATGTAACACCAAAGATCCTTCTTTGTGTTGGTTATCATTTACATCAGTCACGTGAATGCGTATCGTGATATTATTGGTCAAGGCTGGCCTACCACCATCTTGTACCCAGACCTTTAAAAGATACAGAGATTGCTCTTCTCGGTCAAATTCCATCATCGTTGTGAGTTTACATGTGTGACCTTGTCTTGATGAATGTAGTGAAAATCTTTTTTTCTCGTTATCATTCACAATTCCGCATGAAAATGGTCCACCATTTTCATCTTGGTCCGTTATAAAAAATTCTTGGAAAAATGGCTTAGAATTTTCCGGGACGTAGACATCACGTGGTTTAATATCCGGGAGGTTATCGTTGATATCAAGAACATAAATGTTAACATCGATTTCGTCGAATGAATATGGCGGAGCTGAAATGATATGAACAAGACGATATTAAACTGTTTTGTTGTTGCTTACAGCGAAATAATAAAACACCACACGTAAATTTTATGTCACGTGTAGAAATAAAACTTAACGTAGTATTTGAAACTCACCAGTGTTTGTAGCTCGAACTCTAAATACATAAACAATCTGATGTTCATAGTCCAAAGTTGTATTAATGTAAAGTTCTCCAGTGTTTTTATTCACGATCATATCTTTCGTATCATCCACAACAGAATATACAACCTCACGGTTCCTAAAAGAACCATCATTATCCCTCACTGAAAGTTTGGCACCAAGAAGTTTGTTGTCATAGCGACTTTCATTGAGATACACATCGTACGGCTGCAACTTCGGACGACAATCGTTCACGTCCGTAACAGAGATAATGACCTGTATAAAATATATAGGATATTTGGTGTACAGATAATGATTCATAAAGGATATTTGGGTATAAGTGAGGATTTTTGTAATACACTAACAAGAAACCTTACCGTCGTTTCATCAACCATTTCAGGTATACCATTATCTTTAACCTTCACAGCAAATTTGTGCTCAGTTTTCGTCTCATAATCAAGAGAAGCAGCTAACGTTATTATACCAGTACGTTCGTCAATTGTAAACTTATTTTGTAATCTAGAATCATGTAACTGAAAAAACAAAAATAAGACAACGATTCACCATTTTCCTGACTGCATTAATTATTGTTTAACAATAGATCAAATGAATCAATTATACAAACCTCAATAAACCATTTATTCCAACATCAATATCTGAAGCATTTAACCGTAAGATATTCAAACCAAGAGAAGCATTCTCCTCAACAGTTGCACGATAAACGTCTTTATAAAACTGAGGTTCGTTATCGTTCATATCCATTACATAAACAACAATATTTTTGAATGACATCATAGGACGTATCCCAGCATTACTAGCGGTCACAGTGAGTGCTACTGTGCTTATATTTTCTCTATCAAAAGCTAACGTAGTTTTCAGTACCCCCGTCTCATTATCAATGATGAATCCGTAGCCATAGGCTATCCCATAATACACCTTGCCATTGTCAGAATTGACATCATCAAGATCAGTGGCTGTGACACGACCAGCTACAGCACCAACAGGAGAATTTTCCAAAACAGACAATTTGATGTGAGTTTCAACAAATTTTGGTTCATTATCATTCTCATCTAAAACTTTTACCAAAACATTAACCGCCCCAGTCCTTCTATTATGATCATAAGCATAAGCTTGAAACATATAAGACTCTTTAAATTCTCGATCCAGAACAACCTTTGTGGTAATACGACCAGTATTATTATTTATTTTAAATATATTCTTCATGTGCGAACTAAGGTCATAGGTAATCCACTCAGCATCAGGATCGTTTGCTTTAAGGGTTATCAATGAACTTCCGACCGCCATGTTTTCTTTAATAAATGCTTTTATAGGCGATGCTTCAAACTTTGGATTATTATCATTGACGTTTATTATTTTAACAACCAAACAAGTTGTATTTCTATGAACTCCATCCCAGGCTCCCAATAACAACTTATACTCGGACTTTGATTCATAATCCAGAAGACCATTCACGAACACACGTCCATCTTCGTGATTGATTTGAAACTTTCCATCTTCATTTCCTTCTTTTATGGAGTAGGTGATCTTAGCATTGAGTCCACTGTCTTTGTCTAACGCGGTTACAGTGATAACAGACGTTCCAAGAGACGAGTTCTCTTTGATAAAAGCCTTATAATACTTATTTTCGAAGGCGGGTGAATTGTCATTTTTATCTGATATCGTAACCCTTACGGTGACATGACTTGATAACAAAGGTCTATCTTTATCGCTTGCCTTAACTTGAAAGAAGTATGTATTCTTTAACTCTCGATCAAATTTCGTTTTTGTATTTATGACACCTGTCCGTGAATTGATTTGAAAATAGTCATTTTTCTTCACCATACTATAAACTATATTCTCCGTTGTATCTCTGTCCTCTGCTCTAACATAAAGTACTTCAATTGGAGCTGCGGTATTTTCCGCAACCACGCCTTTATATCTCGATAGTAAAAACACGGGAGCACAATCATTAACATCCTCCAGGATGACTCTGAACGTGGTTTGTGACCTCAGTCCAGATGTTGTTTCTGCATAAATAGTTAATGTATAGATGGGAATGGTTTCATGATCTAGTGACTGTAATACACGAATATTACCATCAGGATCAATATCAAATGTTCTCATGTTATTTGTACTAGGAGTGTTTCCATATTCTATACCATACATGGGAGGATCTGTGTTATCTGAGCCTGCACTCACTTTATACACGATGCTTGGAAATGTTACATTCTCAGGAATAGTTTTTTCATAATAATTTTTCATAAAGTGAGGTTGATCTTTCGACTTAATTACGACGACTGTTACGTCAACTTCAGAAGTTAATTGTGGATTTCCATGATCACTTGCCAGTACTTTAAAATGTAAGTCTTCTTTCTGTTGAAAAGTTTTACTTTAGTTTGAATGATTCCTGACTGAGGATGAATAAGAAAAAGAGAAGAATATTTCTTCAAAGTGTATGTTATATCAGCATTGATTCCTTCGTCTTTATCATTTGCAATAACTTTTAATATTTCATATCCAACTTGAACGTTATCTTTTATTGTTTGTAAGTATGATGAAGATTCAAATGTTGGTCGATGATCATTAACATCAGTAATTGTAACGTCGAAAAAGCATAAACCTTCAAGTCTTTCCTCTGACTTCATATTTTTATCTCCGTCAATAGCTTTTACAATAATTGATAATCTTGGAGTTTTTTCTCTGTCCAGGCTTCTCGCAGTCTTAATATCTCCAGTCAAAGGATCGATCATAAAAAATTTTCCTGCATTAAGAAGAGCGTATTCCACGTTACCATTCTTTCCTAGGTCATCATCAATGGCTGTTACCTTTATAATTGGAAAGTTTGGAGGAGAATTTTCGGGAAGCGTCGGACGGTAATGAGAACAATTTGTGAATACAGGTACATGATTATTGATATCCTTAATGTTTACTTGTATGTGCGTATATACCATATGAATTCCATCAGTAGCTGATACATTGAGGGTATAATAAGGACCACTAAGGATAATCGATGTTTCATTTACCAACTTAAATTCTCCACTATCGGATTGAATAAAAAATATTCCAGCTTTATTGCCAGAAACGATTTCATAACTCAACTTGTCTCCATCTTCATCGCTAGCTTTGACTACACCATAACAAAAGAAAGATTGTATGAACTTTAATTATCAAGAAATATGTGATAATTGACAAATTCATAACTTTATTAATAAACTTGAATGTCTGATAATAAATTCTTACTTTTCGTTATAAGACTTCCCGGTTCGGCATTTTCCAAGATCGTAAATGATTGAAAATTTGTCGTAAATCGAGGAACATTATCATTAACGTTCGTGACGTGGATTTTAATTTTTGCTTTTCCACTAAGACTTGGCTTTCCTCTATCGTGAGCGGTAACCGTGAAAACATGAAAAGATTTCATCTCAAAATTCAATAAAGACGCAATTGATATCATTCCAGTATATGAATCAATGATAAAGAAATTGCTGTCGATTGAATACGTAATATCCCCGTTGAGGCCAGAATCTCTGTCTGATGCATGAACTTTAAGGACTTTGCTCGCAATTGGAGAACTTTCAGGTACAAACTCAGTATATAAATCTTCATCAAACTTGGGATAACAGTCATTAATATCTTTCACGTGAATTACAACTCTTGCAGTTGATCTTGGATTTTTAGTCTCTACATCAACCTCGATGATTTTTTTATGCATAGTTTCAAAATCCAAAGTAGAAAAAAGAGTCAAGACGCCCGTGTTTGGATGAACACCTAAAAATTCATCTTCAATGGAAAGAAAATGTTTTTAGTACACATTTACACATAAAATTTGTACTTTGTATTTATCCTATTATGTTATTTTGTCGATGTTTTAATTTTATATCCTTATTTTGTACTCATTCAACCCTCAATGTGTTCTCATTCTACCCTCAATGTGTACTCATTCCATCCTCAATGTGTACTCATTCTACCCTCAATGTGTACTCATTCTACCCTCAATGTGTACTCATTCTACCCTCTGTGTCATCACTATATTCTCACTATGTAGTTATCCACATGAGATGTTCATCATTCATGTTCATGTTAGAGTGTTCTTACTTTGTTTTTATTATGTTGTAAACTATCACCTTACCTTATCCCCACTATGTTCCTCACATTTTCTCACTATACTCCTGCCATATACTTACTATGTTCCTACCATATCCTCACTATATTCCTCACATATTCTCACTATATTCCTGCCATATCCTCACTATGTTCCCACCATAGACTTACAAAAAAATTATTCTAATAAAATAAGGCAAACTTTTTTTTATTTGAAATACTTTAACTTCACTTACTTGGCCTTCTCAGTTCATATGTCACAGAAAGTCCATATCCATTGGCTTTAACTTCCCCAATCTTATAACCAATGTTTTCTGATTCATCAACATTAAAATGATATTCATCTTTTGTAAATTCCGGCTTCAATGATTCAGCTGAGATAACTATGCATGTCCGAGTGCTTTTTTCAGGTGGTCCATTATCGTACACTTTAACACAAACTTTGTACTTCGATTCCGATAGAGAAATGCCGATGGTGGTCAAAACTCCTGTATCACGACGTAAATTAAAGAGATATCTACAATCGTGAGTTGCGTGTTCACAATCCTCACATGTATCAATTAAATAATAAATCTTTCCATTTAAACCACTGTCGACGTCACTTGCAACAAACTTATATACAACGCTACCAAATTGGGCGTCTTTATGAACTTTAACTGTCGGACGTTTGTCACAATCATAATCTTTGTCTTTGGTAGGAGTTTTAAATATAGGATAGTTGTCATTGGCATCCTTTATGTTGATTGTGATATCGTAATCTTTTTCATACGTTGATCCTTTTGACCTTACGGTCAATGAGTAATTTTGCTGTTTTTCGTAATCAACTTTTCTTGCTAACGTTATATGACCTTTGAAAATGTCGATAATAAAGGGGGACCTAGGAGGATAAATGATAGTATATGAAGTTGGGTTGTAACTTTTATCCATATGAAGTGATAACGGAATTTTAGTATGAACAGGTGTATCTTCACTTATGTCAGCCTTCATTGTAACACTACTGTCTCCATAATTCACAACGACAACTGTTATTGTCACAGAATCATTCAACGAAGGTCTACCGTTATCCATAACCGTCACTGTTAGATATATATTGTCTTTAATGTCCGTTAATGATCCTGTAGTGGTAATATGTCCTAAAACGTTTATGGTGAAAAGTTGAGAAGAAAGCGAGGGGGTCTGGAGCAGAATAAAACGGAAATCGTCATTATCCTCATCATTGACCTTTATATGTAAAAGTGTCGTGCCAATTTCTGCATATCTTGATATACGACAAAATATTTCATTCTGAATCTTGTTTAAAATTTTTGGTCTATTATCATTCACATTCTTCACAATCACCTTAATATGCGCCACACTCATACGTCCCTGTGGTCAGTGGCACTGACCTTGAAGTTGTAGTACTTGATGTTTTCATAGTCTAAAGGTTTTGTTGTCGTTATATCACCTGATATTGGATGAACATCAAAATCAGTTGTGTCGCTTTCAAAAAGATTATATGTTATCAAATCTTTACTGATGGCGCTTACACGAAGTACTTTCGTGCCTCTGTCTTCATTTTCCAATATTGTTGCGTTGTATTCTTGTAGAAATCCAACAAAAGAGAAACGCGGAGGTCCCTCACTCATTTCCACAATAACACAAAGTGGTACTGTATCATTCAATGAAGGTTTACCATGATCAACGACCGTCACATTAAATACAAACTTTCCTGGTTGAAGTTGTCCAAAAACTGCAAATGTTCCTTCAGAATCCAAAGTAAACATTTCACTTGTTGGATGCAAAAAATATCTATAAAATAACAGAGAAATGGTCAACTTTTCAAGTTCTCTGGTGAACAAATATAACAGTCATTTAGTAAACATGTGAACATTCAATAATCTTTGACAAACCTTAGTTCGCCATTCAGTTCATCATCGCGGTCAGTGGCCTTCACGTTCAGTATGATAAAGCCAACTGGAGCGTTAACAGAAACACGTTGAACGTAACTTTGTGACGTAAAACGGGGGGAGTTGTCATTTTTATCTTTGACATGAACAATCAATCGACAAAACGTCTTATGTCCACCTTCATCTTTAGCTTCTATTGTTAAAACATGTTTGTTCAAAAATTCACGATCTAACTTTCGTTTTATCATTAATATGTTATCATAAATTTCAAAACTGTTTCGATCCACGTGACGTGATACTCCGACTATCCCGTATGTAATACCCATGAAGTCGGAATCCGTAGCATTAGCCGTCCAGATCTTCATACGATCAGAGTCTTCATCAGTGTACGTTACTAGCTCATTTGCAGGAAAATAAGGTCGACTGTCATCAATATTGTTTACCGTGATTATGATGTTGGAGATTTCAGAATTATTTCCGTCGTTTGCTAAGATTTTTAAATTATATTCACTCTTAGTTTCATGGTCTAATTCCTTTACTGTCACAAGTCTTCCACTTACGTCGACGCAAAATTCATTTCCAAAGTTTCCTCCCACTATGGAATATGTAATATTTTCCTGGGACCTACTCTGCAACGTGAACCTCGTAATATCCATACCTACCGACTGGTGTCCCTCGTTCACATCATGACGTAAAAGATCCGTGGATATGGTCAGATTGAAAGTATCTCTAATAACCAAAACATTTACATCAAGTTCACTCTGTTTACTAGGCAATCCTCTGTCATCAGCAATGACCGTTAATGAATAAGGCCATCTACGAGATGCAATGTTTTCTTTTGCTGTTATTTCTCCGGAAACAGAGTCGATGTTGAAGAGAATTTTGTTCACAGATTCTTTCAGGCTGTATTGTATTACATCATCAATGTCATCATCATAAGCATGGACTTTAGTGATTACTGTTCCTGCACGAACATCTTTATTCATGTTTACATCCAGTGGATTAAATGGAGCAACAAATATGGGTTTATTATCGTTGATGTTTAACACGTTGATAATTAGAAGTTTCTACAAATAAACAAATTAATTTTCCTCAACATAAATTTGAATTTTTTCCTTCGGGAAATGAATGGCTATGTAATGGGTTTTACAAGTAGATATGATTTTTACCTCTTTGGCAAACTGCATTTGTTGACATTGTGTACACGCTACTCTGATGGCAATTTCATAACTGGCAGTTTTTTCATAATCCAATGGTTTTGCAACAGTAACATTTCCATTTGGGGAGATATGAAACACGTGATCAGTGTTTCCACCAACGATGCTAAATTTTATATTTGCCTCATTCACATGAACCTTTGTAACAAATGTACCAACGGGAACATCTTCTTTTAGTGTAGGATTTACTTCAGAGAAAGTAATTGCAAGAAAAGTGTCTGTGAAAACTTTATCCACAAAAATAACACACATAACCTTTGTTAAGCGTCTTCCTTGATCTTCTGCAGAAACTTCCACAACGTGTTTTCCAAAACGAAGTTTCCCAATGTACGATGATAATCGACCACTGAATCTATCAATACTAAATATGTCAGACGGTCTAACCAAGGAATATTGTAATGACCCGTCATAGTCTTCATCTACGGCTTTCACAGTAAGGATAGACATGGTATTGGGTGATACAGAGGTATAATAAGAGTCTTGAAGAAACATGGGATCGTGGTTGTTGATATTTATTACCTGAATAAGAAGAAAAATCTCGTTTATTTCAATAAAATGCTAAATAAAAAAGAGGTTTACATTACCGTTATGTTAAGGATAAAAACATCAGTTTTTTGTGTCTCTCTTGAAGCTCTATCGCTGACTTTAACTCGTAAAATATAAACTGACTTTTTCTTAAACCATTTCAACGTAACTTTATTCTTAACATCACATCCTGTTGGCTTTGTAATCACGTGAAAGTATCTTGAATCCTGGGGATAGAAGCTCTCAAGACTGCAATCAAATTCGCCATTTTTGCCATCATCTTCATCGATAACCGACAGAAATTTAATACTTGTATCAATATCCACTTCTTCTTTAATCACAACTGAAAACAAAAAACAAATAAAAAACAACTTTATCGTCTACCATTTACATTAAATTTGACCAGTAAATTTCAAATGAGCGGTAGTAAATGAGATAACTATGAAGTAAAAAGGAATAAAAATCCCCTCAATAATAAAAAGGTCGTATACATCACGTCATTACTTAATACTACCTGTGTTCAACTGCGACTCAAACTTTGGTTGATCGTTCACATTCATGACGAGAACTTTTACTGTGATATTGGTGGATTTCGGTTGATCACCAAAGTCTGTAGCTTGTATTATCAACACATGTTCCTCGTTATCCTCAAAATTTAAAGACTTTGACGATAGAGTTCCAGTGAGCAAATCAACATTAAATAAACGGGTATTTCCAGACACAAGTTTGTATTGAATCTCTGAGTTTTTGCCAGAATCTCTGTCAGTGGCAACGAGACAAAGTAGACTGTTTATTGTGCCACGATTCTCGGATATTTCAACCTGTAAAAGGAAAGTTATTTTCAGCATTACTCTGGGAAATTGAGAAAACACTTAAACAAAGATTGAAAACTTACAATATAACTATCACGAGAAAAAATTGGTGCATTATCATTAACGTCCTTGATATGAATCAACAACAACGCTCTTGATTCTCTCGTACCATTCCTTGCAGTGATTTCCAGAGTATACTCATCACTGTCTTCTCGATCTAAAGATTGGGTCGTACTCACTATACCTAAAACACATCGTGATAAAGTTAATATAATTGCATGATAAAAAATCATCTAAAAATGCAGTTGAATAATTTATTGTTTTTATGATCATGTGATCATAACGTTTAGATACATCGTGATAAAAACCATAAAACCACAAAGGTGACAACTTAAAGTATCTTTTTAACGTAAAGATAATTTTCTCGTTAAAAGGAAATTACCACAAGCGATGGGAAAATATATTTGCATAATAACTTTCAGCAAAGTTGACATTTAAGAGAAGATAAGTTTTTAGTTATTTTGTTAACTTATACAGATTCACCAAATCTTTCCGTTCACAAACTTATTTTTCCTTTATGAAAAAAACTTAGCTACGTGATAAAATTTTACGCAGAAAAATGATTTTTTTAAGTAATCTTACATTATTTACGCCAGAAAATTGCCTTATGCTATACTACCAATGCATCGTTATCTCTATTTATTTCCACAGTTGCACGACATTGTGGCAGAATTAAAAATTTTCCTTGATGACTTACAAAAAGATTAGAACTGTCGAAAATAAGGTGCAAATAACATAATTAACACAACATAATCACGTTCTACCTTCAGGTTGACTGGATTCTACGTTGGTTTAAAGAAATCTTTTCGCAAATTAAATTATTGTTATCATAAATTATTCTCAACTTAAGAGATGATGAACTTTTCAATAACTACGTACGTGTACTTGCTTTAAAATTACTACCGTATTTTAACAATATGTACTTACCAAATTTCAAATCTATTTCAAACTTGTTTTCTTCGTTTCCATCCGCGATGAAATATTCCACAGTTTGTTCTTGACACAATCTAGCCTTCGTGACGGCCACGAAAGCTCCACGCAGGATATTTTCTTCGACAGTTGCTTCATACATAACTGAATCAAACATTGGATTACAATCAAGATCTCCAAGAACTTTTATCAATATAAATTGTTTAGCAGCTCTCCAGCGAAGAGCGCTATCTCTAGCTTCGATCATCAATCCAAATTCACTGAATCCTTCATAAGAATTATCCATCATTGTACTAAGATAACCTGTTTTACTATCCAAAATAAATCTGCTATCACCTTCATCAATGGAATATTTCAGTTCACCATTCAAACCTTCATCAGGATCAACAGCTTTTACAATATGGAAAACTCCTTTGTATCTTTTCACATGAATGCCAATATTATTTCTCCTAAACACAGGAGTGTGAAAGTTTTTGTTGGAACTCTTTACCAGAACAGTTATAAATGTTTGATTTAGTTTCGATGTTGCTTCCATCAAAGTCAAGTTCAACTCATATCTTTTTTTCATGTGAAAATTTAAATTTTTCACTAAATACAGAAAACCACATTTATCATTGACTTTAAATGGCATTTCGTCATTAGATGCAATTGTGAAATAAATGGTGTCTCTTCTATCGACAACATCTGGAAAAATATGTGAGAATTAAGTGGCAAATCTTCGCGTATTTGAACGACATAAGATGATTTGAAGAAATGTGGCGATAAAGCTGAATTCATCATCGTTTTATCTCCTTCGTGGATTTGAAAGTTTGCAACAACTTCAACGGGCGTTGCCTGAAAACCGCGATCTTTAGCAACCACGGTCATCTGAATCAGTTTTTCATTTATATTGTGTAAAACTCTAGAAACACGTATCACTCCAGTATGAGGTTCAATTGTAAAATAATAATCCATTTTTTTCTCCTCTTTCTTAAAATAATAATAGATCTCGGCGTTTTCATTCAAATCACAATCTTCCGCGTGAATTTTTAAAACTTGGGAACTTACAGCTGTGGATTTTAGGACAGTAACAATGTACTCCTTAGATTTAAAAACTGGTTTACAATCGTTCAAATCGTCAACATGAATTTGAACTTTAGTGATAGTTTTATGATCGCCATGATCTGAAGCTTCCACATTAAACATGTAAAATGATTCATTTTCTCTATCTAAAGGTATTTTACTGCGAATATTCAGAAATTTAATCCCGTTAATGTCTTCTATTTCAGCAACAAATTTTTCTGCTCCTCTTCCGGGAAGAATTCGATAAGTTTTTACAGGAAGCATATCGCCATCTGTTGCATAGATATTATGTAATCCACGAACGAGAGAATTCTTTGGTTGATTCTCTTTAATATTACCAATGTATAAATCTTTCTTGAACCTTGGATAGTGATTGTCGACATCTTCTATGGTCAGGGTTAATGAACAAGCTGTTGTCCAAGCATTTGTATGTTTAGCAAGTACAATCAAACTATATTCTTGACCTCGTTTAACGTCCAATCGAACATTATTCTTCACCGTACCTCTGAGCGATATGTGGAACGTTTCCAATGCTTCCTTTGTATAATCATCTTCATAAAAATAATAACTAATGTTTTCATTTTCGCGAAAGCAAAATAAAACAGTGCCAGTCGGGACAGCTTCATTAATTTTCACCTTCAAAGATCGACCAGACGTGCAGGTCTCAAAATTGTGTAAACTTTCAACAACTGTTGATAAATGGAAAGCAATGAAAACGAGACGAAGCCAGAACATCATAGCTTTAGTAAACGTCAAAGTCACTTAATGACTTTAACATCAGAGTCAATTGACACAAATTGAAACGGTTTCAATAAAGAAGATAGTATCTTCAGCTGTTGTTAGAATGTACGCAATGATTTTATAAGATAATAATTTTTGCCACACAAGATAAACATCTCCAGCGAACTATTTCTCGTTATGAACAAATGTCAATTTATCCATTTTGATCATTTACACACAATAAATTGCATGTATTGTAAACGCTGTAGCATACCTCCTGACATCTGTAACTTTTACAATTACCTGTGACGGTAAAGATTTCGTAAACATAATTATTTACGTCGAACTAAATTGCTTCTTAAGTGCAAGACTGCAATTTCACTTTACAAAAGCAGATGTCTAAGATGATAAGAAATTAATCACGTTCAAAAATAACTAGCTGTATGTTTTTCTAAGTCAACGTATCATCAAAACTGACAGACAGCGAAACAAAACGTGTGAAATTATTTGTTAATTGATGAGCAACGCAACTTTAAGTAAACAATTTTTATACAAAATAATATTTTTTAAACGCGAAACGCTTTTACAGGTCTGTTTGTAAAATATTAGCAAACTAAAATGTTAACGCAATTGAAACACGTGTATGTGGCTGGAAAATAAAACGATGCTCAATACCTTGAGAGGATTCAAATTCATCGAAAGGATTTAAAGTATCGATATGACAACAAAGCCATCTTCTATCCAGCCTTCATGACATAAAGCTCAATAATATAGTCTGATACCCTATGGAAATGATAAAGATTCATATAATAGTGTTTATTATAGTCTCTAAACGTTTCTATGCAACATTATACGATAAAGTCGACATCATGCTATGTCTTCAAATCCCGCTGTGAAAAACTTTATTGATCCTTTTGCAAATAAACGCATACCTTAAATAAAGTTCAAGCATCTGTCCTAAGGTGAGAGGACATGAGAACGTAAAGAACAACTTTGTAGGTCCCATTATCTGAAACATAACGAAATATTTTGTCTTTTGTTTTTAAAACTGTTACAAAAACCAGTTTTGAAAAATTTTAAAACCTTGCAATGTTAGATGAACGACACGCACGAGGTCTGGTAACGAGAGGAAAATGAAAAATGGCATACATGAAAGTGGGTTTGAAATTCTCTATAATGTTGAAGTCTTTTTAAAGTATTGCAATGATCACAGTTTGAATGGCTATCTTATTATTATATAACCATGAAATGAAAGTAAAAATAATCTGATGTGACAGAAAGAGCAAAAAATTACTTCAATTTCACAAACATCTAGAATTGACAGAAAAGATATTTTATTATAAAATACATGGGCTCAATCGTTACAAACATTTTACTCATCAGAAAGTTCAACCAAATCTACAACTTATCTTTCTGATAGACGTAAGGTAAATTAGTTATTTATTAGTACTGACAGCTAAGTACAACTACATATTTCGCTTCTAAGAGCGATAATGAGCTCTTGAGCTGAAATTCATTACATAGCAGTGTACAATAAAGTAGTGTTTAAAGAAAAAAAACGCCAAAATACATAAAATAAAAGCTAGGTCAAACTATACAATCAAAAAAATTTTGCAGAAGACAATTTTAATATCGTCAACCACTCCTTTACGCCAAAGTGCCTTCCTCGTCGTCGTCGTCATCTTCATCTTCATCTTCAACAGGGTTGAATATCTTGTTAAGATTCTCGAACTTTCTGCCCCAGTCCTTAAGGAATTCCCAGTCTTGCTCCTCCTCATCTTCATCATCGTTATCTTCGATTTCACTCAAGTCTGCGAGCTCACCTTCATCACCTTCATCCTCCCAATGTCGCATTTCATCTTGAGGCCACCAAGATATATCTTCATCAGCATGATCAATTCGATTAAGAATAAACGGCCAGAAAACTGGACTCTCTTCCTGTTCAGATTTATAGAACTCCTCTTCTTTCTTAGATTTGACCGCTAAAGTAAAACGGATTTCGCGTTAATTTTGTTTTGATTAAACTCCAACTTAAAGGAAATAGAGTAGGTTTACATACCATCAGGTGAGATACGATTAAGAAGAACAACTTGTTCAGGTTCTTTACCGTTTGCATGTTTACTCACAGTACCATGTCCATCACGATATGAATATTTCATTAAATGATTGATATCATAATCGTACGTATCTTCTTCACCAGCACCGTCATCGTGATAAGGCATTATACTATCTTGACCTTCGTCACCGACCGGTACCGAATGTGGAGCTTCTCGTTGTTTCTTAATGAAGAGAAGAATAAGAGCAAGAAGCAAGATACATAGGACGATAACAAGAATGATGATAAGAACACCGCCATCTTCCCATCGTGCTCGACCGCTAGCTCTGAAATTTCCTGAAATTAAATCATAAATTGAATATCATCATGATGTGGATAATGATAGATAAATAACAGTATTGTCTCAACCGAATGAGGTATATATTAGTACAGACATATACAAAATTCTCACATGTACTCTCAAAGCAACTTACCAAGTACAGGAGCGACGTAAACAATATTCTCACATGTACTTCCAGACCAACCAAAAGTACATTTACAGTAAGGTTTGGCAGCGTCAACACATTTACCGCCATTGCGACAGAAAAGATTCTGTCGTGTACAGGGACAACCACTTTTCACATTAAATCGAATCTTCTTCACATCTGGATGGGCATCAAGGTTTCTACCATTGAACGTTGTACTACCAAGACAACCTAAAGATAGTAAAAACATACAAAAATAAACAGACAAACAACAAATTTACTTTAGTTCGAACATTAAAAAAAATTCTTCCAACAAAGTAAAGAATTATTACAAAACACTACAAACTTTCACTTTAATACAAATTCAAAGCAATTCCTCTTCCTTGAATATAAAACCTTTTAAATATTCCCCAATCCTTTGAATTTCCTCAATATTTATTACCCATGTTTATCCTGTACTAACCTTTCATGTCCCCTGCAATATTTGTAACGGTCCTACCATCAGTTGTAACACCAAGTATCGTGCCTGCAGAACGGCGATATCTCACGTCAGTATTAGGAGCTCTTACTATTTTTTTGAGAGGTATAGGACTGGGTGCAGCTCTTGAAAGACCTCCAACGTTAATCTTTGAAGAGCCCATACGAATCAACTGTTTCATACCACCTGAAATGAAGATCGAGAAATTACATTAAGAAAATACATTCCATTCTTTGGACTGATGATTGGTCAATGTTAAAACCTTTAATGTAACAGAATTATAGAAAATTTACTTCGATGTAAACGGCAATTATACGGTTTTTAGTTCAATAGATTTTATTTTGGGCTGAAAAAATCGAATGAAACGATAAAATTTCAAGATTTTCATGTTGTGGTACTTTCATTTTGTAATTCAATAGGATTTTACAGTAAACAATGTTAGTATATTATGAATAATACTCTGTACAGAAAATATTTCAAATATTCTTAGAGGAATTCAGTAACAAAACTTACCTGTATTTCTGCTCACGCGTCCAGCATAATCAATCTGTAAGACAGCATAATTTCCTTGTCTTGAGACGACAACAGTGTGCCAATTACCATCATCAACTTCAGCTCTGGGATCCATTTCAAGACGAACCAACGCATCAAGTAACTTAAACTCAAAGTATAACTTCTGTTCTTCGTACTATGTCAATAAAAAAAGGTAATGTTCTTAGTTCAAGTCGAGGTATGTGCATATGAAGCTCTCTTTAAAACATAAAATTTAAAAGCAATAAAAATACCAATAAAGACCTCACCCCTAATCTGCTGTACTCTCGACCGTCTTGACTGATCATATAAAAGAACAACGCAGTTTTAACTCCAGGATCAAGACGAATCTGCATGGTGATATAATTGCTAAAACGATTAAAGAAACTGCCAGGTTCGTCAGCAACAGCACGTTTCCTTCGACGTTCTTCACCAGGTAAAACATATTCTGTGAAACTATTTCCCTTGTACCAAAACCGAGGTGCAACTAAAACGTAAATCATGTTATAGCCCGGAGAAATGTTATAGAGCAGTGAATATACACATGGAACCATTAACTTATTTTTAATATATTCTCAACATTTGTACTGCTAGTACAAAGTCAACTTTCTTGATGTAACGACTTTTATTAACAAGTAAAAAACTTACTTCCGCTGCAGTCATCACCAACATAACCAGGAGGACAAGCACATGTACTACGTCCAGCTCCGGGTACACAATAACCATTATTTTTACATTTTATACACGAAGCCATAAGAGTACAACCTTCTGGAGCATTCACCACCTTCAATGGATACGATAAGTCGTACATTTCCAAGTTTTCTGTGATCTTACGAATGCAACCGTGGAAATATTTATAGACGATAGAATTCGAATGAGGGTATTGTAAAGGCATTCCTTCAATACCACCAATCTGCATTGGACCAAGTCCGTTTAGAAATCTGAAGAAAAATATCAATAAGAGAAATGAAAATCATTTTCAAAAAAAGCAGTAACTTTTAAATCTTATCCTTACTGAAAGTTGCGTTTTGTCTTTCCTACAATTTCACAATTTTGCCGCAGTTCGACAATTCTTTCTCCATTTTCAACCATATCAGCCCTCATACAATGATCAATAATTACTTTAATCTCCTACAAAATATTGAACGTTATCATAGTCTGAGTAAAAATTCATCATCATTATGAAGTTAGAAAAGAAATAATTACCTTTCCTTTATGAGATACATCAACATGATGCCATTTCATGTTATTCAATTTCGGACCTTTGTTCATATATATCATGACAGGGTCCCATCCGAAAGAAATACCAACTTTAATAAATCCACCTTCTAAACTTATGGCCAAGAAATCTGAAATATTGTTGTTTCCACCTAGAACAAAAAAAAACATTTACAATTAAAGATAAAGGAAGAAAGCATTCTGGGATATTTTTATGTATGACGTCACCTTGTACTGCAGGTCCTTGATAAAGAAGAAGACCATCAGCTGCTCTTGTAGCAAACTCAAGGGAGACACTGCCAAAGACGTGGGGTGTCTTAGGAGAGAGCCAAATATAAGAGTTTTTGTTAAATGTTCTGGTCGTCATTTGACATCGTGGTCCACTGTATTTACTGGGACATTCACACACAAAACCACGTGGTACAACATTGTGACATGTTCCTGAAGATTAACAAATAAATAAATTACTGGTTATCAAGGACACAGCTGAATGTCATAGAAACTTTATTGCATTATTTCCATAAAACGCAACGAAGAAAACCAAGTCCAGAAAAACCATTGATTTCCCCCCTTTGAGTAGTAGTCCCCTTACCTCCATTGACACAGCTGATCCCACTACTACATAGATCATATTCAGGGACAGTAGTCCCCCCTTACCTCCATTGAGACAGCTGATCCCACTAATGCATAGACCATATTCAGGGACAGTAGTCCCCCCTTACCTCCATTGAGACAGCTGATCCCACTACTACATAGATCATAATCAGGGTCAGTAGTCCCCCCTTACCTCCATTAAGACAACTGATCCCACTACTACATAGATCATAATCATGGTCAGTAGTCCCCCCTTACCTCCATTAGACAACTGATCCCACTACTACATAGATCATAATCAGGGTCAGTAGTCCCCCCTTACCTCCATTGAGACAACTGATCCCACTACTACATAGATCATATTCAGGGTCAGTAGTCCCCCCTTACCTCCATTGAGACAACTGATCCCAGTAGTGCATAGATCATATTCAGGGTCAGTAGTCTCCCCTTACCTCCATTGAGACAACTGATCCCACTACTACATAGACCATATTCAGGGTCAGTAGTCCCCCCTTACCTCCATTGAGACAACTGATCCCAGTAGTGCATAGATCATATTCCGGGTCAGTAGTCCCTCCTTACCTCCATTGAGACAACTGATCCCAGTACTGCATAGATCATAATCAGGGTCAGTAGTCCCCCTTACCTCCATTGAGACAGCTGATCCCATTACTGCATAGATCATATTCAGGGTCAGGATCTTGATGATATCTGTCATATTCTGCATCAGCAAAAAGGTTGATTGATGTCATAGAATATGTATAATCAAGGTTATTTGTAATGCCTCTGTAATCGCTAGCAATAACAGTATATTGATCGCCTTGACGACGAATGATATTACGACACATTGCAGATTTGGTCGCTTCTTCTGCACAATAATCAAGACCAATCATGCTAACCTCTAAACCTGGAAAATAATAAAATGTTAAAATGAATTGAATTGTTCGAAATTACGTCTATTTTATAACTTCAATACTTATCCAGGGGCCGGTTGCACGAAGCCAGGATAGCGTTATCCATTGGATGCTAATTTTTTTAAAACTTTTATGAAACATTTGAAAAGCGAAAACTATGAGATTCGAACTGAGCAATCACTGAAATTAAATATTGTTTCGAAGATTACGAAATTTCTCAGTCGTAAGAAAATTTTTGTTATCAAATGGATAACACTATCCAGGCTTCGTGCAACCTGCCCCAGTTGAGGATGAGATATAAATAATTTACAGTCAATATGAGATATAAAAATACTAACCAAGGCCAGCAACCGTTTCACTTCTTTTCCGCTCTAACATATTTATCAAATTCCACCGAGGTAAAAATTGACTACGGGCACTAGACTTTTTCTTGATAGCAAAATGAACATCAATTGCAGGATCACTTCGTCGAGGTTTCACCTCCATTTTGGACTTTTGAATACTGAATATGAACACATCGGACAAAGGAACATCAAAAATAGTGGACAAACGCTGTTCAAAAACTTGATACAGAGTACTTTGTGCAAGTGGATTAAAGAAACTACTGGGAAAGACGAAGTTATTTTTCTGTATAACTGAAGAGTCGCACTGTTGTTTATAGATTCTTGTGGTATATTACGCACAGTCACTTCAACATTATAGGATCGTGTTCCATCTTGAATTGTAAATTCATATAGACCAACTTTGACTGTGCTCCTAGCTCTTATCCAGCCATTATTACGATCAAGTAAAAAGTCATCCGTATTACCTTAGAAAGAGAGAGAGTAAATATCACATGATAGGACAAAAACTTTACAATTATGATGTTGTGAATCGACAAGAAATGTTTAGTAAAGTCAGTTCAAATTAGACCACTACATGTATATAAATAAAAATAGTAGTACATACCCCGACCAAATGTAAACGTGGAACTGGAAGAATAAATCTTTGCCACACGGCCACCAACAAATTTCCCATTCACAGCATTAATAATGACATTCAATTTCTGTGGTGTTTGACTACCAGAATTACCATTTGCATCCGTCACAGTGATAAAAACTTTAGTTGATGTCATATTTAAATTATCTGTAGCTCGAACTTCAACAGTAATGGTAGATGAATCTAAGAGGAACTCCTGTCCAGTACAATACAGTAGCGTAGTATTAGAATACTGGCCTTGTTGAATTATAAAGTGCTTGGAATAACTGTAAACGTAAAAGGCCCTTGTTGTTGATCATCGTCGACGACAGTGAGAGTGGCCAGCGGATTACCACTGACCGAAGTTTGTTCACATAGACCAGCTATAACATTTGCAGTGTAGTAAGGTTTAAGGAATCGTGGAGGGTTATCATTGACATCAGTCAGTGTTATTCTCAACCATGCAGTGTCTAAAAAATAACACAGATTTTAAGGAAAAAGGGATGATGGAATACATAGAGGAACAAATAGGAGCAAATAAACGCATTCATTTAACATACCTGAGGCGCCACCAGCATCAACAACAACTAACTGCATTTGATAATTTTCTTGGAATTCTCGATCGAGAGGATATCGAATAAAAATATCGGCTTTATTCGAACTATTAACTACTTTTTCAACTCCGAACCAGTCTCCCACGTTACCAGATTTGATATAAAACCTGATGAATGATAAATATACTTTATCATATTTAAAATATTTAACAAATATTATGCATTGAAATTAAACATAAGTACCTGAATTGGTCACTAAAACCTCTATCATTATCTTGAGCCTCGATATCAAGGCCAAGTCTTGTGCCTACTGGTGTGCCTTCAGAAATGATGGCCGAATAAATTTTCCTTCTAAACGTTGGTTTGTTATCATTACCCTCTGTGATTCTAATAATTACAGTAGCAGTATCTTCAAATGCTTCATCAACATCAATGCCTCTACTGATCACCCGTTCTTGACTTCGTTCTCTTAGACCAACCGTTAATTTATATGTAGTCGTTGCATCTGTAGCATCATAATCTAAAACTCCAGACACAACAATTTCACCTGTACGTTGATTTATATCAAACGCATATGGTACATTACCACTACGAATAGAGAAAGCGTAGTTATTAGGAGGACTAAAATCACGATCTTTCGTTGTTAATTGAAGAACAACAAAACCAGGTCTGCTCGTTTCAGGAACTGTTGCTTCATATTCACGTTTTCTAAACCACGCCGGATACTCGCCAACGTCACGAATCACGATAGTGACGTCAGTTTCACCCCACAACCTCGGATTACCCTCGTCCCATGCTCGAACACGGATCGATAAATTCCTTCGGAACTCCTCGGCATTTATTGATTGTTTTGAAACTAATCGACCGTTTTTATCAAGTGTAAATAATTTAGCATCTTTGTCAAAAGGTTGTTGACCAGTGTTAGTTAGAAGTTCATAAGTAAGTTTAACATTTTTACCATCATTTACGTCTGGATTATCTTTATCAATTGCATTTATATAACGAACTAATGTTCCTGGAGGGCTGTTTTCTTTAATATAACCAATGTAAGGTTGATCTTGAAACAATGGAGATGCGTCATTAACATCGTTTACCTAGAAACAAAAACACATAAATATAAACCACTCATCTATATATTAATTACCGTCAACATAAAATCCTTAACAAGTCTTAGTACTTATGTACAACGAAGGATATAAATGGATAAATATACTCACAACGACTCTCACAAAGGTTTGTCCAGTAAGCGCAGGTCGTTTAATATCAAACGCATAAACAGGAAATGTTATAACTGGAGTGACTTCCCAATCCAATACATCACCAGCTGTAGTAATCAAACCTGACGTTTCATTAATCTTAAAATACGATTTTGCTTTGTTGTCTAGTCGAAAGCGAATGACAGCATTTGGATCATCAGGTTTTTTTACTTCCACCATAACGACAGTAAGACCAGAAGCTGCATTCTCAGGTAAATATTTCTCATAATAAGGTTTAAGAAATTCAGGTTTTGAATCAGGACGATCCAGCACCTGTAATAATAAAAATAAATGGAGGTCAATGAACATCTTGGTACACAAATGAACATCATGGTACACAAATGAACATCATGGTACACTATGAACATCATGGTACACATATGAACATCATGGTACGCATATGAACATCATGGTACACATATGAACATCATGGTACACGATGAACATCATGGTACACATATGAACATCATGGTACACATATGAACATCATGGTACACATATGAAAATCATGGTACACAAATGAGCACTATGTTACACATATGAACATCATTACCAATACACATAATAACATACCCTGACATTTATTGTTGCATTTGCTGTGTGTTTACGATCAGTTGCAGTTACTATGAGCGTGTAAACGGGATTTTGAAAAAATTCTGGCGATTTCTTTGCATTCAACGCTTTAATTATCCTCAATTTTCCTGTGTTTTTACGATCTTGTCCAACTATAGTTTCAACAGCAAATCTTCCATCATTACCAGATGTTAAAAAGTAAAACACTTCACCATTTTCAAGAATGTCTGCATCAGTGGCGTTAAAAATGACATTTGGAACAACGTAGGGAATAGAAACGTCTTCTGCGACAGATACTGAAAAAGAATTTTTACAAACACTGGTGGGGAATCATTTTCATCACGAACATTGATCGATAACACCGCAGTACTAACTAAGTTTGGAGCGCTGGCTCTGTATGCTTCGATAATAATTGTGTACACTGATTTCTTTTCTCGATCAAAAAATCCTTTAGTAATCGTTGGGGCTGTCTTAATTTGTGCAAAATTGTTCAGGTCTTCAATCGCAAAAGATTCATAATCAAATTCCTGCTTAATTCGATATAACAGTTTATCGCCTTGGATTGGATCTGGATCGCTTGCTTGAACACGGAAAACATTGATATTACCACCAGCAGCCTCGGAAACAGTCGCTTCATACCGATCATTTCCAAATATGGGCACATTGTCATCTACATCAGTTACATTGATTTCGATAATAAGAGAAGTAATCCCTCTACTGTCTGAAAATTTTGCTGTCACTCCAAATAAATAAGATTTAACTGTTTCATAATCAAGTTTTTTTGATGTTCGAATGTTTCCATTACTAGAACCAACAATGAAAGGCAACTGATCGCGATCTCGTAGTGTCTGGAGTGAAAAGACTGTTTTATCACCAGGGTTAGTCAAGGTAAGAACAACAGAGCCTGGCTCAACATCTTCTCTCGCGTTGGCTGAAAACTTAAATCTTCCAAAATTTGGACGCCCAGATGAAGAAAACTTAACTTGAACAGTAGTTCTGCTTTCTGAACTAATTTGAACGTTCACGACGGGAACAGTGTTTGTGGCTTCTATTACCAAAACAATTGTACGATCATTATCAATTGCTGCCATACTGTTTTTTACTTTAACTTCACCAGTTGCTTGAACAACTTCTAAATAGTCGACGTCATTTCCACGCACCTTTTGTGTAACAATTTTATAATTGATAATAGCATTTTGACCAAGGTCAGGATCACTTGCTTCTACTAACAATACTGTTGAACCAACAGCAAGTCTTCTTTGAATTTGAACATCAAAAGTTTGAACATCAAACTTGGGATAATGGTCGTTAACATCTTTAACTTTAACAATAAACTGACAATAACCAACTTGTCTTAATGCATCACTACGGCCAGCACCACCATCTGTTGCCCTGGCAACAACAAATATTTCATCATAAAGTTCACGATCTAGAACTGCAGTTGTGTAAACTTGTCCAGTACTATTGTTGATTCTAAACACATTGTTTTTTTGAACCTTTGCAATGCTGTACTCAATTTCTTTGTTCAAACCTCTGTCCTCATCAGTAGCCTTCAAAGTTGTTAACAATGTTCCACTTGGTACATTTTCATCAATTTCTTGTTGCCTACATGTTTCTGGTGTAAAAACTGGCTGGTGATCATTTACATCTAGAACACGAATCGTTACTACCGCATCAGGATTGGATGAATGGCCACCTTTATCTGTAGCTTGAATTTGAACTTCATATAAGTCTGGTCCTCTGAAGTTATTCTCATTTTTACGAACAGAAATTACACCTTGTTTCCCAACTTTAAAATACTGTTGTCCTAGAATTGGTCTTGGATTGATAAGTGCATAATTAATGTCATCAGGATCAGTGGCTGGGTCTGGATCCTCAGCTTGAACAACTCCAACGACTTGGTTTTCAGGAGCATCTTCAAAGATAGCAAATTCATAAGAATTTCGAGGAAACTTTGGTGGAGTATCATCTTTGTCAAGAACATTTATTTCAACATATGAAGTACGTGTACGGCCATTTTTCCCTGGATCAGTGACAAAAACAGGAAATGAGAAATAATTTCTGGTTTCATAATCTAAAACTTTCATTTACAATTTGGCCACCATTAGTTATACTGAAAAATCCATCTGTATCACCAATACGGTATTTCATCTCACCAGTTGTACATAAGCAATTTTGACTGCAATCACAATCTATCACCTCAACATTGTATATATCGTCCCCTCGGTAGCAGTTGATCCTTCTTCAAAAGACAGTCGTGTTGCAGGAATCTTGAACATTCCAAGATGGTCATCACCATTCATTAATCGCATATTGACATTTACTTCAGTACTGCGACCATCAAAAGTGTCTTCTTTTGCCACAACAGCGAATTGAAAAAATTTATCAGAGGAATTGGCTGTTTCAAAATCAAGTTTTCGCAAAAGTGTTATCTCTCCCAGCTGATTGATGGCAAAAGTTCGATTCACAATAGCTTGGTCTGTCTTGATTGCATAGTCTAATGTAATACCTGACCGGCTGATAGCTTCCACTTTTCCTACAACACTTCCTTTGACATCAACTTCAGAAAAGTTTAAGTTATAAGGTGTGTTTGTGAAAATAGGAGGATTTTTTCCAACTATAACACGGAATGTACGAAAACTACTTCTTTCTGGTGGCATACCATAATCACGAGCTTCAACCTCAACATTTACTACACCTGCCGTCAATCTTGTTCCTGCAGTTTTCAAAATATTTGTCTTTGGTTCAATAGTGAAATCAGACTGTTTACTATTTGTGGTTCGAATATTGAAGCGTATAAGACCTCTAAGACCACTATCATCATCAACAGGGTTAAGTTGAAGAATGCCTGTACCTGCACGAGCATTTGTGTTTACATCACCGGTAAAACGATTATTTACAGTCGAATCACGTACAAAATTTGGCACATTGTCATTACGATCAACAACCTCTACAATCAAATAGTGATCAACATAATCCTTTTTTGAATCACCTACAGGAAGAGGATTAGGCACGGGAGGTCTCCTGTATGGTTCAGGGTTGCTATAGTTATTTCGAAAATCTCGAATGGTCAAGTTGAAAGATCTTTTCAGTTCAAAGTTTAACTTAGCAGAAGTTCGAACAACTCCTGTATTTTCATCAACTGTGAAATTCCTAAATCCAGGATAAGGCCAAACAATTAACTGTTTACCATGAGGGAAGATTTTCTGAACTTTTCCAACAGCTGTACCAACTTCAAAATTGAAAACATCAACGCTTGAGCCTTGCTGACCAGTGTCTTCAATATATTCAGGAACATACAGACGTGTTGCGGGTATAGTACCGATTCTGTTCAAACTTTCAAACAATAACCGTTCATATTCTCGTCTGCGTTCATCTTGTTTGTTTATAAGCGGTTCTTCTTGCCGGCGAAACCTTCGTGGATGAACTTTTGGTAAAACGTCCATCGAGACAGACCTGCTAAGCCTATGAGCTAGTGATCTTTTCAATATCAGAGATAGAAAACGTTTCGTTGTAAAGCGTACATTTCCAACATTCTTTTGAAAGGCATTGTCGGAAGGTACGATTTTTAGTGAAATGAAAAGTAAGCATATCAAAAGGGGAGTAAAGACCCGTGAATTTAGACAGGGTTTAATACCCTTATTCATTTTTCCTTCAATATTTCAAAGCCAGTTCAGTTTCGACGTTACCTTTGACAAAACAAATTTATGATGAATAGCAAATCTAGGGCAATTTACTTACGCAACCCAGTAAGGTCCTTCTCTTTTGACTTTCCTAATTCCTTCACACGTTTGAAGAAAACTCACACATAAAATATCGAGAAGTGATAAAAAATAAAGCAAAATATTCTTCGATATAATAATGTTTTTAGTTGTTTTCTACCGACGCTCAATAAACTTTGAGGAATGTACGTAATTATTATTCTACTCCCACTTCTACAACTTACCTTAGCCAATCACAACACAGATACAGGCGATTGAACTTAAACGGGTGTCTGGAGTGATATTATATAATATGTACTTGTATCATTATATTTGTAACAAAAGCCAAAACCAAAAGTTAATTTTTGATTTGTTTTTGCTAAAGCTATGAAGACTCTTGTTTTCACCAGCTGTGTACGTAAAAGTTTATTGAGCGCCATTGTACATCGACAAATAGATGTATAAATTGTTTAATGACGTAAACCTTACAACAGCCTTAAGGCAAAGGCATTCATTATTTTATAGAAACTCTAAATACTGATACTATACACAGTTAAAAATATTTTCTATTTTCATATAAACCAAACAATAAGTTGAGAAATTACCAGTTATATGAAGCATCAAAACGGATACTTTCAAGATACAAAACAAACAGTCAAAGACCAACAAATTATTCATTGAAATCAAATTTAGTTAAGGTTTCACAATTGCCTTGTATTTTAGAAAAATACTTGTTAATTTGTCCAGTTCTTTCATGACTGTTAAAATTAAAAAAAATAAGGTTTATTCATCATCGCTGCCAAACGAAGACAGCATCGTGATGACGTCACAAGGGAGTGTTCACAGCTTGAGTGAATCATTACCATTGAGTTCTATTATAACTTGAGTTCCATTGAGTTGTTATAGAACTCAATGGTCATTACTGAGTCAATAAATCAGAAAATGGAATAATGAACACATTTTTTTTTCATCGTTTTTGTTTTGACTTCATGGCAAGGTGTTTTAACACGAATTGATACTTAACACAAGATTAAGTGGTAAAGTTTTTCAGTTTGTCGTTATTTAAAATATAAATAACATTAAGATTTATTAAATAAAAAATTAACAAATGTAGTAAAACCATGTGTTTGTTACTACATAAAATATCCTAAATCTTACCAATATCATTCACCAAAAATATCAAAGTGTACAAAGTTTTTAAAAAACTATGTAGTTGTGGTGAACGTTTAAAATTTTCTGAAACAATGCTATTAAAATCAGAAACACTGTCTTTGATTTAAAAATTACTATTTGATCACAAGCATCAAAATTGCATTCTACTTGTTCGGGACTTGTGCCTTCGTAAAATGGAAGAAATGTACTTAACCTCTTCTCATGAACTTCATCTTCAGCATTGCGGCAATATTTGATGGAGCAAAGAAACCAACTTGTATACATGAAAACAATTATATAATTTCCTTAGATTCTATATAATTTAATATAGTTTATCCCCAATTTAGAAACAAAAAATAGTTATAATTATTCACCCATTGTATAATAAATTATTTAATTCTTAAATACCAAACAGAATAATGAAATAAAAAATTCACTTATAAATAAATTAATTATTATCAACTAGTTTTTGTAAATTGAATAAATTAAAATGTACTATTATAAAGGACATCTTTAACAAAGTCAATAAACGTCTTATTTCTAAGAATACCATTGTGCTCATTTGATGGAAAATCTTTAACAACAACTGGTTGATCCTGCTGCCAACGCTTACATCCATTCAAACTGTTTAATGGAACAGTACCATCTCCATTGGACATTACTTCAACTGGAGAACCATCAGGAAAACTACCTGATTTATAAACATAACTTACTGGAGTGTTGATGTTAGAACCATAGAGGCACAATACAGGAACATTGGGGGGTTCTTCAGTAAAAACAGGGGGAACTAGTTTATACATGTCTATGGCTATGGGATAGCCAATGTCTTTAAAGAAAACATCATAGTCATTAATTGTATAGTTTCTTCTTTCAGTCCTTACAAATATCTAGAAAGATAAAACATAATACAATAAATATATTGCATTATAAAGAAATAATACATCATTTTATAGTGAAATGATCAGGTTTATCAATACTTCATGTTATACTTACATGATCAGGTTTCCAAAATTTTTTACTGGGTAATAGGTATATGCTGCTTTTTATTGAACGCTGAAATAGTCGCAGTTTTAATGGATTGATAACTATACGTGGAATACCAAATGTGTATCCTGAAGCATACAACTTTAATGTCTTGACAGATCCACCCCACGGTGCAGAGATTGTCATCCATAAACGTAAATATTTATTTTTCCATTGTTGTTCTTGTTGTTGTAGAAATATTGAAGAATATGGACATCCAAGACTATGGCAAACTAACACAACTGGCATGTTACGATTGATTGCAAATGTTTCTTCGATTAAATTTTTCAATTTGTTGAAATAGTCACCAGTTAAATCTGAAATGAAGGATGAATTACAAATATATTGGAAAAAAATATCAAAAAATAATCATGGACTAAGCACAAGTACATAATTACAAACCAGGTGATTTTCTGAAATCATAAGGAGCAGCTCTGATAGACATTCCTCGTACATAACCTGTATCCACTAAACCTTGAACAAATGATGCAAAATACTCCCCAACCTCTTTGGTAGATGGGTCAAGATATTCAATTCCTGTGGTGCCTCCAAAATATGGCATACGTGCTTGCACTCCCGGTGAATTGGAATAGGAACCATCTGATGTATTAAACACTAGTCTTTTAAAAATCCAAGAAGATTTTAGCATATATTGAAAATTATCTTATTATTTTCATAAAAATTTACCGCATGTTGTCAGTGAAACAGTCCAGCACTTCAGGTAGAAGTTCTTCTAATGATAACCAGTTAGTGAACCAATCTGATTTTTTAGAGCACCAGAAATGAGGCGAACTTGTCTTGTTCAACTTCAGTTGCATCTGACTACCAGCATCACCATGAACTATAATAAGAAAATCACGGATAACTTTCGTGTTTAAAATAACTTTGTGAAAGGTTTATTAGTTGAATGTTTTTTAAATGTTCCAATGATCAATAAATCTTGAGAAACGTATATCGCGCACAAATAATTTAAATTTTCAACATGACACAGTTTGTCGGAGTGAATGATAAATAGGCTCTACGATATATGGTAAATATTTCTACCTATGATTACTGGATTTCTCTGTATTTCCGTAGATGTAAGTTCCGTTATATAAACAGAAAAAAGAAGAAAGATGATGAAGTATAAAGTCATTTTTATAAATCCAACCACCACAACTTTACTTGAAACTACGACACATGCGACGTAAATTTAATTAATTTACCGTTAGGTTAGATGGATAAGAGCCTGGTAACAAGAGCCTGGTAACTAGATCTTCCCCCACATAAAAAAATGCGATAGATTTGTGCATTTTGCATTTTATTTTAATATGAATAGCACACACTGCGTTAAAAATAATTTCTAAGTGATAAACAAAACCAACATCAACTCGTTATTTACACCCTCAAGCAAGAGAGATACATTTAATTCCTTTTGAAAATTCTTCAAAATTTTGTATAGAATTCTACTTTATCACCAAGATAAACAACAATTATATTTCACATGATCTAGCACCCACATCAACCACATATATCAAATCAAACATGTAAAAATATTCATAAATATCTCGACAGAGTCATTCGGGGTAACCAACAAAAATCTTTCGTTTTAATTATTTGATAATTCGACGTATTATACACGACTGGACAAGTGTAGAAAAATATCATCTACTTGTCGTGTATAGGCAGATGAATGCCGGCAGCTTCAAGTTCTTCAGGAGTCAATCCTTGTTGTAAGGTGCGGCGAACTATGATCAAAACGAAATGTTTTAATGAATCATGAAAATAACAAATAGTTAAGAAGCGACAATGAAAAATCTTACGTGATTTTCTGTTCGCCATGGATGATCTTTCGCGTCTTCTAACTCGCGATTTACTTTGATTTGAGGTAACTGTCTTCACCAACATATCCATCATTTCATCGGTAGTGTCGTCAAGATCTGTATCTGACTTTCCTACACCTATACTGCGGGCTCGATTCTTCGAACTTGGAAGCGTTGAAGATTTTAGTTTATCCTTAGAATCCACATCTAACATTTTCTTAGCAATATCTTCTTCGCTCGCTGATTTTTGACTTTTTGACAATGACTAAAAGTGCACAGCATCGTATGGTGAAAATTTGTTCCACCAAAAAATATTTGTATAAAACATGAAACTCACATCAACAATAAGTTTCCACGTGTTTTATTTCTTTCTTTCATTTTATTTTTCTTCATTCTTTGCAAAAGCCATTTCTCTCGACAAGTGCGATATTCAAGGGAAAATTGGCTGATGATTCGACAAAATTCATTGATCTATTGATGATAAAAAGTTTCTTATGACAAATTCCACAGGTGATCAATGAAAATCAACAATAATTTTAGAGATTTTAAAATAAAACAAGGTAAGCGTAGTTATCAAAATAAACCTTCGTTGATTTGGCTGTGGACGCATTCAATCCCAAATACAGAAGCAATTTTCTAAATCTGGACAAATATAGAAATTGTAGCTTCGTTAGCAACAATCAACGATTAACATGACAATGAAGAAAATTTCACCTGTTAATAACGCGACGTGAAACAACTTTAAGTATTGTAGTACGTTCTCCAGCATCAGCTAGGAACTCGGTCATCCTAAAGTGGAAAAGAATAAAATTAAAAACATGAAAAATACTGAATGTAAAAACAAGAACAGACAATACCTCGGTTTTATCGAAGACGAACTCTCATGTTTAGCAATCAATCTTAAGTAATCCCATGACTTTTTACAATCATCGTCAAGTTTCTTTAACATTTCTTTATGTGAATCAAAGTCAATCTGAGATGAAAAAAGTTTCAAAATGAATGTAAGAACCAAAGAATGGAAACACCGTGTATCAAAAAATTCCTCTCACCCTTGTTGATCGATGTATGGCCCCCAGTTCATTATGGAGATCAGTACTATCTGGAAATTTTTCTATAACAATCTTACAAATGTGAAACAACAATGACTGTTTATGAACAGTATCTTTGACTTCAGGTACTTTGGCAAGGTAGTCCAATTGAAAGCCTTTGCTCTAAAGCAATATTTATAAAAATGAACGTTTACAAAAGCTTAGAAAAAACCGAAGACATCATAAAACGAGAAATGAACAAACCTTAGTTCCATTGAGGAAGTTTCCAACGGAAAGCAACGTTCCCAGGATGCATTTAAACGTTGGACTTCTTTGCACTTCATTTATGGCTTGTTTTAAATCCATCAAGGGTTCAGCAACTTCCTGAGTAAAATAAAATAATGTTCAAAAACATGTCGTTGAAAACAAAAAAAGAAATGCTCGTACTCACCCTTTCAATAGATTCATACTCAAGAGAAAATTGCCACAGTTTTAGTCGGGAATAAAGTTCATTTACAGATGAGATTGTGAGCAGAAACTGTTCAGCAGACGCTAAAGGAATGTCGGGATACGCTAGTCTTTCTTCTTCTATACGGGACTTTTCATCCGACGTTGGACGTAACGGTAACAATCTCTAAATGAACAACGAACAAAAATACGTTATACTTCATTTAACATTTTCATATTTTCTACTCATTCATAAATTTTACCTCTAAAGCTTCCTTATCCAGTACAGTATTATCCATATTTATTATAGCTTGCTTCAGAGAACTGACTGGTGGAAGTTTTGTCAAAGCAATATTGATCTGTTGTGATCTCTTCATATCCAATACGACAATCTCTCTTTTCTTTTCTTTTTCTTCTGGTTTCTGTTGCTGTAAAACATGAAAAATTATCGTAGAAATTATTTGTTTGCGAAGATATTTCCACCTCGATAACACTATATAAACACAATACCTTCGTTTTAGAGATATGCTTCGTTTCAAACAAATGCTCCAGTTTCTTTGTATCGATATCAACGGGATCAATTGCACCCCAGATTGTCTTGTTCACGCCATTAATTAATGGCGAGTTTTTAACTTCTTTCCAAAAAAGTCGAACTAGTTTTTTCTTGTCAGCTTGCGTGGGTACTTTAGGTGCTGCAGGAGGGGCAGGTAAACCAGGCATTGGAGGTGGAGGAGGTGCACCCCCTGGCATTGATGGCGGAGGTGGAGGAGGAGCAGGAACTCCCCCCGGTATAGGAGGTGGAGGTGGTGCCCCCTCCGTATCATGATGACGAATCTCCATGATATCTTTATCATCATCTTCACGAAGATCTGTAAAATCTAAATCATTAATAACCAAAGATCGTTTGGAAGTGACAGATTTTTCCCATTCTATCTCTTGTCTTTTGCGATCTTCTTCTTCTTCACGTCTCAATCTTTCTTCTTCCTTTTTACGTCTTTCTTCGGCCATTCTAGCTTCCTCTGCTTTACGTTTTTCTTCCTGTTTGCGTAATTTCTCTTGTCGGGCTCGCTCAAGTTCTTCCCGCTTTATCTGTTCGTCCTTAGTTTCTTCAATTGTCGAAGATGCGTTAGGTGGTATATCGTTTACTTCAGCCTCCACTGGCTCAGTTTCATCAGTTTTATCAGTTTTTATAGATTCCGTAGTTTCTCCTTGAGTAAAAACATCTATTTCCTTTTTATGTCCTTCCATATCTTCAATCGTCTCTTCGTCGTCAACACTCCTTCTTGACGGCTTTCCTTGATACAAATTAGAGAGCAACCATTTCGTATCCACACTTGATCGACTTGATTTTCGATCTAAATCAATTGACGATCCCTGTCTTTCAAGACGCGCATCCCTAACTTGTCTTAACGATGTACTACGTTCAGATCTCGTAACAAGTGGGGCAACATTTTCTTCTTCATCATCTTTAGTAAATTTATCATCAGTAACAATAGACTTGTGTAATGTCTCATCAACATTCCTCTCATCAAGTACATTTTCATTTTTTTTCTCTTTCTCGTCCCATGCTCTTTGTGGCTTCACCACATCATCGACTTTATCATCAACAGAGTTTGTGCTTTTTACACTTTCAATTGAACTAACAGAGCTAGATTGAAGATTACCAATATCGGGAACTTTCAGTTCATTTTCCATTTTTTTCTCAGGAGACAGACGTGTTTTTCGAGAATATTTTGATGGTCTATGGGCGTTTTCATCCTCTATAGTCTTATTGAACTTATCAAAAGCGTTAGCACGCGTTGACCGTATAGTCTCTGAGTATCTTCCATCGTTAAGTCGATTGCTACGATATCTGTCACGACCAGTTTTTGGAGATTCAACTGGTTTATTGGAAACAGGTTCAAACTTATTGGTAGGATCTTTTGTAGTTTGCTGTATGCTTGCTGTATTTCTTTCAAATTCTTTATTTCGGTCGTTTTTTAACAATGATCCTGTAACACCCCATGATGATCCTGTAACACCATATGGTTTTGTAGGTTTTATATCTTTTGTTTTATCATTTGACGTGTTTACCATATTTTCTTTCGGTCTCCAGTTTTTCCATTGACGGAAGTTGCGAGGGGATGATTTCTCCGTTTCCTGTGATTGGTCACTCACAGTGACGTCACCATTAACTAAAGAGAAAGAAAGTAACGTTTATGACGTGAGGGTTATTGTCATGGATTGAAGGTGATTGTCATGGATTGAAAGTGATTGTCATGGATTGAAGGTGATTGTCATGGATTGAAGGTGATTGTCATGGATTGAAGGTGATTGTCATGGATTGAAAGTGATTGTCATGGATTGAAGGTGATAGTCATGGATTGAAGGTTATCGTCATGGATCGAAGGTTATCGTCATGGATTGAAGGTGATTGTCATGAATTGAAAGTGATACATATAAATGAAGAAACGTTTCGTGGCTTTCTTTCGTAGAAATTAATAAAATTATTAATACCTCTATTGGGTTCTTGAGAGGCATACTTTCTACGAGATTGGACGCTGCTATCATCATTGTTGTTTTTCACCGTATCTTCATTAGGTTCTTCAATCTTAGGAGGTGAAAGAACACCACGTGGTTCAGATGTTAACGTATCATCTTTATCTGCTTGTAACGCAGCCAATCTTAGAGCTCGCCTCTCTCTAAAACATACATCATATCTATTTATAATAACACGATTTTTAATGTCAACATTGATGCAATAAAATATATTACTTCCGCGCCGTTCGTGCCTTTACTTTTTCATCTTCCTCCTCGTCCTTGGTCGGCGATCGAGACAAGTTTTCATTTAGTGATTCATTATGATCAATATAGTTTCTTCTTGAATATAATTTTTTACGATCTTCTGAATCATTCTTGACAGGATCTTGAACAAGAGGTTTCTCAAGTTTATATCCAGAACCCAACGAATTATGGCGTTTACTTCGTCTTCGATCACCTGAATAATCGTCAATAAGATATTGTTTGTAATTGTAAGAAAAGAGTAATTGTATTTTTTATTGAAGAAGTTCATTATACGTGCCATTTCCATTAATCTGTGTTCCTGGTTGCCGTTTTCTGTGTCTAAGAAGATATTTCTTTAAGTAAAAAAAGATATAAAGTTTTGCAATGTGTATTATTAATGTCTTCACCTTATTGTAGAGCTGTCTTTTACTGATGATAATTGTTCATCGCCATCTTCAATTTTTAAAGCAGTCTGACAAATAAAAATAAATAACATATAGAGGATAATAAGGAATAGCATAGAATATATAGATACAGGATTGCACGGGATAGGATAGGATAGAATAGACTCACAGAGGAGAAAGTCATAGCTATCCTAAGGACAGCATTTGAATGAATTACTCAGCACACACCTCATAAATTTTGATCTGTTCTTGAATTTCTCGGTGAGTTTTTTTTGTGGAAACGAGATTCTGAAAAGCAAAAAAAGAATCAATAAAAAAGAAAAAATAACGAATAAAATAATGAACATGTGTACATTGAGTAACTGTTCCATTCCTTGCTCCTCCAATGAATCAGAGATATCGTAAAATAAATCTTGATCTGGAGCAGCATTGAGTATCTACAATAACATAAACCATAAAGTAAAACACTGTGTGTCTCTCTTCAACATAAACACTCACCAAAGTCATACCTTATTGATTAATGTCAAAGAATAACAAATAATTTCATCATCATTGTCTTTGTTAGATAATACTTTAATCAAACAACTCCAAGGTTTTGATCCTAGATAAAGAAAAATTAGGATAAGAAAACCTGCAGGAAATAAAATTGCATGTAAATAATTTCCATATTTTATTACTCTGTATGTTACTCCATTCGTTGACTGCTCGAGATAATACAAGAGAATTGGATTCTGTATATTCCACAAAAACCAAAAGTAATTTGAGAGCGGTTTTTGACACAAGGCGATGCTATATTTATGAAAAATAAGTGAAATATGTGTTATTGTGAAAGAAAAAACAATCGACAGCCAAAGAATGCAATACTTAGAAAATAATGAACAAAAAACCTTTGATGCAGTAAGAGAATAAAGCCATTGAACTGTTTCATTATGATTTATAACTCCATTCATACCATCAACATATAACATGACCTGACCAATGGCTGTATAATATAAAATAATACAAAATAATATAAAAAGTTAGTTAAAATCAGAATAGAAACCGTGCTTGCCTCTTAAAATGTAATTTTGATAATTTTGATCTGCATCTGTACCAACTGTGATCAAGGCATTTAAACCATCTGAATTAACAAACTCATGTACAAGGTCTTTGTCATCCTGCGATAAAAATAATTATGTTCCACATCATTAAACTGCCAAAAACATAAATGCATAAATAAATAAAGAATACAGCAAGTCATTGAAGAATAATAACTTTTATATCTACCTGAAACACTTGCTTCAGAGAAAAAAGTGCTCTCCGCAATTCTCTTCCACTTGCCCTGAGAAGTTTAGCTTCAAAATATAAAAATCAGAATAAGATTTACTTTGATGATTTGTGATTTGAACATTTGTTTTACATCTTTGTAAGTTGTGTACAAAAGATATATCATTGATCTACATGACATCTTTTGAGGAATTTCTGGTATTTCAAATTAAGAGATGAGATATTTTGACAAAATCAACAACAGATATCACATGAGATTGAGATAAATTAGCACAGTTTATAGACTTGAGGATCAAAACGTTTGAAATAGTGCATTCATTTTGCAAACCAAACAAAAATTTATCATGCAAAATATAACAATATAAATGTCAGGGTAATTTTTCCATCAAAGGGAAACCTTGCCATACCGAGCACAAAGTTTACAAATTAAAATTCAAGTATTTTAATTAAAAACAATTAATGGCAAGTCGTCGTTTCGTGTCTGAACGATTAAAACGACAGCATTTCATATAAAATATCCAATGTAAAGCCTAAAGTTAGCATTCATATTAAAGTTTCCGTCACACTCTTTGCACAAACGATTTGAAATGAATGAAAAAAATGGTGGAACACTGCGGAGATAGACAATAAGAATAATGCAACAATTCAAAATGTATGCATACGTTAAAGAATTTACTAATGTTCAAAAACAGACGACGCTGAAAACGTTATTGAGTTCTCTTATAACAATATAAAATCTAGGCAATATTAAATAATAACTAAATTATTCATACACATTTCTGCGATATAAAACGAACCATAACGTGTTTAGGAAATACAAACTATTCCTACACATTCTAAATTGAGGGATAAAATCCTTTGACTTATGACTGATAACAGACTTAGTACTTTAAAATTTACTTATTTCTAGCAATTTCTTAATTTAGAAAATTAGGAAACAGGTTAATTAAGGCTTAAGTCCTACTTTTTAAAGGAGATGAGCTTTGACGACGAAATACCGGCTTTAAAACACAACACACTACTAGTAAAATATTGACAGTGTTGACACGAAATTCAAATGTTGGTTTCAAATTATAAAAATTGTCGGTAAACAAACTGTAAAATAGGGGAGATTATACTAACAAGTCAAACAAAACCTGTAGAGTGATGAAAAATGCTCAAAGAGGGCACTTACCAATACAATTATGAACGCGGACAGACAATTCAGTACGTAGAAGTATAGTAGATTTTCGACTAAAAAGTTAAAGAAAAATGCTCAAATATTCAATTATTGTGACAAATTTCAATTTAGCATATTTTTTATCAGAATTTTAGAGAACAGTCCTTTGTCAAATATATTAAACTAATAAAATTGTGCTGATCACAATTACCTGTCAGGAAAACCATCGAGAATATCTGCTTGTTCTTCTAAAGTGCTTTCTAAATCCAAGTACGTTCCACTCTGTAATATCTGAAGAGCCACGTCTTCTAACTAATTAAAGAAAAAAATACAATTTAGTTTTGAGCAGACTGAAGATATAAACATCCAAAATGTGAACAACGAGAATGACCTTTACTTACATTGTGAGGTGGTTTGAGCAGTTTATATATCCCGGCTATTTGCTCACATAAAGGTATATTAAGGTAAAGTGTGCATGTTGGTGGTCGAGTTGGTTCAGGAAAATTGGTACTGGCAAATGGATCGGTGTCATCGAGAAATTGAACTTTACACGTAAACGCCATTTCATTCCTGTCTTTTTCCGCGGATAAATTTGACGTGGGAGTGCTAAAGAACTTAGATCCCTGATATAGAGCACTTGTGCTTTGTGACGAAAGACCATTTCTGCGTGTCCCGCGAGGAGAATACGTGTCGCGGATAGAGATCACGCGTGAGCGAGATTTTAGCGTTGCAGCCATTGGCAACGTTGGATATTATAGAAGAAACGTAAACGGAAGATGTTCTTTCGCGAAAATCTTGATAATTTCTAAAAAGACGCAAAGACAACGCAGCGATGACTGAACGATTCATAAATAACCAAGTTAGCAAGCAAGAAACCAGATAATCATTTATCTTTAGTGGCATATTTGTAATACCAGCCATTTATATTGAGATTCCCAGCATATTTATGAAACGCAAATGAAGTTACCCATTAAAATTACCATTAAAAAACTACAAATACAGCTTTACAACATTTTCAAACAATATATCTTCATTGAAAATGCAATAAAAGCTATTATCAAGATGTGATTTTAAGAAGAAAAGAATGACTACTTACAGACAGTATTGAATGAGAAACCATAGCGATTAAAAGATTCTCATGTTGCGAAAAATCAATGAACTACCAGTTTGTATAAATAGACAGTTTTTCTTTTCAATTGTTTCCAATTTCAATGATATCAAAGAAATCTGTGCGTTATCCTGTATTTGTTAAAACGCAAAGTTTACGATAAACTGTGCAACAGACCTGAGAACTAATGCCAGATATTAAACACCCACCAGGGTATTATTTCTCCATATCACATGGAAGGTAAAATATAAAGGCATACCTGTCAACAGATCATGACATAATTAGCATAGATTATATTGTCATGGAAGTACGATACACGGCTTATAGGAAGCATGAAGATGAAAAAAAATGATTCATTCTAGAACAGCACCATGAAGCTAAAAGACATTTTATGTTTCCATCGGAAATATGGGATGTTTTTATGGCCATAGTTAATTGTTTTGTTGCCAAGTGTAGTGTCCCACCCTGACAAAGATATTTTAATGCTTCGTCCGATCAAGAGACGAAACAAAAGAAAGGAAATAGTTTTTTTCAACAAAAATAAAACATCATAATGTACAATGCAAAAATATACTTTTAGTTGAATCAAGGAAAACTGGCTGTAAAAATATGTACACACACTTTAAACTATTAATCAAATAGATTATCTTGAAAAAAAAGACATTGTTTACTTAACAAATCGTCTCGTGAAGATCGAATAACTGTATTCGGATATTTTTGTAACTGAAGCTATTTTAAAATTATTTTAACACTGAGATTAACAATTATTATACGTATTTGATTTATTTTGATTTTCCGGATTAAAATTCTCCGTTAGATTATTGTAAAGGTACAAATTCTAACACTTCAACGATTTTAAGAAACGGAGAATTTGACAATTCGCAGACACACGAAGCATGAAAAACAATTTATTATACTTATAGGTAAACATAACCATAAGAGTTCTCAAAGCTTCTTAAAAATATGAATTTCTTGCATGAAGGAAATATTAGATTATGCGTCGGTATTTGAAAGCCCGAGGCAAGGATTTAAACTTCACAACATGGGATGCGCTGAATAGAAATTGATTAATTCATGTTTTCGTAAAACATTTCTAAACTTGGACGTCATTCCGAATAAATGGTTTGATTTCCTGTGCGTTAGCTTTACCGATGTAAATCATCACATCGACGCCTTTTGCGTGCTAAACGCAATGTCAACAAATCTTCAAACGACCACGCGATTATATGTTAAGTCTGAAATGAGATAATTTCTACTGAAAAACATCACAAGACACGCTGGCCACGTTTTATTGTTATAAATTCCGAGAAATGTCAAACCAAGTACCCAGTAGCCCTTAAAGAGAAGGACAATGGTGCTCTGAAGTCTTACCGCGATAAAGTTACAAATTAATTAGAAATTTGAAATTCTATCTCACTTTCTCATAATCTCTAAGTGACACTTGATTTTAACATGAAATATACCATATTTAAAAATATTTACAAAAATCTTGTCATAAATCTCGAGATGAGCAAATTTGGTCAGATCTATTTAGAGACAGTTTTGTGCAATGTGTATTATTATTAGACAGGTGTTGTGGCTCGCATGAAAAATTGGCGCAGTCCAACAAAATGAGCTATTGCTTTACAACTTGATAACAAGAACAATGAATTAGTTTGGGCAAAAAAGTTGGTATCATTGAGTTCTATAAGAACTTATAGAACTCATTGAGGTCTATAGAACTCAATGGTTGTATGCATGTCAGCGGCTTTGTATGCGGGCGCATACAACCTGTTTATTTACAAACATTGAGAGTTATAAGTATTTTTTGTAAATTTTTACTACAAGTTTTTTTCTTTTAAATGTTATAAAAAATGAGTAAGTAGATCTATGGAGAATTAATTTATGTTTAGCATAATTCACAATCTTTTGATAATTCCTTCATTTTAGCAATGAAATGCGAGTAAAATTTTCATTTCAGGTTCATTATACTCGCCTTTACCTCCACATATTGAACATAACCTTGAAAGACTGGATTTGAAGGTCTGTTTTTTATTAATGAACATTGATTTATATAGGTATGTCAGCATTAAAATTGATAATATTGCTAGGAATTGGATTGCTCCAGAAACAAATATGTTGAAACGTTTATGAGTCAACAATTGAAAGACAACAATAAGAAGGATGAAATATTAACAAAAATGAGAATAAAAGGTGTCATGCTTGATTCAATCAATATGAATCATCCGAAGAAGAAAAATAAAAAACGATTTAAAACTATGAACTCTCAAGAACGTCGAAGAAGAGGAATTTTTAAAATATCAAAGCAAAATCAAAGGTTATTGAAATTTTAAACTTCTTCTAACTACGTATATTTTATTTTTTTAAATGTTTATTTGTTTGTAAAGATATGAGCTGTTTTTACCTCTTCATGAAATGTGGAAAGAATACATGAAAGAAATAATGGGGGAAACAAATCAATGGTATGAATAACTAGCTGAAAACATTTGGTTTTGACATAATTATTGATTATCATCTTATTTTAGTGAAACCACTAAAACTAAATTTCTTGCTTCAAAGATAATCAAGGCAGATTTTCACGGAGCCATTCTCACTGGTTTGATTTTATATGTATATACTCTGCATTAAATGTATTTATCAATAATTTCAGCATGAATTATATTCATCAATGACACACGACATTGCTATTTTAGTTTCAAAGTCAAAATGTCCCAGTTATGTTGGTCTGTCAGGAATAATGATTCAAGAATTAAAGAATGTTTTCAAAATCATCACAAAACAGAATGAGTTAAAGAGTATGTTGACCAATGTTATTTTTACTTTGTTATTTATTCACTAACACATCTAATGGATATGAATTTCTTTAGCACTTCCTAAAATCAACAGTGTGTTTACTGTGGATGTTGGGGGATATTTATGTACACTGTATGGCAATCATCTACGTGTGAGGTCTGCAGAACGATCATCAAAGAAACTTAAATCAAAGTCAACAACTGATTTATGACTGCACTCACAGTTGTTTAATTGACAGACTTATGATGTTGTTAATCATTTAATCATAATAAAACTGAGATGTGAGTTTATGTTTATGACACAACAACACAAAGACATCACACTTTTATGTATTGCTTTCTTTCCATAATGCCCATTTTGGCCAAGGAGCTCTGTATTCCCAGTCTGGTCCCTATGACCAAAAACAAAACCTTTACTAACAGAAGGACAACAGCATCATTTGTTAAGACAACTAAAGAGTTGATTTTTAAGTGTATACCTTATAAACAGCTGCATGAAGACACATGGTTAATTCCCATGGTTTAGGATTTGCTCTGTTTATTTGACATTCAGTACATCCAGGAATTTTTTCATCTTCAATCATTGCAGTTGGATTTTCTAACTCCTTTCTTTCATCTATACGTTTGTGTTCATTCTGTGCTTTTATAAGATTTTCTGTAAGTTTTTGGTTTTATCTGCTGATTATCATCAATATTTGATAATTGTTTTGGTTTTATCTGCTGATTATCATCAATATTTGATAATTGTTCTGGTTTTATCTGCTGATTATCATCAATATTTGAAAAGATATCTTTTATCTCACTACACTGCTCAATGATTTCTTTTTGTTCAAAATTTTCTTCTTTAAAATTTGTGAGCTCAAATCAAGGGATTTGCTTTCATCCAACACAATAAGTTTATTGGTAAAATTAGCCTCTTTGACGTCTTCATGTTCCTGTCCGTCACATTTATGTCCTCCTTTGACGTCATCGTGTCCGTCACGTTTATGTCCTCCTTTGACGTCATCGTGTCCGTCACGTTTATGTCCTCCTTTGACGTCATCGTGTCCGTCACGTTTATGTCCTCCTTTGACGCCATCGTGTTACTATCTATCCCATTTCCTTTTGTAATTCTCTTTGAGTCAACATTTGAGTGAATTATCTGAGTGACGTCATTATCGCGGAGAGCAGTAGCAATGGAGTCAATAACCTGTAGCAAAAAAACACGCATTCGGAACTCGTCTCTTTCACACATCAACATTCAACATTGTACAAACCTTCCAGACGTTCTCATCTTCTACCCCACCCTTACCCCTATCATCCCCCCAAGCCACGTGATTATACAACGGATCATCCACAATAGGAAAGCCAAGCCATTGAAGATGAACGCGAATCTGATGCATTCGTCCTGTGAGTGGTTCACCTAAAGAAATATCATTGATTTTATAAGATTTTTTATCGCCAGTATTAAAGTATAAATATTTTAGTACATTTTACGATACTGTTTTTTCCATCATAATGTTGACGTTTAAAGACAGTTGTACAAGGTTTTCCCTCTTTATGTACTCGACAAACACCAACTTTATGGGAAACTACAACAATGGGTTCTTCACATCTTATAACGTCACTGTAAGATTGAAATAAGAATATCAAGATTGGATTTTCAATAAACAATTTTTACATTTTTACCTTGGAAATTCTCCCTTAACTTTACATAAATATTCTTTCTTTAATTCGTGCTCACGTAATTGCCTTTCTAGTTCTTGAGCTTTAGTCAATGTCCTTAAAGATGGCAAAATCAATAATTCATATGCCAAACTTCGACTTAATACAATAAATCTTTTCCTACTTGGAAAAAATAACAATCCCAGATGTTAATCTATCTATCCGGTGAATTGCTGCAACGAGATAAAGAAAACTATTAAAGATGAAAAAAACTTGAAACATCAGTTACTTAGTGTAAGATTACTGTAGAGATTCACAAAACCAAACTCTCGTCCAAGTAAGAAAACCAACGAATTATGACGATAACGACCACATGGATGGATCTAGAGGTACACAATATGATATCATGGTTTCATACGGTCATAACGACCACATGGATGGATCTAGAGGTACACAATATGATATCATGGTTTCATATGGTCATAACGACCACATGGATGGATCTAGAGGTACACAATATGATATCATGGTTTCATACAGTCATAACGACCACATGGATGGATCTAGAGGTACACAATATGATATCATGGTTTCATACGGTCATAACGACCACATGGATGGATGGATTTAGAGGTACACAATATGATATCATGGTTTCATACAGTCATAATGACCACATGGATGGATCTAGAGGTACACAATATGATATCATGGTTTCATACAGTCATAACGACCACATGGATGGATGGATCTAGAGGTGCACAATATGATATCATGGTTTCATACAGTCATAATGACCACATGGATGGATGGATTAGAGGTACACAATATGATATCATGGTTTCATACAGTCATAACGACCACATGGATGGATCTAGAGGTACACAATATGATATCATGGCTTCATACAATCATTAAAGAAAGACATAGTAATTCAGCATACAGGAATTGAAGATGGTTTATTAACAACAATGATGTCATCCTTTTGTGAAATGATTTGAATTTTTTCACTTGTAACAGGAGGCTCATGTCTAAATGAAAGAAAATTAATGAAATTTGGTAAAACTTTATACAAGTGGAAGATAAAACAACCAGACCTGTGAACTTTGTGCTGGATTAAATCATTATTTTGAAGGATGAAATCTTTGTTTACTTGATTTCCATTAACTAAAATGATTATGTAACCTTCTAAATGTTGGCCAATGTATATAAAACAAAGATTCTTACATGAAAAAATAAATTCTTCGTATTATTATAAACTAATCTAATTAACAACATATTGACATAAAACCTGTAATATTTCCAATTTCAATTGCTTTCTTCTAAAAAATAAAACATGACAGATTTTGCTTGATGAAAACCATAAATTCGTGATATAAAAAACAAGCAAGTTTACGTAATATTCTGCTGTTTCTGACTGAAATTCTTGAGACATAACGTCGTGAAGTTTTCGTTGAAGCCAACGTCCTTTGCAGTGTGTAGAAAACGTAAAGAAATACGGCTTCACAAATCTTAAACCTATATTTAGAAAGATTATGAACATATAGCGTTTCAATACTGGTGAAACTGACAAAAAACAAATATGAATATATATTAAAACATTCATACCGTTCAATTATACATGTAACATTTGTCGAAACGTTTAGATTAAATAATGTTTACTTTAAACGGAGTTTCTATTGTCTTATGCTTTACTGAAATACTCTTTGGTAGTCGTAATTTTTCATACCGTTCTTTATATAATAATCTGTTTCCCTAAATATCTCCACATTGTAACCAGGCGCCTTTTTTGAGCATGTTCTTGCTTTTTTATGTTTTCTCTTAGCAATGGAAAATCATAATAACAATTAAACTTAAACAGCACAGGGCTGGGTCACAGACTCACAGTTATTTGAATTTGATAATACATGTTGGGTGTATATTTAAGTATACTAAAATATATACTTCATTTATACATTACGTGTATAACATAAAAAAATAATTATAAAAAATTCAAACAAATCACCTCTATTTTGTCTTTACGTCTTCTCTTTTTTTCATTCAAATCATCCGCCATATTGAACAAATAATCAATACTTTATGTAAAACAAATTTGGTGAACCAAAATAGCTTTAGAACGACTCTATTGGTCTACATCAGCCATGGGTTGAAATTATTCTTAGTCGTCCAACGAAAAATTTTCACCAAAAAGGCTTTTAAGCTCAGGCTAGCATATTACAATAAGATAACTAAGATACAGTTGGCCGAGGTTAACATTGTTTTGAGTCGTGTGAGATACTAAAAAATTTCCACCTAAAATATTTTGAATTCCAACTTTCAATTTCCAGAAGAAGATTAAGAAGTTACAATATTCTGACTGAGAACGAAGTATCACTGACTGATCACTAGGCATCAGTTCCAGGCATGAATAAAAAATAGACACGTGCCTACGGGTGGGTAGCCTGGCCAATATTATAGACTATATGATTTCGTAACAGTACAAGGATTATGCCTGGCCAATATTATAGACTATGTGATTTCGTAACAGTACAAGGATTGTTAGACATTTTAAGTAGACGACAACTTCTGCTAATTCAACAAACATGTTTTGGCATACTTTATGCCATCTTCTGTACGAAGTGAATAGAAAGTTTACATAGATAAGATATAATATATATAGTGTTATGTGATGAAACAGAAGTATAGATTAGTTATGCATAATTATTTACAAGTGAAAACGTGTGAGGTTATAGATTATAATTATACTAAGCTTTTCCAGACAAAACTTTTAGATGATGGTTCTTGATATACATTACACTAAGTAACATCGTCAGTCATTACGAAAATAATTGACTATACCGAACGAAAATTGGTACTGTATAAAATAATAGTTTTCAAGAAACTACCTCCAAGGTTCTCATGTCAATGCAGTCCTAACTCAACTCAAGCACACTTTACATAAAATGTCCAAGATCTTATTTTAATTCCAAAAAATGTTAAGATTATCAAATGCACGCTGCGTTTTCCAAAATAGGTGGCAGAAGTCTATTTTAGAATACATCGACTTTTTGCAACAATTCCTTTCTAAATTAGAGAGCGAGGGAACTCTCTAATTAAGTTAGAATATTGCAAATAATCATTTATGTGCATATTTTTGTGTTAGTGGGTTTCGATGTGATTTTGCTCTAGACATTGATGATTTTGACATAATCAAAATCTTCAACTGATCATCTGCAAACACCGATCGAAGAATTAAACTTAACGATTTTATCTTTCTAAAAATGCTTTCTTTAAATAATAGTACTTAAAGGATAGTCTAGAAACAAGTAAAAATTATTGGTTACACTTACCATAACTCCATAAGAAAGGTTGGTTGACCACGGAAGGCTACATCGTTCTAAAAGAAACTCAAGAAAAAAATTGTCAAATTTGATGAATGATAGAAACACTTACAGCCCTGACTTCCACATCTTCTATCTTCTTGTCCTCCGTATCTGAAAAATACTGAATAACAAGTTAGTGGTATGTCAAAACAAACAAACGGGCAAGAAACAAGCAAAAAGACAAACAAAACAAACAAATACACACCGCAGGTTTGATCTGCAACCGTTGCCATGTAAGAAGAACTGTAAGAATAATAGTAAAATACCATCATGACAAACTCTTGAAGCTCATATATTTCGTTAAATCAGTGTTTGCAGAAGATCTGTTGAAATTTCTGTTTTACTTCGATTTTAACATGAAATTGTTGTCAAATATTTCAAATAACTATCAAAAACTGTCTGTATCCACTATGTTTATCCATGAAGACACTGTTAAAACATCCCTCAATGTTATAGCAGCATCAATCATAAATAAATTAAATAGCGACTAAATGTTTAACGTCGACAGAGTTTTTCATCGATACGGTAATCACTTCAAGTTCAAACAGACCAAATATAGAATAAAGATTTTGCAATACTCTGCCAGCGTATTGCAATTTCTTTTTGTAACTTTAATAAGTTGATTGTTAAATAAATTGCATTTAATTGTCACACATGCAAGATCCGAAAATTTGAACGTTAATAAGAAGACACCATCTACAAGCTTACATGTAACAATGTTGATTGATTTGTGCTAACTTCAATAACATTACTCAATGGTATAGAAGTGCCAGTCAGTTAACATTCTGGCAGCACATACCTTTTCTCTCCAAATTATTGCTAACATCGATAGCAGGACATACAAATAGACTTTAAAATACAAAATGAAAACATTATTTTATAGACTCATAGGTATAATTCCCAGCTGTTCAGTCCGGAAGAATTGATATCGAGGGTAAGGAAGGACGTTTTGTGTTGAAGGACAATCTAATTCTTCCATTTGCAGCAACTTTCATTGACGATAACTTTATAATCTAAAATATAAAATAATGGAGATATCATCGGATTAACGACTTTATATGTCCGTCATGCATTAACAGTCTGTATTTCCTACAAGTATTTCTTCATACTTTAATACTGCATTTTGATCAAATGATTTAGTATGTATGTTAAACGTCATTGTTTTTGTCTTGTTTACCAGTTCTTATTTTAAAGTTGTCGGGATATGACTAACTTCACAGCCATCTTTCCTCTTTATCTTCTGCGATTCTTAACCGTTCATTACGTTATTAATTTTTTAAATTCAGTATTTGGTTTGAAACTGAATTTCTGAACAGATGGTTATGTTTAAAAGCATGAACATCCAAAGTATAATTTTGATGTGTATAAAACAGTTTTCATGCAATACCAAAGTTACATAAGAAGGTGCTGTTCTTTGTCTGACCCGTCTTGCAAACACTCATAGTAATACCAAAGTAAAATACTTTAGTCCACAAAATGAAATAAGGCACCAACAAAATGACGATGAAGTATCAAATAAGACAATAAGTGAAACATGGATGATTGCTTATGACATAATTACAAACATAAGCAAGACCAAGCACAAACCGAATGATGAACAAAAGAACATTCCAACCTCGGGCGGTTTATTCTGTCTTTTTAAGTCTCTGCTTTTATTAATTTGCTTAATTGCTCGTGAAAATCAGGCATTGTTGACGCCAGTTTTTAATTACAGACTATTTGGCATTACATTCTTAATTACTTAACAAATACTTACTTTTCTTCCATTGAACTACAACGTAAACCTTACCGCGACATCATCGTAATTTAGATATTACCGCCACGAGTTCATGTCCGACACCAAATCTTCAGAAGTATCTATCAATTATTATTATTCACCATCTTTTGGGAAGACACAGAAATTCTCTTCACCTTCAACCAAGTGAAAGTCATGGAATAATTGCCTCTACAGCCGATGTCTTAAAATGCAATAAGCCTGTTTCATTTACCCTAACGTCGCAACTGAGCTTTCTCAAATTTCTTCAACGCCGCAAAAATTTGACTTCTACAGTTAGACATCCTCACTCGAAATATATCAATTTGAAAACTGCATGCATGCATGTTGTTCAAAATATTTTTCCATATTCATCTACATGATCAAAGTTTATGATTGGCTTGAAGTGCAATGAAAACAATACACTAAAAAATTGATAAATCTATCGAGTGAGAGGTATTGTTTCATTTAACCAAATTTGAAAACAAGTTCAACTCTGGTGATGTTGTGCAACATCGTAACTATTCCCCTGACAGTGAGTGAACAATGGAATGTTCGCCATGCTGCATGATTCTTTGGAAAGTGACATCGTCAAAAGAATTAGCCAAGTATAGCAAGATATATGATTATGCTCCCTCAGTTAACGTCTGATTAAATACATGATGACCATTGACTTGTTTTATTCATTTCAATGAAAATGACCAACACGGACACACAGATATATACATGGTCTTTAAAATAGTGGTTAGATGCGCATGCGCAGCTTTGTAAAATCTATTTCAATTTTCGAACTGTGGATTATATTTTTACTTTGGCAAATATGATCGCGATAAAATTGTTCGAGATTTAAATCGTAAAATATGTTTAAACTTTGGATATTCTCCACTCGTCGTCAGAAGCAGGTACATCTGATTTTGTGGCAAATGAAATGAACTAGCTTTCTGTCAATATACCCCATATTCTTTAAAAAGCCATCAAAAATATCTCTCTTTAAAGATATTTAAATTATCTTTTATTAAATTATTATTGTGACTGAGATAGTATGATCAATATAAACATATGTCTTCTTACAGCTCCTCATGGTGGTCACATGTGGAAATGGGTCCACCAGATGCCATTCTAGGAATCACTGAAGCTTATAAGAACTCCAACCCCAGCATAACAAATAATCATGTGTAGATGTATACACGTAAAAATCTTCAACTAAAAAAGTATATTTGATGGTTGAATGGACAAAATCTTTAGCAAACACAAATTTAGTAAAACGAAAATTTCTTCAATGCCATAACTCTTCAACGGTCATGTTTGCGTTTTTTTGAGTTCGTGAACGGCGTTTTCCAACATCTCCAAACAAAACTCACAAAATCATTGAGATGTTACAAATCCTATTATGTGAGGTAATGAAGACAATAGATGACTGTGTATAACAGTAGATGACTGTGTATGACAGTAGATGACTATGTATGACAATAGATTCCCGTGAAAAACAGTGAATGACTGTGTATAACAGTAGATGACTGTGTATGACAGTAGATGACTGTGTATAACAGTAGATGACTGTGTATAACAGTAGATGACGTAATATAACGTTAGGTGACGTAGTATGACGATTTTTACGTTTCATAAACATATTCTATATCTTGGAGCACGTAGAAAATGACATTATTACAAATCGTTGCTTTTATAAAGCAATATTTCAAGTTTACAGAATTCAGAGTCATTATAGAGTAATTAAGTGATATATCTAAAAATTAAACTAAGACTGTTGATACTTTTACGTGGGGACAAAAAGTTGCACTATTCATTTAAACGTAAAAATGCAAAGAAAAGACCAATAATTGTGATGATAACGTCCATACAAAGTGAAAATGACGATCCTCGTGTTGATGTTGTGGGTATTGCGGATATTGGTGTCGTATCCTTTTCTGTAACAAAAATATTCGAGATTTTATTGAACTTGAACTTGTCTCAACCAAAACATTTTAAACTAAAGAAATGCTTACCTTCCACATCATAAAGTGCCATCATTCCATGGACCATGTGACTATTCACGTGACAATGTAAAAACCATTTTCCAATACTATCAGGAATCATTTTTACCGTCATAAAAACTCCTGGAAAGAGATCAATAACATCTTCTCTGTGGTCAGCGGTCGTTCTCTGGCAACAATAAATACGAGATAATTTTATTTTGCTTCATTCAAGGGAATACCAATGAACGATAAACTTACTGCAAGGACTGTCTGACCATGAAAATGAACATTATGCATATCAACTTCTGTACCAAGACTCAACAAGTACCAGTTAACTTTCTCATTTTTAAACATTCTCAAACCTTTCAAATTCCCAAAAATTCGACCATTTATTGCGTTCATTTTATTACTTTCCATAAAATCTTCATCTTCCACATTAACCAACGAAGAATTTGCAAAATTTTTAATATTTTCACGTAAATACCAACTCAAGTTTTCATCGATCACACTGAAGTAAATAGGATACTCGCGGTCAACATTTTTTACACGAGAACCATCATTAGTTAGCGAACCCTGGATGATGGAAATAAGCGTTAGGTAAAATCTTTTCAATAATTAAATGTCATTCGCTGTATATATATTTTCTAACAACAATACCTGTTTACAAATAATCAACGGACCAACTAGTCCAGAATTTGTGTCTTTTGATGGATCAACGTTGCTGTAATATATCCATGTAAGACAATCATTATCATTTGAAGAAGGACCAGCTGTGTCAGGAACACTCCAGGTATAATTATAGATCTGTCCTGGTTTTACGATGTCGTCATCCTTTAACGTAGTATTATCCTCGTACAAGGCTCCTTCGTTCATCTTGCTACAAAAAGTTTAATCATTATCATCAATATCAACTTGAAGCAGAAAATCTCTAATTTTTAAATTATAGTTCTGAACTCCGGATTGGAAAAACATTATTTTACACTTACTCGTAAAAAACTCCATGAGGATGAACAGAATAATTTCTGCTAGCCATGTTTTTGAAAACAACTTTAATAGTTTCGCCTACTTCAGCACGAATCACAGGACCAAGAAAGCCAAGGTACTCGAAATGATTTGCTTTTATCGTGAACGATATGTCGGTATACTGTCGATAAAGTGCTTTCTTGTACACATGACCAATCCTGTTTGGTCCTCGTTTTGCATAAACCATTGCTTCCCTGGGTGGATAAGACAACACAAAAATCAAACCAAGAGAGCAAGCAAATTGATAAACAATCCAAACAGGACCAAACCTACTTGTCAGTATTAATATCTCTCCCTTTAATATTATTTTTTCCGTCTTGTGCATAATCCCAGTTTTCTTCAATGGCAGCTATGTAATATGTTCTGGTTTTCCTGGAGTTCGAGCGAACGTGATTCTCATTGTTACAATATTTGACACGATATTTGGCAACCATTCCAGCATCATGATGATCATTTGTACGACAGACTAAAGCCCATTCACCAACATTGTCAGGTTTCATAAACAATGTTTCAAATGTTCCTACATTAAAAATACACATTTCCTTCATGTACTGAGCAAATTTACTTCAAATGCAATTACAAAAGATAAGAATTATCTTACCAGGCACTAAATTAAGGCTGTCTTTTCTATTTTTGTTCGACAAGAACGTATGACCATGAAAATACGCTCCGTGTATATCGACTTCATTTCCCCAGCCAATAAGATGCCAAGATACACTATCATTAAAACACGTGTCAAGACCAGGTAGATTGGCGTACAAATATCCATTCACACCATGCATTAAATTATTTTCCTTCTCTGCGTCTGTAGAATAAATTAAGAAAAGCTAATAAATATACTGAGCGTCAACATGAAGACCTCGACAATCATGAAATATCTTACCATAGCTGAAAGTGTCAACAACGCTTGGGCTTATAAATTCTTTTACATTCTTCCTGATGTAATGCGCCTCGTTTTCATTTGAAACCATAAAAAACACCACAAATTCTTTATCCATATCTTTTTGTTCACCGCGGGCATCCAAAGAGCCTTTTTTGCATACAAGAAGCGGCCCAATCAAGCCTGGAGATAAATAAACTATTACAATCATATTGTAATAAACTCGAATGACTTTAAATGACTTATGATGGTCCAAACTCATAAAAGAAATTGTGATGACTTCACGTTACAGTTAAAAGATATTTGAAGTGATAAACACATAAAAATACCAGAATAAACGTCCTTGATAGGATCTACAGCTGAGTGATAAACCCAAGTTATACAAGTGGGATCGTTCTTCGTTGGTCCAACATGTTCAGGAATTGTCCATGTGTACACGTGAGTTTGATTGGGTCTTACTACGTCATCTTGCTTATGAATCCCGGATGTTCCATCATTATAGAGGGATCCTTCGTTTGATTTATTGTAAAACACACCATGAGGTTGTATGCTGAAGTTGTATGATGCCTTAAAATAATAATTATAACTCAAAGATTTTCATTAAAAATTATTGATTTATTACATGTAGTTTTACCTTATTTCGAAATGTAACAGATATTGTATCACCGACTTCCGCCCGAATTATCGGACCCAAGAACCCTAAATGTTTGTCTTTCATTTTCTTTCGATAAAACTGCTGTTTGTGTACTCAAAGAATAAAGATTTCCAGTATTTTCCACCGATGGCATCGTTAGATTTGTGAAAAAACTCACGACCTTTACTGTTAACAAGAGACTAAAGTCTTAAATAAATGATTGTGTAGATGCAGTACAGTCAAGCCAGTCTTTACCTGTTTTGATCTGTTAAATTCCCTCCATTAAATTTGTCTAACCCAGACGGTGCATAATCCCAGATAACCTCTTCAGCTGTAATGAAATATTTTCGTGTAACACCATCAAGATTTTTATTTTCAGTAAAAGACTTTTGAGGACAGTTAGAGACATTAAACAGAGCAGACATGCCCGCCGAATAATGATCATTCACTAAACAGTTTAATAGCCATATCCCAGGATTTGAAGCAGTCATATGAGCAGTACTTGACTTTGCAGGAAACATGGAACTAACGTCTTTACGGTGTCCATCTATCTGCATAGTCTGACCATGGAAAAATGCTTTATGAAAATGAAAGAATTGTCAGGATGGAAACATGTTATAGGATGGATTTCGCAGGGTATAAATGTTTAAATGTAAAACTTACCGGTGTGTATATCAACCTCAGTACCCATACCAAACATATGCCAATTGACTTTATCGCCATTGCACATATCAAGATTTGGTGTATTGCCGTAAAAATAACCGTTTATAGCGTGCATTTTATTACTTTCCTGAAAATCTGCATCTTCTTTGTTTGTATTGAATTGAGGACAATATTCCTTGATATTCTCATCTAACAACCAACTATGATTTTCATCCATGACTGTGAACATAATGACGAATTCGCGATCGATATCTTTATGTTTCTTGTTTATAAATGTTCCATTTTTACAAATCAACATTGCACCTGGAAATCACGAAACGACGAGAATTAGTCAACATTGATAAACATCCCCCCCCCCTCTCTCTCTCCAGCATATGTATGGTACTTACCTACAAGTCCAGTGTTTACATCATTCTGCGCATGTACATGCGAATGATAAGCCCACGTTAAACAATCTGAGTCAGCGTTTGTTGGTCCGTGTTCACGTTTTACATCCCAGTGATAGACATGTGTTGCATTAGGGGGAACACCATCATCACTTTTATCAACTCCTGATGTTTCATCCTGAAGAATAAATTAAAGTTTACATATTCATGACCGAATGACGTCATCATTGACATCGATGACGTAAAACATTACGTCATGAATACAAATATCATGTGTACCTCGTATAACGCTCCTTCCGAGCTCTTGGTGTAAAACACACCATGTGGATGAACTGTATAATTTCTTGTAGCTTTATTCACAAAGTTTACAACAATTTTATCGCCAACTTCGGCTCGAATTATCGGACCCAAAACACCAAGATATTTTGGATGTGGCTTTAATGATGAACATAAGTTGTCTTCACATTCACGATAAACAACTTTACGATAAGTTCTTCCAATTCTGTTCTTTGGGTCATTTTTAGTGAACACTGACGCTGATCTGTATTAAGACACTAAAGTGAGATTACTGTATAGGAAAGACCCCACACCAAGTTATCTTAGCGGATATTTGTAGAAACAACATTTGCAAGATATTATTTGACTACATTAATTGCTTTATATATTTTTGCATACAAATTACAAGAGTTTCAACGCGTCACAGTCAGTGGTTACACTCAAGCGCACACGCAAGTGGAACACGTGCAAAGTGCAATAGCCAATACTGAACAATGCGGAAGTTGTTAAATGCAGATTCACCATCTGGTGTTAAGTATTCCACAAAAACTTGTTTTAATTCATCAATCACACCATGCAGTTAATCACACAGCGTCCACATAGAAACCAAATAGTTTTGAAACGCAGATAAATTTTTATGGCTACAAAATTCTCCATCATGCCCATCCCAATATAATTATGTTTAAACATTCTAATGTGTTCGAGGATTTCTGTAAACAAAATGCATTGTGACGGCCCTTTCACCTTATTCTCCTTCCTTGTTAATAACAATAAGCAAAACGGTTGGTATATATTTTGTCTGCTTTCGCTTCCGTTTCAATCCACACAATGTTATTGCAGTACGTTGCATTGTATAGTTGAATTACAAGAAATATTTCAAATCGTTTAAAGAGAAAGTACATCCATGATATTGCAAGGTATCTTTATTAACATTCTTAAACTCCAACACAGAAACTATTTGGGTTTATTTGTAAAAAAATCATGTTCATAAAGTTTATCTTGCAGCAAGAAATGAATTGAAATATAAGATTTGTTAGCTTACTCGTCATCATCCAGTTGTTTACCATTCAACTTGTTTATTCCTGAAGGAGCATAGTCCCATTTTATTTCAACTGCAGCAATGTTGTATGTTCTAACCTCACAATGACTTTCTTGAAGAAAGAAAAGCAAAGTGATCAACAGTATTGTTTCCATAATTATCTCAACCGTTGTGTTCGCACTGATGTTGTCAGACCAAATAAAGGCGAGGTATAAATCAATCTGAGTATGAGCAAAGAAACATGACACGTGGAAAACCATATATGGTTATGGTAATGCTTCTACTTCCTGTATTTCATTTAATTTAAGTGCTGGCGAAGTCAAAATTTATAGACACTTTTTATCATAAATTGAGCTGATTAAATAATGAAACAAGTTTACACAAATGGTACATGTGGAAGTACAGTACTAGACAATAGAGTTTAAAAATATACATGAGGGCCACTCCATTGAGTTTTTGTGCTACAAATATTTATTACGTATATGACTACCGTAATGGCAGCCAATCAATTTGCTTTTTTGATCAATGGGAATGATGAAATGGCTAATTGCAACTAGTAATCTAATCAAATATATTGAGAATCTTACTCGAACTTCTTGCTTCGAAAATATCAAAATTTCTGCGTTATAACGCAAAATTTATCCAACATTGTGCAACCTTGATCTATGTTACGCAAACTTTCCAGCTGTAATCACAACATGCATTTAAGCACGTCGCCCTCACTTCACCCATCGCACCACACCACATATATTTCTTTAGGCGAATAACATTTGACCGTCCATGCGCAACATAATTTAGTTGTGTTTGAACATCTTAAAGTATGTGGGAAATTTTGCTTGAATGAAAATCATCTGTTATAACGCCTATCTCAACCTTGTGTTAAAAACAATAAGTCATTACAGCTTCTTATAGTTTTCCTATCCTTTTGAACGTCTACTTTCTCTATTTAACTTCAAATTTCAATTGACGCAATGTTATTGCAGTCCATTTTGTCCTAGGGAACAAACTCGAATGGGATTATAATCTCGTATACTTTCGTGCTTTCAAATATTGACGTAATAAAATAAATTTGTAGTAAAGAAATGGAAAAATTAAAGAATGGATCGATTGTGCTTTTCGTTTGGGCTGGAAACAATCCTCCTCAAGATTTAGAGGAAATAGTCTCTCAAATGAATGAAAGTGTTGGCACAAATGGGAAAATTCAATTAGAGCATATTGACAGATTAAAATTATGTATGTTTCAATTCCATATAAATACTGGCCGATTTTCCTATTATAAACTTTCAAAACTTTTATTATTTGATTTCAGCATCACACAAGGAATCTTTCTTTGACATTATTTACTCTGGACTAACATTTCCTTCAATATTTGTTCATGACTTGGATACACTTGCCGAAATGGCTCGAATCTTGAAGCCCTCTGGTTCTCTTATAATTCGTCAACCAATTGGTACTAATTGTTTTCTTTGACGACATAATCATGGGTAAAAGTCTCCCTTTGTTGTTGAAAATTGTCTTATTGGTTGTAGGAATTGCAAATACTTTAATAACAGATGAAAAGTTGAAGTCATTGATAGTGATGTCTGGTTTCATCAACGTCTCCAAAGTATGCTTCATGTTTCACTTATTTTGACCTTAAATCATCTCCTCACAGTAGTTTCTTATAAAAACAGAGCAATCTTGTGCCATTGTCTCAAGAGAAGATGAATACTCTACAAACTGTTTTAATGACAGAAAATAAAGTAGACTTAATTGAGGTAAAATTCTTGCTTTCTTCATTAAAATCGATGGAATATTACTGGAAATTATTTTCTTTGTTTTTAGATAATTTGTGAGAAACCATCTTTCAATGTTGGCTCAACCTCTCAGCTTAAACTTTCCTTTGGCCAGAAAAAAGGTAAAATATTTCATTCTCCCATTTAATTCAAAATAATGCATGATTGAAGATAACAAAGCTCTCATTTAGAAATTTCTGAAGATGTTGCTAAGGTTTGGACGTTATCTGCTCAAGACATAAATGATGATGATGTGGTTAGTATACTTCATGTTAAGATGAAAGTAATTACATAATCAATGTAGTTTCATTACCAGTTTCCATGACATCTTTCAGGATCTCATTGATTCTGATGAACTTTTGGATGAGATTGATTTCAAGAAACCAGATCCATCGACACTAAAAAGTAGGTACCCCTAGTGGTAAATTGCCATTATCCCTTAATGTACTGTAACATTTCGATGGTTCTTTGTGTTAAGAAGTAAATTGTTGTTTTTATTTTAGATAACTGTGGCCCTAAATCTGGAAAGAAAAAAGCCTGCAAAAACTGGTGAATATTATGATGTTCTGCTTAAAAATAAAGATGAGTACTCAGTAGAAAAACATCAAAGTTTAATTGATTTTTCATCATTTTCAGTTCATGTGGACTTGCAGAAGAACTTGCTAAAGGTGTTGAAAATGCTCTACCTAAGTCTGCATGTGGCAGCGTAAGTAGTCAGTTTTTTATAAATGTTTGACACTTTCAATACTGAAAATCACTGTTGTATACTATATTATTGTCCTTAATTAGTGTTACTTGGGAGATGCCTTCCGTTGCGCAAGTTGCCCTTATCTTGGTATGCCAGCGTTTAAACCTGGAGAAAAAATATCATTAAGTGATAGACAACTAAAGCCAGATATATGATTTGCATTTTATAAACTTTATGGCTTAAGAGTTGCACTATTGATGAACTTACTTTATTATTGAATTTATTGGGAAGGGTGGAAACTTTGAACTGACATTCAGACATAAAATGTAGTTCTTTGTTGCTTATGTATTAAAATAAAAGTTCTGTTTTTAATAAACATGTCATTTTTCATTCCTATAGTGGTAAAGTTTTCTGTTAAGGATCTCTACCTTTCAATAAAAAAAAAGGATTGTCAACTAATGATAGCCTGGACATTTTTCTTAAGAGTAAATTGATTTGTCTCATTTATAGATTAATAAACTTTCTAGGAAGATAATTCATCTTATGACTGGTAGAATTACTCTCAGTTGTTGCTACTTTGATTTTGAATGGTATCGGTTGAGTGGTAAAGAAAATGTTTATCATAACCACAATGTAAGACCAAAAATTGGTTGCAAATATGAATGCAAGTTTCAAAGTAGGCATTGATAAATTTATATGGAGAAAATTTTTAATGAAAACTTGGTTGATGATGAGTCACACAATAAAATGGTATAGATGATAGATGACACTAATTGAGTTAAATGCTGTCATTGATGATAATTCACAATGTAAACTGAGATGTTTAGAATGAAATCAAAAAGGGAATAATTTGTATGTTTTGAAAGGAACAATATGTAAACTACAGTGACCACATGCACAACATTCACAGAGTTCAACAATGATGTCATAAAATGAAACCTAATATAAATCCTAACACGGTTTTTTTATACCCACATGAAAAATATGTGATATGGACGAGATTTGAACTGAGATTAGAATGATACCAATGACCCTATATTGAACTTTTCTTTGCAACTTTGAACGTCACATTATTTTCATGTGTCACTGGGACTTTATCTTGATCACTGATGATTAATAGTGTAATTAGACATAGCTGTACGCGTTGGTCACCGAAAAGCATTTAAGAAATGGGTACATCGTCCAGCAGAGATGCCGCGCTTGAACAGGCTTCGGAAAGATTAGAAGAAGCCCAGTTGAGGAAAGTTGAACAATTGTTTGAAAAATTGTCCACAAGTGATGCTCTGGACAGACAGAAATTTAAGGTAAAGATGTCAGTAACTAGAAATTAAACAGTGCTTGAAAAATGTTTTAAATTTCAATGTATTTTGTCCATATTTAAAGGATCATTTTTCAAACTACTTCCCGGAGAATTTCACCGATCGTATTTTTAATGGAATGTCCAATTTCCAATCAGGAAAACTTGTTGAGAGTGTTGTGGTAAAGAAGCGCGACTTTATCATGTATGCTTCGTGTGTTCTGAAAGGTTTCGTCAACGAAAAAGCTGAGGTCTTTCATAAACTCTCATTGTTAAACAATGAACAAACTTTACGCTCATTAAGAGAAATGTGTAACATATTTCTTAAAGCATATATCAATGCAATAAAAGAATCAAGTTTAGGAGATCCTTACATGAATGCAGGCTTCAATGAAGAAGGAAACCTACGATTTGTTGTCAAGTTGACAGACTCTATTCCTCCAGAAAAACAAAATCAGTTCACTACAGATGATTTGGAATCATGGTTACGTAAGGAAGTTTTAGTGATGCGGATATTTGAAGAGGTTTTCAAAGCTTGTTTTCTTGGAGCTGAAAGTGTTTTAAATATCCGTAAACATGGAAGTATTGTCAGGTTTGTAGCGACTGAATGTGAATGAATTACTAGATCAAAGGTGGAATTGTTATTTCTATTGTATTAGATTATCTACTGTGATTTAAATTTATGGATCATTTGGGATTGGATACATCATACAAATCATTATTCATGAATTCATTTTTCCTAGATCAGACACACTTTTACCCCATCAGTTGAAATACAATGGACATCATGAGATCAACACCATTATTGACATTCCTTCAATGCTCATCTTAAACCATGCAGTTCCCCAAGATTGTCGTCAGAACTGGCGGCTACTGTTTGCAACATCCTGTCATGGCAAAAGCTTTACAACATTTCTTCATCGCATCGTTTATCAAGGTGCAACAATTTTGATTGTAAAAGACACTGGTGGTTACATATTTGGAGGATTTGCATCCACTAGTTGGAAGGTTAAGTCATCATTTAAAGGTAAATATTGTTTACAAACTTGTTATATGTTATAGACTTGTGAACATTTATTGCACCTCAATGATCTTTATAGGTGATGAACATTGTTTTCTATTTCAATTGAAGCCAACAATGGCGATTTATTTACCAACTAATTTTAATGAAAATTATATGTACCTTAATGTTGGGATGAAGACATTGCCCAATGGTTTGGTAAGAAAACATCATTTTATGCACTCTGCATTGTTATTTGGTAAGGAAAGTTTGTTAAATAAATAATTACCTTGAAATTAATGTTTCTTAGGGTATGGGAGGGCAACTTGAATATTTTGGCTTTTGGTTGGATTCGGAATTTGGACCAGGTCACAGCATGGCTCGTCCCAAGTCAACAACTTATGGCAATCCACAGTTATCATCATCAGAGAAATTTGAAGTTGAAGAAATTGAAGTATGGGGTGTTGGAACACCTCCAGAACAAGAGGTAAAGCACTAGATATAGGATGCATTACAATATGAAATGAATAAGAAGGATAATTGTGTACTTAAAGGTGATAAAATATGAAATGATTAAGAAGGATGATTATATATTTAAAGGAACGCGAAAGAAGTGTTTTGGACCGGGAAACAGATGCACAAGCTATTTTGGATTTGATTGGAAAGGAAAGACAAAGTGAAGGATTTCGAGAACCAGAAAGTGAAGATTAATGAATTAGACATCCACACAAAAAAATGCTTTCTTTCATAGTCTTAAAATACTAAATAAGTATTTAATTTGGTTTGAATTTATTTATAATGTAATGTGAATGAAGGTAGCTATGCATATGGGCATCATTAAAGTAATTTGTCTAATACTCTTTCCTTCAACATAATCCACCTTCAAATTCATCTTCATCACCTAGTGATGACTTAACCTTTTCATCTCCTGTTTGTTCATTTGTTTGAAGAGCAATTGCTGACTCTTGTTCCATCAACTTACTTGCATTTAAATCACTTTTTAGTGACATATCTTTCATGGACTGTCTTGCACTCTCTTCACTTCCTAAAGGATTTACATTATCATCAATGATCCCTTGTTCTTCATAGGTTTGATTTGTTGATTCAGTTTTATCATATTCCTGTAAACCCTCTGCACTCTCTTTGCTTCCTAAAGGATCTACATTATCATCAATGATTCCTTGCACTCCAGAGGATTGGTTTGATGATTCAATTGTATCATGTTCTTTTGAGTCCTTAGCACTCTCTTCACTTCCTAAAGGATTCTCATCATCATCACAGATGAGTTGCTCTCCTGGAGGATTGTTCCTGGAGAGAAATCTTATTTCTTTCTCTTGTCCCCTAATATTAAATTCTTCTGAAGGTTTTAGATCTCTTGCCAATTTACTCAACTAAAATATGACAGTACATTAAAATTTCTTTCTTGTTAACACAATTCTTTGTACTTGAAACATTTCTCAATGATATTAAACCATTTCAGTGTTTCTCACCTCATTATCAAGATTACGAATAACAGGTTTTCTGACAATAGTTTTTAATTTTTCTTCATCATTCTCATCATAAGCATTTAAAAGTTCCTCCATTACTTCAGCTTCATCTGATGAACCAAAACCATGCACCCTGAAAGAAAAGCCATCGCAAATCATAAAGGACACCAGGGAACTTTTATGGATGATTTTTTTCACAATAAACTAAACTTACTCAAAGGCATCTTTGAAACACTTATCTGCAGAAACATAATCACCTTCGGACAAATAGACAACAGTAAGACCCAGCAATACCTGTTGAATATGACGTATAAAATTTACCAAAGTGGAAACATTGAACATCCTCCAAATATTTCATCATTTATAACCTTAAACTGCATTCCTGTGTTTCCAATCCTTTCATAAAGTTCAAATTGTTTATTGAGTGATTTAACAGCTTCTTCGTACCTAGCATAAAAGATAATCTATAATATTTGTTGTTTTATTCATCATTTTCATGGCTCCACAATACCAACTTTTGCAACTTTAATAAAAGCTGTGTGCGTTTGGAATATGGTTCTGCAGCCTCTCTCAATTTGTCATCCATCTAAATTTACAAATCCAATATTTTGTTCTTACCATGATTTTATAAATAAAACAAAAAAATAATGCTGCATTACCTCACACATTTCTCCAGCAGATTGATAAAGTTCAATAGCTTTGTTGATGTTGCTTCCCTCGCATATTCTACACAAGAAATAATGACTTCAAAAATATACCAATATCTATCCTGTTGGAAACAACTTTTAAACTACTTTGCAGCTTTTTTCAGAACCAGAGAAGCAGTATCAGGAGTTCCACTTTCATAAAATAATGCTCCAGCTCGTTGTAAAAGATCAGCTGCATAATCCACTCTCTTCATTTCCTTCATCATTACACCAGCTTGTTCAAGGGCTCTATTTAACATATGGACATAGAGTCAAACAAAAATGACCTTTTCCATAGAAGTATTCACATAAATTATACATACTTGCCTGCGTGAAATAATCTTCAAAAAAGTTAAGAAAAATGTGTCTATTATAGATTACATTAAGTTAGAGAGAGAAGAAAGCTGGGATATAGCTAGCTTTGTGTTAAAAGATACGAATGGTTCTGTTGATGAGCATCAGCAGCTTTACAAAATGCATCCTTAGCTTGATCATAGGCTTTGGCAACTTTGAATGCCGTTCCTAGACAGAAATATTAAATACTTCATTAATTATCATATCTATGTGATATAACGATATAATCATAGAACTTTGCAAAAGATTTTAATCTTCCATCACATTTCACGTTTGGAAACACTCGAATCCTTTATAGATTATTATAATCATTCTATATATTAAAAGTTCTTTGCTTCAAACAGTATGATTGTTCTACCAGCTTTCATAAATTTATCGGCTGCATTGTCTAAGTCGGGTTTCCATTTCAACCAGTTCGTACGAAGACTTAAAGTAAAAAAAAAATTCTATCAATGGAAATTGACCACAAAAATTATGCAAGAATAAGACAACATTAGAGACATATGATAACTACATAAACACACCATTTATCAGCTTCCTTGAGAAGCGACAATCCTTCTGCTTTCTTCTTTTCACTCAAGGAATTCGCCATCTTGCAGATGATCTCTTAGACGTAGAATTAACTGGAGTTGGAATTTGTGGAAGACTTGAAGGTAAGAAAATGAACGCGGTTAATGTGAGTCAAAAATGAAGAATTTTTAACACACATACATTACTGCTTTCATTAAAAATGTGCAAAAAAATAAAATAATACTGTTATCTTGACTAATCTTCCTCTTAGAGACAGGCATTATAAAAATACCTAAGTAAAGACTCTCTAGAAAATAGACGTTTTCATTGTGGAAATCCACTACTATTCACGCTTTAAACACATGGAGCACAGAAAGTTCATGCCAGAAGTTTTGAAAATCTCTAAAGCAATCTTTTCACATCGTTGATGGAACCATTCCTTACATCCTCCACATTGAGCCATTAAATCACTTTCACTCTTTGGTTTCTCATAAGGCATACGACAACTACAGAACAACTCAACGGTATAAAACTTTCTCTTCGATAATACAAGATCGCTACTAGCCCCAGGCTTCATCTCAGGAAACGGACTCATCTTTTTGAGCTTCAGACACTCAACAAGATGAGGGCGCATTTTAGAAACGTCGAAACGTAGTTTGCTTGGATCCATACCAAAGGCTAATGCTGTTGCAAATGCGATGGCAAATACGCCACAGTCGACATGCGTTATTTGTTGTTGAACTGATTTCATTATAATCTTCATTTCAGAGCTTTGTATGCACATGAAAGAAGCAAGTTGTTGCTTCGTAAACTTTGCTATGAAACCAAGATTCATGCTGTCATACATGTTCACAGCTGAAGGATCTTTGCTCACATCGTTAACACACACGTTTGCTGTACAAACCCAATGCAATCCGCCATCATGTAAAATTTGAATGAAATCGCCGCTCACGGGCAAGAACGCTTGTACAGAACCACGAGCAACGGTTTGAAAACCTTTCAAATTAGGAAACATTTCATGAAGGATACTTTGGGCAAGATTTATTGAGTCGGTCGTCACCATTTCATTCCGTTGAACCAATCTTGCTTCGTGTTTTGGTAAAGAAGTAGGTGTCTTCACTTCAATAACAGTGACGTCATCAACCTTCTTTTGATCTATAATGTAACCTTCTTGTGAACTACCACAGTTATTAACATCCTTTGATTGCTGTTGATCAACAGTGTTTCCATCTCCTGAAGCTGAGCCATCAGGATTAGAATCAGCAGACTCGCGGTAACAATCTATATTTAAGATTGCCATGTGATTCATCTCCTCTAGGACCTGCTCCTCTATCGTCTCGTTACCGTTGTACGATATCGTTGCATTCTCGGCAGGTTTCGACACTTTACGCTGCGGTTCGTCAACATTGCCTTCGCCATCTTTCAAGGAACGTTTGCTTTTCTTTCCGTTATTTTTCGGTTTTTCCTCCAACTTTACTTGCTGTGACTCAACAAGTTCCGGGTCTAACACATGTTCATCATCCACAAATGACAATTTCAAGTCCGTGTAAACCTGATCTAAGGAGGCATGTAAACGGTTGATGACGTCATCATCAGAGAGACTGTAGGTCAAGTTGTTGATTTCGTTAAGGAGATCCCGACATATGCTGGCCTTGCTTCGTGAGTTAAACTTTGGGATTGTTAGATCATGAAATTGACTTGAGTCAAGAACACTGACCGAGCCTAAAATATATAACAAATATTGAATAAGAGAAGATAGCTAAAAAACAACATCCACGATCTCAAAGAGTACATATACCTTCATTAGTATCACATGTTGAAGCATTTACTTGTCCATCACTCTGTTCTTCTTCTTGTTCTTCTTTGAAGGATTTTGGATTAACAAACTCGTCTAGGGTCAAATAAGGAGAACAACGATAAGAAACGGGGAATTTTGACCAACTCCAATCTTTGATATCACGCATTATGGCAACGAAATGTTTGCAAGGTAACATTGTTGTACACCAATCTTCACATTCACAATGAGGATATTTTTCATCGTTACCGAACTCAACCTATAAATTATATAAAAAATATTTAGTTTCCTCTTTAATTTGTTCATTGCTGCAGTTTACGAAAATGCTCTCGTACTTTGAATTCAACATCAGAACGCCGGCAGTTCACCAAGAATTCGCCTTCCTTGAAGCTATCCACAATGATGTCATCACATGATATATCATAAGATGACGTAATTCGTTCACTGATGTGATCAATAATCCAACGAGGTCGGTTGCGAAATACATCCGGGATATTCGTGTATTTACTTGAAGTGGCAGTCAAAATGTCCGCATTCAATTCGTAATAACTACAAAAATGCACAGAACAATAAGTATGACGTAAAAATAAAAATCACGTGACTTCAACATGAACAAGAACGTGCAGATAGCTTGGTAACTAGCACATCACGTGACTTCAACATGAACAAGAACGTGCAGATAGCTTGGTAACTAACACATCACGTGACTTCAACATGAACAAGAACGTGCAGATAGCTTGGTAACTAACACGTCACGTGACTTCAACATGAACAAGAACATAACGTGGCGTGATAATTAACACATCACGTGACTTCAACGTGAACAAGAACATAACGTAGCGTGATAACTAACACATCGCATGACTTCAACATAACAATGGAACATAAAGATGGCGTGATTACTTACACATCACGATAACGTGAAAGATGTTCATCAACAAGAAATTTGATATTCTCTGATAGAGAGTTAGTCATACAACCAATGAGATGTTCGTGCATAAAGTATTTTCTTTGCGATTCCAACGTATTATTGGTGGTGAGAACGCTGGTGTAGCTGTCGACTTTGAAACACCAAACCCAATGCTATAATATTGCATTAAAATACCGTTAAATGACCCATGTTTTGTTGCCCACCTCACAAAATCTTTTATTTCTCTCAATGAGAATACGTATTTATACGCAATAAGATTGAGCATGTTAACGTATATATAGCTTGCTAGACACAACAAAAATCTCTCCTTTACCTCCTTTACAGCAAGCCAATTGTTTTGAAACCATATTCGAAATGGTTTACCAAAATTGTCATTCCATGTCTCACTTTTCTGGAGGTCATTTAGTCGTTTATCAAACTCTTCGGATGATGGTGATTTTGCAATACGATACATGTGATTGAGTAGTGCTTCTTTGTAAGGTATCATGTGATTGGTCGTTTGTGATAACCACATTTCCCATGAATGAACACGATAGAAATCACCAATGAAAACTTTACAATCTATGAAAAATAAAATAATATTGAATACATGTTTTAGATGAACAAATAAACAACACATTGGCTACGACCAACGTAGACATTTTTAACATTCAAATTAAACTTTTCGATTAAACTAGTTAACGATTCCTCTACATGTTTATAGATGTATATAATACAGGTTAATAGATTTCTCAGAAGAACTGTTGGTGTTGATGTTAACTGACGTTTTGTCAAACTTATCACAAGTTTGTTGAAACGTCAGTCAACATCAACAGCAACAGTCCTTCTCAGGAATCCACTAAACTGGACGATCAACGTCTACAAACATGTAACGATACTCCCAGTTTCAAACTATTCGCTTTATCACTTTATATCAAGCAAAGAATGACAACACTACCATGGAATGCAGTTTGAACAGCAGCAATATCTTCACTATCATTATCAACCATAAAAAGCTTTGGTTTCCAGTCAACATTCCATAATTTTATCATCTCCAACGCCTCCGCTATGGACGTCCTATTCTCATCTTGTTGTAGAAACATTGCAACAACTTGATAGTCAACATTTGTTTTCACCATTATAAAGTATAATGGTAATGAATATTTAACCATTCTATACACGGGATCAAGAAAACAAACATGGTTGCCATAGCGTTGTAACAAATGCCGTTGAAATGACGTTTGATGGACAAAGATGAATGATTGTTGGGAATATTTCTGACGAATTTTGATAAAATCTTCGTGTTCTTCCTCAACAGAAATACCAGACAATGCATGGATGCACATCTCATTAATATTTTCACAAGGTCGACAATATAGTCTGTCTTCAGGATTTTTTTCTACAAAGTAAAGCATTTACAACTGAGATGATATTAAATAAAAATTGCAAATAATACAGTTTCATACCCTGTTGTTCTCCAATAAACTCAATGATACTGTCCACATCCTTAATAATCTCTAAACGTCTCCTGATTAATGCATGGTACATCTTATTCCTTATTACACCAAGTGTAGGATAGTAACGACGATTGCTGTGGTATGGTTTCCACAACTCTGGACATAACTCCATGTTGACAAACACTTCCAACTGACGTTGAACCTCTTTGACACAAGTCAATCCTTCTTTCACTAAATCAACAATCTTTCCTGATACTTTATTATGTAATCTTTCAGAGTTTGTTTCACTTTCCTGATCAAAGCATTTAAAATACATGAATATAAAATTATCAAACAACTACATAAAGTTTATATGCACAAAGGGAAAATTAAAGAGAGATGAGAAGGAGATGGAAGGAAATACAAAGAGAAGAAATAGGATGAAAAAATGAAAGAGTGGAAAAGAAAGAAAGCATGATAATGAAGTTACACTAACCTCTCCTACAACATGACCAACATGGGACTCATTACTTGGAAAGCTAAGATATATTCTTCGCTCAATTTTATCCAAATCAATTTTTCCTTCCTTCATGTTAGTTTTCAACGTATGGGACATAGTTTTTTTCATGTATTGTGTAGTTTGGGCAATCTGAACAAAAATTCAGTTATGTCAGTATGCAATTTATTGATGCCCTGTCACAATAAACACAAAAATACCTTGTATTCTGGAAACAAGACAACATCATTAAAAGCAATCAGTGCTGGGCAATTTATTTTCTTTCCAGGTGCTACAATATTTCTTTTCTTCTTCTCATTCATCTAAAAATACACATAAAATTGCATAAGTCTCCAAAAATCTCAAGTTCACTACCCAAATTTTCAACCTCAACACGTTTCTGTTCGGCTCGTTTCTTCATAGCAACACTGCGATCTTTACCATGATGACAATCAAAAATCTTTTTTCCCATAAGCATGAATGGGACACCAGGCTCAATTTTTTCCTTCACATTAAAATCCAAAGAGATTCATCCCAGTAAACTTTCTTTGGTTTACTTTCTAATGCTGCAAATCAACAATACAATATATAAATAACTTTTTTTTAGGTTTAAATTTTAAACACTTCTTTCATCATAAAATATATTGTTTTCTACATCTAGCCATGAAAAGATAAGGTTTTCATAATTGAACCATGTCTAATAAACAGACAAGGGTTGAAAGCGACGCTAGTATTATCATTACAAGATACAAGCATAACATATTTTTACTTTTCAAATAAAGAAGTTTATTAATAAAGTTCACATCGTGGTAACATATTTATTTTCAATCACTGAGATGTCGTTAGGGGGACCTTCTTTTGAAGGATCTCAAACACTTTATACTAAAATTGACTTTTAAACAACGACTCAACAAGAATCGACTGAAAATAAAAAATCCTCCACCTAATATAATGAGGGGCATGAACTTAAATAACAATGACAAATACTGAAATATCAGAAATATTTATATGGAAATAAGAGAAAGAAACAAGGAAGATTCAAAGAGGAAATAGTTCATCACAAAGCTATCTTCACTCGAACACATACCCGAGTGGCCGAAATCCTTTGGACTTCGCCACACGCAAAATCGGCTTTTTGTATTCGTTTCAAAGCGATTCATGACTTCGTCTGCCTCTTGTAAAGTTTTAACGTACTTGGGATATAACCCACTAGCTATTGGTGTTGGTTTATGAACATTCTCAATGGAAATCTCTGGTTTCTCATCAGGCAGTTCACTTTGCTGAACATCTGTTGTTACTTCAGACTCCGCCATTTTGGCTTATGTTTTACAGTGTAAGTGTAGCGTGGTATACGGCTTTATCCCCGGCCCCTCGGTCCTTGAGAACTCTGCGAAAACTGTTATTGCTGTCTTGTCGCTATCTTTGCGAGAGGTTAGTTTGAAATCAGAAATATTCTCTGTCCATAAATTATCCGTTTCACATTTTATTTAGGTTAAAACGTAGATAAGATAAAACTACAACAAATGAAGGAAGGGCACTTTGCCCGGTGGGCGATTTAATCCCCAACGTTTCAAATGAAAATACAAGAAACTGAACAAGTAAAAGTAATGAAATAATTATGTACAACATTTTCAAAAAATGTGTTTGCATATCTATTTATGTAAACTATGATTGATAGCGAAGTTCAAAAGCAACAACATCAAACTTGCGTTTACATCCCTCATAGTTCATATAACGAATCTTGCCAAAGATAGGTCTCTGTGTCCACGCACGATCATGAATACCACATATGGACCACATACATCCTAAAATGTCAAAAGTATATCTACTTGTATTTAGCTTCAAAAGCTTCAACATCAAACTTTCGTTTACAGCCTTCGTAATTCATGTATCGTATCTTTCCAAAGATCTCACGCTCCTTCCAACCTTGGTCATGCACACCACAAACAGACCACATGCAACCTAAGGATTTTATTTGAGTATTATATGATCTCCACTTACTAATATTTCGATCTTCAATTCATTATTTCATCAAACTAACCTACAAAGCCATTTGGATCATTTCCATCCAATTGATATTTATCATTCAGATAAATGGCAATATCAAGAGCTTCCTTGGGTGTTTGGGTCCATTCCAAGATCTTTTTTGCCCAGTACATGCGAAGGAATCCATGCATTTTACCCTCACGAATTACCTGAAGCTGAAAATGAATAATCGTATGTATAAAATATATTTTAACATTCAATTATGCATTTTTATGATTTTTATAATTATTGCAACATTACAACATTATCATTACCTGTGCTGCATTCCAAAGCTTGTCATGAGTCTTAGCAGTTTCAAATTCTTCTAATGTGTAAACATACTCTCTTTTATCGTCAAGATGATCATTGAGAGTTTTCTTTGCCCAATCACTTGCCCCTTCAATACTATCATAATTTTTGTTATAATAACAGAAATTATCAGCAAGTTCACGACGTACAACAGCTTCTTCTATGTATGCTTCAGTTGATTCCTTCCACTTGGATTTTTGTTTGGATACAGTCAAAATAGCTCTTTGAACACTTACTTGACCTAATTAATAGATTATGTGCACAATTACATGAAAAATTTTCTTTTAAATAGAACAGTGTTGAAGTTAAATGATTTAGCACAAAAACCTGCATGAAACCAAGGTGAAAGATTACTCAAAGCATCTTTAGTTGGATCATTTCTGTCTGAAGAAAAACTTTCAAGATGTTTTTCACTGAACTCTTCTAATTTCAACAAGCCTGCTTTTGAGCCGGGTTTAGCCCAAGTAACCTCTTTAACAGAGTCATCCACTTTGATAAATGAATGAACATTGTCCCATTGGATATCCTAAAACATAATGCCTATCAATATTTTGCTTTCCATTACTTCAGTGGATAACATTTACTGATATACCTCAATTTTCTTTGCTGCAAATGGGTGTTTCTTACAAAGAGGGAATTCTGTAAGAAATTCTGGAAGTTGCTTTGTGATCTTTGGTCTAATAGTTCTGGCAGCATACTCTAACTTTTCTGATGCCACCCAACACGGTACAATGTTATGAGCATCAACCTAACAAATATCATCATAGTGAGTGTGTAACTTGATGGAAGCTGACAATTTATTCAACCAATTTTCATGACATCAACCTGAAATACTGGCACGTCTGGTAATTCTGACACAATATCATCCAACCAAGCTAATACTTCACGTAAGGGAGAGAAATCTGTGACAACTCCACCAATTTCATTTGACTTTACATACTCCAGTAATGTTTTACTTGGATCACCCAGCAATACGTGAAATGATATGTCAAGATCTTTCAAATCCTAGAAATTATGCACATCAAATATTAACAACAAAAATAAGGTAAGGTATGAAAGTTGAATCGACCTTTTCCATTTCTTGCAAGCCTTTAATAATGAAACCATATTGTCGGATGGTTGCTGCACGAAATTTTTCTGGTAGGGTAAAACACACATGCAATGGTATGTTGTGTTCAACCGCTAAATTCTGAGCATAAATCATCGCCCAATTATCTTGAAAATAAATTGACAATTAATTAATCCAGCTCTGCATATTTAATGAACTAAAGAATAAAATACAAATACTTTACCTTGTACTCTTTGATCGCGAAACATCCAATAGACAATTCCTTGTGATTCAGGTAAAACATCAGTTTTCTTGCTTAAAGTACGCATCCTTTTGTTATTGAACTCCTCAGTTTTAAGTTTCTTGTTGCTTGAACTAGCTTCTCCATCGCTTTGCGGTTTTCGCTTTTGTTTGTTGGGCATTATGGCAATAGATGAAATTAATCTTCTAATGATAAAATTTAATCCGAAACACAAAATTTCGTGGCGTTTTTTTGCTTAGATGCCTAATTGTATATCAAAGGTTGCATAACCATGCATAACGTACAACCCGGACGTGAAACGTGGCGGATGCGCTTTGTTTGTCATGTCGAAATAAATCTGAAATCCAATCTAACCCCCAGACTAATTATACATAAATAACATTGTAAAGTTTTTGCAAACTTATGCACTAAATGAATCATTTCATTATTGACTGTTACGATAATCCATTTACTTGTAATTGCTATAGTTGAAGTTTTGGTTCTGGCTTGCAAAATTTATTTAGTTTCATTTCATTGCTCGGAAATGTCCGTTTCATGATCGTCACATTCCGTTCTCAACGTAAACAAACATGAATATTTTTGCAAACTTCAATTAATTAAGCTTGAACGCTGTGCTCAAAAGATAAGAAAAATGAGTGATTTGGAAGAAGTATTCAATAGTTTTTGTGCCTTCGGTACTGGAGCGAAAAGTGGTCCAGCAACAATGGACAACGCAAAATTTGCCAAGCTTTTTCGCGATTTAAAACTGCTTGACAGAAAGTTGACTGCAACAGACATCGATATTATATTCAACAGACCAGAAGTGAAAGGGTATATCTAGAAGAAAAGTAGAGTAAAACAACAGATAGGAATATTTTAGTTCACATTACAAAACCATATTTTTTATTATTTTTGAACAAATGTTCTCAATAGTTGTTTTTTTTCAAATGATATCCATACTTAAGAGTGCCAGACATATTTATATATTAAACAAAGGTATCCATGATTCATAACCTTTGCAATCTACTCTAGAATCAACTTTATTTTGTTTTTATAGAAAAACGGAACGCAAAATAAGTTTTGCACAGTTCAAGAAAGCGTTGGAGCTGGCTGCTGAGAAAAAATATCCTGATGATAGTGACAGTTTTAAAAAGTTGGCCGATAAAATAATTAGTGGAAAAGGACCAGAAAAGTCAGGAGTTACGGTAAGTTGTTTATAAAGTAAAATATACATAGCAACAAAAAATAATTTGTAATTAACTAGATACACATCAATGGATACAACAAAATGTTAGTAACGGAACAATTTTATAAGCGTAGCCAAACGTAATTGCTTTGAAAACTGTTTGTTGCAGCCAAAAAATGTTATTGTTTGTTTTTTTACCACAAAACCTTCAAGGGACCTTTTCGTTTTAAAAAAATATCATTTTTATTCGCTATAGTCGGCGATAGAAAAAGTTACATGCCTTAAATGGAAAGCGTTCCCGTTGCTAAGGGAGAAAAAAATTCGCTTTTCTATCGTTACGTTGATGTCGTAATTACAGTAAAATAAGTCAATAAAATGACGCGAGCTTAACATTACAATATTTGTACCCGTAGGATCTATGTGACAAGACTTTAATGTTTAACATTTAGAAAACAACAACAGCAGGAGGTGTAGATCGTTTGACTGATACATCAAAATACACAGGTTCTCACAAAGAGAGATTTGACGAGACTGGTAAAGGTAAAGGCTTAGAAGGAAGGGTAGATGTTGATGGTAAAGCCGACGCAGGGTATGTTGGTGGATACAAAGGGATGAATTCATATGATAAAACTCACTGAAGTCTCCTGGCTGTTCATGTTTTAGCAATTATTAACATGTGGTTCGTTAAAAGTAAAAATCACAAGTTGCAACTTCAGTAGCGTATGTGACATTACAAATGTCTTATTTTATGATTATTTTAACAATGATTTTAATAACATTAAAGTATTTTGTACGTTTTACCAGAAACAAAGACCAGCGACTGCTCAATTTATATATTATTTACACACTTTAACACGTTTCTTACCCACGCATATGTACTAATTACGTCATCTTAAGTGACCATACCATTGAGAAGATCGATCTTCAATTTAGTTTTCCAATGGATGGTATCCAGTCTACAGACTTTTTAAGCTGCTTATAGCTCCAGTGTAGCTGATTAACTTCGCTTTGATGTCGATCTTTTTCTTGAGATAATTCCACCAATAAATGATCATTTGTAGCAACAAGTGATCTGTTTTAATACAACAAAAAATTAGTATGTTTTAAACAGGAAAAATCTACATTTCATTGGTTATAAGTGTTTATGACTTAATGACAAACAAATGACTTTGAGGTCAGAGTAAAAACATCATGTATTTAAACATTGTTTCTACCTATGACTTTCTTGTAACATTGTCGCCAAATCATTCAGCTGTTGAATATTTTCCTTTTGTTGCTCAAAACGTTCTTTAAATCGAATATTTTCATCTTGAAGACGCTGCATTTCTGTCGATGTATCATCTGGATTTAAATGATGCACATATAGATGGGAAAATTACGTCATCAAAATATTTTATGCAACGTGAACAATAATCAAAATGCCCTTGTGTCACGTGAACAATAATCAAATTGTCCTTGTGTCACGTGAACAATAATCAAAATGCCCTTGTGTCACGTGAACAATAATCAAAATGCCCTTGTGTCACGTGAACAATAATCAAAATGTCCTTGTGTCACGTGAACAATAATCAAAATGTTCTTGTGTCACGTGAACAATAATCAAAATGTTCTTATGTCACGTGAACAACAATCAAAATGTTCTTATGTCACGTGAACAACATCCAACCTGATTTCTTTTGTTCTTCTAACTCCTTTAACGCTGCCTTCAACGATACATTTTCCTGTTGTGTTGCTTCAAACCTATGATGCAGTCTCGTCTAAGAAGAAAATAAATAATAAGTATAGTTTAGGCAGGTTGCCAGAACTGCGCTTTTAAATAGATGACGAAGTTTTGGAGTGAAATAAATAGGTATTCATTTTACAACGGTAAAATTTCGTTATATCCGAATTAAAGTTTTATTCCAATGATCCTCCGGTTTAAAATTTATATCATTCCTTTTTTCCTTTACGGACATTTTGAAATAATCAAAAAAGTGTCATCCACTCCTCCTAAAACCGACCCTTTAAACTTGGTGAAAAATCTCTACTGCTATAAAAAAACTTACTAATTGTTTCGTTGTTTCATCGTTTAATTGTCGTTTCGATATTTCTCTTTCGAGTTGTCTCTGTAGTTCATCATTTGTATGTTGTTGTTTTGTTAAAGTTTTAGAAAGTTGACTTAATTCCTTTTCTTTCGTGGATAAATCTTCTCGTAATTTCTTTAAACTAGTCAAATCGCGTTCTGGATGTTCTATTGATGAACCATAAGACTTTAACAAGGCAACAGCAAGTTCTGTAAAAGAAAGAAAGCTTGAATTATGGCAAACGGTAGAGTTGATGACACAATGCACTAAATTTTCGCTCAATTCACCTCTAAATTTCACATGATTGTGAAGAGATCTTGAACCATTCCAATATTTATCAACAAGATCCATCAACTTATGAAGAAGACGAAGTTCGTTGCTGTTGTTTGATGGGGTTGGCTGTCAATACAAAAACACGTCTTGTTATAATGAAGACTTCAAGATCAACCAGCATTTATTTTTGATGTAAAAATAAAGGTTGATAATTTACTAACCTGATTACCTCCAGCATTGCTCACACTTGAGGACAAGCTTTCTGTATCACGTGACCGCATCACGTGATGCTTTCCATCACTAACAATTTCGTCAAGATCACTTCGTGATTGGTTGACAACATCTTGTGTAAGAGTTGATTGACTTGACCTTTCAGCAACTTTGCTGTCATATAGATCAGTTGTTTGAGAGTATCTTTGTGGTGTTGGAGTAAAATGTCCATGTGTTGGATGAGGGGCATAAAGTTCCAATCTAGGACGACAATGTTTTATATTGTTATTGATGTCAACAATTAAATCCTTTGCAACATCTTCTTCCTTCAACTTGTTTAAGTTTCTTGCTTTGGTTAGAATGTCTTCCTTTTCTTCTTTATCAATCATTTCATCAAGTTCTAGAAAGTAATAAGACATTAATCAAATAAGAAGAAAAGTATAACAACACACATTTTTACAAACATACCACGTCTTCCATAGTCTTGTACCTCAGGAATTCTATGTTTCCGTGAGTTTTGTTTGTGAGTGATTGAGTCAATCAAAATTATATCATCATTATCTAAAGCTGACAAAGAAACAATAATTCAGAGCAGTTTTTACAAGCATTATCAACGTTATTAAATTTATATTATAACTCAAAACATGCACATACCAGATCTAGTACCAATATTTTTCACAAGCTTAGCATGTGGAATATTCAAACTATATAACAATAGATAAAGAACATTGAACAAACGAGAATTAAACAAAGTAAAATGTACCAAACACATAACAATGAACAATCGTAACATTTATTTGGGTAAATTAATTTCTAACCTATGATTTTGTGTAACAAAATCCTCATCATAAACATCATTTCTTTCATCTGTAAACTCTGATGCCTGATTATAAGATTGAAAAAGGATGTAATGATGATTAAATGCAACATGATTGGATATTGTCTAACCTGATCAGCATTAAAATGCATTAGAGCTGCTTTCCGTTCCTTATCTCTAACTGAACGATCATCTACAATCCAAGATGACTTTAAGTAAATATGCAATGTTTATTTGTTACAATATGATGAAAATATTTACCAAGTTTTCTGAGTGAAGGCAACATATGAATAAGAAAGAGTCGATGATCCGCTTCATTTTTTGTCACAGGGTTTAACCTTATGTCCAGTTCCTGTCATAAATATGAAACACAACTAATCTTTGCCAAAGACATGAAAAATAATTATTTCATATTGAAAAAATACCTTTAAATTTGTCAGCGTTCTTAAATGAAAAAGATCTCTCAGCGTTGATATATTGTTATAATATCTAATTAAGTTGCGTTAAGCAATGAAATGCAGGAATTGATGACAAAAAGTTAAAGGGAAACAACTAAAGCCATTACAGTGTTTTATATGAATATTATGGACATATATTATGGTAAACGATACAAGTTAAGAGTCTCCAACATATGTAGATGGCCGATTCCCTGCAAGATAAACACACAGCATTTAGAAATGATTCCAATCAATCCAACGATCAGATGAAATCAAACACACTATGAGAAACAGGAAAGATTAAAACCTCTAAACTGCACACTGAGTTCCGTGATAGATCCAGATGTTTTAATCTTGTAAAACTATGTAGCGAAGTACCAAGAAACGTTATTTTCTCATGATATGATCCAGGTAGCGACAATGATTTAACATCATCTTAATAAGTAATTAAATCAAACAAAATCATCATAATGAAGTGAATTGAACAGATCGAAAAACAAGCAAACACTACCTAAATTATCATGCTTTAAATGTACTCTTTCTCTTATCCATTTTTCATCTATCACATTGGAGGTTTCGGACAACAGAATGTGCTTCTCATCCGCCATACTGGATAACCAACTCGTTTCCATCTTTTACAATGATGGTCAAGCCAGTGACGTCAACAGACGTAAGAGTTACGTACCTACCCTACGTATAGAATCTTTTTTCTATGAAAAGCTCAGTGTTGAATACATATTGATACTGTGGATACTGAAAGTTTCTCCATTTTTATTGGTTTAACTCGTTCAAAAAAAGGAATCATCGCGTTTTGCACAGATTTTGAGATAACGTATGAGCGTGCACAGTTATGATTGACTGATCCTTACACAATGCAATTCTCCTATTTACTTATGTTTCATGGGAACTTTGCTAAAACAAGCTTAGAAAACACTCAGCAACGTATATATAACGTCAAGCGCAACAGGAATCTACGCTCATAAAAAGAAGAAAGACGATTTGTAATTGTCGAGACAAAACAAAGGAATGAAACAAGTTTACTGACGCATAAATTACTTCAAATGTTACACAATACAATAGGTGTTTAGAACGTCAATAACTAAATAACAAATATACACAAGAGTTTATTTATGGACACAATAAAGATTCGTATGTTCTCCGGCATTGCATACATTCAAAGAAAGAATATAACACATGTTCATTAAGTAATAATATAATGCCACATATATCGTAGATTCGTAAGTTTCGTTTTGTTCCTATCAAGATGATTTGATAAGGAGATAGCCAACTGCTTCACTTAAACTCCACAGTGTTTTTAACAATAAAGACTCTTAAACGAATGGCTTGTACTAAGAAATGATATCAATGAGTCACATCACAAGCTGAAGTCAAGCACTTGTCTATAAAATAGATTTTCAGGTAGCGTTTGAGCCATTAGCTGTGGTGTTGCTAGTACTATTTGTTGACGAAAGAGTGCCCGAAGGGCTGTTTGCATTGTTTGTATTGGAAGATTGGGAAGTATTTAACTGCTCGTTCTTTACAACAGGATCTAAAATGAAACAATAAAAATTTATCTTAACTCAATAAACTTCAGGGGAAATATATGATGACTTACAAAAATATGGATGGTCCATGGCTTCTCGAGCAGTTAATCTTTCCTTTGAAACGAAAATTGAAAAAATTTTACACACGAAATTCTCTAGTCTTTTTTTAGCGGAACATAAAAGGTTACAACGTAAATGTTTTGAAACAAACCTGCATATCATAATGAAGAAGTTTATCCAGAAGGTCTATCGCCTCAGGACTCACTAAATGCTCGTTTTCAGAATGAATAAATCTCTCCCACCGTTTTCTTGAATGTCTGTCAACAAAAACATTTTCACATCTCATCTTAACTCGTGGATAAATGGATGGTAAGGCAACCAAATAAGAAGCAAACGTACCTTCCAAGAATGTCATTAAAACGAGGATCCAGTTCAATGTGATATTTCTCAATATAGTCATATAATTCTTCTGTTCCCAAAACTTTAGCAATTCTTACAAGCTGCAACATAAACGTCAATAAATCATGGAAATATATAAAACATTTCATAAACAACAAAAAGCAAAAAAACGACAAACACCTGATCATAATTATCGTGACCGTGAAAGAAAGGTTCTTTACGGAAAATCTGAGCAAAAAAGTTGATATTTTTGGTTGGCATATCAATGAAATCAATACCTATGTTTGATAAAACTTTCCAAAAAAAAAATCAACAATAATGTGAATGTTGTCTTTCCATACCATGCTGGCTAACATGCATCCAAAACTCCACATATCAAGAGAATAGTCATATTCCTATTGCGAAAAAATTTAATTATCACAAAGAGTACGCATGTTGTTTCATCGTGAAAACATTTCATCATAATTACCTGATGATCTACCAACAATTCGGGTCCTTTGAAATATCTTGATGCAACACGAACATTGTATTCTTGGTTTAAATGGTAAAATTCTGCCAATCCCCAGTCAATAAGTCTTAACTGTATAAACAAAGAATGATTAGCTCTCCAAAGATAAATTTTATCATTAGCAATGATGTCCATAAAAATGTACAATGACACCTTTTTTTTCTCATGATCAATCATCACATTGTGTGGTTTAACATCTCTGTGCATTATACCCATGCTATGACAGAAGTCCAATGCCTAAGATTAAAGAAAAATAATCACATTATTTCTCTTCTTGCTCAAATAGCAATCACACATAATGACATTTTACCTTGAGCAGTTCATAAAGGTAAAATCTAATGTCGTAGTCAGTAAATGTCTGATAAAGTTGCTACAAAAAAAATACATCACTTTGTTGTTTGAATGATGCAATAAAAACTTCTTTCTAATGGCAATACTAACCTTGAAATCTGTGTTATTTACATATTCAAAAATCAGAGCAGGTGTTCGAGACTTTATGACAAAAAAAATGGTACAAAGGATTAGAAATGAAATTGGAAAGAAGAAAATAAAGGAAACTACTCACTACAGGATCTTTAACAACATCGAGAAGATTAATAATGTTAGGTCCACCACGAAGATTCTCTAATATTTTGATTTCCCGTTTTATTTTCTTCTTTTTCACTGGCTAAAATGTTGATGTTATGGAAGTGAAACATGAATTAAGGTGCCAAGCAAAACAGCAATAACAAAAACAATCACCAACCTTCAATATTTTAACAACAACCTTCTCATCATTTGTAATGTTAATAGCCTCAAATACTTCACTGTATTTTCCACGACCTAATTTTCTTACAAGTTCATAATTATCCTGTTGTCTAAAAAATAAAAAATAGAACTCATAACTATAAACTTGTGAAAAGAAAAACAAACACAAAAAGCCTCAAAGCAAAGATGACCATATCAACAATTATTCCACAAGAGAAGTACGTCTTTTCAAAATTCATACATTCTTACATAAATATAGATTCTACAACACAAAGGCTATATTTACTGAGCTTCACTCAACCATAACAATAAACTTATTCAATTATTTATATTACGATTCACTAGGAGGTTTGAATATTGCAACAGAATTTCTCATCTTGTTTTTTCAAATATGAACATGATTTAGCGAGTTAGAAACTACCTTACCCCCATTCAATAACATGAGTTTCATAATCCCAATAATCCCTAGGTCTGTGGTTGTTCACATCAGCATATACACGCGGCTTCGCTACAGCAGCTGACATTTTCGATTCTACTATTAAGTTCGCGATTCAAAATCCACAGGTTGAAGACGCGTTTTCAAAATATATTGAATGCAATCGTTTTTTTAATCGTCGAAATTTCAAGAGCTTAGCGTTTATATCCTCAATATTTCTTCCAAGCAAGCAATTAATGTCACTATCGCAAAATGGCTTCGTTGTACTTTGTCACTTTCTATAATTCAACCAAACTTTGATGATTATATTCTTGATATAAGCCACGCTACAGCTCTAAAAACCGCTTAAATTAAAAGCCTGATTAAACGTAGTCACCGATCCCTCATATCTGTGTAAATATCCATTATTTCAGCAAGTTAAACGGTTTAAAATACAAACTAGAATGACGCACTGCTCATTCTAAGGTAAGACTCTCAAAGCTTCCAGATGGAGCCAGCACCCCGTAGCCACAAAACGTGTTTTCATCGCTCAAAATGATGTTATCGCCATTCCCTTTTATGTATAAGATTTCTATATAAAAACTATTCAAAACAATAATAAATCCTGCTATGGACATTTTCAGTTAAAATTAATTGCAATCGATGGTTCTCCAATATTCTGTTAAAAAATTGTAGAATTTAAACTAATACCAAAAAAGAATTTTAAACTAGGATTTTCTCATTATTTTATGCTTTTGTGATTAAAGAATCGACTAAAACTGTCTTAAACAAAGGTCAAAAACACAAATATTGTCCTTTGTTAACTACCGTCAATCAATGACCATTGTTTGAATAGATGAGCCCATTCTCAGTAATATTTCGTACAGCGGTTTGTGATTTCCCGCGCTTATGAATCATTGCATCACCACACGAAGAGAAAGCCACCACAACAAAGACTATCGAGGCTATATTTTCGCTTTAATAGATTTTCTTGCCGCGATTTTAGGCAGAAATAGTTCAGAATGCCAGGAAAACGTAGTAGAAGTGGTTCACCAAGTAAGTGCTGCAGAATTTCGCCTTGATATGATTGTTTTCACATATTTATTTGACAATTCTGACGTTCCCCTTGCTTTTGTGAAACAAATTAAAATAATCAATTCTCGCATCATATTCAGACTCCATTGATGCAGAAGGACGCTCATCACCTTCAAGACAATCCGGTAGATCACCTCCTACAGCTAGACGTCGTGTAGGAGATGTATCATCACCAGCAACACTTCAACCATCATCACCTTCATCACCACCTCCAATGACTGCTAGTGAGAATGGTATGAGTTCACCTCTTCATTATGGTACACCAAGCTCAAGAATATATAGTACACCAAGTGGAACACCGTATCCTTTTCACATTAATTAGAAATAGCCTTACACCAATTATACTTTGTTATCCCAAAAGGAACCTTTTCATCATAAAATGTACATCATTTAAAATCAAATGTACATCATTTAAAATCAAATGTACCTTATTATCGTTAAATGTACCATATTATCATATAATATCCTCGTGAAATGTTTATCACAAATCATAATGTGAATATATGTCTGTAATCCTTACACGAACATAAAGTGTTGGAACACCTGTCCGTCAACGAAGTGATATTGGTAGCCATCGTAGAGTGAGAGAAGTTTCGATAAATGATCCTGTATGTAGTGTTTTTGGCATAACTTGAAACTTTGTTACTGTCAAGGTTGAAAATATTTACTATCTGATTACTTTATGTGTTTTACATATTAGTCGAGTGACAGAGTTGAAACATCGGGTGGACCAACAAGTGAAGTAAACAGTGGTCCGAGATTGGTTATATGGGGAACTGATGTAGTTATCAAAGAAACACAAGATAAATTTAAGAAATTCTTACAAGAATTTATTGATGAAGATGCAGAAGAAATGGGAGATGATTTTATACCGAATGAAGCTCTATATTTACAGAAATTGGAGGAGGTTGAGTAACATTTGCTTTATTTACAAGATAAATGCATTGATTTAAGATTTACAATGTTTATTTATTACAGATTCACGTATTGGAACAACCATTTTTAAATGTGGATTGCAGTCATATCAAAAAATTTGATCCTGAACTTTATAGACAATTGGTATCATACCCACAGGAAGTCATCCCTGCATTGGATATGGCTGTTAATGATATTTTTTTCTCAAAATATACAGATACAGATCTCGAACATCAAATTCAGGTTTTTATGTTTCTGAATGAATGCAAGGAATTGTCATATGGTTGATTTTAATATGATTTATTGAACCTCTAGGTTAGAACTTATAATGTGGATCAAACAAAGAATTTGAGGTCTTTAAATCCTGAAGGTAAGTCCTGATTTTATTCATGCAGGCTTGCAGATGATTTTGTAATAAACAGTCTTATATATATGTTCTGTGAATAAAAGCTTGTGTTTTATGGTAAAGTTAATTTATAATATTCTTTAAGATATTGATAATCTTATATCAATCAATGGAATGGTTGTCCGTACTTCAAATATTATACCCGAAATGAGAGAAGGTACTTCATGTAACTGTAGTATAAAAGATAAAGTTTTCTTTCTTCACGACTTTCATCATTTATTATTTCATTGCAGCTTTCTTCAGGTGTTATGTTTGTCAATCAACAACAACCTCTGAGATTGATCGTGGTAGAATCTTTGAACCGTCATTATGTTCAAATTGCAACACAAATCACAGTTATGCATTAATCCACAACAGGTCGCAGTACACTGACTTACAAATCATTAAACTACAGGAATCACCAGGTAATGTGATGAATGAATTTCTTCACATTTATAATATTTCACACTGTAAATTAACTGTTATATTATCCTGACTTTTCTGTTCTGCCACATTTGAGTAGTTGTGAATTTTAAGAATAACTATGATTTCTTTGAATCTACATTTAGATGACATGCCTGCTGGTCAGACACCCTATACCATTACTTTATTTGCCCATAATCAGCTGGTTGACTCTGTACAACCAGGGGACAGGTAAAAATTAAAGACTTTGAGTAAATGAAATGAAAACAAAAAAAAAATGAAATCTTATCAATTATTTTATTTTTAGAATAACTGTTACAGGAATTTATCGTGCAACTCCTGTGAGAATGAATCCAAGACAGAGAAAAGTGAAGTCTGTTTATAAAGTACATATAGATGTCGTCCACTTCAGGAAGTCGGACAAAAAACGTCTTCATGAAAGCGATCCTGATAGCGGAGTACGTTTTACACAAGAAAGAATTAATAAACTGACTGAACTCTCCCAAATGCCCGATATTTATGAAAGACTTTCTAAAGCACTAGGTGAGCTAATATCGTCTTCTATTTCTTCTCTTGTTTTTTTTTTTGTTTTTGTTTCAACCTTTTTTTTGCTCATTTTTTCAGCTCCAAGTATTTATGAAAATGACGACATAAAGAAAGGGATTTTATGTCAGCTGTTTGGAGGGACAAATAAAGATTTCAGTCAAGTTGGAAGAGGAAGATTTCGGTAAAAATTTAACTCGTGAAAATCTTCGATGATTTACAACGTTAAAGGCGGGACTTTCTTACAACTGAACGGATAAAAAAGTCGTAAAGTAAAAGATTTAATGACAAAAAGTGTAGCTATTTTATGTTCTTAAACTTTAATCACCATTTGGTCTTTTTATCATACACTACCTTTAACAATACATGTTCTTCCTTTGTTATCGTCATCGTTTTGTCTTTTCAACAGATCAGATATTAACATTTTGTTATGTGGTGACCCAGGCACAAGTAAATCTCAACTTTTACAGGTAAATCGATTATTTTATCATTAAATTTCCATTCATCTTGAATACAAGCTGCTTTGTCTATTTATAGTACGTTCATAATCTCGTTCCTCGGGGTCAATACACATCCGGTAAAGGATCTTCTGCCGTTGGTCTTACTGCTTACGTCACCAAAGATCCAGACACGAAACAAATTGTTCTACAAACGTAACGTGACCATGATATTTGAGCATATTGATGATTGTACTTTCTAATTTTATGATTGCGTTTTTTCTGTCTTAACGTTTAGCGGAGCCTTAGTTCTCAGCGATAACGGTATCTGTTGTATTGACGAATTTGACAAGATGAATGATAGCACAAGGTCCATTTTACATGAAGTAATGGTAAGTTGAAGACTGTATATGAATATTTTCTTCCTTTCTCTTTGACCATTTCTTTTATGTTTATCTCTCGTTCTTATGTACAGGAACAACAAACTCTGTCAATTGCAAAGGCTGGTATAATATGTCAGTTGAATGCTCGAACATCTATTCTAGCTGCAGCCAATCCTGTCAGGTCACAATGGGACTCTAAACTAACGACTGTAGAAAATATTCAGCTGCCTCACACGTTACTCTCCAGGTTTCGTATACTTCATTTAAGATGAATGTGCATGGAGTAGTCGAGTTTGACTCCAGACGACTTTTTGTAGGTTTGACTTGATTTTCCTCATGTTGGACCCTCAAGACGAGGCTTACGATCGTCGTTTAGCCAAACATTTGGTTTCTCTGTATCATCTCACTCCTGAAGAGAAAGAAAAGGAATTTGTTGTAAGCATATCGCAGGATAGATGAATTTAAAATGCGTTTTATTCCCTTGTAAGAGTGTCCACATTTAAGAATAGTACGTTAATGAAGGATGAGTGAGTATACATTGCGTTATGTCCCCTGTAAGCATACGTACCCTTCTTTACGAATGGTACATTGAAGGATATATAACAGTAGAATGAGTTTTGATCCTTTTAATGTACCCATCTTTAAGAAAAGTATCTTGAAGTATACATTACGGCTGAATGTGTTTATTTTCTCTGTCGTTGATTCTCAATTTTGAGAATGTTGAAGACTCTGATGACGATCAGAAGTTTAGACTGATAATATTCTCCGTTGACATTTGAATAAGAATTTCTTTATTATATTAGGATATGAGTATACTGAAAGATTACATTGCTTATGCAAGAACTTACATTCAACCAAGACTTGGTGAAGAAGCATCACAACGTCTTATTCAGGCTTACATTGGTATCATTGATGATGTTTTTTTCTGCCAGAAAATTTCAAAAAATTGTTTTAAAACATTTTTCTTATTTAGAAATGCGTAAAGTCGGCAGCAGTCATGGTGCCGTTTCTGCATATCCACGTCAATTGGAGTCGTTGATACGACTTGCAGAAGCTCATGCTAAGATGAGATTCTCGACCATTGTAGAAAATGTGGATGTTCAAGAAGCAAGAAGGTGACTTTTTGTTCCTTTAAGATCAAAGTAAATGAGTTTAAGTGAATTTATTGATGATTACAGATTACATCGCGAAGCACTTAAACAATCGGCGACCGATCCCAAGACAGGTCTTATAGATGTTAATATTCTAGCGACTGGCTTGAGTGTTGCAGACCGTCAACGTCGTATAGACATCGCTAAAGCTATTAAGATTATGCTCCAGTCTAAAGGAAAAGCTCCAAACATCGACATACAACGATTGTTTGACGATTTTCGTCAGAATTCGGACGTGGTAAGTGTTGACCATTTTTTTACTTCCATTGAATGAATTGCCCTTTACTTTCAGCTCCCCTCTCCCCGAGAGGTCATGCACGTTACAAGGAAGAAAAATGACGTAATCTTAATTAAGTAATGACGTATTTGTTTTCCATTTGTAGCCCACAAGTCGTGATCAGTTTGATGATGCATTACGCCATTTAAAAGATGAAGATTTTCTCATCATTACTGGGAGAACAATTCGTCTTATTACTTGATAAAATTAAATCCTATTAAAAGCATCGTGTACAATTGATCTCTTCACACAAAATTTCTGTCAACATGTAACTTATATGCTTTCAATGTTTCATTCTCATTTACATCAATCACACAACTACTTGAAGCATTCATTTTTATTATAACAATTCCTTGCATTGTCTACATTCATCATTCACAAATAAGAATAACATGTAGAAATTTATAAAATTGAAGAAATGCAAATATTTTTTTCCAAGATTCAAACTTTCATCTGCAATTCTTCATCTAAAATAAACAGTAGAATATAAAAATTTTTCCTTTTCCATTAACCCTTACCACTAAAACTCCCCAAGCTCAGGAATATGGATTTTGGATTATAATCAAGTTTGATCATACGAACGAGACTCTACCTAATTCATCATTGCTTGCATATACAAAGATATTACATTACTTGATGATTACCAAATTTAAACTGGTTCTTCTTGTGGAATGATCAATTCTTGAGCTGCAAACAGAAATATAAAATGAAATCACTACATTTACAATAAAAATTTCTTTCATTCACATAATATGGATTGGATCAGCGTGGTGCATGAACAATCACATCATAAGAATCAGGACAGGTCTGTGGTCAAATCATCATATCCAATATAATATTTAGTATTTAATAACTAAATATTTAGAAAATTTACCAAAGATTAAGTCCAGTGGTATTTTAGGAAATGCTTTCCTTGGTCTCTAAAGAGAGAAGGCATTCTTTATTCATAAATCCTATAACCTAATCAAATCTAAACACAAATAGATAAAGCAAGACTTCAGAAAAATAATTTCATTATCCTCATTTTGCATCAGACATATGCTTGTCAAAATTTCATCATTAGACTTGCATAAATATACTTCATATCTCTCACAACAAGTGTTTCTAAATTTGGGCATTCACATTCCTCATGAGATTAAAGTACTTATTCATCATTTGGCAAATTTCCTAATCCTCTAGTATGTAATGATAAACATTTAGTACCATGTGAGGAAGAAGACACTAAAGAAGAGAATATTTCAGACTAGACACCAGACCTCCAGCAGCAATGGCGGCAAGCCGATTTTTCAATCTGAACGAGGCAACATTTTCTATTTTTATTTTTCAATCCATAGCCATCGTAATACAAAACCGCTTCGTTTCAGTATCCGCGAACATCTAAAAATGGCACAAAAACAAGCTTTAAAATACACTTAGAAAAGAAAAAAGAGTTATGGCAAAATTAACAGCGACCACTCAGTTGAAGAAATCGGAACGACTTCTCTTCATTGTTTTAACTCAAAGCGAGCTGGGATTATTCCAGTCATCATTGTGGTCTTGGATAGTAAATAAAACAAAATGACAAGGTCTGTGATTTAAACCATACTAAAACATACGTGCTACAGAACCACATAAACTTGCTATATATTCACCAACATTATGTACGCTGTAATATCTAATATACTAAATTTAAACAACTCTTACTAACCCACGCAGTAATGTTTAAGGAAAATATAAACAGGATATACCTTATTTCCCATAAGATATGGCGTAAATCAAAGATATTAAGGCTATCTATACTGGCATACAACTTTTTGATCTATCACAGATTTCAAGCACATTGAAAGGACTATATCAAATATGAGAGGAAGTAATATAGCACGTTTTTCAATAAACACGTGACTAGGGGAAGCAATGATTGGCTGAATTTTGTTTATGGAGGATTGAGGGACTCATCTTCATTTCAATTGGATATCTTCTGAAGATGATTCTCCTTATATATAGGGTTTGCATACATTTTTTATTCATTTTGTTTAAGTTTATTTTCTTCTTACAGTCATCAGCAGAACTCCCAAACTTATTATTGAATAAAACCTATTGTGACATATAGGTAGAAATCGGTGAAAATGTTTTTCAGAAGAGCTCGCTTCACCTGTGGAATTTCAAGTTTTTTTTTGACGGTAAATGTGATAAATATCTGCAGACTTAACAAAGACAACATACTCGTGCGATGCTGCGAAAATATGATAACAAGCAAATACGAAAATTTTTAAATACTTATCGCTTAAGGAAACATGTCAGTTTACGTTTTTGTTTCTCTTTCGATCCATTTTATCGTAGATCTTTGCGATTTCACTTTTCTTGCCTATGAATTTAGCAAGCGTGTGTATGAATTTAATTAATTTAATTTTCAGCGGAAGAAAATTAGACATTCATCTTGTATCAAACCACAGCTGTTTTTTGACTCGTACGAATGTATAGTCAGGTTTAGCCGACAGACATTTTGAAAAGTCATCTCAATTTTACTAACATAATGAACTGTTAATTACCAAGACATGATCACACCTTAAACTTCCTTTTGTCAAAGTAAACTTCGCTGGCAGTAAGCAGTCTATACATTACAAGATGAACTGCTTTTCTATAAATCATTTACGTTAGAAAACGTTTGGTTTCGATGATCCATGGATTACCATACTTTTAATTATCTATGTAAAAATAATGGATAAAGTAGGCGACTAGATTCTTTTGATGTTTTCGGCACCAGAAGCTATAACTAAGTCGGCCTTTTCTGATGTTGCGAGAAAAATTTCACAGCTTTAAACCCGCCTGTAATATAACGCATATTTTAGCCATTGAATTTGCATTTTTTGCGCCTGATCCTGCTTGAATTGTTGCAATTACATTCGAGATTATGTGCAATCTCCAGCAGTGGTAGAAAACAAACAAAACCGAAAAGACGTCATTCGTTTTTTAATGAGACAGCTTCTAAAAAGGAAAGGATTAATTGTATTCTTGATGTAAACGCGTCATATGCCATGGAAAAGCTTTTAATGGATTTATTAATCTTATTTAGTTCTCAAGCGTTTACAATGACCATGCATACCACATACAAAACACAGTTGAAAGTTCTACCTGCCTTGTTATCGGTTGAAAGATACACGGGGGCACATGCAGAGAACATTGGGAAATCTGTGTTCTGGGACTTGGGACCGACTTTTTAGTGGGAATAGTAAAAAAACTCGAAGTTTTAGGTGGACTAAATTGTTTTATTCACTATCAGTTCATAGACCGAGTTTGTAAACATATTTCGCAATAGATGTAGAGTGTCACAACAACCTACACAACAACTAATGGGCACGCTCTCGAAGAGAAAGAAAGAATGATGTTATTATGGCTTCTCTCTTAGTTACGCAAGAACATTGCAATGTCTCTTTATAACTTTACTGCTTTTTAAATTTACATGTTTTCAGTCAATCTCGTGATCTCTTTCCTTCCAGAATATGAAATTGTCATTTTTTTCTATGATGCAATGTTGGCTCCAACCCATGTAATGACGTCATTACAGCTTATACTGGGCACGTAATCTTTAAAAAACCAAGTCATCTTTGGTGATCTTTCCAATAGACTTTAAACTGATTATATATAAAGCTAAACATTATATGGTATGAAATATTTGCTCAGAAAGCATCATTATTCTGTTTTTATCTTTTTTTGTGCTTGTGGGACTAGAGAGACAAAATTTTACACAAATGTAAAAAAAAATTGGCATTCATTGTGCAGAGTTGATTTTTTTTAAAACAATTTTCCGACATCCATGTAAAAAGATTAAGGGCAGGGAGAGGTCGTAATGTTTTTCACTACAACTTTTTGAATATGAATGGAAATATTTTTCAACAATGTGTGGTCTATAAACTATAATCTTGCCTACTGAACTTTGTAATCTGGAACAATTTAATCATTATCAGATTGTGGCCATCTTTGTGAATTATCATTATTAATTCTTTTACGACCTTTATGTATGAAAAAAATTCATCATTTATCCTTTTTTTATCAATGAACTTTAACGGCTATTAAACTGTAAACTGGAACAATAATTTCGTCTTATCACACATTATAATGCGTGTAAATATTATATTATTTGCACCCACTTCACATAAATTTATGACTGAATGCTTATTGATCCTCGTGATAACGTCATTTACCATGGAGAAATATGCTAAATACGCTTTTCCTATTCTTATTCTTATATAAATGTGGATTAAAAAAAGATATTCCAAAAAGTGATCAACTTTTGTAAACGATCCAGTGTATAGCTTGATAAATAATTTATCTAATTTTTCTCAGCCTAAGCTGTTTTTACAGTTACGAATATATTTTAGTTGTCTGGTCATCTCGATATCTGGGTGACTCACACTCATTATCTGTCACGTGATAACCTATCCAACTACATCCACTGTAGTCCCATGATACCCCACTGCTACATTCTATATCTGCTCTATCTGCTACATTCCTTCATTCTTGTGGACATTTACTGTGTGAGACGGACGTTTTAGTGGTGTTAAAAAATGTCGTCTTTTTGCTTACATTACAAAAAATGTAATCATAAATAGGATTCAAAATCATGATATGCTCTAGAATTCCGATCTCTTTTAATCATGTTGCTCTAATTTTCTGCTCTTTCAAAGAGGCAAATCGTGTCCATCATTACCTTATTTTTTCTTCAATTTCCCCCCATTTTTTTTGACAAAGATAAGGTGAATAATATGCCAAAATACCTAAGTTAGGTAATCAAGGCAAATTTATAAAACATTTACTCATTCGAAACAAACATCAAAAATGACATTTAATCTTCGGGTGTAAATTTCTTTTATCATTGGTTCATTGGGTACAGATTTTATTGATATCATTCACTTAAATTCGGCTTAAGCTTTGTACATTTTTTTTTGTAATTACTTCTGTTTGTGGAGCGTTTTAATTGTTTTTTTTTACATTGCCTTTTCCAGTATCATGAAATATAAACAGTTAATCCCATCCGTTTATTGTTATATTTAAGAAACGTTAGTTTCTTTATCCGATTTAATCTCGTTTTTCATTTATTGTGCGTTCAGATCGCATGATTCATGGCGCGTCCAAATTGCCCGTCTTTCGTAAGTTATACATTAATTTCCTTTCAAAATTGGATTATTCTGATTGCGGAAAACCTGAGGAAGCTTTCTTTTCTTCTTCCATTCATCAAAAGTGTATCTTAAATATTTTATACATTCAATCAAATACTCGTCATCCCTTTTTGTCATACCATGGTATGCAAAATTTGTTGACTATTCAAGTACATGAACTATTTAACGAAGGTCATTGTACATATCTTTGCGGAGACGCATTTATGATAGATTTAATCAGCTGTTGAAATATTCTGTGTTCTATAATATATACGTGTGCGTCTTTTGTACAAGTACCTAGGAATGTGTCAAATAAATTCTTTTCTTGATAATGATGGGAAACCGCAAACTTTACTAAAGCTAGCAGCCAATTTAGAAATATAGTTGCGTTTGGCGTGCAAGTTTGAGATAATATTACAAATGGCATTGATTTTAACATGTTGGTGGTATTTGAGATAAGAAAATACTCGAGATGTGTTCTTTACCAACTGTCGTGCAATTTCATCTCATTTTTATGCTGTAACATACTCAAAAATGCATTAAGTATTCTATATTTATAGAAATGAATATAAATGGAAGGTGTCAGTTTTATAAGTGGGGAAATATATATAGGCCTAAACAAGACTCTTATTGAAATTCCTTTATAACCATGTGAATACAATAATCGATAATTATTTTCATCTGTAAAACTATTTCGTACGTTTTCCTCACATTTTTAATATGCAAAGAAAAATAAGCGTTTATAACAAACTTTATGTTTCCCTTGGATTTGCACGATCAAAACTACTGGTAGGAACAACATATATTTCATATAAACAGTGAAGACCTTTCATCACGGCCTTGTTTAACTAACTCAACGCGATTTGTGTTAATGTGGCGACCCGCTGAGTCAAACGTAACAAGGTTGAAAATAATGACAGATATGATCGTGTAGACTTTTAGCCATCATTTATTCAACAACGTCAGTGCCTCAGTTAGGGCATATTGACACACGTTGCATATTTCTTTATGAAACTGCTTGCTAAATAAATAAACACAGATCAATTTGTGGATATAAGAAACATCTTTCGCTTGTTTTTATCATTGTCAGTGAAACTTTAGAGTGAAGATGAAGCAATTAGCAGCAAGGACAAGAAGGATTCTGCTATCTCTATTCTGTAAGTGTTGTACGTGGAAATATGCATGAATCATAAAACTCATAGTATGCTGTGTGTTTTTAATGAATTTAATTGCTACTTTAATTATTGCATGTCTTGTTATCATCTGCTGACACTTTACTTTGAAATAAAATACACACGAACTGTGAAAATACCAAAACTTATTGTTTTTGTAAATTTTCAGTGAACTACATTTTTTGCTAATTTATTTATCAACAATTTTTGTCAAGATGATTGTAAAAAAATGTAGCTTTGCGTTTTCATTTTTCGATTTTAGACTTGTTTTTCTTCAAGACCTGTAATGCTGGCTACTATAATCTCGATTCAAGACAATGTTCAAAAGCGATCGAGAAAATAGGAGTTGTTCTTGATTCGAAAGTTTCTGATAAAATACACAGAGGAAAGTTTGTAAGTTCAAGGTAAATGAGTCTATATAGTTATGTTGACATCTTTATTGTGGCTATATATCCTTCTATCGCGCATATTTACCACAAACCGTAAATGCATTCCGAAAATTTTTCCGTTGTTTTCAAATTCTATTCTATTGCACTTTTTTACATTCAACATGGCTTCATAGAAGAAATCTCGCGAAACGGTTATGAAGAATTGATCAATTAACTCTTGAATATTTTAATTTCCTGCTTTTATCTATTTCGGCTCTCTCAGATACCACAAAGAGTTGTTCTAAATACACATCACTTTATGAGTGTCTTCCTTTTATTTGCAGATAGTGCAAACGATTACAATTAACCGCTCATCCACTTTGTTTATCTCGACAGATTTAAAAGCCGTTGGTCATTTTACTGTGGCGATGATTTCAATAATATTAAAATCCATGCAGTTTAACATTTAACACTTAACATTTTATCACATTTCCATTCATTACGAATAAAAATTTTTCGCGACCATAACTTTTACAAGTTTGTGAAATTCAGAAATTTGTCGACGAACTTTGATTAAAGATACTTATATACGACATTATATTCTAAAGGAATTCAGCACTTAGTAAATTTTTCAAGTTTATATGTAGTGTGGTCGTGTTTCTTTCTCGATATTTTTTTATTCGTTTTTTAAGACGAGTACGTATTGAGCTTGAATAAATTTCAACACGTTTCAATCACTTTAAATAAATATTGGATAAATTTAGACAATATTTTTCGTGTATTTCAACAAGCGTTTCGCTTTCCTCCGAGTCCATGAATTGTATCATTATATCTTTAAATTATACAAAACATACTTTGGATATTAATGTCAACTTGCTGGGGAAAATTCTTGTAAGTCTTGTTTATCGGTTTTATCACCAAAGTCAAGTTTAAAGTTAATGCTTCCGCCACTCCTAACGAGAGATGGGAGAACTCCTTTGTTCATTGTAAGCATGATCGATTGTACTTCGACTTACTGTCTAAGAAAAAAATGGTCATCTGGAAAACCGCTCAAAATTAATGGTCATTTTGGATGGGGTTAATATATGAGGTTATCAGCGAAGAATGAGAATGTCGATACAACGACTCTTTGTATCTATGAAATGATCTAAATCTTTTTGTTCACTCCTGTAATTTTATGTTGTCAAATTAAATAAACGATTTTCTGTCTCAATAAGATCATAAAACTCTGTTTGCGATGAAAAAGTGCAGTTACATGGTTTTTATATGAATGGTAATTATAAACTTCCTTTTCTTTTTAAATGACATTATAGACAGCTCTAAAAAATGAAAAACTAATTATATTATCATCAGAAGCATCATTTTGATTCGACTCTTCTCAAGCAATACTTACTTTCATTGTCTACATATAGCTACAATGCTGTTGCGTGAGTTGAAAATGTCAACTGAAGTGGATAATTTGCTGGAAGAAAATCTCAGTCTAAGAGCTTTTGTCAACACTTTGTAGATATTAAGTTTCATGTGTGTCTGCTTTTATAATCCTAATATTTTCTTGCAACTATTTTGTTGAATAACTTGCAACGATGACAGCTGGGTGTAAAGATTTACTGTAGTATTTTACAACATCAATTTTGAACGTGTAAAAACCTTGTCACCTTTGCTGAACGCCAATTTGGTTATTTTTCTATTAAAATCTGTCTCGAAAACACGTCACTGTTTCTCGCCATGTGTGGTTATATGATTTGGCAGTTTTTTTCTCAAGACATCGGCAAATGCGATTATTTTTGAGCCGATGATTTTGTTACCCCAATATATGTCCATATATGTTTATCGTAGAAAATAACTATTGTCATGCGCTTTTCACCCCAGAAAGTTTCATAAAAATCTTCAAAAGAAGATTTGATGGTTTTTCTGTAGGAAATGAAAATATTAGTGAGAAAAATCTATTTTATCAATTACTTACACCTTTAGAAAATAAACCTAAAACATGTATACTTTGGCAACATTTTGGTTTATTTTACAAACAGTTAAAGAGTCTGTAGTATAACTATGAGCCACGAGAGAACGAGGATTTTTTTATGAAGATCAGCAAATTCTCACACATCCTTCATATATTTAAGCTTATTTTTTACCTGTGAAAACATTTAAAATCTTCTAAGAAGGCTATCATTAATGGCTCAACAGTGATTTATGATCTGTTTCTTTTTAATTGATAAGCAGTTGATCTTTTTTCTTTTCCCCCTAGATGTGAACTGCGTTTAATTCAAGATGATAAAGCAGGCACAAAAGCTGCTTTCCTACTTCGTGCTATTGACATTGAAAATAAACGTCGTTGGATTGGGAATTATTTCTTTTATCGTGATGAGGATTGCGTTCATGCAATATACGGATTAAAGATGCAGGGAAAATTAAAGATGAAAAACAGCAATCTTACGTTAAGTCTTCATAGCTTAAGTATCGCAGTCTACAATTCCGGATTTAATAACGAGATCCTTAAGAAATACAACCGATCATGTCGTGGAGATTTGACCAAATCTGGCGACAATAAACATATCACTTACTCAGTAGATCCCAAATATTTAACCAACCAGGATAACGAATGCCTTAAAGCATTGGGTATAGACATATGGGAGTTCAATTCTGGTGTTTCACTTGAGAGCCATCATCCTTCAAAAGGCGGCAAGTGGGATGAGCTTGTTCAAAAGAATGTAAACTTAGAGCGCGGAAAAAAGAACAGAATATGGTATAGCAATCAGTTGCCTTTGGTTCGCTTAAGTAAAAGGGCTTGCTTAACTTGCACTAAAGTTGGTGTATCGCGTTTTAAGTTGCCCCCGAAATTGTTACCAAAAAATTCAACTAGCTTAGATGGAACATGGGCAACTTCACGTTGTGATAAGATCAACACTAATTATTGGAACACAAGAGTAAACACGTTCAAAGGTAATAAATTTACATGGATATTTTACCATATGGACGCAAAAATGACGAAAACTCAAAACAGATGTAGCAAACCATTGTTGGAATACAGGATTCTTGGACACTTGCAAAAGGTCGGTAGATCACCCGAAGTCCCGGGGGGTGTTATATACAAGTTGTTTGTCACTCATGCATATATGACTCCGCGTGGTAAAATATATGAATCAATTTTAAATAAAATAAAGCATGGATGTGGTAAGAAGGAATGGCACGTTGGAGAAACACAAGACATTATGTCGACTCATGGCTGTAGGCCTATAGGCTATATTCTTCCTGCTAAAGGTGAAAGTATGCTGACTTTAATACGGACCGTTAATAATGATGGTCGAAAAGAAATGTATATGGGGAATGCTGCATCTTCAAAAACAGGACCATTGAAATATGAAGTTTTTTTAGAGTCATGTGAAACTTTTCCTGTTGAAATGCCAACACTATTTAAGCCAAGCATGACAACAACTCAACAATCCAATGTGGATGACGATGGACAAAATGACGAACGAACTGGAACAAAGATAGTAATACAGCAAGTTGTTCACAGCAAGAAACCAACTTCTAGCGGAGAAAGACATTTTAGTTCAGCACTTCGATATATCTGGTTATATTTGTTAATAACATTTCTAAAACTCAACTTACCTTAATCGTACCATAAAAATATAGCACCGTACATTCAAAAACTGTTGTAAATTAGGTTATGTATATTATTGATAAACGAACCTCATTGCTTAACATGAATAACTTTAGCAAATTAGTTGATTTTTCCTAAAAAACAGGAGTCAAGATCGAGTGTTTATTAATCTATGACAATTCTATTTAGTTTTTGACGTAGTTTGATATAATGTAATGTTATTAAGGTTCATCTTATCTCTATAATAAAGATGTTCGTTGAATTCATAGAATTTAATGTTAGTTTTAAAATTTCTACGATTTTCCGTCGATGTTCTATGAATGATCAAATATTTCTGCGCCAGCAATCGTTCAGCGGTATGCAAGAGCAAAAATGGTACCATGTAGCGATTAGATCGTCTTTTTGCTGACATTATCTTCTTTTTTTTAATATGTTTATACATGAAAATAATGTGGGAGAGAAATTTATATTTAAATGGCTTCAAGAAAATGGAGTATTGTCAACCATATAGTGGAAGTAGGGTCTTTATTCTTATTACAAAAGTTAAACTCTTTAAAATATTCTGGTTGTCTTGCTCCTGCCCCAGAGTCCGAACTAGAAGTTTGTAAGTTCTAGTTTCGTTTACAAATTACTATTTTTTCCAAATTTATATTTTTAGGATTTCACAAATGCTGATAAAGTTTCGTGTAATGTTAGTGAATCAAATTTTGAGGAAAGTAATGTTAGCCATATTGAGAGGTTCTCATCAAGTGACGAAGATGATGTTATTGATGATAAACATTTCAAGCCGACCAAGACAAAATATTACACATCTAAAAGGTGACCATTATCTCCTGTTAACTCGTTGTACAAATATTTAAGCCCTTGTTTATGTGTTTATCCTTTTTGCATTTAATTATTTCTTAGACGTTTGTTTTACAAGTCGGTTAAAAATGAGCGTAAACGATCAAAGGTAACATGCAGGAATTGTTTTTTTTTGGCAAGAATGTATTGAAGAACAAGGTTATTGCTAAACAGGTCGATGAAAGTTGTGATAAAGACCAAACAGTTCCAGAAAAAGCTACAGATAAAATTCCTTCAAAGAGTCAAACATCAACTAACTCTTCAATAAACATTTCCACTTCTTGCATTACTTCACATAGTTTTCGGAAATCAGTTCAAGCTGCAAATGCCAAGAAAAATTTTATCAATGGAGCCAAAAATGACCACACTACTAAATATGGCATGTTCCTGAAAAATTTGAACAATTCTTTGATGTCACCATTTATCCATGAGGATGATAACATAGCTGTTAGTCATGATATTGATTTCAGTGATAGCGATAGTGAAGATAAACATTCTTTGATTGATCATTATAATGATGAAAAATCTAATGACAACAATCTTCTCTCTGTCATAAACACGTCTCAAGATGAACAAAGTGAAGAAAGTGTATGTTGATTTTTTTTCTATCAAGATGATCATTATTTCATGATTGATTTTTTATATTTTCAACATATTTTATAGGTAAAAATTGCTGAATATAATTCAGATAGTGATTCTTTGCCAAAGGTACTTTAAGAGTGTGGTTATATTTTACGACAATCCTCCACAGTTAGTTGATGTATTCATATTTAATGTACAAATTTAGGAATATAAGTAAGATGTTCAATATGTTTCAGGAGTGTACACCTGACATTGATTCCAATACCCCTACACCTACCCCTAATACCCCCACATTGACTCCTAATACCCCATCCAAAGGAGTTGATATCCAAGCTCCATTGGATTCTACAAAGAAGAATAAAAAGCGTGTGAGGTTTGCAAATATGTTTTTCTTCAAATATTTATGTACTTGCATTGTTATTAATTTAAAATTTTAAATATTTTCTTTTAAAGAAATGGGCTTGCAGAAAGATTGGTAAAACTGACCATCCTGGAAGAGTCAGAAAGATGTCTTTGGCATCATAATCTGCAATTTAAAAACAACATTGAAAGTAATTTGTTTCATCATTTATTTAATAATGTGCGGCTTAGAGTATTTGTTTAAGTAAAGCTGTTTATTATTCATTTATCTTTAGATAATTACAGCATGAAACCCTCCATAAATGTTCAAGTTGTCTCTGAAAGCTGGGATTATAATATTTGTTTTCTTTTCTGCAACGTCATAACACAAGATGTCACTTCATCACTACCAAATAAAATCACTGTTTTATTGGACGGCGAACAACGAAAGAACCTGGGTCTTACTCATATGACGTCATCAAACATTAAAATTTATCGTCCATGGTAGATATAGTTGTCTGTTATAGGAAACGATAAAATATATGTTTGTAGATGTTGATCGTCGAGGTTAGTGGAGTCTTGAGAAGGATTGTTGGTGTTGATGTTGACTGACGTTTCTATATCCTTAGTGGCAGTCAATACTAACATCAAGGACTTCATTAACCAGGAGTGCAGGACGATTTACTTTATTAAGCATTCAGCGATACTCTCCTGTTGAAATCATTTACACGAAACGATAATTCTTGGACATTGTTAATGTTAACTTTGTTTTCTTTTTAAAGGAAAATTATCAATATAAATTGTGATCCAGTATTGTTATGTGTCGCTCATTGTGAAGTTGCGTTCTTTAAAACATCAATAAATGACCGTGTTCTAAAACCTTCGTTTGAAGAGACTGGAGATGAGGTTTGATCTATTATACATACATGTACAAATTCTATTTTTGTTATAATCATTGATCTATTTGACTGTCCTCATGTCGTCTTTTTTCAAAGTTTTCTCGTATTCATTTCTGCACTATTTCCTTCATAATTTCACCAGATGTCAACTCAATGCAGAGATAAAGTCGTTATTGATAACGTGGATACTATGAGATCAGTGGACATTGTTGTTGAATGGCCTTTGAAGGATTTTTGTGAATACAAAGGAGTAATGAGGACAAAGAGGATAAACGTAACTGGTCGTGTATTGAGAACTTATTGGCGTTGTTCAAAAAGACGGATTGTAAAATTTCAAGATTTTTCATCATTGACATCTACAATAACAAAGAATGCCTCAGATATAGCAAGGAGAAAAACTGAAATGATGTGGTAATGACGATAAATAATGGACGATGTGTGCTACAAACTGGGAAAAGTTGAGGCTATTTTTAATATGGCTGTTTTACGTCTTTCAATGGTAACTCTTGTTGTCTTGTTTTAGTTTTTGTTTTCTGGTTCAAGCATCTGATGGTCGTGTTTTACTGAAGTCAGAGTGTGGGAAGATGTATTAACGAAGAGAGAAGATTGGTAGGTTAATTGTTTTTTTTCCAAGTTGAAGAACGAAAATTTCAATATTATTTTGTAAACATTTTTCAGGTATTCTTTTCTCTGCCGAACAGAGGGTGAATTTTTACAGTTTTGTGATGTTCGTGTAGAAAATGTGACAACAAGAGAAAGGTATTCACAAGAAAAAATAATTTGATTCTAAATTACCTTTGATACAAATATACGAAGCGGAATGCTTGTACTTTGAACGAGGTGATTCTGATGTAAAATATATGAACTACGTACGTTCATTTTAAGGTGTTGTCAAGTTTTTGATTTCATGGACTGTTTCACATTAAAGAATTATGCCAGGCAGCAAATGTGTTTTGTCTTTACACTTCATGAAAAGTCCTTTATAGAAACATGTGTGAACTTATGTAAAGGTAAATAAAATTTGATGATCGTTCTTGACTTTTCCCTGTTATCTTATTTTTAAACACAAAGAATGATAGCACAACGCTATAACCAACAACTACAAACAATAACGACCTTATCTAACAACATTTGAGAAATTAACCTTGTGATTATCTTATTTTTGTTGCGTATTTTCAGAAGAGAACCTTCAAATCGACGCAACTGTAACTGATGGTGAGCGATTCAATATTGTTGGCAAGTTGCTTCATGTTCAGTTCAAGCAAGACGAAATTCATCAATTCAAACATGTTCGTCTTTGGTTATATAAGAATGATTCTTTAAAAAATGATATTGTACAAGTAGTTTGCACCAGCAAACAAACGATGGAATGGAATGAGTCTACGTTATTAGCTGGTCAGCTGTTGTACATTCAAGATGTAGCTGTCAATCAAGGTTCATTGTTCTTTTGAATGAACAGTATTTCAATGGTTTCATTTCACGTATGATATTGCTTTTCAGGAAAAGAAGACGTATTTTCTGGTCTTTTTGTCACCAAGATTCAAAAAATCTTCCCTCAGTCTTCACAAATGCAAACTTCTCTTAGTAACGTGTACAAGGTGATTGATTTCATCTTTAAATAATGCCTGATGCGTTTTTAACTATCTTTCTAATATGTACAAAGATATGGGAAGCTACAATGAGAAAGAGTATCCCAGATGAGGAATATCAAAGACTGCAATCGCAACCTCTTCCTAAACTGCCAAGATTAAATAAAGACAGCGTAGTTAACTCATTGATTTCATTTGATGGTTTGTACACAATTTCTGTTTTTATTTTTCATGTTTAGTCGGCAATTTATCAGGTTTGCAATTGCATTTTATCAGGCTTTGTTACTGCTGTTGACGAAACAAATGCCTTTACTTGGTACGCTTGTGGTAGTTGTGGTAGTGAGGATATTGTGGAAGTACCATTGGGGTAAGATGGGATAGATGTTAGAGATAGTAATAAGTCTAGAATATTCTTGCCGCTTCGTAAGTTTTCATTTATTTTGACCAGAGAAATTATGATTTACGAAGATAAATATTCAACATTAATAACGACAATTGCTGATTATCTTTTTTCAGTTTTTATCGCTGTAAAGTATGTCACAGCGAGTTTAATTTGCCCGAAAGAAAAGTCTGTTTGGAATTATTTGCGACAACCACCTCTATTCAAAGTAACCCGGTTAAATTAAAGGTATACTTCTGCGGATTATCTTGATGTAATATTTGATCGAGCGTGAAAATACTGGGAAAAGCAATCTTTCATTTTTACATAAATTTTATGAAACACACTACTCGTACTAGTATAAATATTGTTTGTGTTATACTTCAGCTTAAGCCAAAAACCATAAAAGATCTTCTTTCGACATCGTCAACGATGGTAAACAGTGAGGTAAAGACTTAATGAAATAATGTCATTCGTGACTGTGTAGAAAATATTTATATTTTATGTTTTATATAGACATACGATGTTAATTGCATCCTTGGTAAACATCTTGGTCCTTTATATTGCTGTGTAGTTGAGAAAACTGGTGATGCAAGCTTTAAACTTCAAGAAATAGACAGTTGTCTTTAGGTAAAAAGTTAAGTCTTTTTAGTAGTATTATAAATTTCGTCTTGTGATTAATTTATTAGTAAATATAATTGTTCTTTTATTCAAAAGCATCTTAGATTGTATACATGGTTTATAACGTTAACGTTTATGGTTTAAATAAAGCTTAGCTTGGCTTTAATGGCAAAGTGTTCTTGTGAGTACCATTTGAACTGCTAAGGACACCCATGGTTGTTAAAGGACATTCAAAGTTGTTCATAGATATCCAGTATTGTTCAAAAACATCCAGTGGTGATACCAGCCCGATCTTTTACTCCGATGGTTGCTTAAGGATATCAACGGTTTTTCAGGGACATCCAAGACTGTTCAAGGTTCAGATAATAACAAATTTTGTTCTGAACCCTGACACAAAATATTTTTAAAGAAAGTTGCTGACTATGTGCCGTATCTTTTGCGATAAAGTGTGGGTGGAAGACATTCCATTATAGATAACCAAGAACGCTCGACAGTAACCAATGAATTATTGTCATTCATACCAAGAAATAGTAATGGCTACGCGAAGTAAAACATGAAAATTAGATTAGATTGTTTATAATCATCAAATGACTTGGGAAAATGTCACCTTATATTTCTTGCATATCTTGAACGCTTCACAGTATTCCACATCATTTTCATCATGATTCTCACTATGTTTACGTTTCTTACCAACCGTGAACTTTTTTGTTTTTCTTGCAAACAATTTGATGCTCCTCGATGGTAAAGGCTAATAAAACGACGATGGACATTATAGGAAAAACAAGCGTGGTTAGAAAATGGAGAAGTGGACAAACCTTGGAGATATCTAATAAGATAAACAAATCGTGACTTTGAAGAAACATCATCTCTTTATTGTTGCAATCAAATAAAATGTTAACAACTTTTGATGGTAGCCTTTGCCATTGTTCGGGTAAACCAGTTTTGGAAGCTTTCTTAGACCAACTTGTCATTTTCATTTGCTCAATGTCAAACATGAATACCTATAGAAACATCAGGGTAGAAAGAGGATAGTTTTATGATTATGTCCCCTTATCACCCTCCTTTGTGAAAGTGGTAATGATGGATACTAAAGGGAAACATGTTATTAAAGTAAGGAAAATGCAAAAAAATGACCTCTTTATTGCTGTTCACAAGAGCCAGGTGATTTGTTTCTGGTTGAAATGCCATCGCCGTGATCTGTTTGGAGAACCGTGGAAGTGTACATTTGTGCTGAAAAAAACAGATGAATTTTGAAACCAGACAACAATACAAAAATAATCAAAGGTTTCTTTAAATCTATTTTATCAAACCTTGATTTCAGTGACGTCAAATACTTCAACATGTCCTAACGTATCAACTGTTGTACATAATGTACCGTCATCGCTCACAGCCATATCATTCACAGGTGAATTGACATCTTAAATGACGACGATAAGAAGATTTACTACACACTACAAGATTCATCAGGATAAATGGGATCACAATGGGATAATTAGTCAATTTCTTTACCTGTTCTTGGAAAATCGATAGCCTCGTCTATCTTCATGGGAAATTGTATGGTTTCTGACGACAATGAATCGCGATTTAGATGAATAATCTGAGAACAAAATACAAGACAAAATCGAAAAGTATGCGAAACAATACGTGACTTTATAAAGTTAAATTTACTTGAAGAGTCTTTGTGATAGTTATAGTTATAAGTTTTGAGCTGTCTTTGGTAAATTTCATGTGATGAACAGGTAAAAGTTCTTTAGGGAGAAACTTCAACTAAAGAAATAAGGAAAATATTATACACGACGAGCAAGTAAATAATGAAAATGGCTACGTTCGGCTTACTTTTTCAACGTAAGAAGCATTGCAATCCTGAATGAAACCGAGAAAAAAGTTCATTTGATGTTCAGTTCTTCACGTAAATGACCATATTTAAAGCAAGAGCGATGTCATCTTACCAAGGTCAATTTAAACACACTGATCTTATGACAATCAGAAAACGCTGTCCAATTTCCATCATTTGATATTGTTGAACAAACGATACGTCGCTACAAAATATGTAAAAGTTACCACATGCATTCATTAAATTAAAAATCTATCATTATTTCAACACCTTTGCCTCCAACTGTAATAAATGTACAGGATTGTGCTTCAGGTGACAGCTCTCTTCGTTCACTGGAAGAAAACACACAAACTTTAGTGACATTTTGCTCAGTTTTCATACATCATAGTTCTACTCAGTTGGATGTACTTACAAGTTTTTCCAAGTTGCCAGAAATGAAGCGACGTTGATTTTTGAAACATTAATACTTCAGCTTTAGAGGCAAGGTGAATCTCAGAACGCTAAAGTTTGTATGGAAAATGGCTGTTTTAAACTCTGTTTTGAACTAAACTATTCAGCAATTCTGCTCTTACCATTGGAAATGATGGTATCCTTCTAATCTCCGAGTTTCCATACTTCTTTGTGTTGTACACAAGAATATTTGTATCAACTCCTGCAGAACGTGATGACAAGTTTATAAGATAGTATGGAGGCTTGGACAGTTGTTAGAAAATAATAAAAACATACCTCCTGAAACTAATGTGGATTTCTGAGCATTTTCAATCAAAGCAAGGGTTCTCACATCATGTGTGTGACTTCTGGTGGAAATGGATCGTGACCAACACTTCATTCCATCCTGAACAAAATGACATCATAGCAATGAATTGTTACAAAAGTGTTAATGAATTATCATAACTCCAACCTTTTCAACAACGAGTTTAAATTGCATCAATTTATTGTCAACACCAGTTGAATAAACTGTATCTTCCTCCTTTATAATCATAAATATTATACTTAGATTAAACAGTTAATTTATTGTTTGTTTACCATGATATAAAATAAACAATTCAACTTACCTTGTTTACGCAGACAGTCAAAACATCCGCAATATGTAAGTTAAAACCCTAAACGACATCACATGTGTAATTAATGTGTATGTAATTACTAATACAAGATTTAAATACAAGTATCATGAAAGATAAATGATGCATATTTCCTATTACCTTTATTAAAGTTCCCAATTTTCCATTCCAAAATTGTGTCTTGCCTAATGAATCACCACTTACAATAGTGAAGTCACTATTGACAGAAAATCATCAAAACACTTAAAATAATACTATTAAAATAAAGATGTAATGTTTTTATTGTTACCTCATAATGCTGACAGACCAGACTAACGTCTTTCTTTGACTAAAATTATCCAACGTGATACGAAGACATGCATGACCTATAAACACAATATGTTAAATAAAATAGAAAAATATTTAATTCAAACTGTTATCACCCAGTTTGCACCTGTAGAAACCTCATAAACCCTAATAGTAGCATCAGAACCACCAGTTACCAACACTTGACCATCTTTATGCCAGTCAAGGGAGAGTATTCGACCTGTGATAAACATAGTTATTGAACATTTTTAAGTAATAAAGTTTCTTATATTGTAGATATGGTAACAAAGAAACCTTCTTGCTTGATGAAAACACGTGCATACTGAATGTCATCCATAGAAATATCAAACAAACGAACACAGCCATCTTCACATCCAGCCTGGTCAAGGACAAAGGGTGTATTAAAATATGCAATAGTATGATTTGGTACTATGCAAAGATAAAACAAAATAAAATATACCGCCAATAATGTTTGCTCTTGATTTACAGCCAAACTCCACACAGCTCCACCATATGAATCAATATTTATCTGTAAAAATATCAAATGAAAATCAATAATGGAAGAATATCTTGCTTACTTCTATGAGTTCAATCTAATTCTAGCTCACTTTCGAAACCATTTGATCTAAATTCCATTCTGTTATTTCTCCATGAAGTCCAGAGGAAAATAATCGAGATCCTGACCATACAAGCGCTTCAATAGTTGTTCCTTTTAAACCAACAATTTTCTGCAACCAAAGTAACATGTTTCATGTCTTAACACATGGTAAACTACATGCTATCAAATACGTTTTTTTTAAATCGTTACCCTTTCTAAATACCAGTTATTTTCAATATTCCATATTTCAATGCTACTATCCGCTCTGAAAAGAGAGAAGACACGATTAAACTTTGACATATAACACGTGGATGAAAATTTGATGTTATGACATTTTGTAATTTCCTCATTATACCTTGATACAGCTATTCTCGCATTTTTTCCACCTTCCACGGCCAAACAATGAATGGCTTGAGGTACATACGGTATAAAACGAACGCAATGTACTTTGAAATTCACCATTATCGAATGAAACTTTTCTTTGATGTATATTATGTTGATAAGGTGTTGATCGACTTACGATGTACACACAGAGTACCAGCTTTTTTTACCTGCATTGATACTTCCCCCGAGATTGAAATCGCTCCCTAAATTCGGGCTAACTTTACATGTGCCGTGCATTTTCAAAACAAAATATTTGAAAAAGATGGGAAGACGAAAGGTAAAATCAGTTTTAAATGAAAAGTTTTTATCATTTTTATTATTTTTCTTATTTTATCATTTTGCTTGTAGTGCTGTAACTGCAGATAGGCATGCATAAGATTTTATTTGACCTTTTTACTTCTTCAGGGCGAAGAATATAAGATGCGAGTATACAAGAAATCAAAGAATAAGAAAAATCATTATTCTGGGAAGAGAAGACCCAGAGAATCGTATGATGATATTGTAAAAGAAAATGAAATGTTTGAGAACTACTATAAAGTCAGTTGAAATTTTGATATTACTGAAATCTTTAGTACAAGTGGTCATTTGTTGAAAATAATAATTTTCTTTCAATATAGGCACAAAATATCATTTCTGGTGAGGAATGGGGGAATTTTATGGATAGATTACGTGCACCATTGTCATCAACATTCAGAATCACTGGGATAAGAGGGTACATATGTGTATATTTCTTTATATATAATTTTCAATATGAACATAATAGCCCAACATAAGACTTTTAAAAAAGCCATCACAATAATAAAATAGAGAAAGATTTATTAAGATGTTTTGTCTTTAACTTAAGACATCATCAGATTATTTGAGATAAATTATATACATGAGGTTAAAAAAACCGACAGTTAAAGACGAAAGGTTAAAGATGAAATGTTATTAATAAATCTTTCTCTATTTTATTATTGTGATGGCTTTTTTAAAAGTCTTATGTTGGGCTATTGTGTTCATATTGAAAATTTGCTTTCCGCCTGGCAAATCTCTGGCCACGATCCTTGTATATAATCTGTTTGCTAGAATTAATAAAAATAATCAGATAACATTTTCAGGCATGCCAAAAAACTCATGAATTACCTCAAAATACATTATGTGAACAAACTGAATGAAGCTAAAGATGATCTTGGTGAAGATGTGGATTGCTTTGGAAAGCCTCTCAAATGGTGCATATAATCAAATAGTTGCAATCTTTTGAGTTGAATTTACTGTGTTTTTCTTGTTCATGTATTTTCCAGGTATCCAGGTGAACTCGCATGGCAAATAAATTTAACACGGCGTTTTATCAGACGTTCTGGTGTGGTGTCAAATTTTCACAAGTTTTTGATTCATGAATCTGAAATGGTGTGTTGAAAAAGCATTTGTGTTTATAGAGGAAATATTCAGTATTGAAGGATTTTTATTTAGGGAAACCTTAGTCGTCAGGAAGCTGTCAGCATGATACCACCTTTACTTATTGATGTTGAACCTCATCATAAGGTATGTACATATTTATACAATGCAGTACAATAAGGTACACTAAGTTATGTGTATTTATTTTCCTTGAGATATTAGATCTTTGTGCTGCTCCTGGCTCGAAAACTGCCCAATTGATTGAAATGTTACATGAAAAAGCAGCAAACCGTCTTCCAGATGGTTTTGTCATAGCAAATGATATTGATCCAAAACGTTGTTACATGTTGGTGCATCAAAGTCGTAGAATTCACAGTCCATGTTGTCTTGTTACAAATCATGATGCTGCTATATATCCTGATATTAAGATAAAAAAGGTATAAATATATGATTAGTTAGGCAATTACCTGCTAATTTACCATTTTGCCTGAAAATGTAGAATGAGAATGGAGAAGAATTGATGCATTTTGATCGCATACTTTGTGATGTTCCATGTAGGTATGTAACTTGAACATTAAACTTGTTATTATGATTTACGGTGAACATTAAACTTGTTATTATGATGTACGGTAAACATTAAACTTCTTATTATGATACAGAATTATTTGAAAATAGTTCTAAAGATAGCTAATACCATAGTGAATGGTAAAAGTATTGGTACATAGTACATGGTATTAGCTATCTTTAGAACTATTTTCAGATTTGTCACCACGACAAAGTCTCTATTTTATTATTTACAGAATTATTTTGTGTCTATATATATATTTAATATCTATAGTGGTGATGGTACAATGAGGAAAAATCCCCAAATATGGAAAAAATGGAATCCGGAGATTGGCATTTCTCTTCACAAGTAAATGTAGATGATGATCGCGTATTTTTTATTTGAGAACTATATTTTACTCCATGTTTTTCTCAATGCTTGTATAGGACACAGTTACGAATTCTTGTTCGAGCTGTTGAAATGCTTGCCATCAATGGTATAGTTGTATATTCAACATGTTCAATGAACCCAGTAGAGGACGAAGCTGTTGTTTCACAATTACTGTACAGAGCTAAGGGTAAATGTTTAGTATTGCTAATGTCATATTCATGTTTAATAGCCATTGCATTCATTTGATGTTTTTAGGCTCTGTGGAGTTAGTGGATGTGTCTGATAGATTAACTGATCTAAAACGAGCACCTGGATTGGAAACTTGGAAGGTTGGATTTTAGTTTGTGGAGTATCGTTTTTAGATTTAAACTGGCCCAGTTAGTGCAGTTCTATCAAGGAGTGTTGGTGTTGACTGATGTTTTGACAACCTTAGCAGTACTTAGTTATGACAACCACTACAATGTACCTCTCTGAACTCAACAAACCAGGATGGTCAACATTTACATACATGCCATTTATGTGTATTAATGACCGGTCAAAAACCAACTTTCACTAAGATATCAATTTAGCTTTATATTTATATACAAATAATTTTAAGGTTGTTCAACTTATGTGATGTGATTCCACTCATCAATGCGCATGCTCAGATGATTTCTTTAATAATTTGTGACTAAGCGAGCTAATTACTCCAAAAGTAGTGCTAATAGATACAATTGGTCATTTGCGTTTATACATAATTCATCGCTAGTTACTCAGTCCCACGGCATTCTAAGGAGAGTAAATGGTTTGAACCCGGGAGTATCGTTACATGTTTGTAAATGTCGATCGTCCAGGTTGGTATAGTCCTGAGAAGGACTGTTTTTGTTGTTGTTGACTGACGTTTCAACAACCTTAGCGATAGTCATCTTCAGAGTCAAATGACATACTCAGGACATCCTTCTCAGGACTATACCAACCTGGACGATCGACATTCTAAGGAGAGTCGGTTCGTATGAACTTCATTAGTTGGTTGAGTAGATCGCTCTAGTTTACAGTCATATATTATTGATATGTTGTCTGTATTTAGCTTGTTTTAAAAAATATATTTTCAAACTCAATACCTCAATGACCGTTACCGTTCGGGCTTGCCCTCGTCATGAATAAAAGCTAAGTAGCAATACTCAAACTCTCCGTGGACAAAAAGAAAATTGCTTACACATTCAAACTGTGCACACTGACAAGACAGCAAGTTTTTTTAGACTGTAGCTTTTGATAGCTTTATTAAAAATATATTTATTTGCCATGAAATCATTGGTTGTTTTCCTCCTGATAAATGAATCATAATGAAATGAGAGTTAATGTAAGAAAAGAAATACATGTATGAAACATTTGATAGCAGTGGGATTTTTTTTAAACTTTTCACTATCCTTTTATCCTTTGCAAGAAGTAATCTCATCTTTTTCGCGGACATTCTCCTTTTTCAGATTCAAACGAAAGACGGTCGATCAGTTGTCAGTTTTGAAGAATGTGGCTCATCTGATAGAACGCATGGCTTTCTTGAATCTATGTGGCCACCTCGTGACGTGGACGGTCAGCATTTACAACGATGGTAGTGTGTTATGTGTTATACGTAGATATAATAGATCTATGTGGCCACCTCGTGACGTGGACGGTCAGCATTTACAACGATGGTAGTTTTGAAGAGTAAAATAGATGTGCTCATCGTGATCAGCATTTACAACGATGGTAGTTTCTGTGAATCTATAGATCTATGGCCACCTCGTGACGTGGACGGTCAGCATTTACAACGATGGTAGTGTGTTATACGTAGATATACGTAGACGTACGGTCAGCATTTAGATCTAGTGTGGCCATACCTCGTGACGTGGACGGTCAGCATTTACAACGATATGTGTTAGATGATGTGTGACGTGTCAGTTATACGTAGATATAATAGACGTCTATGATGGCCGTAGATAAAATGATCCGTGACGTGGACGGTCAGCATTTACAACGATGGTAGTGTAGTACATACGTAGATATGAGTATGATCTATGGGCCACCTCGTGACGTGGACGGTCAGCATTTACAACGATGGTAGTGTGTTATGTAGATTATACGTACGTGGATATCAGCATTTACAACGATGGTATGTGGCCATACGTAGATAAAATAGATGACGTGGACGGTCAGCATTTACGATGGTAGCGATAAAATAGGTGACGTGGTCAGCATTTACAACGATGGTGTGTGTGTATACGTAGATAAAATAGATCTATGACGTGGAAGCATTTAAACGATGGTGTGTTATGTTATAGATTGGATCATGAGTTGTTTCTATGTTGTTTATGGTTATCGTAGATAAAATAGATCTGTGTGGCCACCTCGTGACGTGGACGGTCAGCATTTACAACGATGGTAGTGTGTTATGTGTTATACGTAGATAAAATAGATCTATGTGGCCACCTCGTGACGTGGACGGTCAGCATTTACAACGATGGTGTTATCGTGACGTGGACGGTCAGCATTTACAACGATGGTAGTGTGTTATGTACATATGTAGATAAAATAGATCTATGTGGCCACCACGTGACGTGGACGGTCAGCATTTACAACGATGGTAGTGTGTTATACGTAGATATGATAGATCTATGTGGAAGTTAATGTTTGATGTATGATTTTCATTTTTCTTTGTTGGTTTTATATCCTGAAATCATTGTGTATTTTCTATGTCTGTAGATGTTGATCGTCCAGGTTAGGGAAGTTCTGAGGTCAGTTGGTGTTGACTGATGTTTGACAATCAGCCTTTTCTCAGGACTCTACTACCAACCAGGACGATACACATCTTTAAACATGTATTCAAATCATTCACTTTATATCATTTTAGCTGGCGTTTATATCCACATCATCAAGATACTGGAGGATTCTTCATTGCCGTACTCCAGAAAAAATCCCCTTTACCGTGGACCGAGGGATACCGATCACATCCGAAGTTATTGCCGTGGGAGATGAATAAAAAGGAAAAGAAGGTTGGAATTCAGTTCATGACGTAAGGCCATTGTTAGAGTGACGTATTTAACATTTCAAGAAAACTTTTTATTCAGGAGCTAAAACGTACTGGAAAAATTGATAAAGACAATGGTAATGTTAAAGATGAGATTGAACCTCGAGTTAAGGACATGGTACAGTCAGATGTGGTAAAAGAAAACACCAAATCATGTGAAGATCTAAATATTGAGGATAGTTTTAGTGAAGGAATTGTTGAAGAGGCGACGGCTCAGATTAATACAACAGAAAAAAATGACGGACAGCTGTCGTGTTTGTATCAAAGGTTACTTCAAATTATCAGATTTATTTTTTTAAAATGATTTGAAAGGACAAAAGAACTATCTTTGCAGTGTTAAAGCATCCGAACCGCAGAAGAAAAGAAGAAAAATTGATTCAAAATCTGACAAAAGAGAAAATCCTTTCGTATTTGTGGAAAAGAATGACACACACTGGACGACTATAAGGTTTTAAATATGTTTGACATTCAATGTATTCATTCATTACGTAACTTCATTTATCTACTTAATAGAAAGTTTTATGAGATTTCAAACACTTTCCCAGAGAACTGTTTGCTCGTGCGCTCCGCAAGTGAGCGCAAACGTACAATATATTTCGTATCAACGGGGCTGGCAATGATGCTAAAGAATGTAGATCAAACAGAGTTTAACGTAAGGTGAAAGCGAAAATGAAGTTACGTTAAAAAGTGAAGATTATTTTATATTTTTATCATTGGATGACTTAGGTGATTAACGCTGGTCTTCGGTTATTTACAAGATGTGAAAATAGTGATGAAGATTGGTCTTTTAGAATAAATGGAGAGGTAGGGGTGCTAAAGTTGCCTTAATTAAATGTACATAGTGTTATATTAATTGAACTAAGTGTTCATCTTCAGGCCTTGGAGACAATTTTACCATTTCTTACCAATAAACGTGTCGTACATGTACCACTGGAGGATCTTGTTAGGATATTAGTGGATATGAGTCCCAAAGTATCTCAGATGACAATGGAAACAAAGTCGTCATTGGGGACAATTGGTCCTGGTTGCATTATTTTCATGTATGATTCTCAAAAAAGGTATAAAAGAAACACAATTCATGCCTGTTTTGTTCTTCAAGTCATTTTATGTATTTGTTTATTATAGTGATCCTTCATTATCTACTGGTATAAAAATTTCTGTTTGTGGCTGGAGAAGCAGAACCGTTATATTACGCAGTCTTATTGCTAAGGCTGATAGAATGCACTACTTAAGGATTGCAGGTTATGCACCTGATTCTCCTGAACTTCAAGGTAGTAACACTGAAGGTTATTTTAACTCAGAGTGATAGATAAAATATAATTTACTTACATTTTTATAGCTCTTGCTATTGACTCTAAGATAAATGTTGAAGAACAAATATCCCTGTGGAAAGTATAGACAAAAGTGATGTCTCACTCATGCAATGTGAAGGAGGTTTAGATAACTCTTGAATTAGAACAGACAGTAGACAAAGCTGAAGAAACAGGTCAACCACAAGAAAAAGATAAGGTTCATGAGCTGGAGGAAACCATAGTAACAGATAAAACTACAGTAGAAGATGAATAACTTTTCTGAGGAAAAGCATACACAAGAGAAAGTAAGCATTTGTGTGAAAAATTTGTTCTGTCAAGATGGATGTTCTTTGACAGTATTTGAAAACAAACAATAAAGATGATTTTGTGTGTAATTTTTATGGAATGTGGCTGTTTAATATGTGCATTTTTGATGTTTATGTGCATTGAAATGAGCAACATCTGTTTATTTAAATCCACAAGTTTTTTTAATTTTTTATCATTGTACCTGAAAATCAACCAACATCCTGTTAAAGGATGTTGTCTTGTTTAAATGCCACTTGTTGATTGAGTATCAATTATCAACTTGTAAACATTGCAATTTGTCATTTTTTATTTTTTGCAAAACCTCTATGGTCCAAAGTCCACAAACTTTGATAAATAAAAGAAACGAAGACGGTGAAGATCTTTCTATAAACAAATTTAATATTTTCATTCAACAAAAAAGAAACCTACCACACAATTTCAACATGCTAAATACCAGAAAGAAATTTTATAATATTAAGTATGGTAGATCCTTCAGGAATAAGTAGCGCCTTCAGGTGGTTGGGATGTTTTCATGTTTTCCTTTAGAGCCATTATTCTGAAAAAAAAATTGAAAATTAACACACCATTTACAATTTACTTCCTCAAGATGTTGACTATAAACCTTCGTAGATCTGTCAAAAGAGATTTTATTGTATTTTCACGTCTCCAGTTTTTCAAAATGGGACAAGTTTGAACCTGTAAGGTAAGAATTTGTTCGTCAAACATTTAATGTCTGACATATTGTGAGAGATTATTAAACATTGACTTACAACTCCTCTCGAGTCAACACCATGCATGTTAATTCTTGTAATAAATCTCACTTCAGGTTTTTCACTTGGGTATTTAGGACCACATTTGATAGCCAAAGTGTAAATTCTGTTCTCAAATACAGTCTATCAAGACACAACATTATGATGAATTTAAATTCAACAGTTATTACCGGCGTAGAAAAGTCATAATTAAGAATGAAAAATACAGAAACAAAAAATTGCAACAAATAGAAAGTCGCAAAAATAATCTGTTATTTACTCTAGGTGGACCGATGATAGTGCCAGTCCATAGGGTCAAACTCATATCATTGTCACTTTCCAGACCCCAGCTGACCATTCCGTCTCCGCCTTTCTGACCTTCTTCCAATTCTTCAAGAAGTCGGAAGTTTCGTGGAACTATCACAACGCCTATTATACACGAATTACTCTTATACAATGAAGTTCATAATATAGTCTTTCAACGCAAAAAAAAAGCAATTAAAAACACAATTCACACGGTTTGCAAAGATAGCTCTTTCTAAGGAAAGATTCTTCGCTTGCGTGGGCAAGAAAACAGCATAACTTTGCTGTTTACAGCAAAAGGAAATTCTTACAAACTTACCCGCCATCTTGTTTATTCAGGCTAAGGCAAAGTATATACGTTCCGATGTTGTCACGACATTTTCCGACAAGTACTTAATACACTGGAACATTTGCCTGTTTTTTAAAAATGTTTCGTGAATTTAGAAAAGAGGAATTGACAATTTGTGCATGGTTGATGATTGCTTTAGGATGTTTTTCATTAATTGCTGCATTTTTCTTGACGACACCTTATGGTCGTTACAGTAGAGGAGTGTGGGGCTTTGGTGTGGATACAAAGCTAGCGTGGATGCTGCAGGAATGTCCATCTTTTTTTGTACCATTTGTAATGTTTATGGTATCTCATGGGCCAAGCAGATTGTTTTTGTTGAAATCATCTCCAAATGATGTGCTGGTGTTGTTGTTTTTGATACACTACTTTAGGAGGTAATGTTCATATGTTTTTTTTTCTAATGAAAAAAGTGTCTTTTTCAAGTGTTTTTCATCTTTTTATACAGATCATTCGTTTACCCATTCTGGATTAAAAACTGCTCCAACACCTTTTCTTATCTTCATATTTGCTTTTATATTTTGTGCATTTAATGGTTTTATGCAAGGTCAATATCACATAAATGTTGCTTTCTTCTCCAAAGACTGGTTTTACACACCGCAGTTTTTGTCTGGCTGTTTTTTATTTCTACTTGGCTTGGTCATTAATACTTATTATGATTATGTGGTCACCAGTCTTAGAAAACCTGGTGACATTGGTCACAAAATACCACATGGTATGGTTACTATGGTAACAACATTGTTGAAATGTTTTTCAGACTTAAAAAGGATCTACTCAAGTGTACTTTATTTTTAAGGTGGTTTATTTGAGTACATTTCCTGTCCAAATTTCTTTGGGGAAATTATTGAATGGGCAGGATTTGCAATAGCATCCTCCTCGTTTGTTGCTTTTGCATTTTTTTTCAACACTGTTGCACAAATTGGAACAAGAGCCTGCCACCATCAACGGTATTAAAGTTGAAGGATTGCAAAAAGAAATATTGTGACATGTGACACTTAATGTTTTTATTTGTGTGTTTAGATTTTATCAAAAAAAGTTTGACGACTACCCAAAGAACCGAAAGGCAATTATTCCATTTTTGTTGTGATGTTATGAAGGTGCTATGATATTTTTGTTTTAGTTGAATAATAATAAAGACAGATTAAATTATTGACAAACACTCACATTCTAAATAAATTATATAAATGTGAGTTTAGTTATTTTTACATGAAGTATTAGAAAGAAATTTTCCTTGGCTTGGCGCTGCCATGGCAACATGGAAATGTCGTATGCTTGTTTTCCCAAAGCTTTGGAGATCTCTTTCATCCTGTAATGATGAACTTTTGAGCAAACTATGCCGAAATTATGAGACTTTGTGATGAGTGTAAGCCTAGGTCTTGTCTTTGAAAGAAAAAAAAATTCTAACTATGGAAATGTCTTGATATTTATTGATAAAATATTTCAATCTTGAACGTGAAAACGTCATGTCATCGCAGTTTGTGTTAGATAAAAATCCGCGTTTATCTCGCTCGCAACAAAGTCAACGGACAAGAAAACATGAAAAAAATGCTTCGGCTGAACGGGAACAGAAAAAAACGTCAAGGCTACAAGCTCTAGGTCCTGGTGCTGGCGAATCTATTAAAGAAAAGCAAGTAAGATACGAAACTCATTAATGTGCTTTATTTTTATGAATTCTCTTCGTGGGAGTTTTATTGATGATAGTTCATTGATTATTGACTTAATATTTTAACTGAAGCGTTTGTTTAGTTTGTGTTACTTACTATAAGCCTGCTGTTCTTTCGTGACACCGTGACTGGCCCGCACTTAGTAATTTGTCAATTGTCAACAAGTTGAATAGCTCTTTAAGATTATTAACACCTGTTAAAGTATTTTCTGTATGTTTGAATTGTGCATGTGCTTAAATGATGTAAATGATAAATGATACGTTCAATGATGTGAATAGATAGTTTAACTTATTGAAGAATGCAAGAAAGTTTTGTGGAATTTTATGGCATATTTTCTTAAGGTTTGCCCGTTTGCCATATTTATTCACTATTTCCATGCTCATGCATAAACTCTTTGTCTTTATTTTTCTCTACAAGCAAAAAGTTCGAGAAGAAAAAGAGGCAAAACGATCTTTGCTTGATCAACGACATGACTACATTTTGCAATGTCTTGCAGACTGTTTGAATTTATCTGTGGATGATGTTACTGAATACTTGCTTGAAGGAACACAGGTATTGATGGTGAAGATATTTATGTATAATGATGAATGTAGTTGATAACTTTTTGAAACAAATCCTGTTTACGTAGATAGAAGATCTTGAACAATTCTTCATTCAAAATGGAAGAAGACAAATTATATTCTATTATCAACAAACAGAGTCTTTGAATGAACCAGGTATGATCTGTAAAATATGACCAAACACTAAACATGATTTAATTAATTTTCACTGATGCCATTTCAGTGGAACAAATTCGTCTTGGTCCTGGAGGAGCACAAAAGGTTCCAATAAAACCATCAAAACCAAAGCTCTTTCTGACAGATGGAGCCGAGGATCCACTTCATGGAATATGTGTTTTTTTCATACGATGTAACATGAACAAGACCATTACTAATGCAAACATTTATAATGTATGTTTAATTTCTCATCAAGATCTTGCAATTCATAAAGTTCAACTTGTCTTTTTGTTGTTTTAGGAAGTAAGTTTTGGTTTTCTTGACACACGTGACACTGGACTTCTTCATGCTTCAGAGCGTCTTCTCTCAGATATATTTCTTCCCGCTCTTTCTAAAACATCCACGTGGGGAGAACTTTCAACTAAACAGGGTCAACAAATACGTCAAGAATTTATGAAACAGCTGGAGAATTTTATTACTATACTAGTTGGTGCACAGGATAGCCTTAATGACAGTGTTGTATTAAAAAAATGTGAGACAGTTAATTTGGATGCAATGACCACCCCTACAGACTATATTAATGCAGCCAATTCAAGTGATGTTCTTGCAAAAATCGAAGAACTTGTTGCTGTTTGGATGAGACAAATTGAACAGGTTAACAAAAGGAATTTTTCTCTTGTTTTTATCCTTTAATCCACTCTACATGACTCTTTTCGCTGAAGGTGTTGGCAGAAAGCGAGCAGATGCGGAAAGAAGCGGACAACGTTGGTCCGAAGGCCGAACTGGATTATTGGAAAAAACGAATGGCAAAATTCAACTCATTATTTGATCAAATAAAGGATCGACTGTAAAGTTGTCCTTTGCATTCTTCACGCTGCAAAGTCCAAACTATTGAAGGTTGATAAAAATTTTCTACATCAAAGATTCATGTAAATGGTTTCTTGGACGTGCGATGTGTGAGCATTTTTGAAAAATTGTTCATATGTCTTGTTAGGAGCGAAAAGTTTACGTAAATTATGAAGCTTCATACGTGAAAAGTCTTTGAACGAAATTTTTGCGTAACAATCTAAATAGAAGTTAAGTAACCATGCTTTACCTCAGGTCAAGTCAAATTATGACATATTTACCAAAGCGACTGTCAAAACTTACAACACTTGGTTCATTTTGGTGCAAAAATATCACACATGGAGCTTCATTTGTGCAAAGTTTTGGTTGTTAACAATTTATGTAAACGATTTTTCAATAATGCTTACATGTAGCACAACCATGTTTCTTTTAAGATTAATTTTTAATTACTTTGACGAAACGTTTATAGAGCTGGCGTGAGCTTGACAACAGAATAACTGACTATGCAAATGAAGCTAAAGACAACGTCAAATTTCTTTACACTTTGGAAAAGTTTTCAGAACCTCTATACAAGAGCAATCCAGTATGTAGCTACAATAAATTGTCGATTTGAACATTAAATTATTTTTATATCGTTACATCTTACTGACATACTAGTGACGTAGCCAAAGGGGACCTGGGGCCAGGCCCCTTCTGGCAAAATTCTTGGCTCCCTTAAAATGCGACTTTTACATATGTTATATTGTTTAAACGACAGTTATGCCCCCACCTTTCCTTTTGACTGCCCCCCCCCCTTGACAGAAAATCCTGGCTGCGCCAATGTGATGTACAACAATTTATTAATTCGAACAACTTACCTTTTCATAATCATTATTTTTATGTTTAGGTTACTATGTTTGAAAGCATTCCTGGTCTTATTAATGCCATACGTATGATTAACTCATATTCACGTTATTATAACACTTCTGAAAGAATGACTGCCTTATTTGTCAAGGTAACTTATCTTTTTTGTTTTAATTTTAGTTCTCGTTCTTTATCTTAATGACTTTCATTTTATAATTTGTTTCAATGAAGATCACCAACCAAATGATAACAGCTTGTAAACACTATATCACCGAACATGGTTTAAAGACGATTTGGGATTATCCACAAGAAGAATTAATCTCGAAACTTGAAGATTGTATCAAGTTGAACGAATGTTATCAGCAAAGTTTTCAACGTGCGAAGAAGAAACTTGAAGAGAATCCCGAGGAGAAGCAATTTGAGTTCAGTGAAATGTATATTTTTGGAAAAATTAACAGTTTTTCTGCGCGTTGTAATAAAATGATCAACATGATGAAAACAATTAAATCTTTCTTGGTTTTGGAACATTCAAAGATTGAAGGCATCGAGCAGTTATGGAGTCGTTTTCAGTTGATATTAACGACACTTAAAAAGAAACCTTATGATATGTTAGACTATAGAAAAATGGAGTTTGATGTTGATTACGATGAGTTTCGTAGACAAATACAAGAATTGCAGGTATTATGTATAATGTTTCACTTGTAATGTATTTTTTTTTGGTGTTTTCTCTACCTAAATCTTTAAAATTCTTCCCTTATTATTCATCATTACATTTATTCAACATCACATATCTTTGTTATAGACGCAACTTTATATTTTTATCGAGACCTGCTATAGTAGAGTTTCGTCAACGCAACAAGCTTTGCAGGTGGTGAAAAAATTTGAAAGGTAGCTAACAAATAATCATCTTAAAGTATACAATGTTCTGTTGTGTTTCAATGGAGGATTTGATTTCCGTTTTTATAGACTTAATTTGGAATGTCTTAAAGATGCAATTGCGGACAAATATCATAAAATTTTACTTCATTTTGGTCGTGAAATCGAAAACATCCAAAAAATCTATCAAAGACTTCGTCACGATCCGCCAATTGCTCGGGATCTTCCGCCAATATCCGGAAAAATTATGTGGTCACGTCAGATGTTTCGTCGTATTCAAGAACCTATGGAACATTTGAAACGATACCCAGAGATTTTACAGGCTGAGGAAAGTAAACGAATAGTAAGGAACTATAACAAGGTGGCAAAAGTTTTACTGGAATTTGAAGTTCTTTATCATCAAGCATGGATGAAACAGGTTTGTCATTTCATTGACATTTAAGTTCTTAGACAATATCTAGGATATGTTTTTTGATCATTTTTTTTTTCATATTAAGGTGGACGTTATAAAGACAGGACTGTCTTCTTCCCTTTTTGTACGTCATCCAGATACCAAGAAACTTTTCGTAAATTTTGATCCTGAAATTTTAACGTTAATCCGAGAAACTGAATGCATGGTTCGTCTTGGTTTGGACATTCCGTACTCAGCGAGATCTCTGCTGCATAAACAAAACACTCTCAAGAAAAACTTTAACAATTTACAAGTAAGATGAACATTGTTGTTGACTGACGTTTCGACAACCTTAGCGGTAGTCATCTTCAGAGTCAAATGAGGAGTAAACGTCAGGTCAGCCGTATTTGTTATCTGGTTCTTACGTCAAAAAACAGTCCTTCTCAGGGCTATATCAACCTGGACGATCTATATTTACAAACATGTAACAATACTCCCGGGTTCAAACCATTTACTTTAAGATGAACATTGACGTTAATCCCACGTTAATTGGGTGAGATAAGGACATGTTCATATATTCTGCTGTGACTGCAGACTAATTTATTTTCAAAACAATTTTATTTTCCAAAGATATAAAATATGGTCCCCTTCCTTTCTTCAATTAACGTTGGATTGACACCCGTGAAGATAAAATAGACAAAAAGACACTTTAACATCACGCTTTTAATTTTACTATTCATTTTTCTCAGCTGCTTTTAGTGGAATACGAGCGAGTGGTGGAGAAAATTCCGTCTTCTTTCAAACCTTTGATGACTCCTCACTTAGCAAAACTTGATGCAGCCATCGATCCTGGTCTCAATATGTTAAACTGGACGTCTTTAAACTTAGTGACGTATATTGAGACTGTATACGAAGCATTAGAAGAGCTTGATCTTCTTCTTACTCGTGCCCAGGACTTAGTTACTTATCGCATCGACGGTGTACTAAATGAGATGAGTAGTATCCCTTTATGTGAACTACCCACGGATATATCATGGAGCGTGGAGGAATTTTTGAAAAATACAGAGGTAATAAAAAGTTTCATTTCAATAAAACTCTCACAGTTTTCTAGCTTGATCTTCTTTATTTTCTCCCTTTTGTTAGGATTTGTGCCGTGAAGGGGCGGGCACATTGCAGACAAAAAGTGCTTTAGTTGAAGAAGCTGTTAATGAACTGATTGCAATGTTATTGAAAGTTAATGGAGATGAGGAACTTGAGGAGATTGGAGACGAGGTTGAGTCCATCAGACAAGGCAGTAGCAAATCAAAGAAGAGCATTGGCGGAGATATTGAGACGATGCGACCAAAATCAAATAAGACTGGGACGAGCAGTCGATTGGGAAGTGCAGTTATCAGTCCTACATCTGCAGCTTTGAAACGTAAACGTGAAATGAAAGATTACCTTTACGAAGAAGCACAAGAATTACTTTCATACTTTAATCATCGTAATGTTGACGCTATTGTACGTGTTACCAAGACAACACTAGATGCATTACGTAAGAGAGTGACAGTGACTTCTAGTCTTCACTATTCTGAGACCGGTTTACATGCTCGTGAAATCAACATTGTCCCTCTTTTTTTATCACACATGACCTTATGTATCCCTCATATCACTATGCAACCTGCGTTAGATGAGATCCAACAAATATTAAACAAAGTTGCACAAAAAGTCATTAATGTATCGCGAAGCATTCCTCAATGGCAGAAAACGTGTAAGATTTTTATGAAATCAAAAATATCTGATGAAGAAGAGGACATTTTTCGTAGTCGTAGTGTAAGTAACGCGACGAGCATTGATGAAGACGCCCGCGATCATTTAAGGCGTGTGACAAAAAGTGAGACGGACTCCAGTGAAGTTAGCGGTCTTACATCGTTCATTAAGATGGACAATTATTATAAGCAAGTATCGGAAAACAAAGAGATCGCTAAACTTTGTTCCATTCTCTCGACTTTGATCAATTCGACAAAGAAAGAAGTGACCACAGCGTTGGAATATTTTAATAATTACAACAGCGTTTGGAAGTTGAACCGTCATGAAGAATTAGAGAAGTTTTTACAAGATGATACAGGATTATCAGAGTTTGAAGCAATAATTTATTTTTATGAAGATTTAGAGAAGAAAATTATTGAAGAACCTGAGACGTACAATGTTGGAGCTGTTGCTTTATACACAGGTATTATTTTCACTCTTTCTCATTTCCTTATACAGCTCTATACACATCAACACCATGTATGTTGCAGATAAATTAAAGATCTCTCTTTGCGCTGAAACCAAAGCTTGGCGTGTGGCGTATGGAAAATTATGTAACACGAAATATCTTGATGAAATGGAAATTATATTCTCGTCTGTCGAGGACTGGGTCAAGCGTTTAAATCGACCAATCAAAGATCTCGACGATATCCGCCTGGCAATGGGTACTTTGAAAGAAATACGAGAAAAAGAGATTGGTATCGACATGATGATTGGTCCGATTGAGGTAAAGTTATTTCGTCGTTTTGTGACGTAATTAAAAAGACAAAATTATTATATCTTTGGTTACGATTTATTCAGGAATCCTACGCGATGTTAAGTCGTCATGAAGTACTGGTAGCAAGAGAAGAATCGGAGAGAGTTGATACATTGAGATATTCGTGGGAAAAATTACAAACTTTGGCCTCCGAATCACAGGGTGCATTGATCAAAATACAACCTAACTTTAAAAATGATTTACTGGAGTCAGTTGAAACATTTATAGTTGATGTTGACGTTTTCTCTGAAGATTATCAAAATGTGAGTTGAAAATACGTTCTAAAAATATTTTTTTTACATCATCATGTTCACTGCTTAGGAAGTATGTACTTTTTGCATTGAAATTTGAGTGTGGCTAGGGTCATTTTTCTTTCGATCAAAAGAAGTTAAAAAGTTTGTGTTGTTTTGTTATCTACGCTTTGATTAATTTTAAATGTTAATAACATGAGATCATCATGTTCGTTGTTTGTTTGTGATTATGTCGAGATAGTAAAACCATTTGATAATATTTTTGATTTCATACGACCTTTACATCAACTGTTATGAAACACTGATGTATTTAGATAAGTTGTCAATAATATTTGTTTCTAACAATAGATGGGTCCCATGGTAACTGGTGTGGCGCCAAGTGAAGCTAGTGATCGACTCATAATATTTCAGGTTTCTATGAGATCAGTTTTATATCAAACTAGCGTTTCTATAAACCACTAATTTCCTTTTCTTCTTCATTTGCAGAATCGTTTCGATGCATTATGGCGTAAGTACATCACGTATTCTGGAGGTGAAGAATTGTTTGGTCTCGCTGTTACGGAGTATCCGGGGCTCATGAAAATAAAGCGTGAACTAAATTTACTTCAGAAACTTTATGGATTGTATAATGACGTGATCGACACCGTAAATGGTTACTATGACATGATGTGGACTGACGTGGACATTGAGAAGATAAACCAAGAGTTGTTAGACTTTCAGAACAGGTATTATGTTTTTACTTAGCAGATAGAGTGTCTCATCAACATTGAGATGTGAGTGCACCACCATTAATATGCTGTATATCACTGATCCATTCATATAATGCCTCCAACTCTATTGTTCTTCTCCGTGTAGCTAAATTATAAATGTTTATCATCATGTCTTTGACAGATGCCGTAAATTGCCACGTGCTCTCAAAGATTGGCAAGCATTTGAAGATCTCAGAAAGACAATAGATGACTTTAACGAGAGTTGTCCTTTGTTGGAATTAATGGCTAACAAAGCGATGAAGTTACGTCACTGGGATCGCATAGCTCAGTTAACTGGACACACGTTTGATGTAGAGTCGGAAACGTTTGCTTTAAGGAATATCATGGAAGCACCACTTTTAAAATATAAGGAAGACATTGAGGTTGTTTCAAAACATCCTTTATCACTTACTCTCTATTCATTATAGAGAATGTCCAATGACATTGAAGTATTGTTAATCAACCAACCAATCATGGCAGTCTTCCTTCCCCTAAGCCAACTCATTTTGGGTTTCATTATTTGTTTCAGGATATCTGTATAGCAGCAACAAAAGAGAAAGATATTGAAGCGAAATTGAAAGGTGTCATTGCTGACTGGAATCTTCGTGAATTTTCATTTTCCAACTTTAAGAACCGCGGAGAACTTTTATTGCGTGGTGATAACACATCTGAAATTATTTCTCTCATGGAAGATAGTCTCATGGTCTTAGGATCTCTAATGAGTAATAGGTACAACAATGAACATTTGTGTACATTTTATACCACTTGTGATCCACTTGAATCTCACCTGTTTCACCATAAACTTGGATTTGATTTCATTATTTGTTGCTTTAATATGTCCACGATTTTTCACATCCAGGTATAATGCTCCATTTAAAAAGTCCATTCAGGATTGGGTGCAGAAATTATCCAACACCACTGATATCATAGAGAACTGGATGACGGTACAAAATCTCTGGATATACCTAGAGGCAGTGTTTGTTGGTGGTGACATAGCTAAACAATTACCAAAAGTTCGTAACCATGAATTGTTTTAAAATGTAGTGATATTAATGACGTAATTGCTTAATGACGTAATTGCTGGATTTCGTCTTTTTTTAATTAGGAGGCAAAACGTTTTCAAAACATCGATAAACAATGGGTTAAGATCATGACGCGAGCACATGAAACAATGAATGTTGTACATTGTTGTACCAATGATGAAACATTAGGTCAACTTTTACCGCATTTACTGGAGCAACTTGAACTATGTCAGAAATCTTTGACTGGGTATAAAATCATGGAAAATTCTCTCTTTTTTTCCCATCGTTATTAACTGTAACACACCATGAATTTATCTCTTCAGGTATTTGGAAAAAAAGCGATTGGTATTTCCCCGTTTCTTTTTTGTCTCCGATCCCGCTTTACTTGAAATTTTAGGTCAGGCCAGTGATTCCCATACAATCCAGGTTTGTTTTATTTCACTTAATTTGAAAGTATTTTTCTTGGTACTCCATTGATATTTAGCATTGTTGTTTATTCATGTTTTTTATCAGGCGCATTTATCAAGTGTATTTGACAACATAAAACATGTAAAGTTTCATGAAAAAGATTACGACAGAATCTTGTCCATCATATCACGTGAAGGCGAAACTATTGACGTAATGATTGTCATCTTATCTAAGACACCGCTGTTCGTGTACTTCATGTTATTTTCGTATTGTTAACAGTTAGAGAAGCCCGTGATGGCTCAAGGTAATGTGGAACTTTGGCTTGGATCTCTCATGAATGTGTCCCAAAAGTCTTTGCATAACGTCATCAGACAGGCACACTTTGCTATTGGTGATCCAAACTTTCAACTGTTGGATTTCCTCAACACGTTTCCCGCTCAGGTTTGTGAACATAGATAAACAAAAAAATTTTGTGTAAATATGTATCATGTAATGAACGTGGTTGTTCGCCATATATTAAGAACAGATTTTGTAAAGTAAATGGTTTGAACCCGGGAGTATCGTTATGTGTTTGTAAATGATGATCGTCCAGGTTAATAAAGTCCTGAGAAGGACTGTTTTTGTTGTTGTTGACTGACGTTTCGACAACCTTAGCAGTAGTCATCTTCAGAGTCAAAAAAAAATGGACATCTTAAATCATTTTTTTTCCTTTTTTGACTCTTTTGATGACTACCGCTAAGGTTGTCGAAACGTCAGTCAACATCAACAAAAACAGTCTTTCTCAGGACTTTATTAACCTGGACGATCATCATTTACAAACAACAGATTTTGTTTTGCTTCCTTCAGGTTGGTTTGCTGGGCATTCAAATGATCTGGACACGTGACTCGACCGAGGCCCTCACGACCGCGAAGTACGACAAAAAAGTTATGTCGCAAACGAATCAAGCTTTTTTGGATCTTCTCAACGTTTTAGTAGAGCAGACAACGCGTGAATTGACGAAAGTTGAGAGAACAAAATATGAAACATTGATTACAATTCACGTTCATCAAAGGGATATCTTTGACGAGCTGGTAAATTATATTATTTTAGTAAAGGTACATTTGTGTGATGTTTTACTTCATTTTCCATGACGAATTTTTTTATTTCTAGTGTCGTTTGCACATCAAAAGTGCCTCAGATTTTGAATGGTTAAAACAGATAAGATTTTACTTCAGCGAAGACACGAACAAATGTCTTGTCTCTATCACAGACGTAGACTTCGTTTATCAAAACGAATTTATCGGTTGTACAGAGAGACTAGTGATCACACCGCTGACAGACAGATGCTATATCACCTTGGCTCAAGCTCTTCATATGTCCATGGGTGGGGCTCCTGCTGGTCCAGCTGGAACAGGAAAAACTGGTTTGCATAGCAGGTTACAGCATGGCTGGTCGTTAGCTATGTGTATTTCATTTTGTTTTTTGTTATTCTTCAGAAACAACGAAAGATATGGGAAAAGCTTTAGGAAAGTATGTCGTTGTATTTAATTGTTCTGACCAATTGGACTATAGGGGACTTGGGAGGATATTTAAAGGTACACGAATTTTCATGTGAATTATTATTGTATTATGTGTTATCATTTATGTAGTATTGTTCTTTTTATTTATCCATCATCACTTTGTGTCCATGTATATTTATCCATCATTATCACTATGTGTTCATGTATATTTATCCATCATTATCACTATGTGTTCGTGTATATTTATCCATCATTGTCACTATGTGTTCATGTATTTAGGTCTTGCCCAATCAGGAAGTTGGGGGTGTTTTGATGAATTCAACCGCATTGATTTGCCTGTTCTCTCTGTTGCCGCTCAACAAATTTACATTGTTTTATCGTGTAAGAAAGAACGAAAGAAGGAATTTATTTTTTCCGATGGCGATGTTGTCACAATGAATCCGGAATTTGGAATATTTCTCACAATGAATCCAGGTTATGCTGGTAGACAGGAATTACCCGAAAATTTAAAAATTCAGTTTCGTACCGTGGCCATGATGGTTCCTGATCGTCAGATTATCATTCGTGTTAAGCTTGCAAGTTGTGGTTTTGTCGATAGTGTCGTTTTGGCGAGAAAATTTTATACTTTGTATAAACTTTGTGAAGAACAGCTCTCAAAACAGGTATAAAACAGTATAACTTGCAGTATGTGAAGTATCACAGTTCTAATCATGTTTGTTTTTTAAATAGGTCCACTATGATTTTGGTCTACGAAATATTTTGTCTGTTTTGAGAACTCTTGGTGCAGCAAAACGTGGAAGTCCTGGGGAGAGTGAAAATACAACTGTCATGCGCGTATTACGTGACATGAATCTTTCAAAGTTGGTCAGTGATTGCCAGTTTTATTATTCTTTCTCTCGTTATTTAGCATTCCTTTCTTATTTTTATATTAAAGATTTGAAATAAAAAGAATTGTGCATTTATCTCTGTCAGGTCGATGAAGATGAGCCATTATTCTTGAGTCTAATCAACGATCTTTTTCCTGGGATTACGTTGGATAAGGCAGGATATCCGGAGTTAGAGATTGCTATTGAGAATCAAGCAGTAGAGTCCCAACTTATCAATCACCCATCTTGGAGATTGAAATTAATACAGGTTTGAATTTTTCAAGAAAATAAATTATTGGTTTTTCACTGTTCCAAATTTAACGGACTTTTACAACATTTCTTAGTTATTTGAAACACAGCGTGTACGTCACGGTATGATGGTCCTGGGTCCGAGTGGTGCGGGTAAAACCACCTGCATCCATACTCTAATGAAAGCGATGAGCGAGTGTGGAGCACCACATCGTGAAATGAGAATGAATCCAAAAGCAATCACTGCTCCTCAAATGTTTGGTCGATTAGACGCAGCTACAAATGATTGGACAGATGGAATATTTTCAACTTTATGGAGGAAAACTCTTCGTACTAAGAAAGGTTAGATTACTTTCATACGATATTAGCTGCACAGTAATTTACCAAGATTTAACATACGCATGCGCGTACTCACTTCCTCTCTTGTGTCGGTGTTTGAAAGGAACAATATTTTTACCTTCAAGGAGAAAAAATTTGGATCGTACTTGATGGCCCTGTCGACGCTATTTGGATTGAAAATTTGAACAGCGTTCTTGATGATAATAAAACATTAACACTTGCAAATGGCGATCGCATTCCTATGTCACCCCAATGTAAGATCATATTTGAACCTCATAATATTGATAATGCATCGCCAGCAACTGTCTCTAGGAATGGTATGGTTTATATGAGTTCATCTGGTTTGGATTGGAGACCAATTCTTCAAGGTTGGCTTAATAAACGACCTGAAAACGAGGCTGTAACCATCAAAACATTCTTTGATCAATCATTTCAAGAAATTCTCAATTTTGCCAATCAAAGTCTCGTTATGAAAATGACTGTACTTGAGTGTAATCACATTGCACAGGTAAATATTGATGACGTAATGATGACTTAAAGATGACGTAATAGTGACTTAAAGATGACGTAATGATGACTTAAAGATGACGTAATGATGACTTAAAGATGACGTAATAGTGACTTAAAGATGACGTAATAGTGACTTAAAGATGACGTACTAACGACTTAAGATGACGTAAAATGACGAAAGTTCTTTTATGATGTACAATTGTTAAATGTTGCTACGTGTGTAGTCTTGGATCAAAGAAATTATTAACCTTACATTAATATTTCCTCAGGCCTGTAACTTACTGCAAGGTTTGATTGCGAACAAAGACGAAAACAACGAAAGCGGTCCCATTAGTGCCAAGCATTTAGAAAGACTTTATGTTTTTACTATAATGTGGAGTGTTGGAGCTTTGCTTGAACTGGACGATCGATATAAGTTGGAGTTATTTTTGAGGGAAAATTTTGACTTGGATATTCCATCAACAGAATCCCAGCAAACCATGTTCGAGTTCTACGTTAATGATATAGGTGTGTCTATAGCATATACAGTATTTTTTGAAACTTTTCTTCGTTCTCATTTTTAATTGCATTGAATGACTTTAGGTGATTGGGAACATTGGGAGAAGCGTGTTGAAGAATATATATATCCTAAGACCCACACACCTGATTATTTATCAATATTAGTGCCCAATGTCGACAATGTTAGGACTGATTTTCTTATCAAAACTATTGCAAAACAAGGAAAGGTTTGTAACAAGGAGTTTGATAAAATGATAATACTTTGATATGTTTGAGTGTTTCAAACAGCAGATTTTATTGAATGTACGTTCAGGCTGCTTTATTGATTGGTGAACAAGGAACTGCAAAAACAATCATGATTAAAGGATTCATGTCAAAATACGACCCAGAAATTCATTTACAAAAATCGTTGAACTTTTCTTCAGCTTCCACACCACTTCTCTATCAGGTAAATAATTCCCATTGTTCATTGCGAGTAGAGTAGAGAATCACAGAGATTTATAAGGATTAAAGGGGATGTATGTGATTGTTTATGTAGAGAACGATAGAGAGTTATGTTGATAAACGAATGGGGAACACATTTGGTCCTCCTGCGGGAAAGAAGATGACCGTATTTATTGATGATGTTAATATGCCGATTATTAATGAATGGGGCGATCAGGTATTGGTGATCAAACCATACAACTTTCATTATTATTATTAGCGTTTGTTTTATTTATGTATTTTAATTTCACTTGAATGATTTTTTAAAGGTTACGAATGAGATTGTGCGCCAACTCATGGAGATGGAAGGATTTTATAATCTCGAAAAACCTGGAGATTTTACACATATTGTTGATATTCAATTTTTGGCCGCGATGATTCATCCTGGAGGCGGACGTAATGACATTCCAAGTCGTCTTAAACGACAGTTCAGTATATTTAACTGTACTTTACCAAGCAATACATCTATTGATAAAATATTTGGTGAGTTCTTTACACTACGCGTGCGCATTGTTTTTTTTGCTGAAATATACTTTCGACCGCCCACTCATGCTCCCATAAGCGTAAGACAAGTAAAACTTATTTAAATCACAGCAATACCACTAGTCGTTATCTTTGCGCAGTGGCAGGATCATAGCCAATGAGGTTCATCCGAGGCGTGATTATTGCTGATTGAAAACTTATACCAATACCCCGCTGGACGGCCTGAAATATGGCCGGCTATGCAATTTTTCTTGGTCCTTCATTGGACCGATATTATCCAATCATATTCAATATCTAATGGTTCTATTGATGTCATTAATACACAGGAGTGATAGCCTCCGGTCATTTCTGTAAGGAAAGAGGTTTTTCTGAAGTGGTTCGTGAACTGTCTAAAAGACTGGTACCTTTGACTCGAACACTATGGCAAATGACCAAGGTTTTGATACTTTTCCATTTATGTGTTTTGTCAGCTGTGCTACTAAACTTTCTTTTTACTTCAGGTTAAAATGTTGCCGACCCCAGCAAAGTTTCATTATATTTTTAATCTTCGTGATCTCTCTCGTATATGGCAGGGAATGTTGAACACCCTGTCTGATGTCATCACAGATGAGCGTTCTTTAATGTTGTTATGGAAACACGAGTGTCATCGTGTGATTGCCGATCGTTTTACGAATCAACAAGACAAGGATTGGTTTGAGAAAAGTATAATAAAAGTTGTAGGCGAAGAACTTGATGAGCAGTTTCAATGTCATGTTGAAGAGACGCCTTATTTTGTTGACTTTCTCAGGTATCAATTTTCGCTTTAGCAAAACCATAACATCACAAATAAACACAAATCTGTGATTGTATCTAGAGATGCGCCCGAGGCGACTGGTGACGAGCCTGAAGATGCAGATTTTGAAACACCAAAAGTTTATGAAACTGTATGATATTATATTGCTCTGTACTCTCATTCATTAGCCTGATGTAATGCGCATATTTTTTACTCTGCTTTTGTAGATTCCTTCATTTGAGCAGTTCGAGCAGCGCTTATTGATGTACTTAAGTTTATATAACGAGAGTATTCGAGGTGCTGGAATGGATTTGGTTTTCTTTACTGACGCTATGGTGAATTTAATAAAAGTAAGTGATTTTATTTCTTACGCAAGATGTTTATCTTCTCAATCTACATCATACCGCCAGGTGAACATAAATATTGTTGTACTCCTTTTCTTCAACTAAAGATATCTCGTATCATTGGTATGCCACGTGGTAATGCTCTGTTAGTGGGTGTTGGTGGTTCTGGAAAACAGAGTTTGACAAAATTAGCCTCATTCATTGCTGGATATAAAATATTTCAAATCACATTAACAAGGTTTGTATAAACTGGCTTCGACTATAAAAATCACGGTACACTGTTATGGAAAATTCCTGATTTTTAGGTCATACAATCAATCAAACCTGATGGAAGACTTGAAATTTTTGTACCGTACCGCTGGTCAGATGGGTCAAGGTATCACTTTCATTTTTACCGATCAAGAAATCAAGGAGGAAGCTTTCTTGGAGTATTTAAACAATGTTTTATCGTCAGGAGAGGTCAGTTGGGGGAATATCGACCTATACCTAATGTGTTTTTTTTCTGATTTCTCATCATTTCATGATAGATCTCGGGTGTTTGATGGCTTCCATTCACAAAGATATGTTTTTTTCTTCAGGTTTCTAACCTTTTTGCTCGTGATGAAATTGATGAAATATGTGGTGAACTAATTCCTGTAATGAAGAAAGAATATCCGAGGAGACCTCCGACCCCGGAGAATCTTTACAACTATTTTCTTACTCGTGCCAAACGTAATTTACATATCGCTCTGTGTTTCTCGCCTGTATGTAACAACTATCGTCATGCTTCTACTTTTGCTTTTATTTTCATTTTATATTTAATTCAAATTTTGTTGATCAAGGTTGGTGAAAAATTTCGTAATCGCTCTTTGAAATTTCCTGGTTTGATAAGTGGATGTACAATGGACTGGTTCAGCCGCTGGCCTAAGGACGCCCTGATTGCTGTCGCAGATCATTTTCTGTCAGAATTTGATATGGTTTGCACCACTGATATAAAGCGTGAAGTCGTTCAAAGTATGGGAGTTTTTCATGATGGTGTTGCTCTCAGTTGTCAAGGATACTTTGAAAGGTCTAGAAAACTTCAACTCGCCTTCAATGACCTGCTTAATCCATCAAAGATGTATCATATCAACATTTATCCTTACATTTCCTTTACAGATTTCGTCGTGCAACTCACGTGACTCCAAAATCATATCTATCGTTTATCAACGGCTACAAGACCGTGTACTCTTTAAAAAGAAGTGAGATTGGAGAACTTGGCTCTAGGATGAATACAGGGCTCGCTAAGTTGATGGAAGCAAGTGAATCTGTAGCTGAGTTGTCAAAACAACTTGCTGTAAAAGAAAAAGAGCTCGCTGTTGCTTCACAAAAAGCTGATACGGTGTTTATACGATGTTTTCTATTTATTTAATATTTCAAACTTTTCATTTTTATGTCGAACTTCATGTGAAATTTGTTTCTGCTGGTTGTTTATTCAAGTGAGATATTGTCATATTTTGTTTAAAAGCTCTTTATGGATTTTTTTTCGTGAATTTAATTAAGAAGAAGACGGAGAATGGAGATATTATCTTATACTTTCTTCTTGTGATGTCGTTTCAGGTTTTGAAAGAAGTTACCGTTTCCGCTCAAGCCGCTGAAAAAGTGAAGGCTCAAGTACAAAAAGTAAAAGATAAAGCTCAAGTTATTGTTGATGGAATTGCTGTAAGTATCATCGGTCTCTCGTTTTCATCGAGAATGTTCATAAGACTTTTGTTTCATCTCTTTTGATAAATGTTAATTATAAGATGTTGGTTATTAAAATTGTCAACAGGCAGACAAGTCTGTTGCTGAAGGAAAATTAGAGGCAGCAAAACCAGCGTTAGCTGAAGCTGAAGCAGCTTTACAGGTAATATATAATATCGTTTACATACTATGTCTTTTTAAATAAAATTAAAACGTTAACTCTTGTCACGAATGATGTGTTTTTATTTGTTAGACTATAAAATCTCAACACATTGCCACAGTCCGTCGCCTTGCCAACCCTCCTCATTTGATCATGCGCATTATGGACTGCGTACTGATCCTCTTTCGTAAAAGAGTGGAAACCGTCGTCTATGATCCTGAACGTAACTGCGCAAAACCTTCATGGGGCGAGTCTTTAAAGGTTTGAATCGAACATTCTGTGTTATATGACGTGAGCACGATGTAACTGACCAATCATTTTATGTTATTATACAGTTGATGAGCAGCGGTAATTTACTGCAGTCTCTTATGCAATATCCTAAAGATATCATTAATGATGAAATGGTTGAACTGCTCGCTCCATATCTTGAAATGCATGATTATAACATTGAAACAGCAAGGAAAGTAAGACGATTTTTTATATCATCATCTCACCATTTTACTTGGTTGGTTCAATATTTAAAAAATATCATGTCAGGTTTGTGGTGATGTTGCTGGCCTGTGTTCTTGGACCAAAGCCATGTCGTATTTCTTTGGAATAAATAAAGAAGTCTTACCACTCAAGGTTGATAATTAAACATTCTTCTCTTCCAGTTTTTTGTTATCAAGTTGTGTTATTCTTTATTTGTTGTTTTTTTTAGCAAATTCTAGAGTATGGTAGCTATAGACATGATATTGAGGTAGATAGAGTAAAGTTTAGCCATGAAGGATGAATGCTTCAGGTAGAAAATCATTTTACAAATATTGAACAAATGTTGAACTAAGCTTCATGGACTCATTCTAAATAATATAACCCCCCTCCCTCCCCTCCCCCCAGGCCAACTTAGCTGTACAAGAAGCTCGTCTTGCTGTCGCTATGAAAGATCTTAATGAAGCCCAAGCTGAACTTGATGCAAAACAGGCTGAGCTTGATGAAGTACAGGCTCAATATGAAAATGCTGTTCGAGAAAAACAGGTTTGTCTTGTTTGTTACTTTCTTGAATTTATTTTTATTTCATTGGATGACGGACATTCATTGGTAATTGTAGACATTACTGGACGATGCTGACTCGTGTCGACGTAAAATGTTGGCTGCTTCGGCTCTTATTGGAGGCCTGGGTGGTGAGAAAGAAAGGTGGACTCAACAGAGTAAAGAGTTTGATTCCCAGATTCTAAGGTTGGTTGAATACAATCAATAATTTTTTTTATGCATATTAAATCTTCATTTTATTGTTATGTTTATTATCTTTTGTTAGATTGGTAGGCGATGTTTTAGTTGCCACAGGATTTCTGTCGTATGCAGGTCCATTTAATCAAGAATATCGTGATGCTTTGTTGTCATCTTGGCAAAAAGAAATGAAAATCAGAAATATTCCCAATTCAAAAGATCTTAATGTTACGAGTATTCTAGTTGATAGTGCTACGGTATGTTGACTACATTATTTCTATTTTCGTAGTTGCCATGTGTTAATTATTCACTTTTTTTACATAGGTCAGTGTGTGGAATCTTCAAGGCTTACCGAATGACGAACTTTCTGTTCAAAATGGTATTATTGTAACCCAGGCCTCTCGCTACCCTCTACTCATCGATCCTCAAGGGCAGGGAAAAGCCTGGGTCAGAAAGAAAGAGCTGCAAAACAATCTTCAGGTGTGCACAATGCAAAGATTTTGATACTAAAAAATCCCTTTGGCGTCGTCCATGCCTTATGATACTTTTTCATCTCAACTGCATCAATTGTTATTTTCTAAGCTTCTATAAAATCACAATAACAGATAAAAATAATTTCTAACGTAAGCTTAAACGTCATGCTTATAACTTTCAATGATTTCTTGAAAGTGTTTTGTTGTCCATTCTGTTGATAACATCAACAATACAGTGTATACTCTTGAGTTTCTGCCTTTACTCGATGGCACGTGTATCAAGTTTGCTGTTTTTGCATTACCCTTCGATACATTTTTCTTTGCCATTTTGAAGTCCACGTCATGATGACGTCATTGACAGCAAGATGATTACGAAGTCGTATACTTACATATAAATGTAGTGGTTTGATCATCTTTATAATCACGAATCAATTGTTTGTTTGTTTCTCAGGTGACATCTTTGAATCATAAATATTTTCGAAATCATCTTGAAGATTGTTTGTCCCTTGGAAAACCTTTGCTTATTGAAGATGTTGGTGAAGAATTGGATCCGGCTTTAGATAATGTACTTGAGAAAAATTTTATCAAATCTGGAAGTACATACAAGGTAACATTATATGGCCATCAAGGATGTATGTTTTTTATATAAGATGTTATTAAATATTTCTTTTATTTAGGTAAAGGTTGGAGATAAAGAAATCGATATTATGGATGGTTTTACACTTTACATAACAACCAAAATGCCAAATCCTTCATACACTCCAGAGGTATGAGTTTAAAGGAAAACTTTATTCACTATCTTTGATATTGAATGAAGTATTGCATCTTTCGTTTTAGGTTAGCGCAAAGACAGCAATCATTGACTTCACTGTGACGATGAAAGGTTTAGAAGATCAATTATTGGGAAGAGTCATTCTTACGGAGAAAGCGGTAACCATAGTCTTTCGTTTTTACAGCTTTCATTTTAAGTTGTCAATGTTCAATTTTTGTCTTTAATCCAGGAACTGGAGTCCGAGAGGACGAAGTTATTGGAAGATGTTTCTATGAATAAACGAAAAATGAAAGAATTAGAAGATAATTTGTTGTTCAGATTAACTAGTACTAAGGTAAGAAAATTCACCGTCAAATGGAGATTCAAGCGAAGATACTTTTCGATGATTTTACATTTTTTTATTTAGGGATCGTTGGTTGACGACGAGTCTCTTATTGAAGTCCTTAGTACAACAAAGACAACAGCTGAAGATGTGAGCCAGAAGTTAGTGGTGGCAGCGGATACAGAGATTAAAATAAATAGTGCAAGAGAGGAATTCCGACCAGGTTAACCATGAATTATGCGTGCCATTATTTTATCATCGAGTTGTTATTTTTGTGGTTTTTTCTTTTTGTAGTCGCTACTCGTGGGAGTATTTTATATTTCTTGATTGTTGAAATGTCTATGGTAAATTGTATGTATCAAACATCATTGAAACAATTTCTTGGACTTTTTGATGTTGCTATGGCGAGGTAAACACTATGAATTAGACAATTGTCGTCATTTCACAAATGATTGAATACTTTTCATAAACTCTTTTTCTTTTGCATTCATGTTTTATTTTTTTGTTATTTAAACTGTTTGTTGGAAGAAAACATCAAATTTTAATCTTTATTATTTATTCCACAGATCCAGTTTTTCTCCTATCACGTCAAAACGTATATCCAACATCATCGATTATTTGACACATGGTGTATTTTTGTATTCTGTTCGTGGTCTCTACGAGAAAGACAAACTTCTTTTCACTTTACTTCTTGCACTCAAGATCGACATTCAAAACACAAGAATTCGTCACAATGAATTTCTTACGTTGATCAAAGGTTTGTTATAAAGTAAAACAACAACATTTTAAGAGAATAGCTTCATGTTTATTTACATGAATGTTGGTTTGTTCAATGCAATGTTCCTTTTCACTCAAGGTGGTGCTGCTCTCGATCTTAAAGCTGTTCAACCCAAGCCATGTAAATGGATTACGGACATGACGTGGTTGAATCTTGTCGAGTTGGAAAAATTACCACAGTTTGCTGACATTTTGAATCAGGTTGACGATCACGGTGTACCATACATAAGTCCAACTTTAGTTTATATTGAAAATATTTCAACTTTCAGTACAAATTAACTTATCTATAATTACTCAGGTATCACGCAATGAAAAATCTTGGAAATCTTGGTTTGATAAAGATGCACCTGAAGCTGCTGAAATACCTGATGGATATCATAATTCACTTGACACCTTCCGACGATTGCTTTTAATACGGTAACAGCCATGTTTGAGTGTAGTGTCTACTTAACTAGAATTGTAAATTATAGAAAACTTTTTGATGGCTGTTTTGTTTTCTAAAAAGTTGTTTTTTAAAAATCATCAATGATTTTTAAACTCACATGTAGCCCTCTTAGAGAACAGATCTTATCTATCTTATCTCATCTTTAGATCTTGGTGTCCTGACCGAACATTATCGCAGGCTCGTAAATATATTGCTGAGTCCCTGGGCTCGAGTTACGCCGAGGGCGTTATATTGGATCTCGAGAAAACCTGGGAGGAATCAGATGAACGCACGCCTTTAATATGTTTTCTTTCCATGGGATCTGATCCTACGAACTCCATCGAATCTTTGTCAAAACGACATAAATTGGGTAAACGACTTTTGAAAATACTGTTAAAGTGAAGCGATTGGAATATTCTGCAACAGTTCATTTTTTAATTGATTGCAGAATTTCGTGCAATATCAATGGGTCAAGGTCAAGAGGTTCATGCTCGAAGATTACTTAATCAATTCATGCAAACAGTAAGTTGAAATAAAATCTATTTCTTTCCTTAAAGCCTTTACTTGTAATTGATTCAACCCTATGATATTTTATTAGGGTGGATGGGCTGCCTTACAAAACTGTCATCTTGGTTTGAATTTTTTGGATGAGTTGATTGACATTGTTGTTGAGACCGAATATGTTCACCATGATTTCCGGTTGTGGATCACGACTGAAGTTCATCCCCAGTTTCCTATCGGACTTCTTCAGGTGATTACGTCTTTACACTTTACATCCAAAGAAAACGTTGCCGTGTTTCTTATCTTGTGAAAGATTGATTTGTGATTTTAAAATGTTTTTTTTTTCTATAGATGTCAATAAAGTTCACAAATGAACCTCCTCAAGGCCTTAAAGCTGGATTGAAAAGAACTTATAACGGTTAAAAATTCCTCGTTTTTCATAGACTTTTTTACACATTGAACATTATGTTTATTGTATGGTACAGGAATATCTCAAGATCAACTTGACGTATGTAGTTTACCACAATGGAAACCAATGCTTTATGCTGTTGCATTTCTTCATTCAACTGTTCAAGTAAGAGTAATGTATAATAAACTGGTGAACTTTTTTGTTTTGTTAACAATATTCTTTCTTCTAACTTGCATTCTTTACTTTCCTTCTTGAGGAACGTCGTAAATACGGACCACTTGGTTGGAATATTCCGTATGAGTTTAATCAAGCGGACTTCACATCTAGTGTTCAATTTGTTCAAAATCATCTTGACGACATGGATTTAAAAAAAGGTGTTTCATGGAACACAGTCAGATACATGTTAGGTGAAGTACAATACGGTGGAAGGGTTACCGATGATTTCGATAAAAGATTATTGAACACTTTTTGTAAGGTTGGTGAGAATGATGTTTGTATTGTTTGATGTGTAAAATAATTGTTCAATAAAGCATTTTCTCCATTTCTTTTTTAGGTATGGTTTACCGACGCCATGTTCACTCCTGCTTTTAATTTTTATAAGAAATATACAATCCCAAAATGCACATCGATCGCACATTATATTGATCATATTGATAGCTTAGCACTTGTAGATACACCAGAGGTGTTTGGTCTTCATCCAAATGCAGATATTACGTAAGTGTAGTTGATAAACTTACAACAAAAATTGTAGTATATTTATGTATTATTTTTTTCTATATTTTTCGTCAGTTATCAAAGCAACGTCGCAAAAAATTGCCTTGATACAATTTTGAGTATACAACCAAAAGATAGTTCGGGAGGAGCCGGTGAAACTCGGGAGTCCGTCGTAAACCGTTTGGCTGATGACATGTTAGATAAACTCCCTTCAGATTACATACCTCACGAGGTAAGTTGGGGATTTCACGCAACATGCGGGATTTGATGGGATAAGTAATGATATGTATAACATAAGAGATGATTCAACATAACGATTATTTTGTTTTAGGTAAAAAGTCGTCTTGAAAAAATGGGTTCATACGCGCCAATGAACATTTTTCTACGTCAAGAATTGGACAGAATGCAACGTGTCATTCGAGTAGTTAGAGATACACTTTGTGATTTAAAACTTGCCATAGATGGCACAATAATCATGAGTGAAGTATGGAGATACTTAAAAATACTTTGCAATAATTCTTTTCTTATAAGTTGATCTTTTTCGTAGATTTTGCGCGATACATTGGATTGCATGTACGACTCAAGGATTCCTAAACATTGGCAAAAGGTGATGGTTTTAAACACTAAAATATCATAAAGATAACTATTTTGTTGTAGGGAACATTAACATTAGACTTTTCATCTTTGTATTTTCCAGATCTCGTGGGACTCATCTACTCTTGGTTTTTGGTACACGGAACTCCTTGAAAGAAATGTTCAATTTCATAGTTGGATTTTTGACGGTCGCCCTAATGTCTTTTGGATGACAGGATTCTTTAATCCTCAGGGATTTTTGACAGCAATGAGACAGGTGTGTAAACTGTTTGTAAATGTTTTGCTTTCTCACAAAAACACTCTTATTTAAAATTGTTTGGTTTTAAGTTATCGTCTGTAAATTTTGGCCCATCCACTCTATTTTTGATGGTGGAGTAGTTCGATGTTTAATCTCGGTAATACGTAGGCAAGAGCGTCAATGACTAAACTTCATTGACTCGTTGTTATTGCAGGCGAGTTGCTCTGCTGAATTTGTTCTATTATGTGATCAGCAATGAATAATTATGTGATTCAAACAAATGCATTTGCGGTGATTTTTTATCTGAAACATTTCCTTCGACAGCTCATGCAATTGTCATAGAGGCAGTGTAATATTTTTTTCTATTAAACACCGAGGAAAGCTTATATTTTGATGAGTGATACTTTAAAAAAGGAGAGTTTTCTCCTCGTGAACACAGTATATGATTTTTTCCAAAATTTCTTGAAGGAAGTAACGCGGGCTCATAAAGGCTGGGCACTAGATTGTGTAGTCTTGCAAAATGACGTCACAAAGTTTTACAAAGACGACATAAGTCAACCTCCCATGGAAGGTGTGTATGTCTATGGTTTGTACCTGGACGGTGCAGGCTGGGATCGTAGAGGAGCTAAACTTATTGAGCCTGCAGCCAAGGTTTTGTTTGCACCACTTCCGGTAATCCTTATTTACGCCATCAATTCAACGGCCGGTCGAGATCCCCGGATGTATCAATGTCCCATTTATAAGAAACCACGTCGCACTGATCTTACATATATTGCGGATGTGGAACTGAGAACGAATCAGAATCCAGATCATTGGATTCTTCGTGGTGTTGCTTTACTTTGTGATATTAAGTAAAGATTTAATCATTAACTTTTTTTAAGAATCATGCTTCAACATGCATTGCGCAAAAGTACATACACTGCCGTAAAACAAGTGATTATTATTTACTGAATGTAAGTATTTTTTTAAAACAATTGTACAGGAATCATGGCCCTTACTGCACACTCACACTACCGAATGTAAATTTTCACAAAAATGAAATGTTTTCTTGTGCACAATTGATGGCACTAGCTGCACAAATATACTACCGCGTAAGAATGTCGATAAAATGGAGAGGTTTCTAATTTTTACATTGTCATTCTTTGCCTGCCTTGATATTTCAATTAATTTATGAGAATCATTTCATTTATAAAAGAATTGTGACTCCATGTTTACAGCACATTTTCTTATTTTCATCAATGTTCCATTGAAATTTTTCAAATGTAAATGAAACATTTTATGTTAATTTCTTGACCCAAACACCGACGCCGTAACGATAACAAAAATAAAGGAAAACAGGACAAGACTAAAGCGATCCAAGACCCGTGCAGCATGATGCCATTTTTGCTGTCGAGCTTCTCGTTTCTGTTTGGCGAGGACATCATCTGTCAACACAGAGAATTCGTCTCGTATTTTCTGGAGGAGTTTCTGATAGGCTAACTCATTCATGACGTCATCATTTGAAAACTTTTGAAGTTCGGTTAGAGAAATTTCTTTCGTGTTACCATTGACGTTTAATTTTGGTCGTGGTTTGCATGTGTACGGTTTTTTAGCTTGTGGTACGAACAATAATCTTGCAAGTTTTATATTAACAAATTTATCCATCCATGATGGCATTTCACCTTCGCTCTCACGAAGACGAATGATAAAACACGTGACGATAAGACACAACGCAATCTCCACGATGACACACAGAAAATAGGTCCCAATGATGGGCATTGCATCGGAGGTCTGGGGCAGAGTAGAGGATACAATCAACATATATACAGACATAGCCAGTAACACTGTGATGACTAAGGACACTCGTTCACCGTTACTGGAAGGTAAAACAAACGAAAGAAATGCTAATATTGAAATGACTGTACAAGGTAAGATGAGATTCAACGTGTAGTACAATGGTTGACGTTTGATGTGAAATGTTAACGTAACATCTGGGTAATTTCCACTTGTATATTCTTGTAAATTTCTTTGTATAGGGTAGCCAACAATATCCCATTCACCATTGGGTAAAAAGTTATCCACTGTTGCCTTTCCAGCCACAACGTCTAATTTTTCCGCAGCATAAGTCCATGATCCAAATTTAAGTTCACATTTCTAAATGAAGAAAGTTGGCATGAAAATACGCACGAGTTGCTCGTACGTAATCTTTACATTTGAGTTGTAAGTAAAGAAATCTAATTAATGAATCATTTGTAGGTAAAGAATCAGTTGTAGGTAAAGAATCATTAGTTGTATAAATAAAGAATCTTTGAAAAGAAAAATGTTTAGCAAAACAGCATGTGATTAAAGAATCATTAATTGTAGATAAGAATTATGAGTACCTGTTCATCAAAAGGAAATTGTCGTACGTTTATTTTACATTGAGATAGCAAAGTAGCAGGAGCATACCATTTACATGTACCATCATATGTTACTACAATTGGTGTGCTTAATCTTTTGTATAAAACATCAATTTCTTCTTCGAGACTTGCTCTAAATTATCGTTGAGTAATTTTGGTTAGAATCATTTTGTCCAAAAAGTTGTGTGGTTATTTTTATAATACAAAGTATTTAGTCCATCAATCTTGATAAACTGAGCGATCAAGGTTTCTTGTCAGAGGCGTAACTAGAACGTTAAGTGGTATATTCATATATTCCGTTGTGCCTTACTGATTTCTTTTGAAAGTGGTTTGAGTTTCCAAAGAAATCAGTAGGGCACAACTGAATATATGAATATACACCCCCAATTAACGTTCTAGTTACGCCTCTGTTTCTTGCAACAGGCTCTGTTTATTTAAGTTAAAATCTTCAACTTACTTGTTGTACATGCAAATATCAGGAGTCCATATTAAATCATTGCTAAGGTGAATTGCCTTCATGTTGTTGTATTTCGATGGATCCCATGCAAGATATTTATTTTTCCATTTAATACGCAACCACACGTTCAATCGTAAAGCTTGATTTACTTCGTCCTAAAACATGAATACATCAATTTCATTTCAGTCGTTTCATCATCATCGTAGGAACAAACTCTTTATTAAAATTCTTACCACTGTTGAAATTTGACGTATGCCAAGACCTATTGTAACTGTTACTGGTTTTGTGCTGTTTTCCATTGGTAGAATTTCTCGAGTAATTCCTGAGTCTGAATTTATCTTTGCTATTAATCTCTTCTGTGCTTCATAAAAATCGTTATCTACAACTGGAACTATATAAGTTTTATTTTTATTGTCATCTTCTTCAAGTGATAAAATTTTATTCTTTCCTCAAGTTTTTAGAGAAGAAAATCACAAGAACACGAAGTACAGGCGAAAACGTAAGTTTGTCAGTTTTTAAAGAATAAAATCTACTTTAGGACAACTGATGGAAAGACAAACGATTCCGTCATTTTAGCTATTATAGTCGATTATAGATATTATACCTTCATTATATAAATACTATAAACTAGAATGTTGACTCTAGCTTCAATACAGTTCACATAATTTAAATATTTCAAATAAAACGAGACTGCAAAAAAGCACGATGTTACACAAAGAAGAAACTGACGTTATAATATTTAAGAATGAAGACATCACATACCTTGGTTTGTGGCGTATACTTTCATCATAAGAAAGAAAACAAAAAACGCCGTCTTCATCATTCTCCGAAATTGTCTTCAACTTTCTCGACGGTCTACAGTCAACGACAACAAAAGAAAGTGTCACAAATGTTTCCTTACAAATAATGTATTGATTCTTCGTGATATATTACTCCGGCTATAAAGAAACCATTGTGATTTTATCTTTAGTCGTCGTCGCGTATTGCTTGAATTGTGTACGTTAAAAACGTTTACACAAAGCGTTTTGTAGTGAGATCACTGACGCCATATTACTTGTTCTTGCTATATATACGTTTTGGAAAATTTGTTGAAAATTTAAGTGAAGGAAACAAGCAAAACTAAACAGAATAGAAAAAGATTCACAGTTGTGTATATATATTAACTCACGGTAACACCGCGTATCCTTTAAGTAAGCGTCTTATATTTTGGCTGGTTAGAATTTGGTGCTATTAGTGAAAGGTGTCAACTTGACTTTTTACGTGTAAGAATTTATTTGACAACAAATAACGTATTAAATTACGATATTTACGTAAATGAACAACTTGTTTTCTACCAAGTGATTGAAGTGAACTTGTTTCGTGTTGATTTCTTCATTATTTATCTATCACACAAACAAAACAGCGTTCTTACAAAGATATATTTCACAAGTATCAGTTTCTTCTTCGGTATGTGGTAATAGTGGTGTACATGGCCTGCTGATCAGGGATCACATGAATAACACGTTGATAATGTCAGACTACGTGCTGATTTCGCTATCTATTTTCTCTTTATCTACGACAGGTACAAGGAATACTTTCCTGAGCGCATATTTTAAGAGAAGTATAAGGAAGGGAAGAAGATAAAAACGTAAGTTTCCAAACACATGCTCTGTTTATGTAATCAAACCATCTTTAACTTGTTTGTTCAAGATCTTTCGTCATGTTTTGGTTGACCATTCATAAATGATCAACATATTGAACTTGTATTAGAAATCACTACTAGGGAAAATATTTGACGCGTTATCGTTGTATGTAGATAATTGGTGAAAAAAATAGCCTTAGGTGGTCACACCAAGTCTAAATACGATCGGTATGATAAATTTTTTTCTTGTCACGTGACACAAAAATTTTTTCTTGTCACGTGACACAAAAAATTTTTTTCTTGTCGCGTGACACAAAAATTTTTTCTTGTCACGTGACACAACGTCGTCGATAAAATGATATGATTAACTATGTGTGATAGTTGGACGTCTTCATATATTTCACTGATTTCTTTGAAAGAAAGTTCAAATTGCTTAAATGCAGAAATATTTGAAGTCTCATAACTTTGTATTATTTACGTTTCATTAAATTGTGTTTATATAGGAACAATAAAAGCTCACTTCAAGCGGATCCTAAGTTTACGATGATTATAGTTTGGTCTGTCTGCTGGCAAATATTTGTCCAGTAAATTTACCTAGTTTTAAATGACAAAAATTGGCCTCCTTTTATGTAGAAATGTTTTTATAAAAAACCCAACAATATCGCAACTGCGGGTGTTGTGGATACCGTCAAAAGCTAGACGGTAAAATTGCGATTTTTTAACCTTTATTACATCCTGGTTTAAAATGTTTTGAGTTTGTTGTTCTTTATAGTCATAGAAACAAACACCGTCTTTGTTGCAGCTTTTCATTATATGTTATAATTTGTTGTAGGAATTTAAAAACTAATTATACAAAATATTAATATCAGCAAAAAAGTTCCTGTTCACAATTGTCCAATATATTTCAATTCCATTTCTGTCTACCCACTGTAATATTTTCATATAAGTCAACGATTTTCAACGTATGTATTATAGAGAATGCACATTTTTTGCCTCACCTTGTGTCTCTCAAAGTACATTAACACGTTTCGTGTTTAGTCGTTAGTAATATACTTAAATACTTAATGTGCAGAAGACAAAAGTTTGTTTGTGTAAAATAAAACTATTTCGTGGTGTAACCCTCGGTTTGACCGACGCCACTATCACTATCTTATGACGTTTGACTTTTATTCATTCCTCAAAATGATTATCGTTGATAATGTTGGGAAATTATACTTAAATAGGAATTTTGGTTACGTTGTTTCGTTAGTAATGATATGCTAACAATACAAAACATAATGTTAAAGTTTAACCTGAAGAAGTAGCTTTTGAGGAATATAAAGACTTGTCAACGACAAGATTCTTTTACCAAAACCTTGTAAAATATGTCGACTATGTAAAAATAATCATTCTCAATCTTTTAAACAAATACTGAAGTCGACAATTATCACGACATAAAATAGCATCTTCGTACACTGACTTTTTGAAATACCGTCTGTGTTATATATTGCATAAATTTCTACTATTTAATACATTGATTGTTGAAAATAAACCTTTTACCTTTTTCTTTTGAGAAAAACTGTTTATATCCAACGAAATAAGTCAATGTAAAGTGAAACTGAATCTCTCCCTCACGCTATACGATTCCAAAATTACCTTCGAATATTTTATATTGACTCTCTTTGCCTTTGTAAGCACTAAGCATATTAACATACCTTAGCGACAGGTGTGCTTGCATCTTATTACTTTATGAAACAGGAAATAGTTTTAAAGGAATATTGTTTTGAACAGATAATTACTTATGCAAGGAAATATACAGTACAGGTGATTTCAATTGTAAGTACGACAAAACTTGTGTAGTTGTAAACAGCTAGAAACGGCAGAAAGAGTAGAGTTTTTGTTTAAAGTCTTTCCGTCAATAGGATTTAGGAAATGTCCTAGAAAGGTCTTGATTAGTGTAGTGTTGAATGATCGCGTCTTCTTGACGGATTGATTTTTTTAATCATCTTCGTGGTAGGGGGACACTAAGCCATAAATAAATATTTATATATACGTTTAGGACAGCTATATTATGGTATGGCTTGAAATGTCTTCGACATTTGAAATCATTCACACTTTTTTATTTTAATGTATAATGAAAAACACAAGTTTTAATTTTAGTTTACTTCATGAAAGTTTATTCATGTGAGATTTTGTTGCGTGTTGAGAAATAGCCTCATGAATGGGAATGACGTTTTCACGTTATTTAATATATATGTAAATGTTAAAATGTTTTTATATAGCTTAGCAACAATATGGGAAATTAGTAAAACGAAAATTTAAAGCAAAGTTACCCTCCCCTCCCAGGAGTAAAACATCCTATATTTACAAATTATTCTACAAACTTGTAAAAGAAATCCACTTTGGTGGTATCATCATTCAACATAAACATTACTCTAATTTTTAGTTTAAAGACTTGTACAATTATATCTGTCAATAACTTGACTTATGTCCATCACAGATTGTTTTTATTTTGATCGTATTCTACACTAAATTTTTGAAGTTGCCCTCTCTTACGTTAAACATATTTTACCATCTTATTAAAGGTGATATGTATTTTGATAAATCCATCTTTAAGATCTGAAATTATATCTCCTACTGATATCTGCCTCCCCACTTGTCGTCACGTATCCAATATTTACTTAATATAGACTGTTTATTTTTTAAAATTGAATCTTATCTCTACAAGGTGTTTATCGATGTATTTTCAACATATTCTACCAATATCTGACTCTCCAGGCTTCTTTCAATCTTCAATATTGGTGACGTCATCAGACTCTTAAATGGTAATTGAAGTTGAATCATCTTATATGACGTAAAGGAAAAATGAGAAATTCAATAAGTCCGTGATGCACGTATTTTGAAATCACATTTATAATTTTCTTTGTTGACTTTGTTAACATCTTATTCCTAGCATTAAATACGTGTGACAACGATGAAACGACGTTTACATTTGCTGCTCATACAATACTATTTCGTAGCTGGCATTTTACATGGTTCAAAGATGGCAACAGGTTTGATAAAACATATAAATGTCTTTCGTGTTTTTGATATATAGATGGTCAGTGACCTTGTCCAAGCTGTGATCGAGCAATGTTTTAATGGATATTTTATTATATGTTGTCTAGGTATTTCATTATGACCTCGTTTGTCATAGTAATTGTGTTGAAATGTGAAGCGTTTACTAATATTTTACGTTTGTTATTCATTATAATGACGGCGGTATCGCTGAGAATGTTGTTTTGTCATTGTGCTTTGGTGTTGCACGAAAATGCAATGTCATAATCCACATTTATAATTTTAAATTATTCCATCGACCGTTGTTAACATTAGCAATGGCGACTATGCCCAACTTGTTTGTTTGTGTTGTGCCTTATACTGGATTTCGTCATGGTTTGTTCATTTGGTCGATGGTGTCGAAGAAATATTTTGTTTTATGTTAACATGATATGCCATAATGATAGTTGATATAAAACATGTTTAATGACAAGGATTTAGACATTTAGTACTAGACTATATACATTGCAATAATTATTCTAAAGTAAATGGCTTGTAGCAATAACTTATTCTCTTGGAAATTAAAATTTCACGAGATGATCGCCTTTAATAAAGAATTTCGATATACAATTTATTCTCTAATTTTACAAAGTTTTATTTTTTTATTTCAGTATACTTTAATAAGATTGTCAATTGTACAACGATAAAGTGCCTTATCATATACATAAGGATTTTACATTTTTTATTCTCAAAGCGACATTCGAAATTTTACGAACGCTATTGATGACGAATTTCGAAATGAAACAAACGTAGCATTTACTAGATGAAAACACAACATTTCTTTCGACAAACGTCACGTTTGAAACCTTTTCTGATCAATTGAACTCAAATGGTGATGTTATTTAATTGACGAATGCTTACATCTTTGGATTCGCCTGTGGTGACACAATATATGAACATAAATTATTGATATGTCGCTATACTTTTCATGTTGTTTTTATGTTTTAGAAGCAGCAAATAATTATTTCAACGAAAAACTTCGTTTAGTTCAAAAGCTTACGAACAACTCGGGAACAATTAAAGAAATTCTTCCAGCTCGTGATCTCAAGTCTTCTGTTAATGTTCAACTTAAAATAAGCTTACGACAAATCTCCAAAGTGGTGGGAACATCTGCTTTCTGTTTTTTTTGCTTGTCATTCTGCTGAAGATGATGGTTTTGATTTTATATTTTTGCAGGATGAAAAGAATCAGGCAATTCGTCTTACGGTTTGGTTAACTTTCTATTGGAATAATCCTTACTTGAAATGGGATCCTCACGAGTATAGTGGGATAGATAGTGTTCATGCTAATAACGAGTATTTTTGGCTTCCCGATGTTGCCTTGTATAATGAGTAATTTTTATTCTTTATTTTCTGTCAATTTGTCTGTTTTTGTTTATTTCATACCTACTTGCATGTACGTATTTGCAACTTTTATTCTTTATTGTAGAGCAAGTTTGGAGGAAGAAATTGATGTTCTTTTCAAACGTTTAAGTACTAAAATCATCATAAAAAATAATGGTGATTGTACATGGATGGCTCCAGCTACGTTGTTAAGTCAATGTAAGATAAATGTTGCACATTTTCCTTTCGATGAACAAAATTGTGCTGTTATTATTGGTTCGTGGACATACTCTGAAAGCAAGTTAAACATCTCTTACTATAAAGAAGACGTCGAATTAGATAATTTCATCCCTAATGGTGCTTGGGAAGTGAAAAAAGCAGTTTTGAAGAATTTGAGAAATACCTATGAAAACGGCGTTGTATATCCTGAAGTGGTATTTGATCTAAGAATCCAACGACTGTCGTTATATTATGGTTTGAACATCATTATTCCATGTGCTTTAATTTCCATGTTGGCTTTGTTAAGTTTCATTTTACCTTCAAATCACGGGGAAAGGATGTCTTTAGTCATTACCATTCTCCTTGCGTTATCCGTGTACATGCTTATTGTATCATCTTCGCTACCAGAAACATCTGACGCTGTTCCAGTTCTTGGTTCATATTGCTTTGGCGTTCTTATGACTGTTGCTTCGTGCCTTATTGCTACTTCTTTGACTTTAAAGTTTCATAATCACATAAATCCAATGCCTAGATGGTTAGATGTTCTTATTCAAAAACTTGCCAAGTATATGTTAGTAAGAGTTGAGAAAGATGACAAAGGTGGAGAGATTACCATTGATCATAAAAGCTCCATTTCATTCCATAATCCAGAATTCCACAATCCCTCGGATGAGAGTGTTGTTCCTAATGACGAAACAAACTTAGATTCTGTCTCGCCATTAATGAATATCAGTGAAAAATCAAAAACGATGGAAGAATCGCTGTTAGAAGAAGTTAAACAACTTACGCGTGAATTGCATTTGAGAAAAGAACACGAATCAAATGCTAAGAAATGGAAAGTTGCTGCAAAAGTGATGGACAGATTTTCGTTAGTTGTATTTTCTGTCGTATATAGCTGTTTGATCATCTATCTTTTGTCATTCATGTAACCTAGAGTGTTTATTTAAAGATTTTTATTTTATTCGTACGTGAAAAGCCGTCACGTTAAAATCAGGTAGTTTAAAAAAAAACAAAACTAAATCATTTGAATAAAAAAACCAAATTGATAACTTTACAGCACAGCGCTTGTTTTTTTTATGAAAAAATACTTTAATGCTAAATGGGATTCGAGAAAACCGTTCAGAAATTTTTATATGAACGCATTGAACATTGCCGAAATAGACTGATAATTGAATATTTAATTATACATATGTAGTTTTATAAATAGCATTCAATATAAAGCTTGTTGAAAATGAAATAAAATCTTAATATATATAGTATATATTATTAATGTAATGAAACATTTGGTCGCTGGAACCATTTTAAAAATTAAAGTGTATCATATTTTCATATTTTCATAGACGTTAGGTCTAACTTGATAACAAAGAAAACAAAATACGTGTCTTGTCTATGCCTTATGAAATGTTCCCCACTTTTATAATAAGAAAAAAAACATTTAACTACATCCGTTGCATCTGTTAAGTGTCAACCTGTTGGATACTTTCCGAAAGGTTTATTGATAACACATAACCATGGCAACCATGTATAATGTCTCTAAAAAGCCAGTAATAGAAGGTTTCCATACCCGTCCACATCAACGGGTGGTAAATTACGATATATATATATATATATATATGTACGATATTTTGCAATCAAAAGTTATTACATGCTTGAAAGTACTTAAATTTTGATTTTGTATTTTTCATGTCAAATTTATTGACAATATCTTAGATGGAAATATCGTCAAGTTTCTATTTCGGCATCCCAACGAAGTGTCGGCTTTTTATCTTATTGTTGTCTTGTTTCTTCATTTTTCTACAATTCTCTTTAGAAGTCAGAGGTAAGAAGTAAAATCGTGTAAAAAGATAAAAAAATGCCAAGAAGTTAACTTTTTTTCCTTTTGACCATCTTAAAACGTCTAAACGACTTCTGTGGGTAGCGTCATAAGCAGAACAAAGTATTTTCCTAAAGTAATTGCTGCTAAAAATATTTCCGTATGCATGCATACATTTCATTTTACTGTAAATTTATAAAATTTCCTTATCTCTGTAAATCTCTGTAAGTCGATGTAAAATCATTTTTCTTGATGTTGCTGAATTCTAAACATTTTGTGTAAAATCTTATCTCGTCAGCACCTGTAAATGCAGATGTTTTCATTAAAATAAAAGTTGTAGATACTTAACAATGCTTATTTTTTAAATTTTATCATCACACAAAATGTTCGCGATCCATGGCTATCCTATCATTGTCCAAAATTGTAATTCTCATCTTACCATGTGTTTTCGTGGGTGATGCAGGTGATTGTTGCCAAGTTTAACGTAACTATACGCGATATTGTATCCGCATGAGAGAATTTTCTGTGTGAGAAACTTAAATCCAAAGGCACTTATCATATAACCATAACCATATGGAAAATGATTTGTAATTGCAGAAAAATTATCGAAAAATGCTTTGCAAATCTTGTATGATCATTGTGTTCACAAAACATTTCCTTTCTCCAGGCTCAAAAGATACGAAAGACTACGAATTTCTTCTTCGTAAAAATCTTTTCAAAAATTATTCGTCGAAGAGTCTTCCATCGTTGAATAAAACAACACCAGTTAGAGTAAAAGTCGGTACAACCTTACGACAAATACTTGATGTGGTAAGAATAACCTAGACATTTCACTTTCAATAAATCTCATTGTGAAAATAAAACAGTTTTTTTTAAAGGATGAAAAACATCAAGTGATGGTTACAAGTATTTGGTTTCGTCTGTATTGGAAAGATGAGACTTTGTCATGGAATCCTTTACATTATAAAAATGTTAAAGAATTACATATAGATGATAAAGATATTTGGGTGCCAGATATCAGTATCTATAACACGTATGTCTCCTCTCTTCTTTTTATTTTGATCATTTAATTTTAACTACGTATTGCATTCATTTAAGTGGAAATATACTTTTCTACTACAGCGCTTCAGATGAAGATATTCTTTACAAAAGATTGGATACAGATATTGTATTAAAACAAAATGGAGAGGCATCGTGGTTGGCTCCTGTTCTAGCAAAAACTGAATGTAAAATCGATGTAAAATATTTTCCATTTGATGATCAGATGTGTCGAATAACGTTTGGGTCGTGGATCAATCACGGTTTACAAGTTGACGTGAGCAACTCAACTGCGCATGCGGATATTGATAATTACGTAGAAAACACAGAATGGGATCTTCTCAGTGCATATTTTACACGTTTGGAAAAAGTGTATTCTTGTTGTAGTGAACCTTATCCTAGTGTGACCCTCAATATCCACATAAGACGCCGTGCATTGTTTTATCTTTTTAATCTTGTTATCCCATGTGCTGTAATAGCTATTCTTGCAGCTTTAGCATTCTGTTTACCATCAAACAATGGTGAACGTATATCTTTAGTTGTTACTGTCCTTCTCTCATTAACGGTCTACATGTTGATAGTATCGGAGAATATGCCTCCTACCTCGGAAGTTGTCCCCCTTATTGGAAAGTTTTACATTTCTACAATGGTACTTATTGCTCTGACGCTTGCTGCTGTCTGCGTTACATTAAACTGTTATGAACGAGAGAAAAGAATGTCGAGTTGGCTGAAAAAATTACTCATTGACATTCTTGCGAAAGTTTTATGTTTTGAGCAAAAAATTGTAAAGAAGATAAATCCTGCAGGATTTTACGTGAATCATTCATTTAATGTATGTAATATGACCCTGGAAAAGACTTCGACTGCAGATGATGGCAAAAAGAATAACAATATGCTTGGTACATCATCAGATGATAGTAATGAACACACTAAAGTCATTGAGATAAACTCTTTGAAAAGTGGCGCAAAACGTTTTGAAGACGTTGTCTTACAGCAAAAGATAATAACAAAACACGAAAACAACGAAATAAAGGGACAATGGAAGATGGCCTGTAAAGTTTTAGATCGTTTGTTCTTTTTGGTTTTTCTTGCTTCTTTTTTTGCAATGACTATAGTTGTATTTTTAGAGGCTCCTACAGTCCTATTAACCTAACTTTGGAATTTTAAGAGTAATAAGTAATATAGATGTCATATTAAAATAACATTGAAATACATTGTTAATAATCTATGAAAATGTATGATAGTATTAACATTGTATACTTGATGTAACAATTCAAGTACCTCTAAACACATCAACATATCAATGGTATCAAACATAAAGTTCAAGAAAGTTATAAATATATCATGGCTATCTTATGAACGATTATTGAACATATACAGTTTCATTTAGCAGTTATTTTGCCCACGTAATATAGCTTAAATTTGCAGTTGTAAATAACCCCTAACTCTTCACTCTCGATGCTACACACTCAGAACTATTGTTTTACTATCAAAATCACAAACAACGTCGTATTTTTGGCAACATTAAATGTCACCTCCCTGTCTGTGTCCATTTCACATTGCGAACTCCACAACAGATGTTTCCTTTTTTTTCTCTATCTTTAGATAAACTGATTAATTCATGCTGCAAATGATGGCTTCCTGAATATGACGATAGAAAAAGTGTCAATAAGTCCTTGTGGTCTACTGGTCTCGGCTTAAATTTCATACAAATCCTCGAACATCTGGTCTTTATGAAACAAAATATTCATAATACAACAAGTGAGTTTTCATCTTAAAGTTTAATCATATTTTATTAAAGGCTTTTATGTGCAGTTAAAATATTTGCATCGTCTGATCCAAGGAAAAACACCGCTCATTCTAATACAAGTTTCTTAAACCAACATTTATATGGGCGCTGCGAGTTGAACAACGTCACGCTAAAACATTTACGCGAAAAATATTGATTTGCCTATGCTTTTCGTATACGTTCAATGCAGTCCTTATTTCATTTATTTACTTGAAATTTTTTTCGTACTACAACCACAAGAGATCATATTTCTTGTCGAAATTTCGTTACATACATCTGACGTAGGTATTGCACGTAGCACTTTATACTCAAATAATTATTACATCTGTCACAGCACGTAGAGAGTATATTCTAGTTGTTTTTCTCGGTTACAACTTGATATGTCCATATTGCATAATTATTTGAAGAGCGAATCAAATTGGAGGTCCTTGAACTGTGACGTCATGACGGTTTATGTCAAAGCAATGCAAAGTGCAAGCATTGGAAGATCGACCAGCAGAAGTAAGGTGACAATTACAGCTGGAATAGGTCGTTGCTGATTCTGGCGAGAACGAACAAAGAATTTGTATAAACTGCAACAGGAAAATGTGTAAGTTACGTATGTTGAATGATATACCAATTACAATGCAAGAGCGAGAGTTTGGTGAAATTTATTCGTGTCATCAAGCGGGCTTTCACTCGCTCTTATTTATGAAAGCAGCAACAGAAGCTGAGGTCATGTCAATGTATATTAATGGCGCTGAACCTTATCGTAAAAAGAAAGCAATTACGAAGATATTTCGTCGAAGTACATACAGTCCAGGTCTAGAAGACATCGAGGAAGAAAATATTGAAATGTTTGATAGTAATAGAATTGAGACTTCCCTTGATTTATCTTTGACTTGTATTCATTTGGAACGTGCTATAAGTGCTGGTGTAATGGCACAAGAATCGCGTAGAAGACGACGAAAGTCTGCAATGAGTTCATCAAAGGTACACGAAAACAAGGAAAGAAGAAGAAGATAACGTTATATTGGTGAAGATATTAGCTAAGGTGGAATATAACATTTGAAAATGTATATTTTTATAGTGGATACTGCTTTCCTGGTGCAGATAGCTTCATGAAATTAAGTTTCATCGCTATCATATGATAAACCTTTCCACACAGTTGGAAGTTAAAAAGAGCATCCGCTAGCGTGACTTATTGTCACCTATGATGATCACTATGTACTATCATTCCTACGCATCAATGTTCACCTGATGAGTTACTGCAAATGGTCTGGGAACTTTATTATGGTCAAAGTTGATAACTTATATCTGCAACTTTGATATATATTGTAAAATATGTAAATGTATAAATATCTTTGCTGTTCAATTGTTCATATATATCATATGGTTAATATCATTGTGTCTATATTTAAAGTACAAGTGATGTGTTTTGACAAATTATTTGTTCTCTTCAGGGGATAAAATATTTATTGAGCAATGCGTGACTGCTTGAGATTACGCATTTGTGAATAAAGACGACCGTTAGTGACGTTAAAAATCGTTGTACAAGTTTTATATAGAATTCTTTTCACATTATAACATTTTGTTTGCTCTTCGTACATCTGTCAAAGAATTCTGAATTACAGTCAACGTCGAAATACGAATCAAAATATTCCACACCTTCATTATCCATCTGTGCAATTGATTACCTTTTTGACATACCATATTCTGCAACAAACATCTAACTTATAAAATGGTAGCTGTTATAACAATCGGATGTCGAATCTTCAAAGAAAATAAAAATTCAGTTTGAAATTTCTATGTAACGGACATTCGACCGAATTATAAATATCTTGTATATTTTGTCGTTTCTAACATCGAGGCTAACATTTAACTGTCTGACCAATACAGAATTGCATAAAAACCATTGCATAAAAATGTACATGGATTTTTCATCAGCAATTTACTACTTTCTTTAGTCAATGATTTGATTTGCTAAAGGTTGCACAAATGTGTTTTCTATGAACGTCTTCTTATCGTTAATTGCCATGTTTTCGTTGAGAGATTTCTGCATAATAACCGGTCGACATGAGGTCTCTTTGTACTCAGTTGGTGAATGACTTTATTTGGTAATGACCAAACTACAATAACAAACGAAATTACTCTATCCTGAATGGAACTTTCAATTTTGCTTGCGAAGCAATGTTACGTAAACATCACCAAATGAGGTGTAGAACAGCTGGAAAATTTTCAATAAATCTGCGAGTGTACAATCACAGCAAAATGCACATTTGAAAATTGTACTTTATAAGACTTAAAACGAAGTTCAGAAACAATGAAAATTGTGAAATGAAGAAGTTCTTATTTTTTTAATATTGTGTAGATCAATTGCTTTTTAATATTGGTTCATCAGATATGTATATTTAAAGCAACCTTTACGCAACATATTCGTAGTTTAACATTAGATATATTCAAGTGTAAATACACTGCAAAATTTATTTTTGCTTTGCAAATTTGTTGTGGGTTGATCTTAGTTCGTAGTACGCCTTGTTTCGTTTTGTTTTTTTTTTTATGTTGTTTAACTTGGCATTCAATAACTCCCCAGCAAATATTCATATTCCACATGATAACGACTACAGGAAATTACTTATAAATACAGCGACTAGAACAAAAACAAATCTTGCTGACAAACAACGAAAAAAATCCGATTATACTTTTCAAACAGTTTTCATTGAAAGTGTTTTATTAAACTAGTTCACTCTCCGAACACATGCATCATAACATTTTCATTTTTCTTTCTCATTTCCTAGCTCATGCACTCTGTCTGATCGAATATTTTCGTATAGAAGGTAAAAAGTCAAAATTTTCTAGTCGACTTTATGCTTGTCGCAAGATAACCGTCGACTTTATGCTTGTCGCAAGATATTTTCGTATAGAAGGTAAAAAGTCAAAATTTTCTAGTCGACTTTATGCTTGTCGCAAGATTTTCATTGACGTGGTTTTTATTTGAGGTGAATTTTGATCATCGGCATTGTAATAAAGGCGTCATATGTCTGCTTGATTATCGTGTAAAGCAGGAAATGAGGCTCGAAGAATTCAATGCAGTCATTTGTTGTAAGTGTACTTGTGTCACTTGTGTTTTGTTGATACTTGAGACACGAATTTTTATTGTAAAACAGGTGTAAAATTACTTGGTAAAATTATCATACTTGGTAAAACAAATTATTTAAACGTTCACCTCAATTGCAGTATGGAAGTCATAGGTTGATCAAATCACAAGTATCGTTTTATTAACAGTATGTAAAAACTATGGCAAAGTTTTGAGAAACATTTGAGAAACATACAGCATTCATTGTGATAGGGCATTATACTATACTGACCCTTTCAAAGAAATTCTTTTTCATCATTTAAATATCTTTAGGGTATACAACAGGGGGCTGTGGATGTTTGTGGTACGTCGTAGTAAATTAAATATTTTTTTCCATGCATTTGGTTAAAAAATGAATAACTGTACTTATCTATAGCCTTATAGGATACAATGATTTGATAAACAGCTGACTGGATTTTTAAGTACAGTTATATCTAAGTTGAAAGAAATGGTGAAATAGAAGATTTTTCTGGTTTATGAATTGTAATTTTGTTTTTTCTTTGTGCTTGGCATAAACCCATGTCTACTGATATGCTTTGAAAAAAACACAGTGGGTACTTCAATAATAAATCGATCTTTTTGTATTGAACGTGATGTAAGTAAACATTTGAACGAAAACGGATATCATTTGTCATCACTCAGTTGGAGCATTGACGTCATAAGATAAATATATTTATATCTTGATATAGAAAAAGCAGAAAAACAAGTAGATCATGTGACTTCGCGAGGAAAATAAATTTCTCCGTATTTTAATATCTCATCTGTTTGTTTCATCTAAAATACGTTGAACAGGTCAACAGACGGAAAATTTTACATTTGAAATCAAAACAAATTTAATATTTGTTGTTCCTTTTCATCAATTGACTAATCTTTATCTCTGCGTAATTTCCATATTTATGTTTCATTTTTCTTTGCCACAGTCTGTAATCATTATATCAATAACTGCTCTCACTACTGACTTTTAAATCTTTCATTCCAACCTTACTGATGTGCTTGTACACAACACACTTTTCTCCACCCCATCTATCCCTACTTGTACACAACACACTTTTCTCCGCCCCATCTATCCCTACTTGTACACGCTCCTTCATTTCTTTCGCACATTCTCGATCCATTCCTGTTGATCTCATCTATAGTGTATAATCTCTTCCTTCTTTATCTGTACTTTCTGTAACCTCAATGTCCCTCTTGCATCTCTGTCGTTAATTTATGTCTTCTTTCGTGTAATTTTCTAGCTTGTCTCTACCTCTCTTTAGTAGCTAATAACTGCTTCTTATATTTATTACATAATACTACAAACCATAGTATCATCTGCAAACAAATATTTTTTAATGACGGTAAATATGTCGAAGAAAACTAATTATTCCATTGCAATAAGCTATGATGCCATCTTTCTAATTAAGCTAATTTTACTTTACTTATGTAAATATATTTTTCTTCCTTCCAAGAGTTGGTCTTATAAATGGCTTTTGTGTGCTGCTTGATAACAATATTGTCTCGATCGTCGTGTCTGTCTCTAAAGCAACAAAATAAGGTAGGCGTTTTTTTAACTTCTTTTAATCACATTCCGTTTAATTACGTGTGTTTAATCATAAAAAATTTAAATACAGACGTACTTGAAGGAAGAGTGACTATGTCCGCTAAAAGGTAAACATGGAAACATATTTAATAACGATCTCAAAATAATGGATTCTTTTAATGAAATGTTAAAATGAATTTGAGTTGACTAAACATGCTCATACTACATTTGTTACCCGTTTACAATCTACGCAATTAAAGTTTCAGACTTACAAATGGCTTTATATACTGCAAAATACGGCTCAGTTCCAAGTTGAATACAACCATTCGGGTCACATGACTGAGAACACGTACTCTGGGACCTCAGATTTTTTAACTCGTCCAAAACAGAAAATATGTTTCGTTTTGAAGTCGATATGTTCTTTAAAACGAAACATGCAACCTTCTTATCAGTTTCTCTTTGCATTGCAAAATACTCATAACCCATTTCTTGAATTTTAAAACCACATCTAAAATCATAACATGAAATTTTTGGAACTAATAACGATGACATTTTGTCTGTATATCTTCACGTTTTATGATTCATACCTACATGTTATCCTTTCATATTCAACATCAACTAATTCTTGTGTAAAAACTAAACTTTTCATTTTCACATCTTTCGTACAGTGTTTGTATTCAACATGTATAGTACATTGGTCTCCTAAGAAAGATAAATTTTAGATTATCGTCCGTTACGAATTTACATATATATATAACAATGAATAATATATTAATGTCATACCTAAGCCTTGATGTAAAATACCCAATAAAACTGCTGTCAAAATTAAAGCTGCTCCTTTTTCTTTTATGACGAGGAAGATCATTGTTTGGAATCTTTTTCTCTGGAAAGATATATTTTACGAGTAACATTACCATGACAATCTTTTTCAATTCTTTAAAATATGTCTAAGACGAGCTTTAAAATTTGTCTAAAATGTTTCAAGTGAAAATCAAGTAAAAATTTTAACTGAAAAGATTTATCGTAAATAACGACTGTCAGGCAGTTCTTAAAGTCAACATTTCGCCTTTCTGTAAAATCTATTCTATAATTTGTGTTTTGTATTTTATTTCTCTTAACATCAAGCTACTTACAGGATGAAGCGACCAGTTCGGTTTGGACAGACTTGTTCGGTTCACCTCAGACAATCAAATGAAATCTAATTTTAATGTCGAATTTTCTCTTCCCCGCTATTGCAGAACGATGGAGTGTTTACATTTTGTTTTATCTAATAATTATAACTTAAATCATATTACAACTGATTCATCTTTATAATTCATTAATGATATTAAAATTTTATCAGTACGATCTATCAAATTGATATAGCAACGAATGTCGTTTTCATTCGATGCTTTTATGCTTTTTTTACTTGTGTTAAGTATTGTTTGAACAAAACTTATTTTTTGCTTTTTCAAAGGAAGTATGAAATTTAATCATTTCACTTAACTTTGTCGTACAAAAAATTGTTTTTCACTTATAATTACGTTCACTCGGCTACTTTTTGGATAAAACTCATTCATAGTAAAAATTGAAATTTTCAAAGAGTTGCAGAATTAAATTCAAGAGTGGTTAAAAATGCCATATGTAAATACGTGAGAGAGTTTTCAACATAGTTAAAGCATTAATTTTCTTTTTACTGCTTCTAGATTTGAGAATTACAGACATGATGCAAGGCCACAAGTATTGTTTTCAAATATTGTTTACTGGAGTATGGAGGATTCGTCATGACGTTATTTAATGAAGTAATTCTTTCACTTTTTGTTCGTGAACATCATTTTTTTTGCTTCGCCATGACATTATACATAATGTGATTTCATTGGTTTAGAACGAGAATACCTTGTCGTGATTGGCTGATGGTGATGTAATGTTTGGATAAAGCATTGTTTGTGCCATGTGTGCTGGTCTCGGTGTTTTGAATAAACGAAAGTTGTATGTTAATGATGAATTATTTGTTAATTTAAAAGTGAAACTGCGTTATAATTCTTGGAAACGATGTTATCCAGTATTATTTGTTGGAGTGTTAGCTCTATGCAAGACCTTGGTTTCAAGTGCCTCAACAAAAGGTAAATGTTTGCTACCTTGAATGATTTAAATGCTGTATTCGGTGACGTTCTTATGAACATAGATTTAAGAACGAACATATAATATTGAAAACGACCTCTGGCAAAAACTAGAAATATCCATACGCAACAACAATCACGGCGCGTTGAATTTATAGAGGATAGTATTTGTGATTGTGACAAGAAATTCGTCGATTTGTTGGGCAACAAATGGCTCATGTTGAGGTAAAAATGACTATATTCTATCAGTTTCAGTTGACACAGTTACAATATTTTCTCTTGTTAATAGTTATTTGAAAGAGTTACCGCAAGAATTTCCTTAGAAATAGGTAAACAATACTTGGCAGACATAAAGGAAGCATGCAAGAAGACTGGGGCAGACTTTCATGAAGCAGCCAATGAAATATTGATTTCAGGAAACTGGAAACAAGTTGAGGAGGCTAGAGGCATTATCACCATGGTGATAAGTCACCAACTAAAGTATCAGAGTCACCAACACGATAATAGTAAACATGGTTACCTGTCTTTTGACACAAAGCCATATGTTTTGAAATATATTGAAACTTTTCAATCAAATTATTTGAGAGACATTGAAAATGAGTTTAAAGTGAAAATACAATGGAACGAACACTACAGTAATGTTCGCATGATACATCGCCCTGATTCACCCTCCACATTTATATCTGAAGGTTTTGAAAAGTTGAAGCAAATCTATCAGTATTTTTCTATTGAACTTATCAACATGGACATCAAAGTAAATGAAATGTTTAAAGATATATGGAATAGTGTGTTGTTATCTTTACCTCATGATGATCAAGGCAATGGCATTATTTATGAGTGGTTTCCTGATGAATCTGTATTGAGGTTCTTGGGAACACGTGATCTCCTGGAGAAGCTAAATATAATTATCAAAGAAAAACTAAACATCAATAAAGCCATACATCAAGAAAATGTTCAATCTATTTCACCCCATGCTCCTCCAAAAGATGTTTTATCTCATGAGACAGTTAATGGTCTTAAAGTGGTTGTTTGTCATGGTGATATTACTAAAGAAAATACTGACATCATTGTAAATGCTTGTAACAAACACCTAGACCATGCTGGTGGTGTAAGTTATGCTATTGCACAAGCAGGTGGTCGTGTAGTTAAACAGGAGTCAGATGATTTTGTCAAAAGACATGGATATGTTAAAGTAGGTGAAGTTGCAACTACATCTTCTGGTTATCTTAGCTGTAAAAATATCATACATGCTGTTGGTCCACAATGGAAAGTTGATGGCCCAGAAGAAACAAAGAAAATCTTCCATAAACTCTTTCAAAATGTTTATAAAGCTGCTTTAAAAGTAAATGCAAAATCCATGGCAATGCCCGCCATTAGTTCCGGTATCTATGGTGTCCCCAAAAACGTTTGTGCTAAAGCAACGTTTGCATTTTTGACTGAACTTGATAACCATCTTGCTTTGGACGGTAAATCTTCTTTTGAGGTTCGTTTAGTCAATATTGATGTTGAAACTGTAAACGCGTTCACTTCGGCGATGAACAAATGGAAAATGGAAATATCATCAAACGGGAAAAAAATTCAAAGAAGACATAGTTTAGATTCTTTGAAAAAGAAAGTAAATAAAACATCAAATGATTCGGGATCGTATGACGATACAACAAAAATGCCAACAATCAAAAGTTCTCTTTCTGTCTTTGACAATTCTTCAAAATTGAAAACTAAACCTGACACACATCGAAGTTCGTCTTTGGAAAAGTCGAAGAAATCTAATTTTAACGAGTATAGATCATCCTCCTCAGCATCGTCATCGTCAGGCAAACGACATGAAAACACCAAAACTACCTACATCTCTAATGATGTCCATGATACATCCTCTGATAAACATCTAAAGACCTTTGGAAATGTTCAACAGATGAACCATCGTTGTTCAACTCACGAAAAAGATCTCGGCAGAATGAGCAGTTTAACAATAAACGATCGTGGAAGTGTTGTTTCATCAAGTAAGCCTTAATGCTTCCATTTATAATAATATGTATGGTGAAATACTAGCAGATCTATTTACATCCATAATCTTCAACAACAAAGAATTATATAACTTATTTTAGATGATAAAGAGCAATGTACAATATGTCATTCACCATATGAAAACAAGTTGACTTTGAAAAAATGTGGTCATACATTTTGCAAAGATTGTATCGAGAAAGCTTTTACATATCAAAAGAAATGTCCAATATGTAATATGGCTTATGGAGTGACCGAAGGTGATCAACCTCCAGGTACAATGGAGGTTAGAAGCCATTCGTGGAGTTTGCCTGGATACGATGGTGACGGATGTTACGTCATCGATTACATCATACCCGATGGAACACAAAGCAGCAATCACCCGAACCCAGGAAAACGATTTTCTGGTACAAAACGTCGGGCATACTTACCTGCAAGTAAAGAGGGTGATAAGGTGTTGAGAATGTTGAAAAAAGCATTTGATATGAAATTAGTGTTTACAATTGGTCGATCAAATACCACTGGTCAAGATGATTGTGTTACATGGAATGATATTCACCACAAAACTAGTATCAAGGGGGGACCTACAAGGTAAAGAAGTGTAATGTAGGAAATTTCACAAAGTTCTACGTTTGTAAGACTGACCCTAATTTTATTATAGCGTTTTTTTCATTATTTTTACTTTTCAATTAAAATTTATTTCAACTATTTCATTTTTCTTTCAACTCTAGTTTTGGCTATCCTGATCCGACATATTTAAATAGAGTGACAGATGAGTTGATGGCAAAAGGAATCACGCTTGAGTAAGATTTATTTAAAAATCGTTGTTTAGACTGCTTTTTGTACGCTGTCTTTCACGAGCGACATAAACAATAACGAGAAATAAAACGAAGAGTGTTTCTCCAAGGCACAGTCTAAGGTTTAAGGAAAGAAACAAAAGAAATTTCGTCAAGTGAAGATTCCTATGTGTTCTTGCGTTAAAGGGTTAGTTGTATATGTTTAATGTCAAAGTGAAACCAGGCGTAGAAGACAAATAAGTAAACTTTGCTCTTCCGTTCTCATCCAATTTATAAACGTTTTGGTTTGGTCCAGCCCCAACCCACGTTGTTCCCATATTCCTGGAAAATCTTTACCAAGAATTGGATAACGATATTCAAAGTTTAAGAAAGTGACTCTTTGTTTCGTTTACACACCAGCGCGCATATTTTTGTGTTGTAAGCTCGTTGTGAGGTTCGTGAATTTTAACGAAGATGGCTGTGAAGATTTACTATATCAGCAGGTCCTTATTTGCTGCTCTTGTTCTCACTCAAGGCTTACTTCTATCAAAATATGTTGTGGATTATCACGATGATTCAAAATATTTCTCATTAGGAGCAATGTTTTTATTGCCACTCGTTACATTTTCGATAACAATGTGTCGTGAAACCACAAGAAATCGTCTTGGCGTTGTTTGGTTAACGTACATGTTGGTATTGGTCACTATGATTGGTTGGATATATGGTTTGCTCATTAAAGAAGATATCATTAAAAATGACATTGTTACCAACTCTACCATTATCTGCAGCGAATCCAAAAACCCTCATTCCTTCTTCGATGCGATATTTTTAAAACTGACACTTTGTTTAACACCGGGAGGCATGTTATTGTTATTAACTTCGATCCCAGATGAAAATGGTGAGCTCGAGAATCTTTGCCTTCTCTCTGTTTTGAATCTTTTTGATGGCGTAGAAATGTTGGAGGTTTTAAATGATGATGTGTGCAACAAAATACCAGAAGGATGCGAAATAGCTGTTTTAGTTGCGGCAATGTTCTACTTTCTCGTGTCATTTCTGGAGATTAGTGAGTGGAAATTTGATAAATACGACAACATAAAACAGCAAAGGAAAACAGCGAAGTCGAACGTCGTTATGCAATTCATAGTGAATTCATCCTTTCTCATTATTCGTCTGGTGGTTTGGTTGAAGTATCGCTTAGATTCGCCAATATTCATTGCAAAAAATATCATAGCTTTGATAATGGTGTTTGAGTCGTACTTCGAAGAGAAAGAATGGATCAAAAGGGCTTGACAAAATATAATAAACACTTTTTTATGCATAGAAAAATTAACTCTTAATGATATGCTTACAATGTTTAAAATAAAGATCGTCTTATAGACAAGTTCGCGTGTATTCTCTATTAAATCATTTGTAGCCTACGAAAACCTTATTAGCTAACAAGGAGGAATGAAAAAATCTGTGATTATACTAAAGATAATCAATTGTTTTGTAAATTTTGTAAATTTCTGTGCATATGGTTTGTCCAATATGGTTGGCTTTTGTGGTTGACGTTATGGAAGAGTAAGGCACTGGGAACTTTCACTACTTGGTAAGTTCCCATGGCTTTAAGTGTAAGCACTTTCTGTTTTACTGACGTGTGGCAACTTTATTTGTTTATTAAGGAGAGCTCCAAAGCTCTTTGTAACATTTCATCTTCTGTTTCATCTATTAAATATAAAATAACATTTTCTTACCATGAACTTCACACAAGACTAAATTACTTATGTAATAACTTAGTGCAGCTGAACTTGCAAGAAATAAAGATGCATGTACCTGCATTTGATGTTGAAGCTATGTTGTTTGTAGTTGATGTTGTTTCGTCAGAGTTGTTAAATCTAAAAAATCATGTTATATGATTGTCAATTTGAATTTACAGAATTGATGAATTCGCTGGAAAGATACGTACTTGGTGGCATAAAATTGTTGTCGTTTTCTTCTTACTTCATCAACATTTACTGTAACAACAAGGTAAAAAATATTTTGTGACTTTCATTTCTTTGTTTATACAAGTAATGTGTGGAATCAACAAAAGGAATGGAAACTTATGAGTTTAAAATAACCTGTTTTTGATTCTCCTACTGGTGGTTCTCTTGTGTTTGCAACAGTTTTATTTTTCCTCTTGTAGAAGTTGACTTGACTTCTGTTGGATCTACCGGAAGTAAGGTGAGCATTTGGTCTGATTCACTTTCTGGAAACTCACCACGAACAATAAAGATTGAGTAACCTATAGAGAAGGTAACATTTTTAGTGACATCATTATCTGTGACATCACACCGTATCAACAGAGCTATCCTTAATCATTGTCACATTTTACCATCATTCTGCAACTGTCTTAAAAACAATGAGAGGTATGTTTCAGATACAAGTTCAGGACCTGACGACACCGAGTTGAGGTTAAACCACTGAAACATAAACATTCATGTTGATTTCTAGGAAGATTCAAGCCTCCTAAACATGATGTTACCTGTAAGCCGAGCTTTCTTATTGTGAACCAATGTTGTTGAAGATTACAAATAAATGCCTTTTCACCACTAAATAATGAATACAGTATACATGTTTAACAATACTTTCAAATCATTGTGAGTCATTGACAATCTCAATATCTTACGCAGGGTTATGTCTGGCATTTTCAACTTCTGGATTTGAGTAAGGTATGGCAGTCAAATTCCACACAGACAATGCTCGACAAATAACCTTAAGCAGTTTGATCAATTTTATGCAAGTTATGATGATGATTCATCAATGTTTACGCAAAGACATGAAATATACCTGAATGGAAAAGAAACCACTATCATCCAGGTTTGATGATGGTTGCTACAAAAATTAATGGTAAAAATACATGGATTGTTTTATAGAGAGATGGAATTATACATGTTTAATAGAAAGTACATTCATAAACTTGGCATATTCCTCAGAGTTAATATCACCCTCTGCCATTGTGCATCTTTCTGCTTCATCTAGTTCATACGCAAGCTGGGCTAAATCAACAGCAGTAAAATATGGTCCTATGATAAAAACATATATTTTCATTAATAAGTTTGAAAATTGGTAATCCAGGCATTTAATACATAAAAGATAAAAACAGGAGAAACTTTTATCGTTTATGTATTTTCATTAATATAACCTTAATTTGTTTAACTCTAAATGAAAGTAAAGTTCAAACCTTGAAGAAGAGAGTTTAAGCAATGTTGCGCACATAATGAACCTTCTTGCTAGAGCAATGATGAACGTATATATAACATAAATATGTAGATACAGCATCATTTTTTTCAATTTTAGTCTACCTTTTCAAAGTGTATATACTCCATTTAAATAATGTAAAAATGTGAATATTGTCAAAACGATTGCTCAATCGTTGAAACGTCGTTATGGCGCATTTTGCAACGAAATTCCTTTTGTTTCCTTTCCTTTAAAAATAATCTCAATTCTGTTAAACTTTCTGTTTCATTGTTTATCTCCAACTAAATGGAAAAACGTTTCTCTCCCCCCCCGTTCAACGATTATCACGACGATGAAAGATGTTCGATGTGTAACGCGACAAAAATACATCAAAAAGTTCACAGTTCATATTTTTTTCTTATGGTTTTCACGTGTTTTTATTTTGCATAAATAAATGCTTTATAATCCTACGCTTCTTTGGCTATGGTTGCGAGAAAATTTTATATTGTTTGCATTCTTCATATGCTGAATGTTTTGTATTCACAACAAACCACAAGTGACCCTTACAATTTATCTCTTTATACGACAAATGGAAGGTATATATTGTAAACATTATGTTTATTTCAAAAAAATATTCATAGTATGTGTAACGTCTAATGAAAGTGCAACTCGTATTCTTGTTTAGAAATTTTTTACATTCTCCTGTCCTATATTTTCGTATCTAGACAATGGTGAATTGTTTAGATTCAATTATTCAATGTTTAAACGGAAAAAACAAACGAAAAGCTTCAGAATTCAGTTCTTCCAAGCTTCTTACTTTAAATAAAAGTTATCATTCAGTTGGTATGTGTTTTTCAGCAATGCTACCAAAGATCTTCCAAAAACACACCTTCCAATATCAACAACAGAAGAACCCCCAGTATCTACTGAAGTTGAACATGAAAAATCCATGGAAATCTTTTTTATGTTACTTGTTGTTGGTATGATAAAGCAATTCTAAACATATTTTGTTATTAAAATACAACACAAACTTAACAATCCATCTTCTGTGTTTCTTTATTTAGGCTTGTGTATCTTTGTCATATTCTCTCTCATCAAACACAATTTTAAATATCTACCTGAGAGTGTCGCAGTGGTTTTTTTGGGTAGTATTATTTATCTTGTTGCTCATCTAATTTGCCAGACAGTTTCAAAAAATGTTCTATAAATTGGGGAATATTTCATATTGTATGTATCTGCCTGGCGGCCTACATCTAAAGTATACATTTCTCTTTCTTATATTTAGGTGCATTGGTTGGTTTGATCACTAAATTTTTAAATCACATACATGTGGCTAATTGGATGGTATGCTTTACCATAATGATATGTACTCATTGTTGATATGTACCATTATTGAAACAAATTATTTTTTCTAGCAAGAAGAAGAGTTAGATCCGACCACATTCTTTCTCATTCTTCTTCCACCTATAATATTTGAATCGGGCTATTCTTTGCACAAGGTTTGCTGCTAAGATACTCAACAATTATGAAGTTTCAATGTAATATTATCTTATCTTATTTTAAACAGGGTAACTTTTTTGCAAATCTTGGCACTATTGTTCTGTTTGCTGTGTTTGGTACAGCTCTCTCCGCCATTGTTGTTGGAGGGGGTATCTATGTTTTGGGCAAGGTACTCATTCTTTGTTTGTTGAATATTATATGAATAATTCCTAGGAAATTTGAATCAGACACAGTTTTTTTATTTACCATTGTATTTTTAAATATTTTATATTTTTCCTAGGCTAGTATTATTTATAAACTCAGTTTGGTTGAAAGGTGAGAAAATTTCTTTTATTTATTGAGAACAAGCAACAGTACAGTTTGGAATAGATCTTTTTTATCAAATTTTGTTGTATTAAAAGGGAAATCTTCAAGGAAATATCTATTTACGTATTGATTTTCAATCTTTTCATTGACCAATTGGCTGCAAAAAATTGGTTGTTATAAAAGTATTTTGATAAAACATTTAACCCTAACTAAGGGCTTTTTAACTAGCAGTGAGTCATTAATTGTGTTTTTAACAGTTTTGCGTTTGGTTCAATGATCTCTGCAGTTGATCCTGTTGCAACTTTGGCAATATTCCATGCACTTGACGTAGATCCAACACTAAATATGTTAGTATTTGGTGAAAGTGTTCTTAATGATGCAGTTTCTATTGTGATGACAAAGTAAGCATTTTTTCATTGTGTTACTCGAGATTAGTTAAACACATGGGAGAGGCTTCAAAAATGGTGGTGCATAGAGTTTACAACCACCTGAGTGTAGATAATTTAGTACGGATAATTTTCCTTACCAATTTTTTTGTTTTTAGCAAAACTTTTCCAAATGACACACTCGTACATGTATGAAATCCTTAATCTGCTGCTAAATTGAAAGATATGTTTTTTCATTTTATTGTAGCACTGTTGTTGGTGAAGCAGGAAAAAGCTCAAGTCTACTGTCCATTTTGGGTCATTTTTTCACTATGTTTCTTGGTTCGGCATTAATTGGAATAATATTTGCTCTCATTTCTGCCCTCGTATCCTTTGCATTTCTTCACAAAACTTATCTACATTTCTGCATCCATATTCTTATTTATCATATTAGTTACCTAGCATATCTTTGTCAGTGACCAATATTTATTATCGGACAATTTTCTTAACTTTTCCCCAGTTACTTAAACATGTCCATCTAAGACGTCATCCGTCCTTGGAACTATCCTTGATTTTGATATTTTCTTATGCACCTTACGGTCTGGCCGAGGGACTTAAACTTTCAGGTTTTATAAACACTTCGTAATATTCTCTTTTATAGACTAGGATTTGTGTTTCTAGCTCATACTTTATATTATTTCAGGTATTATGGCAATACTTTTCTGTGGCATCGTTATGTCGCATTATACGCACTTGAATCTCTCATCACAAACTCAAATCACGATTCAACAAATCTTTCGTGCAATCGCATTCATGACAGGTAAGAATTGTGTTCAATTATTTCATCTTGGATCAATCATGTTTTGTAAAATGGTTATTCACTTTCACTCATTTAGAAACCTGTATCTTTGCCTATCTTGGTATGGCAATATTCTGTTTAAAACACAATTTCAAACCTGCATTTGTAGGCTGGAGTATTGTAAGTTTGTTAATCACTAAGGAATCAAAGCATGTTCATTAAAGATTTTTGAATTTTGTATTTTTTTTTTCAAGGTTCTTTGTCTTTTTGGTCGTGCCGTGAATATTTTTCCTCTCTCCATTGTTGCTAACTTATTTCGTTCTGTGAAGATCAGTCGGAAAACGCAATGTATTATGTGGTTTAGTGGTATGTACTGTATGTAGAAATAAGAGGACTTTCTCCATCCAGTTTTCTAAATGCCTGCAAAGATCTTGCAAGATTTTACACATTATCTTCTTATGATGTGCATTATCTAGCCATAATCTTACAAGATGTATTGATGATCTTAAAATTCTTACACGACGATCATAGTTTATCTTGTTGTGGTCACGGCGTAACTTTTTAGTGATGATCAAGTCTTGCATGAACAAGCATCATGCATGATCTGGCAAGTTCTTGAAAGATCTTATCAATATCTTGATAAAATCATTGGTAGCTTTAGTAAAGATCATGATAAGATCCTTTAAGATTTTATCCAAGATGCTCAGCCTGAGCTCTCACCCCTATTTATGTCGTTTTTTATTTTACTCTGTCAATAAATGTTCATTTGTCTCTCTTCAAATGTTTCAAGGTCTTCGTGGTGCTGTGGCGTTTGCATTGAGTACACAACTCCAGTTTGATGCGGAACATAGATCAGTTCTGATTACATCCACTTTAATCATTGTCCTATTCACTATTCTTGTGTTAGGTGGATCAACTCTTCCACTTCTAAAGGTACGTAGCTGCTAATCACCCTCTTTATATTCAAGATCATTTGTTTGCTTTCAAAGTTACTTTGCTTTTCGCTTCTTTATAAAGTTAAGATAATTTTCATTTATATATTTGCTCTTCTAGTGTCTTCGAGCACAAAGAAATATTCGCGATGATTATGCCTTGTCTCTAAGCAAGACTGAAGCGGAGGTATTAATTACAAACATTTGTCTTTTCAATGATCGATAGATGTTGTGCAAGTGTTGATTACTTTAGGACAAAGCTTGGGATTCGGAACAAATTACCGACGATGAATGGAAGTCTACAAAGCGGGCATTGACTGGATTTGCAAAATTAGATGCTAGATACTTTATTCCTTTCTTCACAATCAACTTTACTAGTACTGTAAGTATAATGACGGTTGATGTGATGGAAAATAAAGAACGCGTTTAAACAAAGATGTACAGCAACATATGTTATTTAAAGCAACATGTATTTCAATATGTTCCAATTTTGTTACACTTGTTTTGTGAACTTAATGATGAAGTAAAGAATGATAAATATCATTTTATGTTTACAGGTTGATCGAACAAGGTCGCCTGATACAGAAACAATAAATTTGTATCGCAGTGACGGCAGCGATGAAAGTGAACTGGAGATCAACCAAATGATTGATTCAGCACGTCTATGATTTAATGATGTCCATAATTATACCAAGGAAGAGATTTATGTATAGTTTACTGTATTACTCTGTTGTTCAATCTAAATTTTTAGTAAGATTATTGTAACAAAGATGATGTTACAATATAATAATAATTATTGCATTAATTTACATTTTGAACAGTTGAAAATTGTTCTATTGTAGAAAGAAATGATGTCTATTGTGAATAATGCTGTGAATTATGTTGTGAAGTATTGTTATAATATATTTATTGGATTGAAACAAAACGATAAAATGTAACGTGGGTTATTTTGTTGATTGTTGTTGGTACACATTCTCTTTAGGGTAACTGAAACTTTTTAATAAACTACCAACGATATTTTCAGAAAACAGTCCTTCTCAGGACTTTATTAACCTGGACGATCATCATTTAAAAACATATAACGATACTCCAGGGTTCAAACCATTTACTTTATAACGATATTTTCCTCGTTTTACATTAAAATGCTTTTTAGTACTCATCTATTAATACAATGAACTATAAGAAGATAAGAAGCAAACACACAATTTGTTTATTAGCGGCAAAACGTCTTACATATTATTTATATTTAGTTTGAAGTATTTATAAAACTAAATATTGCGTTACAATTATATCATTAACATGTTTTTTATTAATATTCTTTAAATGAAACTATTAGACTATAGGATGTTTTTCATACGCAGAAGCGCAGTCAGCCAGCAAGATTTAGTCCCATTATATAAAATTTAAGAACAATATCTTCATTTCTCTAGAAAGAGTGGAAACTTTACAGAACGTCAGTGGACTGGCTACGTCATAAGTCATAATCAAAGAGACCTTGCAAAGAACAACAATGTGAAGAACTCCTGTTTTAAAAATATCTATGCAACAAACAAAATAGACTTTCAATTGACAATTTTGGGTTTTTTCATTCTTTTGCCAGACAAATATGCTCAGGTATGGTACCACAAATGGTATCACCTGCCACAGCCTGCATGCGTGCTGACCACCTTACACACTACCACCACCTTACACCACCACCTGCGCGTATATGACGTCACTAACTACCGGCGTTCGTGAGCATCATTTACTCTAGAGAAATATGGCGGACACGAGGTTGTATGATTTGCTTGGTGTTAAACCCAATGCTTCTGACGCTGAAATTAAAAAAGTAAGATCTTTTGAACAACAGAACGGAATAAATTTTTTAATTGCGATTCAATTCATGTAAATTTCTGGCAACAAACGTCCTCCTAGATATTTTCATTCAACACTCTTTTGAATTCTAGTCGTACAGGAAATTGGCCAAAGAATATCACCCAGATAAAAATCCAGAAGAAGGAGAAAGGGTTTGTGACATAAAGTCGAAATTTCATTTGTTTCTTTCGCCAATTAACTGCTCAAGTATATCACTCTAATTTTTTTGATAGTTCAAAGAAATAAGTTTTGCCTATCAAGTTCTTTCTGACAACGAGAAACGATCTCTTTATGACAAATACGGTGAAAAGGATTACGCGAAGGAACTGGTGGCGGTGGTCAGTTTTTACTTTTTTACTTCAGATATTTGTTGACATAAAATTTGAAATTTCCATCGTCTTGTTCATTTTCTTAGAAAATTTTATTATTTCATTTAACTTTTAATGATTCTCCATGAAAACTGAAAGTGAATCTGTTTGGATGTTTTTGAATGAATAAAAACAATACTGCATAATTATTATATGAATTTATTATAAGAATTTTTACAAATATTTGAAGTATTTCCTTCAAACCATGTGGGCTATGTTTAGGCGGTTTTGAGGACATCTTCTCAAATATCTTTGGTGGAGGCAGTCCTTTTGGTAAATAAATGTTAAAATTATATTTTTTCCTCATAGAAGTGTATGCTATTTAGAAATCAGTATTAAAAAAGTGTTTGCCCTGCTGTAATTTTTGATAGATTAGTGTATGCATGTCTGTAATTTGTGTATAAATTGTTTTATTCTTGTAGAGGTTATTGACATAAAAAAGTTTCTAGCTTAGTTATATAATTTTTAAAAATTTTATGTTTATTTCAGGTGGTTTTAGTGGATTTGGTGGTTTTGGTGGCGGCTTTGCTGGTCGACAAAGACGACGAAGAGGAGAAGACTTAGTTCATCCACTAAAGTAAACAAAACTACGTACCTAGTGTTTTTTTAATTTTTCTTATGTTTCACTTATGTATTCTTTGTCATTTTAGAGTGAGTTTGGAAGATCTTTATTTGGGAAAGACAAGTAAATTACAGTTGTCAAAGAATATTATCTGCCCACAATGTAAAGGGTATTTACAAATGATATTTTATAAATAATATTCTATATTCTATAATATATTTTGTAAATAATAGAGTTTTATCATTTATGTATGGTTTGAAATGTTATGATTAGTGCTGGTGGTAAGGCTGGTGCTGTGAAAAAATGTAATGTTTGTGATGGTCGTGGAATTAAGGTTACCATACGACAAATTGGTCCAGGAATGGTCCAACAGATGCAATCTGCTTGTAATATTTGTAGTGGCAAAGGTATGTATATAAACATTTATAGATATGGTTGTAAAGATATGGTTATGATTGTAAGGATATAGTTATGGTTGTAAGGATATAGCTATGGTTGTAAAGGATATAGCTATGGTTGTAAGGATATAGCTATGGTTGTAAGGATATATCTATGGTTGTAAGGATATATCTATGGTTGTAAGGATATATCTATGGTTGTAAGGATATAGCTATGGTTGTAAGGATATAGCTATGGTTGTAAGGATATAGCTATGGTTGTAAGGATATAGCTATGGTTGTAAGGATATAGCTATGGTTGTAAGGATATAGCTATGGTTGTAAGGATATAGCTATGGTTGTAGATACATAGATGACTCTGATGTGTTGGTTTTAGGTGAGGTGATAAATGAAAAAGATAAATGCAAAAAATGTAATGGTAAAAAAACTACTAAAACAACAAAAGTTTTGGAGGTAAGAATTTTTTTTCATTTTTGAACTAAGACATAAATGCTGTATTTTAACTTTAAATGAGTTGCTATATGTCAACTTGTGTTTGTCAAAGTATCAAATGAGAGACATTTAATCTCTTTATTCAGTTCATTGTTCACTTTCTTGTTTTAGATGTTTTGAAACAACTACAGCTTCTGTGTGTTTATGGTTGATCATTTATGCAAATTTTCAATGTTAATTTTTTCTTCTTGAGGTTCATGTTGATAAAGGAATGAAAGACAATCAAAAAATAACATTTGCTGGTGAAGGTGACCAAGAGGTTTGTGCTTTTTCTGTACTTCATGTTGTTTCAACATTAAAGGATAGTGTTTAATATTGTTTCATGTTTTCCATAGCCTGGTATTGAGGCAGGAGATGTAATAATTATCTTACAACAGAAAGAACATGATACTTTCAAGAGAAATGGGAATGACCTGTATTTAGAGAAAGATATTACACTCACTGAGGCTTTATGTGGTTTCGACATGGTTGTACAACAACTTGATGGACGTCATCTTCTTATACGCTCAGAACCAGGTTATGTTATTGAACCTGGGTGTGTACGGGGAGTACCTGAGGAGGGTATGCCCATATATAGGAGGTCAACAACATCTGGAAATCTTTACATTAAATTTAATGTAATATTTCCTGAAAACAATTTTATTGAGCAAGAAAAATTAGTGGTGAGTTGACCGACTTTTGTTAAGTACAGAACATAATTTTTGTTTTTTTTAACTATGTTTCACTTATATCTTCAAAATAAATGATGTTAAAAAATCACATTTCACGAGCAACTCTTGCAGAAATATTTGATATTTCTAGGAACTTGAAAAACTTCTTCCACCACGAAGTGCTCGCCCAGAAATAAATGATGATTTTGAGGAAGTCGAGCTGCAAGATATTATGGAAGATGATACGCCTTCCAATGGTCGACGACGTCAAGTGTATGAAGATGGTAGTGATGATGAAGGTTCAGGACAAGGTGCAAGGGTACAATGTGCACATCAATAAATAACTGCAAGTATTTACCTTATTATGATAGAAAAACAACACTTTCTTTCATCTTATTGAAATTTCTAATTTGATGAAGTCTATGTTGTACCTCCATTGCTGTTGAATAGTCATTTTTTTTCTGTTGTCATGGTTTCTGCTTGTTGCTTGTACTTCAATGGCCTTGCTTTGTTAGATTAGTTACATTAGCATGCATTTAAAACTCTGTCATTTCTGACCTTACTCAATGTATAGTGCTGGAGTCCTTAAGTTATAATGAGAAATGTTCAGACATCATATGCTCTGAGTCTGAATAAGTAATATGGTCATTATGAATTGAATGCTTTTATGATGTATTAAAAAATTTGACAATATTAGCCATGAAAATGTTGATAAAAAACAGGGGGGAGTTCTGTGTTTTACAAATTCTTAATGCAATTTCTAACAATAATGTCAGACATAACTTACATAGTACTATAAAACTAAAGGTATGATTATTGATCATTTGTGCACATCTGTACAAAACACAGAATTATTAATGAGAATAGGTATAGGATGGGCTCTCTTATTTTATACTTAGTAAAATGGAGGAAGAGGGCAAATGAAAACACTTATTGACAAATGTTGTTGCTACTATTTAGGTTTCAAGCATGTTCAACTTTAACTAAAGCCACTTTAATTTAAAGCATTTTATTAAGTTATGTTTTGTGTGCCATATGTTGTGTCATATTATTTAAGAAATCTTTTTAATGCCAAGTATGATACTCCCTCCCTCCTCTCTTCTACCCTCCATCTCTCTCCTCTACTACCCTCCCTCCCTCTCCTCTACTACCCTCCCCTCTCTCCTCTACTGCCCTCCCATCTCCTCTCTCCTCTACTACCCTCCCATTTCCCCTCTCCATCAGAACCCTCCCCTTCCCCCTCCAAAACTTTTTATTTTTACAACCAGTTTCGTGTACAGTGTGTTTCAAAAAGACTGCACATCTTTGAAATCAGCCGACATTTAGAATTTTCACGATTCATTAGTAATTGATCTCCAGGGATGCGTAAACGTAATTAAACTGAGTTTCTTCCTGAGATTTTCAATATGTAGTTGCTGTAATATAAAAGTTTTTCATTGTATTTTTTTGCGTTTACGCATCCTTGGGGACAATTACTGCTGAATTATGCAAGCTCTAAATGTCGGCTGAATTCAAAATATGCAGTTTTTTGAGACACACTGTAGTTAGGGCCTGTTCATATGAGCCTGGGTAGCCGAGATTCAGCAAAGCGTTTAATCATTTTAGACAATGGAAAAGATTAATTCCTTCACAACAAAAAAGTTATTTAAGCAATTTCCCTATGCTCTGAATTTGCAAATTCACAAAACCTTTAAAATGAAAACAAATAATTTGGCCAGATTAGAAAAATACAACTAAAATGACTCATGACTTATACGAAAGGTTGTAAGTTTTGCCTTTAAAGTTTTTACTCCTTTCAATGTCTCAAAATCATTTCACGTTTCGCTGAATCCCGGTTAGCTGGGCTCATGTGAACAGGCCCTAAGTATAGACTAATACAGAGTAAATTTTATTTCACAAAGTCATATTCATACCATTGTGATAAAATCACAATAGCAGCATATTGTGATGATTCTATTGGTTTTCATTAATATATTCTACGATATGCTTAACATTTGCTTAATGAGCTGTAACTTACAATGATTCGTGAATGACGTCGTTAACATTCTGATCGACAAATGTGCATTTTAATTGGTCTTCTGCCTCATTATCATGCTTATCATTGTAAATGTTTGTCTTTGCGTAACCTTTCTCAAAATCTCGTTAAGGAAAATTGTGTCACTCTGTTTGTATAATTAAAAGCTTGTAAAGCTTGATAACTTCATTGCTGCTTTACTCAGCAAGAAGGTCACACGTTGTGTGAAGATGAAGATTACACAACCAGGTAAAAGCGTTCAACATTGCTGTTTTTGAAACCGCTCCCTTATTGTACGTGACATTGCCATTACGTATTATCATAAATTTCTGTTTTCTAGTTTTTATTTTACTTCTCCTGACGACATTTATCGTAGTTTTATCATGTCCAGTTGGTCAGGTAGGATTCTTTACATCTACATTTAGATTTCTTTGTTTTTCCAATCATGAAATCATCCGCGAACATTTAAATTTTGTTGTTTTAAAGTGCTACCTGTTTTGTGTGGCGAAATCCCAATTCAACCATTTGTAGGCGCGGAAAGTTTTGTTTGCTGGGGGATTTTTTTTTGACGTTGTATACTAACAAAGTTAGGATATGCTTTGATATTTGCAGCAAGATTGGTTTTCTTATAATCCTGTCGAAGGGCGAAGGGCGTTCGCATTTTTATTTCACCTGCAAAATGGAGGGCAACATTTGTCTAATTTATCGTTGGAAACTTCTTGATTTGAAACCGAGAGTAAAGGACCGCATTCGCGTTCAAATTTTCAATATTCAAATCGTTAAAATAAAATATTGAAGTTGGGACATTAGTGAAAACAAGGCATTTTAAAAACTGTCGTACAAGCACTTTGCTTTTTTCAATTTAACTACGAAAGTAATCTATAATTTATCATTTTTTAAATATAAATTTCTTGGATTAATGACTTGGTGGAATATAACCTAATATTGGCACATTCTTTCGTTATTTGTTTCTAATATTGATAATGTATTCTATTGTACTGAACACTGGCTTGTTTAAATGGATAAATGAAGGGAATGACACCTTGAAAATTAAAGTAAATAGTTTGAACTCTGGAGTAGCGTTACATGTTTGTGGATGTAGATCGTCCAGGTTAGTGAAGTCCTGAGGACTGTTGATGTTGATGTTGACTGACGTTTTGACAACCTTAGCGGTAGACATCTTGAGAGTCAAGTGAGGAGTAAACGATCAAACGTCCTACGGTAAACCTGACGTTTACGCCTCACTTGACTCTGGAGATGACTACCGCTAAGGTTGTCGAAACGTCAGTCAATATCAACATCAACATTTCTTCTCAGGACTCTAACCTGGACGATCTACATTTACAAACATGTATACTTAAAAATTGTTGTTTAAAATAATACGATAACGTTTTTGCGTCTATTGTTATTGAACATTTTAGATGCGAATTGCGCTCGAAACGTGGTTTACACGATTTATTTAGCATTATATATTTTTTATTCACTTTTATTTTTCATCCGTGTTTTATTCAATGTTTTAAATTTTTTTTGCTGAACATTTGAAAAATTACAATTCGTTACATGCCAGTACGTTTACTTAGGTGCTACCATACACAATTAATACATTTCTATGAGGCCCGTGTAATGTATCCATTAACATGTGCCAAGTGCATTAGAAACTAGAGATAATGATATTTTATAGACTTTTTTTACTTAACACATGTGTAGATTTTTAGATGAGGAATTTAGTAGCGAGGCATAATGTTGCAAAAATAATAATGTCACGATTCTATTTACGTAATTGGAGCAAACATTGACGATGTATAGGAACTCTAAGTTAGCATTAACATATTGTGTTATTACAGGTGTAGAGCGTCAAGCCATTAAGAGCGACAGCTGACTAATTTATTTTTTTACATACGTAGCAAACTCTGCTTAGCCAAGTATCTTAAATTTTAAACTTATAGCACAGATTCTACTCAAAAATAAAATCGTATTGGTTATCTTATGGCCTTGAAGCTTGTGTTTACGTGACAAAGCCAGTCAATTTATTTATCTTTCTTAAAAAATATTATTGTCTAAATCATTCGAAAGAAAGTAAATAAAATTAAATGTTCGAGGATATTAATAATTTAGATACAAATTTTCATGGCATTACTAAAAACTGACAGTTAAATAAAAAAATTCATTTTATAAATACCCAACGTTCAGAACATTTCTAAAGCTCGCTTCTTCATTTCTTCACCAAGTGACGATCCTGTTTGAGTAAGTTTTAACGTGATTGTATAATAGAAGATTGAAGGTAGTCAAGTTGATAGTAAATTAAATACTTCCTTGCTTGAACATTTTAAAAATTAACGAGAATATTTACTGTTATTATTGCGTCACCTTGGCAACCACATAAGAGGGCTTTTAATACTTATTTTAACAAGTATTTGCCAATTATCTACTGTATACTTTATTTTGTGACGTACGTTTGTGTGAATTAGTGGGGACCTGAGACCGAACCACACGATAAAAACACGTGACCTACGTTTGTGTGAATTAGTGGAGACCTGAGACCGAACTACACGATAAAAACACGTGTATTGGAGTGTAATTATTTGTATGTAAGTAATTGAAGAGCATTCCATTTTCCCAATTTTTCATTTTTCATCTTTTTTATTAGAGTAGAAAAGTGCAATGAAAATTTTAGCCCTGCGATTTGTAGTTATACTTTACTTGTATTTGAAAAAAGCACTTATGGTTTGTTTAGAAATATTGTAAAGATCTTGAAGGATGTGTTTCCTCGTCAGATAACTGCACAAACGCCACCATATTAAGTTGTGCCAACGAGACTGCTCCTTGCATTGTTGGTAATGGTACGATTAGTTGTGTTGACCTCTTCAACAATAGTTGTGGAAATTTTTCCTGTAGGAATAACACGAAGTACTGTCATAAAAAAAAGAGGTAGACCTTATATTGTAGAACGAAAGTTATCTATTATAGCAGCTTACAATATCTACGTATATATTGTCTATTGTTACTTCATTATCTTACCTACTTTATTTAACGTGTTTATCACACGTTATGTTGACTTAATTTTTTTCATATTTTATCTACACTAACATCATCTATCCTTTTGTTTCTCTAAGTTTTGTATATCGCATAGACAACTGTCTTGCTAATGAAATTTTTTGACATTGTTTTGGCATTATAGATGCATCGGGTTAAATGAACATTGCTGTTCTGAAAAAGAAGAAGCATGCTCTCTTGTCACCTCGTATAACGATTTCGTTTCAAGTAAAACATTGGACGATCATTGTAAAGTACTCCATCAAGGTCATCACAATTTTTCCATCTACTATAATCAAAGGATGAAGCATTATAATCCTATAACAAAAATGATGTGTGAGAAGGACACTTACTTTTGTCCTCTATCGCTTTATTGTATGGCTGTGAATCATTCGTGTACCGCTGATTCTTCCTATCGTGGGCACTCATTTAACGTATTTCAAAGAAACGGCAATAACGACGAATTATTCTGTCCTTTGTATATGAATTATATTCCGTTGAATACAAGCTGTTCGTGGAAAATGGTGTTTGAGTGGCATGAAAATGGAAGCAAATCAATTGATCCCTTCTCTCGTCCTTGTCCAAAAAACCAGACATTTTCACCAATGAACTTCTCTTGTGTGTATTCACGTGACCATGAAGAAATGATGAGGAGAATTTGTAACGAAACTAAAGATCATGCGTATTGTAAGAGTCAAAATATCACAAAGAAATGGCATAGGAATGAGAGTTTGCTCAATATGGACAGGTATTATGGTAAGTAGAAGAAAATAGCTTACAAAAATTTTATATGAGCGCTTTAATGTGATAACTTGCTTATTAAGTGCTTGCTTCGATTTAGGATGGTTTGATTTTTGTCAAAACCGTTATTTTATAAAAAGTCTGTTGTGGAAAAAGTCAACTATGTGCAAGCCGTATACTGAAAAATGTCGAAGAGAGAAATGTAAAACACGTTTTTGCAATACACTGTCGTCTAGAAATGTCTCACATTCGATGTTCAATGGATCTCATTGGATGTTTAATGGATCTTATTGGATTCCCAAAATGAAAGATAACGTCAGTATGTCTAATGATGAATGTCCTTACACGTTTTCTTCACGTGATTTTGAGAATTGCCACATGCGTAGAAAGATGAAATCATGTGATCGTAAAATGATTTGTGATTCTTTAATGAAGATGAAAGGAAATTTATCGTGGAATGATGAAAACGTGTGGTTAAAGAATTGTAACAGAAGTATAAATGTCTCCCTAGAAATGATGTACTGTAACATGTCTTGTGAGCCGTCATATCTTTGTCGTCATTTACCCAAAAATGGTACATTAAACAACAGCAGAGTTATGGTAAAGGGCTGTAAAGTTGACATAACTCAAAATTCATATGTCTGTTTGGCGAACAATTCTTGTCACATTGACTGTGTATCATTAAACGGGAAAAATTACAATTATTCTCATTTAAATAAAACGGTCCGTATCAAAGGTTGTAAGATCATTTTAAATAATGATGTCGTTCAGCGATGTAACTTGGCAATCATGAAGTGTGATATGAATGGAAAATGTCCAAAAAGTGAAGTACCGCCGATGAACCCCACAAGAAAAATGAACGAATCATGTCGTTACATGAAACTTTGTAAACATCTACAACACCGTCATTATAATCAATCTTTCATCAACCAAACTGATTTCATCGAAGGTTGTTCAGTGACTTTAAATCAAACTGTTGTCGACATGTGCAATATTACTTTTACTTCATCGTGTAAAATGGTTGAACTTTGTCCAAAATATCGTCAGCTTGCTATGAATTACACAAGAGAAAAGTTTCCCATCGAGATTGGAGGGTGTAGTGTAACTTGGGACAAAATGAAAAGATGCAACATCACCTCGAGACTAATGAACGAATCATGTCGTTACATGAAACTTTGTAAACATCTACAACACCGTCATTATAATCAATCATTTATCAACCAAACTGTTTTCATCGAAGGTTGTTCAGTGACTTTAAATCAAACTGTTGTCGACATGTGCAACATTACTTTTGCTTCGTCGTGTAAAATGGTTGAACTTTGTCCAAAATATTGGAAATTGGCCAGGAATCATAGCTTTCATTCTTTTCCAAAATATGTTGATAATTGTGCGGTGAAGATGGAAGATCTTAAAAAATGCAACATATACTTACTTGAAGAAACACACTATAAATATAAGATGCTTTATAATGGATTTAAAATTTCAAACAGTTTAACGACGTCTGTTAGCAACATCGCAATCAGAGAAGTACTGGGCACTAACTACGGACATTGGGAGTACAAAACAAGTGAAAATTGGAAACGACTCGGTCCTGTCTCTTCAAACAGATCAATGATTCTCACTACAAGAGCTCGTTTAAGGTTAGTAGCGTCTATGATAAAGGTCATTTTACGGACGATATTGAAAACATCTCAGTCTCGTTTATTATCAATGTGTTTGACGTTTAATTATTTTCGTCTGTGTTTAGGTTCGTTCTTCGACCAAATATTTCTTGGAATGGTCTTCTTACTCTTAAATATTCACCTGTCAACAAATCTCTGGTTGAAAATATCACTCACATGGATATGGTAAACATTCGTCATGATCCCAGAGATACCTTAGCATTACTTTTATATCCTATCATTCCTGTTGCAAATCTCATCACGTTTGCTGGTGACACATATCGTGTTATGGAAGATATGGAGGATGCTGGATTTATGGTAATAAGATTTTAACTTCCTAAACTTTAACAGTTGTCTGCTGAGAACGTTATTACTGAAGCTAAGCTATCATTATGTCTCCGTACAGGCAAACTTGCTTAAACTTAATGTTTATTGGTTTTGGTTTATTTAGGTTCGCCATAAAATTAAGATGAATTTGAGCCATTTTATAACGCCAGTCGCTGAAAATATCTCTGCAAACAAACATTTAAATGATGAAGATGTTCACGATTATACTAACACTGTAAAATGCTATAAAGAGTTTGAGCCGACCATTGCTATCGTAAAAGTTGATAACTACGTGCGAGGTTTGTTTTAAGGTTATTTTTCCTTAATGCTTGCTGTTATATTTTAATGTTGATTATTTATTTTTAGGCCATTGGGAAGTAAACAGACGTCATGTATCATCGGCATCCTTCAAGTCACCCATGGTTGTTCCACCTGGTTATAATTTGAGATTTATCTCAGCAAAAGATTTTTACGGCAACAGTTCCATGAAATTTGTTGTTGTTGTTTACAGTAACTGCTCGACTTTAAACAAAAAAGAATATTTCAACGTACCTGAACAACTTTCTTATGCTTTTAAATCGGTACGTTAATGTTGTTTACTGTTCTTGTTGTTTTGCGTTCATTCAAATATGTCGTCTTTCATCTGGTTCAGTTTAACTAATAATGTTTGAATTAGAACAATCGGAATATAAGTTCTTTTAGATGGCATCATGAGATGTTGAAGCAATACAATTAAACCTCGTCATGACGATAAATTTCTTTCTTTTAATGATTGATATGTTGCCCCTCTTCCCCCCTCCCCAACACCTATCAAAAAAATCTCTCTGCTAAATACGTTGTTTCAATTTTTTAAGCTGCTTTTGTACATATATAGGTTCCAATATCGCATGATAGTGTCAATAGATATATAGATAGGGATAATTTATATTTTCATTGTACCATAGGAATCAATCGTATTTTAGGTGATTAAGATAAAGAATTCATCTAAAGATGTTGTCAATTTGCTGGAGTCTGTGTTAAAAGAAATCATTCCACCATTCAACCCGAAGAACTTTAAAGACGTTCTTAAAACTTTCTCCGCTTCTTTCAATTTGACAAATCAAGTTAACGATGTTGTTTCTCAAGCCTTCGAAGCTGGTAAATGATGTTAGATAACACGATCATTGATTTTAATGTTATAGAAAACTTAATCATACGTTTCGTAAAGAGAACTATAGAGTTCATGATGTTTACCTTGTCTTAAACATATTTTTATGAATGGCATATTGAAATTTTATAATTTAACGTCGTGTTTTTTTAGTTTCTCCATTGCAAGAAAATCCATTGAAAGATTTACCGCGTTATCTTAGTGGAAGTTTGGTGATCCTCAATAATCCAAGGATATACACGTTTAATGTTGATGTACATGCTACAAATGATCCACCAACAATCGAGAATCCTTTGGTTGAGCTTCCTCCTATTTCATTCAATTTAAGTAGTACTTCTAACACTGGGATAATGATCAAAGATTTACTTCACGACGCTCGGGCTTCTGATATTGACAATGTCTTCCTTGGAGTGGCTATAGTGCAAGCACTGAATACGAGCGTTGGCTTGTGGGAATATCGTTCACCTTTTGGCGTATGGACTCCAGTGATAGTTAAGAATACTGACTACTCGGACCGTGAAGAAAAGACATTCCCGGTTATGTTATTAAACTCAAGTTACTGGCTCAAATTTCAAATTCATTCGAACGATATCCTGTGGAGTAAATCTGAAGCAACAACGTTGGCAAGAATTATATTTCTTCCTTGGGATGGTTCTGATAATAGCAAGATAGGTAAAGGATTCGTTACCAGACCTTCAAACAAAACCTCTGCCTATGGAAGACAATCTGTGAGCGTGACTGCGGTAAGAAAGGGTTGTGATAATATCGTCGGATCGAAAAGTCGCTATGATCGCTGTGGTGCATGTGGAGGAAATGGTATGTCTTGTGTTGCCTGTGATGGTGTCGTGTTTTCAAATGCTACTATTGGTAAGTAATGATTATTTATCGTACTAATTATTATAAACGGTCCATGATACACTTTTGATGTTTTATTCTTTAGATGATTGTGGAAATTGCACAGAAGGAAACACTGGTTTGAAGAAAAATGCTTTTAAGGATTGTGCTGGTGAATGTGGACTATCGTTTATAGACAAATGTGGTGTATGTCAACGCAAGGATAAGGTAAGAAACTTTACAGATTGTGCAGGAGAGTGTCAAGGTAATGCAACCATAAATGAATGTCGTGTCTGCGTTGGTGGAAAAACTAAGAAACGTTTGACAGATGGTCAAGATGCTTGTGGTGTATGTAATGGGGATAATACAACATGTATGGATTGTGAACACACACCCAATGGTGGGAAGAAAGTGGATAATTGTGGATTGTGTTTATCTCCTTTTGATCATCATTATAATGACGAATGCTTAGTTTTAAGAAAACTTGTTCCTAACAGTGGTCCACATTTCATTGATTTATCTGTTCTTGTTCTTGGTGCTGGCTTTAGAAATTATTCAAAAGTCAACTGCTCACTCTTGACAAATGGTTCCGCGAAAACGTAAGACTTTTTGTTATTGTGTTTTATTTGTCATATTTTGAATTTCATGTTATGCTCCTTTTAAACGTTGACATAAAATGTCTTCATCAGTTTTAATGATGACAATTTGTTTTATTTTTTATTTTTACAGTATTCCAACTTCAAAGTCTTCGATTTCTTTCGCGAATAATGAAAGTGTAATTAATTTTACTGTTTCTTCCCTAAATCCTGGATACTACAACCTCTCCTGCAAATTTGAAAACAGAATTTTGATTTATGCTGACGAACTTATGTTTATTTACAACAAAACAGCGATCACATTTACATCAGTTTCACCACATTCTATTGAGAGAACGATGAAGAAGACAGTTGTCGTTACTGGTAAAGGGTTCATCAATACGTCAGATATTTTATGTGTTACGAGTATTGCTCTTACGTTTAAAGCAGACTTTAAAAACTCAACACAAGTGTTATGTTTAATACCTGCAATTGAAACATCCGCGCGTTTTTTCCTGGCTATTTCATTTAGCAGAAACGATCGATATGTTCGTGATAAAGGCGTGAACTTCACGATATATGCTAATGCTTCAAGACCAATCAGTTCACAATTTACAGACCATCTCAACGAAATCGAGATTAAATTCGATGTTCCTACAAAACCAAAGATTGTGTCAGACGAATGCTCGATGTTCTTTCATCAAAGGAATGTAACTTCATTTGGAGCAAATGCCAAATGTGTGTTTACAACGCCATTAATAATGCTTATTCAACTACGTGGGGATCCTACAATACTTCCCGATCAAACACTTTATTTTAAACGGAAATCCATAAGCCGAATGTTTCATAAGGTCACAAAAGAATCAACATTATTGTACTATGAATTGACAGTGTCCGCTCCTAAAAATCCTTCTGTTCTTCAAGCTTCTTTAATTGGAACGACGATATTGGGTAAGATTGAATTTTTAATATAAATGACAGCTCAACATATAACATACTGAAGATGCCATAAAATATCTTCAGTATATTTACTCTCGGCTTTAAATATAATCTTCTTACATCGTTTTTGGCTTGGAAATTATCTGGTATCGATGTTTTGTCAAAGAACAAAAAAATTTTGAGATAATGTCTATTTATATAGTTCTTCGTTCTGCGTAATGTCATGTTTTTATTCTTTCTTTGAGTAGATAACTTAAATAAGTACAATTTTCCTCCCATTTATACTAAACTGCCCTTCGTTTTTAAATTTTCTTGTAGGTGTTTGTGCGAAAGTAAAATTAGATGGTTCCCAGTCTCTTGGTGGTGGTGGCCGTCCTTTAACCTTCATTTGGGGGGTGGAGTTGGTAGACCCCACTGATCCTAAAATCTCACTGACGGTCAAAGCCAGAGATGACCTAAAGGCTATGAGCGATTTTTTAAAGAGCGAAACGGAAGCAATTGTTTCTATTGAAACGTTGTCGATGATCAAGATTGGTTTAAAATACAATTTCACGTTAAAAGTGAGAGATTTTCTTCAGCGTGAGAGTCCTTTGGCAAGTTTGGTAGTCACACGAGAAGACAAAACTGTACCTGATCTCAGTTTTGGTGCTAAAAAGCTAATGATGAAAAGAGCTTTAGGAATCACATTACAAGGTAAAATATATCACAGTCAGCAATGTTATGTACGTACAAAAAAAATAGATTTCTAATGAATTGATCAATGATAACGATCTTGAATTTACATATCATCATCAAAACCTGCTGCCTGGCTTCAACCATCCATACAGTATTAAAAATAAAGCGGAATTTGTATCTTTCTTGTTATTTTTTTAAGGAAATGTTAAATAATGACCAAATTTCTTTGCTTTAGCAAAAGTGACATTATCTTCTTGTTTACCTGCTGCCTATAAACCCAATGTTATATTTTCTTGGGAAATCGAGCCCGCTGTCCCTATGGAGTTTGGTGTTTTGCCAAGATTAACCATTCCTCCTCGTCGTCTTATTGTTGACCAGGTTTGTATTCATGTAAGAATGTTTTTAGTTACCAAAAAACATCATATTGTTATACGTCTGATAGATTTATAAGTTGAGATTGACAGCGACCATGAAAGCAGACACGAGTTTAACACAAACTGTTGAAATAAAACTGGATGTTCAATCCTCTTCACTTAATGCTGTTGTAAAAGGTATTTCAAATTTTTTTGTTCACATTAACATCATCAAAGTTTAATTATCTTTATTTTGGCAGGTGGAAGTACGAGGATAGTTGGTGAAAACGAAGTCATTACTTTGGATGCCTCTAGTTCATCAGATCCCGATGGATCCGTTTCTCCTTCATCGTTTTTATGGGCTTGCGAGGACGAAGATAAAGGACCTTGTTTTGAGCCTTCGAATCGTGGAAAAGTTCAAAGCTTGAAGTTAAATAGCGAGTCTCGCATAACCATCAATGTTGCCAAATCATTGAAAAGAAACAAAAGGTCAAAACGATTATTTTGATCTATGTATTGTATGTTTAAATAATTTTCATAATACATACAATCTCAATAACTTTACAGATACTTGTTTACTGTAACATATCGTAAGGATCGTCGTTCTTCTAAAGCTTCACTAACTGTATTTGTCAAACCCGGATCACATCCATCCATTACCATTCGTCCAGTCCACGTTGGTAAAGTTAACCCAAGCAACATGTTTATACTTGAGTCGTACATAAAAAACTACAAGAGTTTCAACACAACATGGAGTTGTGTTCAAAGCAACGGTATTATCAATTTACATTGCTATGTTTTGGTGTATTTGTGAAGATTTTACAGCACAACTTTAGTATTTTATTGTTTCAGATAATGGATACATCGATTTATCATCGCTGGGAAATTCATTAACAAATATTGTTCAACAATATTACAAATCAAATGCTTCAAATGATGTTATCGGTTCACCTTCATTAGTCATTCCTGCTAATAAACTAGAAAGTGGTGTGACGTTGAGGTTTCGTTTAACCGCTGACAATAGTGAATCGTCGTCGTTTACAGAGTATGACGTCACGACGAACAATGTCCCCACACCAGGTTTGTTTTCATTAAGCGTTAATCTTCTTTCTTTTACACGTACCATGTAAATTTTTGCTTTTACACATACCATGTAAATACTTGCTTTTACACATACCATGTAAATTCTTGCTTTTACAAATACCATGTGAGTTCTTGCTTTTACGCACATCATGTAAATTCTTGCTTTTACACATATCAAGTAAATCGACTGTTATTCCATAGGCTCATTGGAGGTTGAACCCCCATCAGGATTCTTTGGAAATACAACCTTTACCTTACGTGCAAAAGGATGGATTGATGACGATCTTCCACTGACGTATGATTTTGGTTATATTGTTGATGGATCCGAGGGAACTAAGGAGATTACATTGGGTACAACGTTTTTCAACAGTTATAACAATGCTATACTGCCTCAAGGTATTATATTTAACCATAAGCGTTTGTGCTGCTTTCCATTATTTTCTAAGCTTAAATTTTTATATTATATCACAGGAAAGCCATCTAACAACTTCATTGTAACAGTTTTTGTACGAGTATACGATATATACGGCGCCTGGAGTGTCCAATATTCTTCTGCTGTTGTTAAACCAGCTGAACAAGTTCATATAAATATGACATATTTCGCTCAATCTGTTCAAGAGGATTTTGCATCCGGAGATTTCAACAAAGGTGCCGGTATGTGGGATACGATGACTATCTCATAGTTATTCCCTTATATCCTTTTATATTCATTTATATCTATTTAAAACAATTGTTTCAGCTGTGTCTACTGCACTCGTTGTCGCATTATCCATTAGCGGGTCAAATGATCCCACCATTACTGAAGCAATTAAGACATTAAAAATAAGCGTTACGAAACAGGTGAGTGAGTGAGAGTGTGTTGATAATTAATATTTTTTATTTTACTTTATGTCATACCTAAATATATTTCTCAATGAATTTTGCCTTCTCTGTTCTTTTTTTTCTTTTCCATTGAAGATTATAGATGTTGTTCAAAAAGGTGCAATTCAAGATACATTAGGAAAAAGAACGATCGAAAGATACCTCGTAGATTTGACTTCAGATTGTCGACAAGACTGTAACGCCACTTCAATCATAGATGTTCTTCTTAAAATGTCTCGAAGGAGTACTTCATCTAATACAAAACGACGGCGGCGGGCTGCATCAACTGATTATGATAATATTGAGAGGAAAACAGGACCTCAAGTTGAAAATATCCTTCAAATATCTCAAAATGTCATTTACCCTAAAGATAACAGTTCAGGCGGTTTAAAAGCTAAAATTGATTTTCTGTCGCTTTTAAAGGCTCAGGAACAATCTTTATGCAAAAATCTGGCGATGGGTGGTCCCTATGAACTTGCTAAATCAAACATTACTGTTCTTCGAGCTGTTAAGGATCCATTCACTGCTATTGATAGTGATTTTACAAATGTGTTTACGTCGAACTCGTCAGAATATGTCACTGGAAATGTATTGTATAAACTTGGTGAAGATTTGAGATCAAGATATAGATCATGGATATGTATTAATGATGATTTTTGTACTGGAACATGTATAGTGTCAGCACAGGTCTTTTATATTGTTATAAAAATTTTTATTGTATGTTTTTTCACTGTGTTGTAGCCATAGTTAACTTTATATATCTTTCTTCTTTCACGACAGTTTAAACTGGATTTACTAATCCAACATGATCCAACTGAGAAGATTACAAGAATCAGTGATATTGTTTCCATACGTTTATATAATCCTGAAACTTTGATGGAGATAATTACGTCAGTTCTTAATCCTGCTGTTGTCTTCCGATTTCACATCAATAACGCTGACATGTACGAGAACTTAACCAAAGAGGTTCGTTCAATGTTGTTTGAAACAATGACAACATTATTTAAATTTTTTAAATAAAATTTTGACAAGTATGTTTGTTGATCGTTGTCCTTTCATTGTAATTCATCTTTTACTGTTATTTTAGTGTCGTATGTGGCATAGTAATGCTAACAAATGGCAAGTTGAGGGATGTAAGACGCAACATTACATGAATAAAAATGTTGTTGAATGTCAATGTTCTAAATTGGGTTTCATTGCTGTGTTTCTTGGTAAAGAAAAGCATAACACAACTGTTGCAACTGCTCTTTCAACAGGTCAGTCTCGCTCAAGCAAATCTTCATTTTCTTCTCACTGAATGAGTTATACATAAATTCATAGCTTAAATGTCTTTCTTCATTAGCTTCATCGGAGAAATCTATGATGGTTGAATTTTCATTTGACGAAGACTACGACAAAGTTATTCGTGGAAACATAACTAAAGCTGTTTTCATTATGAAATTGCGCTCATTTCTTGCCGTGCTTCTCAACATTTCACAACACAGGATTGTGAATATGGAAATCAGAAAAGGAAGTATTAACGTATCGTTTATTATTTTACCCAGTAATAGCAGCAACGAAACTTCCGTCAACATGATTGTTTCAAAACTCCAAATGTTGGTGGAACAGAGAGACATCTACTTCACAATACCTGGCTATAATAAAACATTAACTGTTTTTGCCAACTCCTTTAAAATTATTACAGTTGTACCAACAGAGTCGACAACTGCTGCACCAAGTGTCAATGATAAAAATGAGAGACTTACAACCGCTGAAATTATCGTCATTGCTATCGCATGTGTAGCAGTTTTAAGTGCTGTTATTTTGTCACTTGTATATTACTTTACTCGTGTTAAACCATCGCGCACAGGAAAAATTACTCCAAAGTCATCTCAATTACAACTGTCTGAACGACCTAATAATGACACTGAAGGAAAATTTGGCGTTTTAAACTCTGACCATAGTCCAGGTTTGTTTATTTTTCTTCATTCATAAGTTTCAATTTATGGAACACTTCCATTTTCTCCTAAAGGCCAAATTAAAAAGATTATTATTTCACTATTTCTATCCATCATTGTAATGTTTATCAATCTTTTACTCTCCCTCTACTCCCCCATTCAAAAAGTATTCATATATTGTGGTGCTTTTCCATTTCAGATGAAAAGAGTGTTTAAAGACACAGATAAACCACTGATACTTTCAATTAAATTCCTTACATAACTATGTTCAGCTTAGGTTGTGGATTTTGTCGCCTTTTTTTAAAGGACACTAATTAAGATATTTGTGTTTTATGATTTTTCATAAGAACGAGTTTATTTTATATTTTGCTGTACTGAATTGTAAATTGTCTTGTAGCCTGTAGAATTAAAGCAACAGTAAAATTATCATGAAGAATAATCGTAATGTTAAACACACAATATGTAAAATAGAATACTTTATATATAGAATTAATGTCGTGAATAAAAAGCACATCACTGGATAACAAACGGTTTTGCTATCTCGTTTTCTTCTTATTGGATTGTGACTTGTTGTACAGAAGTCATAGATGCTTTTTGTAACAACACGCGAATATTTTTAATAGTAAATCTATTATCTTTATTGTTAATTTGAAACATTTGCCTACATTGATTGCGATCCTACGTTTCCTAGGTTATTATCATATGAAATCCTTAGTCATCCTTATATGCCTCAAGCAATGCTAGGATCGAAAAATGACAACCAATAGCAGCGCCAAAAATCCCAAACAATGCGACCAGCGTGTCAATTGTAAAATGATGCCATTCCAAACGATCGTAACAAATCTTCATGTGGAAAATAGCAGGAAAGATGAACGCTAAACACATTCCAGTAAAGTTACCCACAAGAGCCATGTACAATCCAAAATGTGGAATGATTACACCTGTTAGTAAAGTAAGCGAAATAACGAAACATCTTAGCGTTATCAACGTGATTTGTGTTAGCCTATCAGAGCCTTCGAGTAAGGTTGCTAAGGGAAACCAGGAGGTATTGATATCCTGTAGTAGATCAAAAACAGTATACACTGGAATAGTGTATGAACTCAATGCCAGTCCTAACACTAGAACATTGATTGGCAGATGTAAAAATCCATGTGGAATATTTCTTGTGATGACTTGCTTCGTTTGATCTTGAAAAGTTAAAAAACCAATAATTCCAAAACCCATCTTTACTCCGGTAATGGCTAGATAGGCGACATTGATAACTTGTGGAAACCGTGAAGGTTCCGTCATACTGTCCTCTATAGCTGGCATGTAAGGTTGGGATGCATAACTTACAACAATAATTCCTACTGCTACACCATATTGCGAAATATCAAACTCTGGTACTGCGTTTGTTTCCCAGCGATGAAGGTGCCACAAGCAAAATCCAGTGAGAATTGTATAAACCACTTGACCAATAAGAACTGCTAGAAAGCTTACCCATGACACATCGGTGACTGACTTTAACAGAACATTGGGTAGGACCATTATAGCAGCAACCGCTGTCCAATCGCTGCGCTGCAAGCCCATATGAGGAAATGATTTCTCGAGAATTGAACCACTTAGAATCAAGAGCAAAGTACAATAAGACATTTGTTCAAAGATTTGTGCAAAATGAACCAGTGTTCGACCATAACGACCAGAGAAAGCATCTCCTATCTCTAAATAACTGCTTCTTGCTCGATATCTCTCGCCATTTTTGTTGTAATCATAAAGACAGCTCACTAGAATCTTGTTGGTATAGTTTGAAATCACTGCGACACCTGCAATACTCAGTAATGCCAACCAACCTCCACATTTGACGACAAAAGGCATTGTGAGTACAGCGACGCCCTGATTTGCATTAAATATGTTCCAGAATGTTTGAATATGACTAGATTTATTTTCATCTTCACAGTCTTTTTCATCGCTTTCCTCTACTTCACTTCGTGGGTTCATTAAAAAGTACAATTTCCTTTTCCATTTACTGCGCATTATGTTTTGTTTATCAAAGCTTCTTTTCTGAGGTTATCGTGTACACAATGTTACCGTTCCAAGAAACGTCTTCTCACATTCAGTTCACTTTCTACTGCATCATATGAAATTGCTTGTTGTGCTGAGTAAAGTTTGTTGATTATCCTATACAAAAAAATTAATTGGACAATCGAATTTCAGCTGTTTGAAAATCGGTTTTCATTTTCTTATTTCACTGTTTTCTTTCTATGAATAAAATTTTAAAATATGTTGTTATAAATATTGAAAATATTCTTTACTTTTTCACTTCGTTACTCTTCATGTATCATTAAGATTGATAGTCTATGTCACTGATCTAAGCAATTCGAACTTATTTCGCGATCAAACGTAAGTATGCAGTTTTGAAAACAGTTTGATCTGATTAATTTTCTTTATTTGCACACTGTTCTTAATGAGTTTTACTCATAACCACACAAGTGTCTGAAAGCAGCTGATAATGCAATCAAAACTTTCGCTTCATTTGAATTATGCATGCTATCAACTTTTATCCTTTTCTCTTTGGTCGCAACAAACCAACATTTTCCTAATCTTCCCACAAGTTGGAATTTTTTTTACTGTTTGGTTATGGTGGCCTAAACTTCATTACATATTTCTGCCTTTCGTTGAAAACGTTCTAGAAACTTCTCACGCAGCAATCTTTCATTATCTGAGCAGTTTTTCGATACGTTAGTGTTTTTTATCGTTCAGTTCAATGAAAGATTCAAAAAAGTAACGAAAATGCACACAGTTTGAAACGAAGAAAGCATTTTTTACTCACCGACTGTATATTCCAGAGCTAAAGCATGTGTTTTGCTCAGTAGTTTCTACTTTGCATTCATCTTTTCTGTTAATTCACCTTCCGTAATTCAACTGTCAATATTGCGAAAATTTCTGCAGTTAAAATCCAGAAGCGTTTGAAACTTGTTTTTACTAGCTTGTCTGCCACTAAAACTTCTATTTTCTATAATTTTATTAATGGATCTATTTATGCGTGTGTTTAATCATCGCTATGGCTTGTTTCTTCTCTCCCTCAAAGTATTGCAGCGATTTATATTCACAAATCATTTCTGCGTTAAACACATCATGAATAATAAATTATGAATTATGAATAAGAATCAAACCAATTTACCGAAGCGATAAAAGTTTATTAGGTTTTTGTTGTACTGTTGGAATTTGGTTAGTCTCGCAGATATTCAAATATAGAAAATTTATTTTTACCAAATCCAAATCAAATAAGCGTTTTGATAAAATTCGTTTGCAATGATTTCACAGCGTCAGCCATTTAAGCGATGCAATCATGCAAGCTGTACGTAAGTTATTTCTTATGCACGAGAACTTTGCCATATTAAAAAAGCTCAACCAATACTTCTTATATTGATTGTGCGGTGTTGTTTTAACACATTAATTAATCATTTAGTTTTGACAATGTCGAGGTTATTATTGATGATCAGAAAGTCACGTGACTGTCGTAAAGCGTACTTGCTGCGTACCTATTTTAATCTCCGGGGACTTTCGTTTTTTTTGATCACAATTCGCAAAGCTTCACGGGATGCGTGGTTGGGAAAAGGCAAAATGGCGAGCCAGCGTTTTCTGTTACTTATAAGAAATGGCAGATTAAAACCCCTTGTTAGTGCTGTTAAGGTACGAAAATGTACTTTATTTTGGCGGAAACGTACTTTAGTATGTAGTATAGCTCAAAAGTAATTTTAAGTGTAATATTGTTTCTGCTATACAGAAAAATTTACGAATATAATTTGTCATTGATGTTGTTCACTCAATCTCTTACATAATCCTATCCTGTGATGTAACGTATAAATATTGTTTTTTTTTTCAGTCAAGATGCATTGGTTATGCTTCCGACAATTTTAAAAAATCTACTAAGGTAAACTCAACTTCTGTTGGTATGTACTGTACAACTGTAGGTATGAACAAGAAAACTTACAATTCTTGTGAATGTTTAACTTGAATTGACTTGCAGACATCATTTTCAACATGAAGTAAAACCTTAAGTATTTCTTGTATTAAGTCATGGGTTGCTTTTGGCTTAATGACGGCTGGTGGCAGTGCTTGTGCCTTATTGGGCGCAACTGTGTATGCTGAAGAACTTGGTTTACATCCACCTCATTTTCCATGGTCTCACCATGGTATAACCCAAAGTTTAGATCATGCCAGGTGTGTATTTGAAGTTTGTTTTCATCTGATATTGTTTGTTTTATTAAAACTTTATATCTTTCAGTATGCGTCGTGGATTTCAAGTGTATCAACAAGTGTGTGCTGCCTGTCATAGTATGAAGTATATTGCATTTCGACATTTAGTTGGTGTGACTCACACCGAGAATGAAGCAAGAGCTTTAGCTGAAGAGGTCATTTCATGTATTTTTCTTTAATGAATCTAATAGTAAATTGTTAAAAATATGAATTTGATTTTATTCTTAGGTTCAAGTATTGGATGGTCCTGATGATGAAGGAAATATGTTTGAAAGACCAGGAAAGGTTTAGACAAGTTTTTATTCAATTCATGTATTATTAAATTTATTTCAACTACATTTTTTTGTCAAATTAAATAAGTTGGCCGATTATCTTCCTAAACCTTATCCTAATGAAGAATCTGCTCGGGCAGCAAATGGAGGTAGCCATGTTTACACTAATAATAAAAATACCATTTGTAAAATGCTAAAAATAATCACTCCTTTGTTTATTTAGGTGCTTATCCTCCAGATTTAAGCTTCATTGCAAACGCCAGACACGGTGGTGAAGTATGTTAAATATTATAATGCTTTGTAAAGTTTATGTCTTTTTATGTGAAATGATAACTTTTTTATTATTAGGATTACATATTTTCTATCCTTACTGGTTACTTTGAAGCACCTGCCGGTATTGAGCTTCGAGATGGTCTTTATTATAATGCATATTTTCCTGGCCAAGCTATTGCTATGGCACCTGCATTGTATACCAATATTATTGAATATGACGATGGTTAGTGATGTATTACTATGTAAAATAAAATTATTTTGGTTGCGTTTGTGATGACAGTGATGGTATTGTAATTTTTCTTTAGGGACTCCTGCAACTATGAGTCAATTGGCAAAAGATGTGAGTACATTCTTAAGATGGGCATCAGGTGAGTTGATCTCCTTATGGAGTCTTTGTTTTATCCTTAAACATACAGAATGTCATTATATCAAGCTTTAATTGTTTTTGACTTTTTTTTAACAGAACCTGACCATGACAATCGTAAAAGAATGGGGATTAAGGTATATGTTATGCATTAAATATAAAGTTATATATATTGACTGTTCTAAATGAGCTATTTCTTGCTCCTTCAAGGCTTTGTCACTGTTTTCAATATTGGTGCTGGCATCTTGGTACTATAAACGTCATAAATGGACTGTACTAAAGAGTAGAAAACTTGCTTATTGGGCTGCAACAAGATGAGTTAAACAATGTTTGTACATGTGTTTGGTTTATAACTTAAACATCCTAATTGTTTACCACAAGCACATATTTTATTAATTATATGACAATATAATTGCTTTTCATAAATACAATATTATTTCTCACATTAAAATGCCAGAGTTATTATTTTGAGGTAGCTGTTATAAATAAGGGCATTTTTGCAACAAAAAGTAACTTTTTATACTGAACTAGCTAACGCAGATCAGGGTATCTCTGCAAGCGAGCATTACTTTTAACAATACAGGCATAGTACAGCAATTCGTTTCTCAATATGTTTCAACAATAAAATATCCGGTACAATAATTTATTTCTCAAACTTTTTTTCAGTAAACATCCTAAGTATTTGGAAACATTAGCAATTGTCAATCTTTCATTGTGGCTATGTGTACTCTACGATAGCCTCGTTATTCTGTTGTTGTTACCATCATGGGGAAATAAAACTTCATTTTTCTACATGTATAAGAACGAAAACCTGAAAGAGTAAAAATAATTAGTACAAGTTAAGCATACATTAATTTATAATGTTTTTTTATGAGATATTTACCTGCTAAGTAATTGAGGAAGACTAGCTATAATGGGTCCATAACCAGGTGCATTATCAAACAACTCAAACAGAGGAGCAGCAACCAATTTATAGTTTCGAGGTACAGCAAAGTTTGCTAAAAAGAAAGAATTTCACATTAAAATGATTGTTGTACTTTAGACTAACATCTATGACATAGATGATAACCTTTCTCTCCAAGTTGCATTAAAAATAACTTCTTCTGTTCTTTCGGTTTTGAGATATGTGCTGGAATATATGGATACTAAAGGACATAATGGGATAGAATTGGTAATTCATTATGATCCAGGTTATTGAATTGTGTTGTGTTGTTACCTGAGGTGCCTCAAAATTTGGTCGCCACCAGCTACCTAGACTGTCTTCAATTGTCCAATCCATATCACTCATGTTTTCAGGTCGACCAAGAATCTAAATAATATTACATACAATTAATTTGATCATCAAGAACTTAAAGTAAATTTTTCTTAAAAATACTTCAGTCATGGCTCGTTTTAGTCCTTCATTCTCATCTTCACCAGGCATCAATTCTCCACCAGGTCTATGGTAGACAATGTTCTAATCAAATAATGTAACAATTAAATTCTTTTGTAACAAATACTTCTCACAATTTAAAGAAAGTTGTTCCAAGTTGAAGCAATAAAATATGAGGTAAACCATGTTCGTGGACAATAAGAACACCTTCAACCGTTTTTCTCATTCCAAACTTGTCGTACTCAGCTCTAAACAAATAAGTCAAAATCTCAATCATTGTTATTTTCATTTACATTTAGATCGTTATTTCGGACAGAACCTCATTCTTTGAAATCTTGTGAACACAGAACTGAAATGACGAATAAAAGATATTAGTTGTGCAGAACTTTTAACGACAAATGTAACATTTTTACCAACCTATCTTTTTCATACAGTGCCTCCTTGGTGCCAAACGTGTAATTTGTTAACGGATATCTTCAAGAGAACAGTGGAGTGACATTAATGAGGTACAAATTTCAAGTAAATTTAAATTACATAAACAAGTATTCAATAAACTCGTAACTTGACTAGTAAAAACGACCCTGTAGTTAAATCTTTTACTTACAATCTGACAGTCCTGTCCATAGAATAGTTATTCGATGTTTGTATTGGATAATTCGTAACGCTGGACGTCCTTCTTGGCCAACCCGGTCCTCGTGTAATTGATTCTCTTGAAACCGCCATCTTGATTTCGTATACGTTATTGGCCATCCATCAAAAGGAGGGGAATTCGGAAATTGTCTCCGATTATGATTCTCCGACTGCCAAAGTTCATCCTGCGTGTCACGTGGAGATTGCGTGATGTGGACAATGTTTCAAGACAATCTTATCAAGATAAAGTGAATTTTTTTGAAAGCTTTGCAATTTTGATAAAAGTGAATGGTGTATCTACTAGCTAATTTTCATATTGTTCTTTTAAAAATTTCTGGGTAGTGAGGTTGGTGCAAACAGGCTTCTGACTTTGCATTTCAAGAACAAACAAAGACAATTGGATAAACACAATTGCACAGTACAATGTTTTGGTACTTATTTCAATTGCTAAAAAACAATTTCAGCATAAGATGTGTTTAAATATAGCACTAGTGGTAAGAAACAACCATATAATTTATGACACATCAAAGTTGTTTCTCATAAATAGTCACATATCAAAACATTTAAAAATTAAAAATACAATAACTTAATCTTCACTGTTTACAAAGTCTTCTAATTCATTTTTCATTCTGTTTAAAACATTTTCAGTTAATTTCAAGTGCTGTTTCCTCTCAGCTTTCTGTCTAGCGATATCTTCCTTTAAAATCTGTTGGTATGGAATAAAATAAGACAAACATTGCATGCAAATACCAACAGGTATACAAATTGCAGCACCTAATGCTCCTCCAACAATAATGCCACGAAAACCAGAAAATATTTTGTACACAGTCCCTGTGACAGCTCCAGAAACTATATAGTTCAGCGCATCTTCTTTGTTACGACCAATAGACATTCCTGTTAGCGTGGTGCTGTATATACCTGAATACAGGCCTGCTCTCCAACCCCAACGACTTCCATATTGAAAAAATCCAAGTAATATTGCAGAGAAGTATGCTCTTTCAGCCTGGACTGAATTTTTGTAAACTGTCAGTTGATTGTTAGAAATACTGGTTGCTCCTCGTATTCTGGCACCATATCGACCACCAACCATCATACCAACTAGAGAACCACAGAAAACAACCACAGGTAAATGAGCTATTTCAGGATTAATCACATTGTTCTCATTGATGGAAAATCCTTGTCTTATTCGACCCCAAAAAGTGTTTGGTTGTTCTTCTTGCACAGCTTCTGGCATTATTGCAAAGTATATACAAATTACTGTGATAAACTTGCCATCATTGAAGTTGAATAAAAGAGGACGTAGAATCTGTGTACAGAATCTATGGAACCACAAATGAACCAAATTTTACCTTTTTCACTTGAGACTGCGTTTTCTTGACCAGTGGTGTCTTGCTAATCAAAGATGGAGGACGAAGAGCAAAAAGAGGTTAAACTTAAGTATTTTAATCAAATTATTTTGTTTCTTTTTCTTTTACAAGTATTTTCTTTGTACAGATGATTGCTAAAGATATTCCTAAAATGACCGCTTTGCTATCCGGCCTTAACGAGAAGGTAAAGTTTGCAAAATGATATTATAATAAAATAAAAAACTTGGCATCGTGCGAAATGTGTAAAGTATATATTTCATTTAAATTTGAAGATTTCTGATGCTGACCAAAGAGTTTTATCATTAATCGAGAGGGTCGAAAGTGGATCATTATGTACCATAAAGGTAAAACCTCATTCCATTTTATTATGAAAGTTGTTTGATTTCAAAAGCTGCATATATCTGAATTTTTAAGGGTGTGAGTTTCTTAGAAATGAAATTTCATTTGCTTCTGAGGTAAGTTTTCTTTTTATCAGTATTTTTAAAATGAAAATCTCAAATTGAAAAAGTGAATGTTTTTAAATAGTTACTTGATTAACATGGTCCAGTTGATGCTATTTAAGACCAATGGTAGATCAATTGAAGGTGATCCTGTGATAGAAAGACTAGTTGAAATACGCACGGTAATCATTATCATTTTTTGCATTGGTTTGATTAACTAAAATGATGGTTTACAATTTCTATAAACTTTTGAACATTTTAGGTGATGGAAAAGATTCGACCACTTAACGAAAAATTGAAATATCAAATTGATAAACTTTTAAAAATTGCCAAAAGTGGTCATTCTGGTGGAAAAAATGATCCTCTTAGATTCAAACCAAAACCTGAAAATCTTGTTAGCAAGGTACTATTGTATGCTAATAACTTCATAAATATTTTCAATGATCATGATGCAACATATTGTTGGTATGTTTTTAAGCTTGAAGATACCACAGAAGAGGAAAAGAAGACAGGCGTCTATGTTCCACCAAAGTTGGCTGCAATGCATTATGGTTAGTAGTTTTCCGTTCGCTTTTCATGATATATTACAATAGATCTAAATAATTTTCTTGCTTCTCTATTTACCAAGATGAGGATAAACTTTCAAAAGGAAAAGTCAGCGGAAATAGCCAGAAAAAAAGCTTTAAACAGCTCTTTACTTCGAGAATTAAGAGGTTTGTAATGAGTCAATTCTGACATTTACAGAAGTCTAAATGTCATATTTCTTGTGTTCAGATGAATATTCTGAGGCACCACTAGAGTTGAAGGTAAGTATCATGTTTGAGAACATTGCTATATTTATTGAAATTGACCAAAGTGTTATTGTAGGAAACTGAAATATTTGATCGTCAAAAAGAAAAAGTCCAAGACGAGGAAAAACACCAACAAAGGTTGTCTGTTTTTCTGTTTTGAAAATGAACAGTTTCCTTGAGAATCATCAATTCTGTAACTTACATGATTGTTTTGTCATTTTGTTTCAGATATGAAGAAAATAATATGATGCGTGTCATATCAAAGAAACGGGGAAAGGTATGTTGATTGGAAAGTGCAAAATAGTGAAAATGTCTTATTGCTTTGATTACTGTGAAATTCAGGAAGCTTTTCCCATCACATTTGAATTTTGACTTTTTTTACTTTGTAATATGGTCATTATTCCACTCCTAGTCTTGTATACCTATTTCTATCATTGTGTGTGTGGGGAGCATTGATTTAACATGAAATACATTTTTATGTAGGGTATAAAAATACAAACACAATCATTGGATGAACTGACCAAATTTACTGATCTCAGTATATTAACAAAGATGGCAGTTGATGAGGTAATGGACTAATGTTATATCATTACATCACAGCCCAAAGATAATTTTCATTAATGTTATTTTTGTTTCTGATGAAAGGAAAGTGATGATGATGATGAAACAGCAAGGTAGGCATTTCTTTTTCCTCTTTGATTTCATACTAAAGATTATAAATAAAGATAAAAGAATCCACCTTTCCGACGGTAGACACACATGTCAAAAATATGAGATCAAATTACAAAATTCGGACAATCAAATGGTCGGACATAGTATTGTTTATGTAGAATAGTGGCAATAAAATGCTACGCTATCCTACTTGGGAGATGCCAATAGCAAGCTTCCGCCCATCAGACCCCGAGATCACCTGCGATAGGCTTTGCTCGGGGTATGCAGGGAGAGTGCGGTCGCCACCGAAGTGTGGGCCCCTAAATCACTGCATACTATATCGCACCCAGCTTCCACTGCTAGTTGACATCTCCTATAAGAAGTTTGAGATTTATATATATATATATACAAAAATTCGAAGCAGAATGTGCATGCACAGATGATTTATCTGAAAATTTGTAAGTGAGCGAGCTAATTTGTCCATAATCAGTACTACTGCATACAGTTGGTCATTCCCATGACCATGAATGGGGAGAGTTGGTGGAGTTGACTACACATGCTCAGATTAATCCTCAATTTCTGACTGAGCTCTGAAATTGGTGTTGTATATGTGTTTAGCAAATTTTCAATCATATATTTTTGGCATGCTCTTTGTATTCTTAAGCTTGTTTTGACAAATGCACATCAAATTCATCAACACTTAGTTATGCCCCTCGTCATATCCGCGACAGAGTTAGAATAGTTTTTATTTTTCTCCATAACTTTGTATCTGCATTTATATTGCATGTCATGTCCAAACTTTCCTTTGATTTGACAGAAAATGTTTTTATTCACCTTCTGCCTTTATAATTAGTTGTTCTGGATTTCTAAAATAAGATTTACAAGCACCCCAGGGGCATCTTTCTATTCTACAAATACAATACTCCATCCAATCATTTGATTGTCCGAATTTTGTAATTTGATCCTGTATTTTTGACATGTGTGTTTAAGATCGGAAAGGTGGATTTGGTCTTTATTGCAACTTATCTAAATAACTTATTGTATCCTTCTAGAAAAACATCAAAAAAGAAGCGCAAATCACGGGTTAGAATTACTCTTTGATTGTTTATCATTTTTTAAAGAACCAGAGTAAATTGTTGTAACTATATCTACAATTAATATTGTAACTGTTATTATATTATTTTCTAGTCTTTTCGAAAGTCTGATAACAAAAAGAAGAAATTAAAAGGTAAAACATCATCCATTAGGTATACATAATCATCCATTAGGTATACATCATTATCCATTAGTTATACATAATCATTCATTAAGTATACATAATCATCCATTAGGCATACATCATCCTCCATTAGGAATACATCATCATCTATCAAAATAAATCTCTTGGATTAAATAATTATTTAATTTTCCCAAAATTTTCAATTTATGTACATTTTTCAACTATTGGAAAAGTTTAACTCATGTTTTCTTCAAGGAAACATGAAACGATGAAAATTTACAAAGTTTGTTAAGCAAGAGTCATACCACCACCGGAGTATTCAAGTCTCTAAAGGAAGAAAGATTTTTCAATTGAGACTGGCATAACTGCAAAAAAAATCAAAAGAATTCCACACTCTTGATGAATTTGTGTTGTATGATTTTTTACCTCTTTATGTTCCACAAATTCAATCCAATCTGACGGTGATGTTGGTAAAAGTCCCATTGACTGACATTTGTAAAGAGCCAATAAAAGAAGAGCAATGTTTCCCAGTAAATAAATAATCTTCATGAGAAACGACTGATCACCTTCCAATGTCACAAATGCTATCAATAAAGCAAGTGGTTTACATAGATCAAGATGGGGGTATTTAGGGTTTGCTTGGGTGTTTAGTGTTGGTACCTGATGATATAGAAATTAAAGCTTTGACAGGTTTTAAGAACATCATTCCCACCATCATAATGGGAAAAAGAGAGATTGTATTGCCTGCCATGTACATGATAAACAAAGTCATTGGTATCTGTTTCAGTGGACCAATTGCAATGTCCCAAGATTTCTGGAAGATTTCACATAAAAACAAGTTGTTGTAGGGGTTGCATAAGTGAAAATTAAATGGATAATGCATTTAAACTCACCTTGGTTACTAAATTAGTGTCGATTTCGTGAGCATCCTACAATAATAAGATTTAAAACCGTTAAAATGATAAAAATACCGTAGACAAATGACACGGAAGGGGGAACTTACTCACCGTATTTGTCAATTGTTTATTAGTAAATCCTGCAGGAGCAGCTAGATCTGTATTTTGATGAGACCTCTCTATTGCCATATGCTTTGGTCTACAATAATGAAAGTCAAAAACTTAAATAAACATTAATTGCATACTTACACTGTACACTTTTCAATCATGCGATTAATATACACGGTTTCAAGAATATGAACGCATATTTCATAATAATTTGGCCCAAAGTAGTATCTTTTAGTTTTACACAGGCACAACTAACTTTAAAGTTAAATCTAAGGACCATTTCAAGTTGTTTTTTCCTTTTCCAACGACGTTACGAGCCGCCATTTTTACAATGACCGTGCAGCATGTTTACACTTGGGAGACTGGTGAGTGGTGATGAACTCCCGGATAAAATGTGCATTGTTCGATGGCGGGAATTTCGAACCGCCATTACATTGTCTGTAAATTCCCAACGTGTGTTAGCGACTGGATAATAAATTACGGTATTTTGTATGATTTTGTCGATATTCTCAGCAAGTACTATCAAAATCTGTTAAAATAAGTATATACAGTTTACATTAGCGATTATTGTTTTGTGAAAGCGGTGAGAATCAAGGAAATACCGGTGAGTTTCATACGACATGTGGATAAAATGCTATTTACCATACAAAGTAAATGAAACAGGTTGTTTAGTAAGTCGGCTTATTCTTCAACTGCAATGATTTATAAATTTTCATAAAAATTTCACCATAATTTTAAACCCAACGAAGTGGTACTTGTGGGATTCTATTTCAAGAAATAATGTTTTATTATCTTCTCTGTTCATGAAGGTACATTAACTATGAGTCTATTTCAACAATTCATTGTACTCCTTTCCTTGTGTAGAGCATGGAACTAAGTCCTGAAGTGAAATCATTTGAAGTGGATGTTGACCTTTGTACACCAACTCAAACCTTTGACAATCTACATCGAAATGTGAATGATAAAGAACTTACAAATCTCACCTCAACCACCACTAAGGTAATTGGTAATTTTTATATAATATTATTTTCTTGCCCGCTGTTCTGTCTTGTTCATCCAATCATGTTATGGCATATTTTAAGACACCTGAGAAAGACTGCCCACAGAAGTCATCCAAGCGAAAACTTATATGGCAAAAAACAGATCAAAAGTCAGGTAAGTTTTAGAAATTGTTCCAGAAATGATCTTAATGATATAATGAATTTTACATCATTTATTTTGCACGCACGCTCGTTTTTATTCACAGGAGAACAAAGTGAAATAAAGAAGCAAAAACCTGATTTCAAATATCCAAACAACAAAATAAAGGAAAGCTTAAAGCATCCTCTTACAGAGCGTCAACAACTTGCTTATCTTCTTGCATCAACTGTTGAAACCATACCTCATGATGATGACGAAATGTTTACAAAGATAAAAACACGTGGTAGACAGGGCAATAAACATGTCAATCCACGTGTACTTAAACGAAATGAACGTGGAGAGACAGCTTTACACATTGCTGCAATCAAAGGAGACGTTTTAAGTTTAAAAAGATTGCTAAAAGATGGAGCAGACATCAGAGTCAAGGACTTTGCAGGTATATCATGCTTTAAATACTTTGCGTTTTTGCTTATCTTTGATTATTAAGATTTTTTATTGAGGCTGGACAGCTCTTCATGAAGCTTCAAACCACGGAAGACTTGAAGCTGCAAAACTTTTAGTAAAACACGGTGCTGATGTTAATGCTTCAGGTTTTGAGGGTGATACGCCATTACATGATGCTGTTATAAATGATCACGTTGAGGTAAAGGATGATTTAAAAGTTACGGTTGTTGTTCATTTCACTAAAACGTCATGTTTTACTTTAGCTTGCAAATTTTTTGTTATCTCGTGGAGCTCGTCCTCATCAAGAAAATGCACGTCGAAAGACATGCGCAGATCTCATTCGTAGCAAAGAAATGAATACATTGTTTAAGATGTATGATGTTGACACTGTCTTTGATAATAACCACGTTGAAGTTAACGAAAATAAAACTAAACTTTCTGCTCCCGAAATCAAGGTAAAAAATCTCTCGCATTAACGAGGCGTTATGTAGTGAAAGTAAACGGCGTTCAAGTCATCTTTGACGTCATTATAAATGATCACCATTACATGTTTTAGTCACGTGGTTCAGAACGAGGTCACAAAAGAGGTTCCATCCTTGGGAACGATATACAACGAAGAGAAACACAAGGTATATCAAAGATGGAGAAACCCATTATGTACATATGTAAACTCGAACCCAGTAATGATGAAGTGACCGTGCATACTACCAAGTTGATGACGTCATATGTGATTAATGAACATCGTGGAAAAAAGAGAGATGAACTTAATCATGATGCACTTACGATGGTAAAGGCTGAAACAAATGAAAATGTTGAAGTAAGAAAACCTGATGTGGAATTGAATTTCGGCAAAGACAACAACGGAAAAAGGTCATGTGTTAGTAATGTTAAACAACTAAACATCGAAGGGAAAGAAAATATCGAAGGTTTATCGAAAAATAAACTTTCTTTTCAAGAAAAGAATGACGAGACATCAAAGAACAAATTTGAGACAAATACGGATGAGAAAACTAATGAAAGATCATTTATTGACTTTTGTAGTCAAAATGATTGTGAAGAAATGGTGTCTCAAAGTGAGGAAAAAGATGTTGGCGTGGATACAAATAATTTTGAGTCATCAAAAATTCCTCGAACAGGGTTAAAGTCATCCTGTTTGGATGAACCAAATTTCTCATCAGAAGTTATGGAGGTTGTCATAAGAAAAACACATGATGATTATCACATTGATGATGAAGATAATGGAACTCAATCAATTGAACAAACTTTAATTGAGATGTCAGATTTAATTCATTTAAAGTTAGATAAAGTTGACGATGGTACAAAGGTGGATATGAGTGATAGACGGGACAACAAGAGATCGGAAAGTGAGTTGAAGTTAGAGCATGTTGACGATGGTACAAAGGTGGATATGAGTGATAAAAGGGATATCAAGAGATCGGAATGTGAGTTGAAGTTAGAGAATGTTGGCGATAGTACAAAGGTGGACATGAGTGATAAAAGGGATATCAAGAGATCAGAAAGTGATTTGAAGTTAGAGAATGTTGACGATGGTACAAAGGTGGATATGAGTGATAAAAGGGATATCAAGAGATCGGAAAGTGAGTTGAAGTTAGAGTATGTTGACGATGGTACAAAGGTGGACATGAGTGATAAAATTGAGGGTAGATGTTTACCACCTAAAGTTGAAGGATTTAATGATGTTACAGCAGAGAACGATGAAACTATTGCGGTTGAAGTCTTGTCAACTGGTTTTTTATCAGGATTTGCTGAAGTATGTGTTGATAATTCATTTGATGATCTTCCTTTGAAAAACAATTCAAAGGACGATACATCCACCATAATATGTGTTGATGACTTTATCCAGTCTGATGAAACTTTATCGCAAGAAGAAATCGTTGACAATTTCCTGAAGAAAGAAAATGAAAGGAAGAAGACGGGTAAATAAGTTTTGCGTGTAATAAAATTATTTCAATATCTTTCATTTCTTTTGTGGAGTTTTCGTTGATTTTTATGTTGATGTTTTAGAAGAACAACGTCTTGTCATATTTAATGGTCGTGCGACAAAAAATACAGAAAATTCCGCTGATTTTCTACTAAATCAAGAAGGTCAGAATAAAAGGGGGCCAAGAAATGATACTGATTTAAGAAGAGCAAGAGATGACAAAAAATTGAGCAATTTTACTCTACAGAAAGATTCGAACTTGACATGTTCTAAGTCCTTGTCTAGTCGTCAAACAAAACAAGACTTATCCTGTGGAAATAAAAGTGGAAAACGAAGAAAAGGCAAAAGTTCGCAGAGTATGAACACAAGCAGCACTTCTTGGAGATCACTTCTTAATCATGAAAGATGTCAGTCATCTGAGATCATCGTGCCTGGCTCAAATAAATTTCTCATGAAAACGAAGCACTACGAATTAGCAAAAGACTGGAAAGAAGAAAAGGCATGAATTATGAATTGTGTTTTACCTTTCTTTTTTCTCTCTCCTGCCTAACGTAAAAATTTATTTTTTATTGTCTTCTGATACACGAGGAAAGAAACGTTTGTCATTTGTATCTTAGGCTGTTCAATTATTACCATCATTGGCGACAAAGAAACAAGACGCCCCTGAAAAATACGAAGATGCCAAGGAACACTTATCGAGGAAACAGAAAAGCGAACAGGTTTTTTCCCAAAGATAAATATTTGCGATATTTTTGTTTTTCGTGAACTTCAACAGTTTTTGAAAACATTCCCAGGATAAACTTCAACTATGCTTAGAACAAGAGATTATAAGATATTATAAAAGGAAGGCTTACAATGATCGTAATGAAATGGAACCACCAGGAGCGTGTAGCATTATACAATGGCAAATGATGACATCACAACAAATAAATAACGAGGTATAAAGATTAAATAAAATTTAACTCATTGAAATGAACTGAGAATTGATTACTTTGCTTATTTAAAGAAAAAAAAGTTGGAGAAACAAGCGTGTGCCTCGAAAGAACAATTTGGTTCTGGCATTTACGATGAAATATTTAAGAAGTACGAAAATATTATGGTGAGCGAATTTCTAAGTGTCGTTATTCAAATAAAATTTTTTGAATTTCTATTTGCTCATCAAATATATGTTTTATTTCACAGAGAGTAATGACAATACGACACAAACACGAACAGAATGCATTGAAGGCAGTTTTTAAAGTTCGAATTTAATTGCAAGTATTATTCTGATTGTGTTGCTAACGTTATTTGTTATTGGCTGCAAGTTTACCAATGTGTGTTCTGGAGATTATGACTAGAAGGTTAAATGTTTCTATGTTAGATAAAATGAATGGTGTTTTATCCTTGGTGATTATTAAATTTGAGGCTAAGATTTTCTTAAGCCTTTTTTAAAACAATTAAATTGTACTTTTAAAGTTTTTTCCTCCTAAAATTCATTATTGTCTTTTGAACAAAAAAATATTGGTAACATGTTTTCATAATGCTATTCACAACAAGTTTTCGTTGTTTCTTCTATTGACATGGTTTTCATACATCTGTCTAATAAACATTTTTAAATCCATGATATTTGTACCATACTTTCCAGAAACTTTAACAACAGCAAGTGATGATTTCTCTCGAATATCACCTGCAATGTTATTTTGTCGGCTAAAGTCTTGGAGAAGGTCTATTTTATTGAGAATAACAGCAGCAGGAAGCGTAGATAAACCACATTTATAAAGATCAAGCTCTTTCTTCAACATCTCATAGTAAGAAAGAGGATTGTCTTGCGAAATATCGACGACATACAATAGACAACGACATCGTTCAACATGGCGGAGAAATGAATGACCAAGACCTTTATTCATATGAGCACCTTGAATTAAACCAGGAATATCTGCAACTAGAGAATATATTACGTTGTTCTAATTACTTTTCTACGTAGACGATTCATAGAAAATTAGTGCACCTGCAATTTGGGCATAATCCTCATACTCCACCATACCAACATAAGGATTTCGTGTAGTAAAGGATAAGATGCAACCGCTGGTTTGGCGTTTGAAATTGCACGAAGTAAGGTCGACTTACCTGCGTTTGGGAAACCAACCTGTCGAAAATATAAAAAATTTCGATGATTTTTGTGTACATATAAAATAAACACATTAAAAAACCAACCAATCCTATGTCAGCTATAGTTTTTAGCTCTAACTCAACTATCTTCTCTTCTCCAGGTTCCCCATTTGTGAACTCCAATGGTCGACGATTTGAAGAGGATTTAAAGTGAATATTTCCATAACCACCAGTTCCCCCCTTAGTAACAACAAGTTGATCCTGGGGATACTTTAGGTCACCAAGCAATGATCCATCACATGTTACTGCAGTCCCTAAAGGTACCTAACCAAGTATAATTCAGATGATGTAGTCATAGTATGTTATTAATGATCTCAACAAATTCTACGAGGTCAACCTTGATTATGAGATCATTTCCATTTCTTCCATGACATGATTTGGTTCGACCATTACCTCCATCTTCAGCTTTAAGACATTTCTTCACATGTCGAAGGTGTTTCTTGGATGCATCAGCTTCAAGTATTACATTTCCTCCATCACCACCATTGCCTCCATCAGGACCTGCTCTTCGGTTACCTCTGAAAAAGAATGATAAATTCTTTAGCACCATGATAAATAATGTGGTAGTGCAGTGGTATATTTAATCAAACCTACGCTGTTCTCAGGAGGTGAGCACATCCATTACCACCATTACCAGCTTTCACTGAAACCTTTCGCCAGTCAATAAACTGAAGGTCCTTGAAAATTTCATAAAATTACATCATTTTATGACTATTCAGTGATAATCCTTACTGTATTCAAACACCCTCCTTCACCCCACCCCCGCAATGCCTTGATTGTAACAAAGAAAATTAGGGTAAAATAATTTACTATTACCTTAAAACTAACGTTTGATAGCTTCCTCAGCATTGTATGAATCCATCAAGACTTAACGAAAGTCAGTGGATATCCCCATGCACATCCATGTAGTGACTTAGTAAGACAAAGGGGGAGGTGGGAATAATTTTTTAAGCACGCCCGCGATTTTTAGTGGAAAGAGACAATTATTTCCTGTGGAAGTGAAGCGTCATGTAATATTGAGATACAGCGATGAAAACAACGTGATGGCAAAGTATCCAAAATTTGACTTAAGAAACTATTTCTTTTGATTTATTCTCACGAGAATGCATCGTCCAAGGCGGAAACGAGCCACACGATGTTTGGTAAGTTAGAATATTCTACCATTTATGATAATCATAGTATAGCACTCGAACTATCTTATGTTTTAAGTTTCTAAAAATTACACTATTAAATGTCAAAGTTTCCTTACTGAATGATGAAATTTCTATTCAGGAGTATAATAATGGGATGTTACATGAGGAAGAGGTAGCATTACGTCGTGCTTTGCATGCATCGCTTGCTGCTATCAAAAGTCAAGGAGATGAAGAGGAAAGCAACAGAATAGAGGACAAAAAAAACAACTGCTCCTCATCTAGCGGTATAAAAGCCAACCAGCGGGCAGCAAGTTTTAGCAAACTTGATGAGACCTCACAAAGAAAAAGATTTAAGAGAAGCAATTACGAGAACGCTGAAAGATGTAGAAAAAAACTCAATAAACGTACAGTTCTTGCACAATCTAGTAATGGACATAGTAAAAAGTTTTCACAGCAACCTAGTGTTTCAAATGGAGTTAAATTAAACGAGAAGAAACTCCGTAAGAAAAAGAAACCAGCAGAAAATGTAGTCAATAATAGTAATAAAAGAACTAATGAAAGGTAGAATCATTTATTGAAATAATATCTATTTTTATTGTCGATGTTTTCACAATGTGTATTTTATAGTTTGCCAAAAGTTCGTGTACAAAGAAAATTTGCTCAAGCAAATGTACTAAGTCCAAGGAGGTACATCTGTGAATTGAACTTTTAATTCATTTGATGATAGAAGAAGATTAATATTCTGACTGATTGCTTCTCTTGTGTATTTTAGTTTACATATGTTTCAAAGTCAAATGCAACCAACAACTACGCGTGCTAAAACGGAAGATTTTCTTGATTTTCTTTGTCTCCGAGGTAATTTTATAGTTTTGAGTAATTCTTAATGTTTTTTGTAATACAATGATTGTGTGCAATTGTTATTTTAGGATCAAGCACATTACCAACATCTTTAAATATGTTTAATAATCCTTGTGCACCTCTGTCGCCTTTATCTGATGAAGAAGATGATTCTAAATCATCTTCCTCTAAAATAATCAATGATGATGAAAATATTGATGAACCAAAGTCAAGTCTTCTTGAACAACATTGTGTGTCAAATACTTCATGTAAAACAAACTCTCATATGTCATCACCAACTTCAGCAAGGGCTCAACCTCGTGCTATTCTACCAGAGTTCACAAATAATCATGGTGTATTTTCAAACATTCCCTCTCCAATTTCATATCCATCATCATCTACTACTCCTTGTAAACAACCAGGATTTAATGAATACGGTATCCCCACTAGTTGTCCTGCGACACCCCCCTTGATCCCCATGGGACCACGGTTGTCTACATGTGTCACTAAGTCTTCTGTTTTACTTGGGGAAAGTAAAAGTTTTCATTCTATTGCTGCATCAAGTAATGAAAATGTTGATAGTCTATGTACTGAAGATGAAGGAAATATTGAGAGTTGTAGACCTTTGGAGAAGAAGAAAAGGCAAACCTGTCTGTTTAAGGATTCTTCAGAGATTGATGAGACAAAAATAGCCAAAGATGTGATAAAGAAGAAAGATATGGTTGCCATTAACAAAGAAAATTTTGAGGCATTAAACACTGAAAAAGAAAATCAAAATGTCCCCGTATTTACACCAACCGAGTCGGAATTTAAGAATCCCATGAAGTTTTTTGAGTCAATAAAAGCGAATGTGGAAAAATTTGGTATATGTTTAATCTCACCACCAAAATCATGGCAGGTATGTTTTTATCTTTTATTTTATAAAACATTTCAAGTCATGTTTATGAGAACTAAATTAAACAATTATTTTTATGTGTAGCCGGAGTACTCGTTGTCTGACGAAATACGTTTTACAACCAAACTGCAACGTATACATTGCTTAAAAAAAAAGTATGTTAATAACGATGTTATTTTTTACTTTAATTGTCCTTTATTGTACTAATTAATGATTAATTAAATCATTCTGAAGTGATGTTCTGTTATTGCTGTAGATGCCCTAGTGTTGAGGTGGAGATGTGTGCGATAAAAAATCATCTTGAAGATCAGAATATTCTTTTTACAACTATGCCACAGGTTGGAAAGTCGACAGTTCTATCATTTTAACTAATCAATTTACAACAAGATTACATTTTAAAATATAAATTGCTCATAATGATTTATATACTTTACAGATTGCTGGCTGTGAACTGGATCTTCCTTTTATGTCTAAAGTCGTGGAAGAATTTGGTGGGCTACAACAAGTACGATGTTGTACCAATTAAAAAATAATTTTACCCTTTTTACTTGAAACATTTCTTCTGAAATATTTTATAGATCATCGATAAAAGAAAATGGCACAAAGTCGCGGATAGTTTACGCATACCAAAATCAGTAAATTATTGACAAAAATCTTTTTTTTTGTGCTGTAAATTGTGTTTTATAACTTGCTTTCTAAGTCGATGTCATGCTTGAGTATTTTTATTCTTTGTTTTAGGCGACAGACAGAACAACAAAGTTGGAGCATATTTATTGCAAATATTTGCTGTCTTATGACATGTTGTTACAGGTAAAGTGAAGAAACAAAACTCCGTAATTTTCAATGATATAATAAACGTTTAACGTCAACATTTTTCTCATTAGGAAGAAAAAACACGGCTACGGGAAATTGCTTCACAAGAGTTGAACAATCAGAAAACAGCTTCACAATACCTGACAAAGGTTTGAGGCTCTAAATTTTTTATGTAATAAAACATCTCACTCATGGTGCTTGTTACAAAATAAACAATTCAGGGTCGTTCAATGTCTTTGGCATTGTTTCAACGTAATGCGAAAATATTAAAGAGCATTTACTGCAGAAAGATGAAGATGTGTCTGAAATTGAGGTTTTTTTACATCTATTAAAATGCTTTCGTCAACGTTTGGTCAGTTAAAGTTGATATTCCATGTGCTTTTGTTTAGAAAATATTTGATAGAATATCTCGTGAAGGTGAAAGATACATTGTTGTCCATTCTGCTGAGTTTGAGGGAACGGCATTCCCAACCAGTAAAATGAAGCCGTTTTACAAGTAAACGATTTGATGATTTTTTTAAAAAGGAAAAAACACTACTGTACAACGTACGTCGTCTTGTTCTTATTAAGGTCTAGATGGAATTTAAACATTTTACCTAAATCACCTGGATCGCTTCTCAGAGATATTTCTAGCATTGAAGGTGTGTGTAAAATGTCTTTCCGCTCATTAATCATATTTAAAGAAATAAAAAACGATTTTACATATATTAGAGACAATAGGGATTGATTTTTCTTACCATATGAATTACTTTGTTTTACCACAGGAATTACATGTCCAATGGTAAAGGTTGAAATGGTATTGTCTACTGAAACATGGAGTTGTTCACCTCACCATCTTTATACAATTGAGTATTGTCACCACGGAGACGGCAAGATTTGGTATTCTATCCCAAAGAGAGCTAGAGATCGGTTTCTTCAATTTATTAAAGATGAAAGTAATGATGATACAAATGACATGAACAACTGTATGGTAAGGATTCTTGATCGTTAAATAAGCACAAAAAGAACTTATGTTGTTAACATATAACATTAAATTACCATTGTACAGATTTCTTATGACGCTGTAGCGAAGGCTGGAATTCCTGTTTATAGAGTGACGCAAGATGTCGGTCAATTTGTGGTAAAATTTCCCGAGGTAAAAATTTTAACTATAATTTTTATTCCACTTTTCTATTTTATAGTGTAATGATTCATTGCAATTTTACGTGATGTGTTTCCATTCTTTAGGCCTATCATTCATCTCTGTCGATGGGTTTCTCTGTTTCCGAATTCCTCTCGTTTGCTCCACTATCTTCTCTTTCGACGGTTAAATCAACATTTATGGTAGAAATTATTTTATATGAAATCTGTTTTTATTTACGATGAGAACTTTTTTACATGTTTGTAAATGTAGATCGTCCAGGTTGGTATAGTCCTGAGAAGGACTGTTTTTGTTGTTGTTGACTGACGTTTCGACAACCTTAGCGGTAGTCATCTTTAGAGTCAAAATTGACTCTGGTAGCCATTTGACTCTGAAGATGACTACCGCTGAGGTTGTCGAAACGTCAGTCAACAACAACAAAAACAGTCCTTCTCAGGACTATACCAACCTGGACGATCTACATTTACAAATATGTAACGATACTCCAGGGTTCAAACCATTTACTTGAGAACTTTTTTGCTAAAGTTTCACCACGGTGAAGAATTCATTATTTTCTTCATTAACAGAACTCTCACAATGACATCAATAATGAAAATCATTTATTTTGCTGGGAATTTTTGATAATTACTTCCCTGAAGGAGGAGGTAATGCTGTGTAACAACATGAGTCTGTCGTGTGTTTTTATATATATATATTTTTCTACTTTAGCTGCACAGGAAAAGCAGCGAAGAGACATTAAATTATCTTATTCCTGAAATCGCGGAGTTGAGGTGAGAAAATCTCTATTGAAGATACAGTAATTTTAACCTAGATCGATAAGGCTAAAATATTCCTGCATAGCATTTCATTCATAAATATTTCTACGGTCTATAAACGTGAATGTAACTTCTCTCTCGCAATTATAAGATTCCGGCGTCTATGAGAGGGACCGTGAGAATTTCCGATTATTTCATCAATATTCTTGTAGAAATGTGGAAAGTGATTTAAGAAATCAACTGAAAGAGTATGGATGTCACGAGAATAAGTCGGATAAGGAATCAACCCAAGGTATGTATCTTTTGGAGTATTTTTTTGATAAGAATGTTGGGGAAATAATTTCTTAATTCGTTATCGTTTTACGTAGCAAACATTACTTGCATCTTCTCTGATTGGCTACTGCATTGTGATTGACATTACTTGCATCTTCTCTGATTGGCTACTGCATTGTGATTAACATTACTCTTGTTTAAATGATTGATGTTTAAGATTGTAGTAAGTGTTTGTCTGTTACCCTGCGGACTTTGTTTTCAATTATTCGTTGTTTCTTTAGAAAAGAGATGTCGAGCTCGTAAAATGGACTTGGGTGAAATTGAAAAGTGTTATGAATGTAATGCTTATTGTTTTCCATCAACAGTAAGTTAACTGCAACGCGAGTCGAGGTTATATAACATTCTTATCTCTTGATGCTTCAAATTTCATATTAAAAGATTTCGCCTTAGGTTTTAGACGTAAGAAGTAACTCATTTTGTCTTCGTCATGCTATTGAGAAACTAAAAGATGACAATAGCATTAAACTAACTTTAACATCGCACATCTCTTTGGTAAGATTGCAAAGATTAATCTTTATGAATTCATTAAATATTCAATCAGTAAGAACATATTTTGCATTAGGTTGAGTTGAATCAATTGTTAAAAGAAGCTGAGGAAACCTTACATGAAATTCGTACAACACCACGGAAAGTAAGAAAACGTAGAATTAATGAAGCAGGCAATCAAGGTAATGTTGTTGGTTCATCATAATGATACTGTACATGTCTCTGGATAGAAAGTGAAGGAAACCAGTTTTATAAGGTTAAAAAAATACTGAAATAAGAGCAATTATAAATGTTTTATTGATAGACAAATACTGTTTTGAAAAATTTAGGTATAAATGTATTTGAAATATTTTGTTTGGCATACATAGTTCTGTTTTGAAATGAAAGTTTTGTTGCTCAGTTTGCATTTATTGGATTTGTTCAGTGCTTACATCAACAGCAGTAAAATTATGTAGTTTATTTTAATAAAACAAAAACTTTACATGACTATAGTGTCTCTTAAAACTCTACTTTAAACAAATGATTAAAATATGTTAGTAAATAAATATAACATAAATTATTTACAATAATTGATATATGATACACCAGTAATTTTACTAAAACAGCTACAAGAACCACATTTCAATACAATAATACCCATACATACTTAAAGAGAAAGTAAATAAACATGATTATACTGTATATGAATGAATGTGTTCAGATAAAGTAGAAACAGTCATTCAAGTCACTGGCATTGATGCGTGCCTAAATGAATGACAAAAAAAAAGAGTCATGGCAGTCGGCTTGAGGGAAAACAAAACTCACTATTTCCCCAAGGGAGAATGTACATAAAAAATCTACATCTTTCTGGGGACATTTATCTGGCAAAATTTCATTGTAAATTGCTTTAAGGATGACCACAGTATTTTGAGTTGACTTCCAAGTGTTTTGTTCTATTTCGTTGCTTAATAAGCTTGAGAAATGTTTTCTCATTTTTGGCACCATAACTATTTTATTTGTTATGATATTAAAATGGGCAAGCAACAATGTTTCCTTATGTCCTTGGCAGGAAACAATGCATTTACTCTAAGTCATGTGACTACAAAAGAACCAATCACATTTAAAGTAGACACACCTTTACAACAATAACAAATTGTATACCTACAACAGACAAAAACTAAGTTGACTAATAAGATACCTGCAACTATTTTGGGTGATTTCCATCTCAACCAAAGGATCCATTTCAAACTCTAAATCTTCCGTCATTCATAGGATTCTGGAGAGAATAACTGAAAGTAAATAATTAAATAAGAAGTTAATAAATGAAAGAGACAGGTGAATAGACAGAAAGCAAGATCTATAACCTACCACATTCCTCTGCATGTGAAGAAAACTATTCTTCTCATTTTTTTGTTGTAAAAGAAATAACTAAATGACCATAGACATCCTTCTTCTCCATAAGGATCTGAACTTAGATCAGGATGATAGCTAGAAAAATAGATCAATTTAAATCATAAATAGATATCTACAAACAGTAATCTACTCCAGGTCATACGTACATAAATGACCTACCTATAAACAATGCACTCTGACAGTTGTATTTCTTCTTCAATGGCAGCCCACAGTTGAGATCTTAGTTGGGCATAAGTATCACCAAGAATACCAGTAAGACTGCCATCAATAGCTTCAGCAACCATCTGAACACTTGGTTCACGACTGAACTCCTCTGATTTTGCATGACTGAAATCATAGTCTGGTTGAAATGAAGCATTTAACGTGGATATCAAATAAAACAACATCTTTCTACTACAGGCATCAGCCATTTCTGCTGTATAAGAATCGTTATGCTTTGGTGATACACTGCTTGAACCTAACCCAGTTTGTGGTGGTGAAAGTGCTTGCAAATCATTTGGACTGTTTCCTTCTTGATTAAGTAGCTTGTAGAGCTTTTTATCATTGCCAGCCATTTTGCATGAGTAACTTTCAATTCTAAATCATATTTACAACAGGGACACGGATGATTAAATTAGCCCTTTCCTTGCTAAATACTTATTTACTCCTACTTACCTTCCGTCGATCTTGACATCCCTAGCTTGGAGCGACAAATTATTTGTCAAAGACTCAAACTTGGCATTTTCTAGCAGCTTCATAGTATTGCACTGCCGATGAAGATATCTTTTGTTAGCTTTGTTTACGCGGTAATTTTGACAATAAACTTTCACTTTAGTACAACGATGTGTTTAGCCAAGAACAACATAGACAACAGAGGACTTCTTTAACATTAAATTGTTTTTATAAAAGACCTTCTTTCCAAAAAGGCTGCTTGTGTTCAAGAAGCGAAATAATTCTTTAGACACATTTAATATAAACACAACAGACCAAAACAGAGGCGAGCGTAATATGACAGTAGTAAATAGTACAAACGACGTCTTAGAAAATTCCGATAAATTGTACAAAATGTTTCTTCAAAATAACCGGAAAACTTTCCTTGAACTACAGCTGTATCTTCTCGACCGACAGGAATAACATAGACTTCAGATTAACTTAAATATTAACTCTTCACAAATGACAATACGCAACGAAATTTTTTCACAACAAGTACGTTTGTTTCTCATTCCCGGGCTGTCCGCGAATACGTCATCATGATGTCATATAAGTGACGTCAATATTTGTATTTTACATTTCAACATATAAATAATTCTTGATATTTGTTTAAACATCTTCTTTTAATGATTGCAATGCATTGGTAATTACATGAACATCATTGCCAGTATTGTTCTGATGTTTATTATTCTCTAAGGAAAAGTGAGCAATTCTTTGAGATAGATCTTCCCAATGTAATCTTACTCCTTTCATAATTTTATTCAGTTTATCTTGGATAGGTACATTAGGTGTAAGAGTCACTTCATCTATTGAGCCAGCCTTTATGACGATTTCCATGTTCACAATGATACCAGAATTGAAAGCAAATGTCTTTGTGATCATAAAAGGAGAAGTTTTCCCATAAATCCATTCCCAAGTCATCAACTCATCTTTCATTTTAGTTATTTCATGAAAATGCTCATCAAATACATGCATTTTCAGAATCTGGACATCGTCAGTTCCAGCATAAGTCTGAGCAATACAATTCATTACTTCATCTATTTCTAATGATTTCACTTGATCCTTCAGATTGGTAACTACTGATCTTACACTTGCTGTTGATTTAGACGTAACTGTCATTTGTGATGTGATTGATTTTGTCAACTTATCAAGGTCAGTATCACAAAGTATCGTGCAATGATGATAACTCGAAGATTTTCCTAGCTTTGCAGCTGAGCCAGAAACCTTAAACAAACCATCCAAAATTAAATCATCTCTTGATGATAAATCTATGTCAAGGCCCCAAGTTTTTGAAAGAGAATGGGCTATTAATTGTAAATTTTTCTTTCTGTCATATTTTGATCGACTTGTCATGAAAGTGACATTCAGATTTCCCATATCATGATAAACAGTACCACCACCACTATGACGTCTGGCAACTTTTATCTCATGCCCTTTCAAATACTTCAAGTTGCATTCCAGCCATGGATTTTGATGTCTGCCAATCACAACACTCGGTAGATTTTGCCAGAAGTACAACACGTCATGATTTTCAAAATCTATATTTTCATACATCCAGTTTTCATATCCCAAATTCAAATACGGGTCGTGGAATTGTGATTTTAACACAATTACCCTTCCTGAGCAAGGAAAAGTAAGTCTACTTCTATTGTTTGAGTAATAAGCTACTATCTGATTAAGCTGATTCGTTACAACGAAACGTTTTTGACGGAACATTTTAAAATTTTACGCGAACAGAGAAAGCGCACGCTTCGCCCATGTCGAGCACAGAAGATACGGGACAGTCACGCGGGAAACAAATAACATCTCAAAGACAACAAGTCAACATTTGTGAATTAAAAAGATGTGTTTCTTTCTCAACTTTTGCTACGGATACTTGCATCTTAACTGTAAGGTTAACTTACCAGTAAGAGAAATTATTACTATTCACTTCCTGTGGTGACTTAATGCACAAATGGTGCTCAACCCTCAACTTCTCACTTTTAATTTTTGTAGCATCATGAGGAAGTCATCATTATGAAATGGAAAAATATACTGGGGAAACTTGTTGTTCCTTAAACTATGAAGAATATTTATCTAAAAATGAAGGCATATGATGTACTGGTAAGAACTGTCATCTTTGTAATAAAACAATAAAACTTCATGTATTCAAAAAAATTTTAAATCCAAAACCTGATATACTAAGTTTATACGGAGGCATTGAAGGTGGAAACTGAAAATTGTCAACCTTCTAGTTTTAAAGCATCAAAAGATTTTAGCTGAAATAACCAAATTTTTACTTCTTCATGTAATTTTGAGATATCAATCTTTTCAGGAAGTATTAATTCTTCAGTTGCTATGGTTGACAAGTGTTTAATAGTTTTTAACAAAAGTAATCAAGCAGCTTGTCCATAATTATGTGGATTTAAGAAATAAAAATTTTACAAAGGTTATTGAAACATAGCAGTAGAAATAATATATGACTATAGGAAGTTAGGTTTACATCTAACCAGTGATTGTTCGAAATTCATTAGCTTATGAGCAGCTTAAAAAATCTAATTTTCCTTTCATTTGTTTTTGAGATATAAATACAGACAACTTTTGCATTTGAATGACTTGTGGCAACTGTATTTACTTAACAGAATTAAATCTGCTAGATGAATATTAACATGAGAGTTAAAAAGTGTTGAATAATTTGCTTAATTTGATGCAACACATCTTATTTCAGGTGTATGTTTTAGCAAGCAAGCCCAGAAATTCCTATTTTATGATAAATATGAAATTTCAGTAAACAGAGAAAAAAGATCTTTCAAGGTTAGTAGGAGATTAAATTACCATTCTATGCAACCAAATTTTAAAATGATTTCATCCAAAATGGGGCTTTCATTAGTACAGACATGCATTTGTCTTTTTTTGTAATAATTTTATATTATAAAATAATGATACCCAAACAGAAAGACCTGTTTACATGTGATAGTTATTTTGGAATTTCATCAAAATCTCATCAACTTTACACAGTGATCTTTGTGAATGTTGAAAAATCTGCTTGAGAAGAACTTTTACTAAAGAAAAATATCGATATATATTTTTACTATTCCATAACTTCGTTACATATTATAATTACAACTTCAATATTCTCCAACATAACAAAACAAATATATATATTTATAATACATCAAACAAATATAAATGCTCAAAGAGCCAAAACATTATAACTATACGAACGTCTTTTCGTCTTTTCGTTTCATTAAACGTAATAATTGAATGTCAACATGAGTCAGTGCATTCGTTGCAACAAAACAATATCATTATTTTTGTACCTTTTTGATTGTACGTATTTTTTTGAACAAACAATTGATATTCAACTGAACGAGCGTTTGTCAAACGATCCCATCTTGATTAGTAAATCGCCAGCGAACGATTGCGACTTTAAGAAGAATCATAAATCGTTTGTAATCATGAAATTTTTCTGAAGTTGTACCTTTAAGAAATGATTTTCTTTTCTTAATGCTGCATTTTCACGTTTAAGTTCATCTATATATTGTTCGTTCTTCTCGTTGTTCTTTTCTAAAGAATTTTTCTCGCTTATTCTTTTAAGACGACAGGAATGCGCATAACCACGATTCTTCAAAGTTCGTCTTCTTTTCTTTATGTCATTGACGACATTTCTCGGCAGTCCTTTTAATCTAGTGTTGAGTTGCTTTACACTCAACACTGTTAGCTCGTTGTCTTTTGGTAAGCTCGATGTTGGAAAATCAAAGTTTTGTGGTATTGCAGGTGATGGAACTGCAGATCCACCGCTTGTTATGGACTCGTTATCTGAATCTAATTGTATGAATGGCACCTCTCGTTGTTCACCTGTTGAGCTTCCATTGTGGTTGCGTGTTGTGTGTCTATCGTGAGCGTGACTGTCAAAAATATCTATATCATTTTCGTACACGTAGAGTCACAGCCATCGTTGAGAATATCCAAGTACTTCATGAATTCTGGTCTTGCAGCTAAGTCAGGCAAATGTGTCATATTTGTTCTATAAAGAATACAAAATATTTTGGTAACTTTATGTCTACCCTTTCTTCTTCTAATGTAATACTACAGTGAGTGGTGTGGAGGGTTATCGAAGAATGACCTCATCGAAAAGTTTCGCTGCTGTTCAGCGAATCATAAGCTGCCTTATGTAGGCATGTTTGTACTCGCCTGCCTTGTTGAGCGTGCAGAAAACCGGTTTGACCGGAACTAATAATTCACAATGTACAAACATTGCATCACACCCAGGCAATATTGCTATGATGAAATTGAATATGTGTTTTACAAAATTTAAAGTTCCCATGCTAGGGCATGTAATTGATTATACTAACATAAAAAGTTTATCTTACACGATTTTTATTCTAGAAAACGCAGAAACGACGTGTGTTTTCCTCGTGCTACAGAATAATCGCATAGTATGACACGCTTGATATGTTAAAGGGGATTTCCCTCTCACACAAATATGTCATCGTTAATCCACAAAGGGGAACAATTACGGCCCATGAAAGGTTTTAATAAAAGGCGGAAATATTATTATATTTTACGAAAAAATGTTTTTTTCCACTTGATTGTGTTGCGTCTAGTGCGATTTTGTCTTTCATTACTTTGTTCCTTTTTTGTTTTTGTGCTTGAAAAGCATGCACTGCGTCCTCAGATTGGAATGTCTTGCTTATGATATTCTGTCGTCAAGTTATTCTTAAAATATTGATTGCTTGATAAATTATTGTAGATCTTTCGATAAATTGAAACTTATACTTTACAATGTGCAAACTCAAATCATTCGTGGTAAAACATTTTTTCTTTCGTTTATTCGTAAACCTTAAAATTTCATTTAGGAAATTTGATCTATTTATTATGAATACGTTCAATATTTGCAAGTTTTACGAGATTCAGCGCTTACCTTAATGTCTTCTTTCCTTGATCAAAAACGATATTTTTACCACTTCGTTCCTTCAGTTGCTTCTTCGATGAATGTCTTTCGATAATGAACAACCTCTGTTGTTGATTCTCTTCATTTATACTTTGGCCAATGGTGTTTTACTTATAGCACAATGACGTGATGATCTATAAACGGACGTCTGCCAATAGAAATGCGCCCCGTTGTTTGCATCGTGTCTGCGCGTGCCATTGTCTTGCATTGAAACTTTTAGAAGACGGTGAGCCTAACACATTATATTATGCACCAATTCCACAGTTGGTGATTTTGTGGAGCACATCGTTTCTCGATTATAGTTTTCTTGACAATCTTTCATCATGAAGTGTGGCATGCCCTATCACGTTTAATGCGTTTAACTCAGTGGCATGGTGCCTAGTCATATGTTACGTGGTCTCTTTGGTCTCTGGACCCTAGCCTTTCAAGTATATTGTTATTTATAAAATTATAATCAAAAGATTCTTTGTTAGCTTCTCCATTGTTACAGGAAGTCTAGTGTTGTCAACTGAGAAAACATTAAATACTTTTTTGGATCAATTAGAAGAACTAGAATGTACTTATATAGCAGTCATAAAATGAACCTTGACATTAAATGTTTGATGGCTTCGTTGTGATAGAAAATTCCAAACTAAGATCTCTGTTAAAGAAACGAAGTGTTTTACGTGTTCCATTTTTATTGTGGCTACAAGCCACCCAACAAACATCACTAAACCACAATGTTAAAAGGTTGAAATCTTGATAAAAAGACTAATTGCTACATGACGTAATTCCACAGCGTTCTAAGTCGGTTGAAGCTTTTACAGTCATAATTGTTTTTTGTCATAAATAAGATAATTGGATTAAATCCTAACACATTGTCAACGAAATGACAGTTAAATGTGTGCAGAAACAAATGAACATTCCCCCTCCAGTAAATATATTCATATTGTTTAAAGTTAGTTGTTTGAATTGAAACATTTATCCGTTGACAGATATCGTTATCTGGCGATTTCAAATCTGTATTGATTAAAATATTTTTTATAGAAATGGTGAGAACTTCTCAAGCTCTGTGTATACTGTGCTGGACATTTTAGGTATGAATATCTATCATATTTCTTTTTTCTTTCTTTTTGATTTACGGTTAAATAAAAAGTTGACAATACGCATTCTGCTCACAAATTGACCATTGCAAATTGGTCATGATATAGCTACGATGATAAAGTCTGTATTTTAAACTCAAGATAATCTCAGTACGTGCTAATCATCGTTAGCAAAATGACTTAATCCGTTTATCTGTACAGACGTGTTCATATGACTAAACGACACAGATCACATGTTAATTGTGTTTCATGTATTTTAACTCCCTCATCACAGCGTGATCTTTGCGTTTATGTTTGCTTTTAACACTTTATCAATCACCTTTAAAGTAATTTCACCTTCATATTGTCTGTTACCTAGAAAAATCGTTAATTTTAATGGTCTTTCTCAGAATTATGATAGTCCAGAAAAAATATTGTTAATTTTAGACAAAAAAAATTCCAAGTAAAAATGTTTCTTCTCTTTTCTTCATCATTTCATTCGATAAAATTCAAATTGTTTACTTCCTTATAGCGAGCAAAACGTAATGGTTGAACGATGACTTCGTGCTTTAAGCCTTAAACTAACATTAAATAAACATATTTTTCATTTGAACATGTAGTTTTCAGTAATCACGGCTTGTCGTCTACACATCAAGACCTTGAATAAAAGGTGTAAATGCAATGCTAAAAATCGTATTAAATTCTAATTATAGACGTCAAACAAAGACAAAATAGATGATACTATAGCATTATAAACGATGGCGGAGGACGGTTGTCTATTTTCCGTGGATTATCTTATTAATGATATACAACGTTTGTATTGTAAAAAAACGAACGTTTCAGAGATAAGTTGAGTAATGATTGATAAGAAAAAAATCAAACAAAGGGATCCTTTTCAATCATGCGAGGACAAAAAAAACAACTCTGAGGCTTCAAAAGAATTTGATAAAATACTCAAGAATGTCGTAAAGACAATGGCGAGGTCTAAGATTTTACAAAATTCATACGGAAGTAACAAAAGGACCTTCTCGGGGAGTCTTGAAGACAACAATAAATCCTTTTACGGTAAAATATCTCAGGTATGTATCAGTGGGTTTTTTTCAATATTTACTCTGTCTTTGTTAAAACCTTAAGATTATTGACATAGGTACTTAATGCTCCTAGAAAGTTGATCATGCATGTCCTTGGTGAAGTGGTTGTACAATTGGAGAAAACAATAATGCTCCACACATACGAAGGCTCTGAAATCACTTTCAATGGGAACTTAGAAAGTATTCGAGAAGAAATAGCTTGTGAAGTAGATGAAAACCTTAAAATGAAACATAGACAAGCACTGCAATGTTGTATAGATAAATTGAAATATTTAGGTTGGTTTATAGACTATCATGTTGCATTTGGAAATCATATCACGAGTCGTTATGGTACATCGGTGCACCTGTTTGGTTTTATGAAGTACCTAATCCTTTAATCGAAAATGCGCAGCTTTCTCGGATTACGTCAAAGCTTTCACGACAGGAGGAAAGGTTACACATGACAACTATTCTCAGTTGTCTTTTTTCTTGCTTTAGAAGATGGTCGAAAATTATTCTTCATTTCTGAAGATAGTTATTTTACTTCAACATCGTACTGTCGTAACTAACTTGTTATTTCATTTAATGAGCAAGATTCGCAAATTAAAGACGGATGGTATAGCTTGTAGAGGGAAAACTCGTGAAGTGGTGTTCACGATGGAATGAAATCAGTACGTCATGTAATGTTTCGCGACTTGGATACAATACACTATGACATGGAATTGTCGTGATTTTTTTTCAGTTAACCTATCTCATTCCCAACAATTTCCCAACCATATTCCTCTAATTTCGCAACACAAATTATGAAGTCCATTATTAAAAGACAAGTCAAAGTATGACATATTTAAACAAGGCGAGGACTGTCGAGAACAGCTCTTAAAGACACAACTCCACCATCGTCATGTTTAACAGCCTTTGTTCGAAGCAAATGACCGACAGTCTTGTTCTCCAAGATTTCTTTCTCATTACTAACAACAAGAACAGAATGCTCACATGTTTTGGTTGAATTCACGATAAATAAAGAGAAACAATTAGTTTCAACTTTTCATACCTGATAACGACACCAAACACTCCTAATTCACATAAAACATCTTCCTCCAAGAATTCTTCTTTGTGAACTTGTATGATGTAGTTTTTCAAAACGGGAGGACGAACCTTCTCCATTAGAACATATTGTGTTCTTGAACCGTCGTTTTTTGAAAGAACCTCTAGTATTTTTTCACCATAAATGTTGTTACCTGAAGAAACACGGCTAATTTTAAGAAAAGAATGTGCCATTGATCGTAAAAATTGAAATTACAAATATCTTCACCTCCTCCTTCACGTTGAGGTTTTACAACGAAACGTTCAGGATTTTCCAATGCCATCTTCACATTTTTATCACCTTCTTCACCCTTCGTATGTAAAATGAGAGATTTAGTGTGTGTGACGTCACGATGATAATGACCTAACGTACATTATCAAGAGTATATAATCCAGCAAACGTTTTTCTTATTTTCTTCACTCTTTCAGGTTGATGAAGGAACCTAAGTGTTATCAAGAATAAAAATTTGCATTTGATGCCAAGGAAGGAGTCATTTCTTTGAATAATCACCTTTCTAAAACTTTAGGTTCTGCTAGAACTTGTTGGATTTTCTTTAATCCAATAAGTTGATAAGCTATTGTTGGACATTTTATTGCATAAGATCTTTCAATCTTCAATCTTGCTGACCATTCCTTGGACATAAAGCTTAGTGAATATGTCATATAATCCTATGGCACACACAAACAATGGTTTCTTTGTTGGTTCTTTATCATTTTATTACCGTTTCTGAATGATAATCATTAGGTGTATATCCTGCTCTGAAATATACAACAGCAATCTCTTTTTCCTCCCTAATATATAAAATAACAATGCATAAAATATAAACAAACATTTTCAACAAATAGCTCATTTGTAGCATGTCCAACTATGACTTACATAAATAAAGTTTTATCACTTTTTAATGTACCATTCATCTCAATTTCTTCCAAAGTACATCTAATCATTTTAATTGCAGGATTGCTAATAATAAAAGCCTTGAGTTAAAATTAAATCACAGAACAAGGACAAATCATGGAGGCATCTTAGTTTCTACCATTTTTTTATAGTGTATTCCAACAGCCTTTGGTCAGCTCTATTTTTTTCACCTTTTTGCACAACCATCAGAATAACAGCACTGAAAGGTGGTAATTTTCTTCATGAGTCAAAGCAAACAACAAACTATATGTATGCAACAATTTATGTGAAATAATTTTCTAAAGCAGTAATTAAAACCTTTTCTTTTCATACAACTCCCAAGCAAGGGCTATTCCTTGAGCAAATCCTTTGGTAGCATCATTGGTTGGTAGCTGCTCAATGTTGTATTATTGAGTTAAATGTTAAAAGACAATAATTTGAGATCATATTCAATGCAAAGATCACCTTCTTGTTGTCTGAATCAAGGTTTCCCTTGTAGCTTTTCTCTACGTATCTTGAAATAAAATCATACATGAAGAAACATGTCATAAAGCAATTAAAATTTAATAGTACATTGTTTGTTACCTATGTAAATCAGTCATTTGGGGACCAAGGCCACTAAATGAACATGAAATGGTATTGATTTCAATTTGCTTTATCTCATATTCATCTTGAAAGTGTCCATTCGTGTTTTGAGACATGGGATTCATCATATAGTCAGAACGAAATAGGCCCAAAGATATTTTCTAAACAATTTGTACAAACATTATTTCAATATAATAATTATCATAAGACATTTTATAACATACTTGAGTAATTCCTTCTCTGACGACTGTTTCCAGAATATTAAATAGTTTCTTGGTGAATTCATCAGCAGATATTGTACTGCAAGTTTTAAAGTAATTCTATAAGAACATCCATGTATACTATAAACATACCACACCCTTAAAACCCATATTGCATTATGTACATTGTTTTCTTTACAAAATTACTTACTCTTCTAATCTTGATTTTAAAAATTTGAAGTCTTTACTCATACAATCCACAAGTAAATTAAAGTCTTTTTGCACATCCAGTCCTTGTAGAAACAGTTTTTCAGGAAAAGGAGACGCAAACAACGTGAAAGGTGCGTGTGAAAATACGTTTGCTTGTGTCGAATTGCTTGGGATCATAAGAATACCATTTGTAACTGCATAATCTTGCGCTTCTTCTACTAATGATTTTAGTATTTTGGGGGGAATATTTCTTCCTTGGTGTATCATATCCATGATGTTGTCGTTTCCTGAATGTTCGACTTAAGATGTAAACAATAACCTAACTATAACATTGTCTTAAATTTAATGTATGATCTGATAAATGACCTGAGGTAAGATGAATTGTTTTCTTCTTAAATAAGTCATGTGATAAATATTAATTATCCCGATATTCTTTTTCAGGTCAAACAACTGGTAAACTCAAAGAACTAGTTTAACTAACTCACGAAAGGCTCATCAAATCAACCCCCGTGTGGCCGTAGAGTGGATCTTAATATTTAGGGGGCTGGTTACTTACAGTAAGAAAATGGAGAAATTATTATCGTCAGCGAGTGAAGATGGCATTAATTTAGATTATGTTTGCTCTGTTTTTGTTCAAATAAATGAGCTAAGAAAGGAAGGGAGCTTCTGTGATGTTATAGTTGAATGTGACGATTCAAGCAAATTCCAAGGCCATCGTATAATCTTGGCTTCAGCAAGTCCGTACTTCAGAGCTATGTTTTCACATAATATGCAAGAATCACAACAAAAACTCATCAAAATTAGACAGATCGAATCTCGTGTTATGGAAGAACTCTTTAACTTCGCCTATTCTGGAAAGAGTAAACTTATTTCAAAGGATTTAGAGTTTGTGGAGAGGTTATTGATTGCCTCCAATATGTTACAATTTCAGCAAGTTGAAGAAGCATGTGTTCAATTTATTAAAGATCATTTAAACGTGAAGAACTACCATAAGTTTTGGCTTCTCTCTCAGCAACATCCTCAAATGGCTTTGAATGTTATTCTTGAGGAATTTATCATCAAACATTTCTCTAAGATTTCTCAGACTTCAGGTAATCTATTTCCACTTACTTTAAATGATTGAATCTGAGTTAAACCTATCATTTAGAGCTTTAGAGATTTCTGAATTCATCCATGTCTCACATCAATTTCTTTAAAATTTTGGTTAGCCCGTATTTTTTTTCAGCCTTTGTTGCTTCTTTGTTGCACCTAATTTCTGCTTTTTTTATCAGATTCTTTGACATTGTCTTTTTAAATTGAATCTCATTTGTCTTGTTTTAGCTTTCCTTGAGCTAAGTGTGAAACAGCTTGAGATGTGTATAGTGCGTGATGATCTTTGTGTCAGCTCAGAGGCTCAAGTGTTTGAAGCAGTGATGAAATGGATAAACCATGACAAAGCATTAAGGTCATATCATATGAAGTCATTGATTTCTAAAGTTAGATTGGCATTATTAACAAAGTCCTATCTAAAGGAAAATATTATAAAAAAAGATATTTTCACATCAGAAGGTTAGTGAAAAAGCTGGCAAACAATTTATGGTTAACATCTAAATTTTGACACAAGTCAATCAATTTTTAGATAACTCTCACATGCTAAAAGATGCATGTGATTATCAGGACTTTCCCGAAAGACGATGTTTGTTGCGTAGTACAAACAACTCTCCACGAAAAGGCACACAGTGTTACATTTATATAATTGGTGGTTTTGATCGAGTTGAGGAAAGGTTTTTAAACACGGTTGATTGTTATGATACTGTTGCTAAATGTTGGTTAACTGTTGCACCAATGAGAACAGCTCGTATAAGACATGGAGTGACAGTCTTGGATAACATGATATACGCTGTTGGAGGACAATGTGATGATGACATATCTGTAAGATCAGTTGAAAGATATGATCCTGTTGCTAATGTGTGGTCAGATGTCACTCCTATGAATGCTTGTAAAGGTATTTTAATACTCAAGTAATTTGAAAAGACGACCATCTCATTCAGATCTTTCCCTATATTCACCTGTTTCCTAAATACCTCTTCCAACATTAATCTTCAGTAGTTGTTTTATTTGGATTATTAGATTTTCATATATATGCAGACTTAAAATTTTTCATATTGTTTAATACAGGTCAACTGGCAGTTGCAGTTTATGATGGTAAAATCTATTGTATTGGTGGAACAGATGACCTTCTTAAGGTCAGTCTTAATTCTGTCGAATGTTATGATCCAGTTACTAATATTTGGACTCTTATGTCACCAATGCCGACAGCTAGAGGGGCTCTTGGTGTTGCCACTTTGAATGAAAAAATCTATGCTGTGGGAGGAGGTGATTTTAACGTAGCACTGCATACAGTTGAAGTTTATGATCCAAAACATGACAGTTGGTCATCAATTCCTTCAATGAATTATGCAAGGGATGTTTGGGATTAACTTGTGTTAACAATAATCTTTATGTGTTTGGTGGAGCGCACATGCGCAATGGTATGATGACGTATTTAGAGGAAAGTATTGAATGTTACGATCCTAACGTGAACCGCTGGATGGTCGTATCAGGGACAGAGGTCTCATGTTGGGGGGTAGGGATATGCAATGTTGCATCTAGGGATAATGGGGATTCGTGTGAACTCTTCGTTGTTGGTGGAATTTATGAATTTACGGAACGTGATAAGATGTTACGTGTTCATGTTTCGGAAAGACAAATTTTCTGTGAACCATTTCATCAAGCTAAGGAATTGAGTTGTCGTGTTCATACAGGAGCAGTAACGTTATGTTTGCCACCAAATTCATCATGACAAGAACTATACGACCTTCATACATTCACATTTTGTAGCTCATTTACTGATGATAACATAGACACAAAATTTTCTGATATGTGAAAACATTAACAAAAAATAAAATGAAAGCAAAAATATGAGAGCTGTATGTAACAATTCATAGATTACGTCATGTCAACATGATGACGTCATGTCAACATGATGACGTCATGTCAACATGACCACCTGTTCTAACTCATTATTTATGAATCATTTCGCTTCATTTCTTGTATAGAAAATCTTGATTAAGTAAAAGATTTAACGTTATTTTCTTTATTGGCTTGATGAACGTAAACGAATCAACACGGCTGTAATGATATGTTATTTTAAAGTATTTGTCTAAATCCTGCTAATGACTATTTCATTTCAGTTCAATTTTTATTGCTTTATGTTGATGAAATTGAATGGCCGAAAATGATGAATCAAGATGAAAGAAGGATATAGTTTCATCTTTCATCTTATAATGTTAAAAAATGTGCAGTCGTTTTGGCTTTTTTCATGTCTCCATGGAAACCACCATGGTCGTCCCGGTGATGGATGTTCTGTTTTATGTCAATGCAAGTCTCCCAATGTTTGCGAGGCTTTACGACAAGTTTGCGTGGAACCCTCGCGGTATATGGATACATGCCATTTGACAAAACCTTGTGCAGTTGGTCTTTCCTGTCAACCTGGATTGCAGAGATGTTTTAACAATCCCAGGAGTCTTCACGAACCCTGCTCTCTTGGATTCTCGTGTTCTTCAGGATTGAGTTGTGCACCTGGCTTTCAGGCGTGTTTTCATCATCCTAGACGTGCAGGTGAACCGTGTAGTGCGGGTTTCCCTTGTGCTACTGATCTCTCGTGTCATCCTGGATTACAAAAATGTTACCATAAGCCTCGTTTGGAGAACGAGCCTTGCTCAGCTGGTTTCGAATGTGCTAGCACTTTGTCGTGTTTTCTTTGTGGTCGATTGGTCGCTACCTGTGAAATAGCAAGGGTGCCTTCATTTAGCAAAAAAGTATGTTCTTTTATATGATGTTCACTTATAACTGATTGGTAGTTTTCCTTTGATTCTTTATACATTTGAAAATTTGTTCTCGTCTTTTTAGGATTTGCAGAAACCGTACAATAAACTTGCCTTTCTTGTGACTCATAATTCCTTTAGTTACGGTATTAAATTCGGCATCTGGGCTCATAATCAGCGATACAGCGTTACCAAGCAACTATATGATGGTGTCAGAGGTCTCATGTTGGATATCTATCCAGGTAATCAAACAATTCAATAGTAGTTCAGTAGTATTGACATACTCCGAAAATCTGTGGAAATGTTCTTCACTAACATAGGCTGGAATGGCGTTAATGTTCGTCTTTGTCATGTCAGTTGCATCTGGAGCGGATCATCTGATCTGATTTATACGTTAAAAGAAATCCGTGAATTTCTTAATCGAAATCCTGAAGAAATCGTAACGATTATATTTGAAGATTACCTTCGTAATCCAAGAATATTACGGAAGGTGTTTGATGATGCCGACATTTCAAGATTTGTGTTCACGTCCAATTATTGGTCGGAGTACGAAGATTGGCCGACACTTTCCACGATGATATCTCTGGGTCGTCGACTGGTCGTTTTCAGTAACGTTGGTTTGATTGGCTTTCCATATGCTCCACGGAATATGTGGAATTTTGTAATTGAAAGTCGATATGGAAATCCAGGAAAACATATTGGAGTAAGTTATGAGATATTTATGAAAGGATGACTATGGTACTAACCATCTTTTATGATGAGTTTTGAATAAAGGCGAGACTTATTAAAGTTTAATAATAAATGGTACTATTCATCTTCTACAAATAGTTGTATTCAAAAAGTTTCTGACTGTTGAAAGAAAAATTTTATTTTTATATTTAGGAATGTAGGGAAAGAGAGAATCACGTAAACATGTTAAAGAAAGATTATTGTTCCTCGTAAATTGGTTCACAACACTTCCAGACATCATCTCTCCGTGTTTGAATCATTTTGATGAAATGAAAAGCAAACTAACGACTTGCTACAATAAACTGGGAAAATGGGCTAATTTTTTAGCTGTAGATTTCTACAACGAAGGGACACATGGAGGAACGTTTAAAGTGATCCAGTGGTTGAACCAGAGATTATCTGGTTTGTTTTACTGCAAAGTTTCAATGAAAATTTTACAGTATTTTGACGGGTGGCCAAAATTCAAATCAGTCATACATACATACATACATAGTGTAAACCGGGGGGTGAATACAGTTTATGTTCTTCGTAAGTTGATGTAGTTAGTCAATGTATTGTAAGTTATTCAGACAGTTTTTGTTGTCCTATTTGAAAATTTATAAAAATGGCAAAAATTGTTTGAAACTTTGCACTATCCCTTTTAGATCACTAGTCAATCCCGTCTTTGTATTTGGTTTATGTTCGTCCAAAATCTGACGGCGTCAAATTTTGTTTTTATATAGAAGATGCTGGATCGAGAAGTATGGATGTCAGTCATTATAAAATGAGAAATATAATCAATATTTAACTGGGGAAATCAAGGGTTCAAAAGGGAATCATGGTGATTTTATACATAACAAAGGAACTCAAGGGCTCAGAAGGAATCATGGTTATTTTACAATTCGAAAATTCTTCTCTGTCACAGGTAAACACAGAGATTTTATTCACCATATAACTTCCTCGTATACATAATTAATCTTCGAAATGTGACAATTGAAAATCAGTAACAACATCTTCATAGTCGTTTACAATTTCGTCGTTGTTCTTTGATTTTTCATCACTTGTTTTCGCACGTTTCTTTTTATTATTCGTCTTTGTCTTCATTGATTCCATTTTCTTTCGTTTCTTTGAAATGCGTGTTGTTACTGTTTCTGATTCTTCGCTTCCTCCTTGTGCACGTTCTTCATTCTAAAAGATCACGAAGTAATTTGCGTTACATTCATCTTCTATTCCTATCAACAAAATATCTTCATCATTCCACTAACCGCTCGTTCAATGTTTAATTTCATAGTTTTCCAACGGTTATAAAATGTAACAATGGCATTTGGTTTCCTGCTATAGTCACTTTCCCATTTCTCCTGTAAAGAATGCACATTTTAGACATAACACAAGTTACCTTCTACTTATTAATAATTATAAAGTTATAAAATTCATTGTCAAGTTCAAAATGATTTTTTTCATGTTTTTTTCACCGATTTTGCTCGAAGGTGCCATGTTTTGTTAGGTAAAAAAATCTCCTTTACCATTGATTATGAACTTCGTAAAAGAGTTTGTCAAACGAAAGAGATGTTTTCGTGAACTTACGATTTCTTCAACATCTTTCGGACTGAACGTAACTGTTGAACGTTTTTTTGTGACTTCCACGGATGTTTCATTCAGTTTTTCTAAAAATTCTTTTATCTGTTTACGAAGTCGTGGAACTTTTGTCGTCTTCACAAACTGCTTCATCTGTATAACGATATTCGATAAAATATTGGCTAGTATGATACATCTACCTCCTACATACATAACCTTACTATATACTATATATATACAACAGTAAAACTTTAAATGAACTGAACGCATTTAAAACAAAAGATAAGGAAGTTCATCTCATTTTCTTTTGTCTTTAATGCGTTTGGTGCATGCATGTAAAGTTCAACGTTTCAAACAAGCCTGACACACATGTATTTCTCTTTAAAGGTAAAATCCTACCTGGACAATGCAAGGAAAAGCAAGCTCTGGAAAACCAATGGAATGCGCATGTGTAGAAAAATGCTCAAGTAACAGTTCAACTACTTGCTCCATAACAGAATCCTAACAAGGCAAAAATTCATATGATTCCTTCATGTTTTAGGTAAGTGAATGTTGTTAAAATTACTTGAAAAGTCTTTGTATGAAGTTCCTGCTTGGATACTCTAAGAATTGATGAAAAACTTGTTGGCTTTGCCGTTGAAAGCTTTACTGGTCTATTGAAGTCTGAATTATCCAAAATCTAGGATGAAATACAATAAGTTTGTATGTTAGAAGTACATTGTCATTGTCATAACTTCAAAAATGAACTACCTCCAAAAGAAATGGCGCAATAGGTATAAATGTAGAGGTTGCTTGAGATAACAAATTAAGTGTTCGAATGCAATGAAATCTCAAAGGATAATATCTTGATGTAGGGTTCAACCTGAGAAAACAACCAAGTTAATTGTACAGTGTTGAACACATTCAATAAGAGTCACAAATGTAATGTCTCTACCTTAGTACTCCTAGAGTTACTTGAACTAAAGGATAAATTAAAGGTTCCAAGGTATGCCTGTTGGGAATTTCACTTAAAACACGAGACCACAGTCGAAGACAATGAATAAACTGCCAGTTGTATACAGATTGATAGGAATCCTGAAAGGAAAATGCTTGCATGTCTAATAAACTGCAAAAATTTATGATGAACGAGTCAACCAACTCTCAATAAATTCTTCTTCACCTTCTTCCTTTGGATGATTGCATTTCTTAGGTGGATTGCCAACTGTCTAATGTAGACAAAGCCTTGTTGATAAGTTGAGTTCACGTCAATACTAAATATCTCAACCAAGGAGTTTTGCATGAAGATGATTAATGGCAAAGATGCTGTTGAAGTAAACTTGCAGTTCTTAACAAAGTTAGTGTATAATTGCTACAAAAAAACACATTTGAATTGAATGAAAATTACTTAAAACTTGTAACATTATGAATACAAGAAGAGTAGACTATGAGCTAACCTTGATAGCAAACTCAGTCATGGATGATGAAGTCCAACGAAATAACTTTGTAAGACCAATGAATGCCATAACACGCACATGTTGCTCCCCACTTGACCACATTCGAACCATTCTCTATTGAATGTGAAATTAAGATTGAATACATCTAAAGTTGAATATTGAACCTAAATAGAATAATGATTGTAAACCTTTATAAAATCTTTTGTCAGCTTGGTAAAACATGAAAAATAAGGTATGAGTGTATGTGTATGACGTAGGACGACACAAAGCATTGATGGATCCATAAGTTTACGTAACATCTAGAAAAAAATATACATGATTACAATTGAATTAAACGAGAAGAAATGTATCATGTTTTTGAGTTAACCTGTAGTACAGTCTTTAAATATAGCTTCATTGTTGTCTTTACATGAGGCCATTTCTTGTATACTGATGGCAATCTATAGTAGCCATGAAAGCATCTTGTCAGTAGATTCATGATTTCTAAGTCTTTCCTCAATAATTTTAACCAAAAATGTTAGCAATTACCTGCCATTATTTATTTGTTTGCTTGGTGTTGTGCCAAGATGATCTTCAACAACTTCAACAACATTTTTCAGACAAGTTTGAATCAATGTGTTAAATACTAGAAGGTTAATAAAGTGTGTACTATGATTACTGGATAAAGAAACAGGATGTTACAAAATACTTCCCCACCTTCATCTCCTTCAATATGATACTTTGGTGACTTGTGTTCATTTGAATCTTCACTTGATACAAGTGTATCATGAATAGCACAATCAAAAGCTTGAACAATCTGTTTCAGTGATGCTAGAGATTTATTCTAGAGTTGAAAATCATTATTATATCAAGATTTCAAAAATTATTGAAATAGGTAAATTTAAATAAGCATTTCCATCAAAAACCTGCATTCCTTTTGTCCAATTTATTATCATCGATAATGTAACAAGTTTTCCTTTTTTCTGTTTTTTTTCCTTGTCATCATGTTCTTCATTTTCTTCACAAAGTATCTCCTTTACATCTTCCTAAATTAAAAAAACATCATAATTCAACAACATGCAATGTCTAACACAATTCGAAAAACATGGCAATCCCACCATCTTATCATCGTTGACAGACTTTTCCTCTTCATCAACATCACTTTCAACTCCAAATTCATCATCAGTCTCAGAGTCATTAAATTCTAACAATTCTTCATCATTTTCTTGAAGAAATTTATAAAATTCAGGGTCTTTCTCTTTCAATCTTTCCAGTTGATCTTTATGGGTATGAGTTTTTGATTCGCATGACTCGACCGTTTGACATCGAACATTTGATTGTATTTTACTTTCTTCTTCGTCTACAATCAAGTTTTCATCATCTGTTTCCACATCTGAGTCAAAACCATGCATCATGAATTCATCAATATCCATCTCAGTAACTTTCCTATCGAGAAAAATATCAATTTATACCATGTTACATTCATAACCTTTACGAAATTTACTTTATATTATATGATTGTGACAACTGGTAAGGAAGAACTACTCGGTCTTTATATTCGGCTACCTATTTTCATTAACCATAGTTGACTTTTTCTCAGGTTTCATATTATGTAGTACGAGTAAATACACTATACAACTTGCTGTTTGCTGTATGCAGTTGTTTAGACGAACGTATCTTTGAAAAAATAAATATTGTTTATTTCCAGTTTTCCACGTGGTGACGTGCGTGCTACAAACCGGGGGGGGTGTAACCGAAGAAGGACAGCTGCATATATGTAATAATGCAAAGAACTGGTGACTGATATTCGCATTTGTATTATCTAAAGAGTTAGCAGATGAAATGTACAAAGGCCTATTAAAAAAAGCACAAAAGCATGAGTCAAATAAAATTGTCGTGATAACTGCTCGTTTACAAATATTTCTGTAATGCCAGTTTTAGTAAAATCATGTGGTATTTTGAGTTATTTAACGACAATCAGCCAATCAGAATGCTCGAATGAGCGTTCTTTTCTTTCAAGGGTTAGTAACAAAATAACATGGCGACAAAATTTTACATTGTTTTAAGAGTAAATTCTCTTCACGCATAGCAAGAACAGCACGTTTTTCGTGTCTCAGTTCTCCATAGGATGGAAGCGGCTAAGTTTACAAGTAAAAAGATTTCGTGTGATGTTGTAAACGACAATTTAACAAACATTGATAGTGAAGAGCTTCATCCAACGCGTTTGTTGAGCAATTTGCAAAACGTGTGTCGTGATCATTTAATGAAAATAGAAATTGCCGATGAAGAACGTGGAGAAACATATAGAGTAAATGTTTGATGTGTTTATATTATTTTAAAAAAATGGTTTGCTTGTCGGTTATATTGGTGAGAACAACTTTATTGACTCTTGTTTTTCATAGAATCAGCTGCAATCTTTGCAAGGCTATGTTCATGATTTGAGCTCCAAAAACGAAATGCTTCTCGAGACTGTGCAAGAACTTGAACGTGAGGCTAGTCATAGAGTTGCATTGGTTGAAGGAAATCTTCAAAAAACTACAGAGGTGTTGTTCATTTATGAATGATTGTGGAATTTGAACATAATAATCTTACCTTGCATATTTAATAACACATTTTTATTTTATAACCAGGAACTTAAAGAGTTGCATTTGGCAAATGAAACGTTGAGAAATCAGACCATGAAAATTGAAAATGAACTCAAGGTATACTTTATTGTTGTTTGTTAAAATATCCCATTTTTTGTTATGTGTGTGCAAATGCCTCATTACTGTAGAATGAAAAAGACAATTATGAATACATGAATCATGAGGCAAATGAAGTTCGTCAACAAAATGATGATTTGGAACATGATGTTGAAATACTAGTTAATCTTGTGGGGGATCTCATGGCTGGCAGTAAAATCAAGGTTGGTTTTCAACTTCAATAAATTTTTCATTTTTTTTAACATTATGAATTTTATTTCAGATTGATGATCTTGGATTAAAAGTTGTTCCTACTCAAAAACTGTTTGATATTCAAACCAAAGCTATTAAAGACATGTACGTAAGAAATACAGAAAGCATTGTGTTCTAGATGAAAAATTGAATGTCTTTAAAACATTATATATATCTTTAATTTTCATTCCAGAGATATGCAAGAGGAACAATTTAATAAAAGAATTTCTCAGCTCCAAGAGACTATTTCATCTCGTGATAAAGTTATTGTTGACCTTAAGAACACCATATTGGGTTATGTAGAGGTGGTTTTCAATTATTCACTTTTAACTGTTTCAATATTTAATGTTTGGCTCTTTAGTATAAAACTGTTTCTTTCTAACAGAAACACCAAAATAAACTTGACAACATGTCATTGAAGGAAAAAAGAACTGACTCGCCGAAAAACAATCCAAAATCATTTGAGAAATTGTCTGAGGAAACTAGTGGAATACAGACAAGTAAAGATGTCATGATTCGTCAGCTTCGCACGGATTTAGAACTTAGTGAAAAACGAAGAAAGGAAATTACGTCAAACTTGGAGGAATCTGAGAACTTTATTGCTCGGTTACAAAGCGAGATGGGTCGTTTGGAAAATGAACATTACATTTCAAGTTCAGATGTCAACAGTAAAGCTCTGGCTATAAAAACATGGGAGAGTCGATACAGAGAAAGTAAACTGGAGGTAAACTTATATACATCACTCTGATATTAAATTATGTAATGTCTAGTAGTATATTGAGCTTTTTACGGCATTTCTAGGTGGCTCGACAGAATGAAAAAGTTAATGAACTGCAGAATAAATTGAGACAGAAAGATCATGAAATAGAAAGTATCACAACTAAGACGGAAAATGATTTCGTCATGAAGATTAAATTGCTAAAAGAAGAACTAGAAAATGTCAAACAGAAAAACGTAAAGATGAGGAAGAACTTAGCAAATGTAAAAAATTAATTAAAGAATTACAAGATGAAGGAACTACAGAACAATCTGAGTTAAATGTGAAATTAAAAAAGTCGGAGAGTTTAGTTGAGCAATTACGTAAAGATTTGAAAAATCTTAGAGAGAAATTCGCTTATGTAAAATCAGAAAAGGAAGAAAAAGAAAGCGCTCTTCACAATATCCAACAGAAACAAATGCAAGCGTCATATGAGATAGAGCAAGAAAAAGCATACCTTGATAAAGTGAAAGAAGAGTTTGATAAAGAAAAAGAAATGAGGGAAATTGCGGAGAAAAAACTGAAGGATTTATCAAATGTTTCTGTTCGTGTATCAACCGTCATGAAGGAGAAAGAATCTCTAATTGAACAGATGGAAGAAGAAGCCAGGAATAGGAAAGTTCTGGAAAAAGAATTGACCGAAGCTCGGATAGGAAATGTTCAATATTCGGACCAACTTACACAACTCAAAGAAGACATGGAAAAACTTCATTATCAATTAAACACGATAATAAATGAGAGAGAAAACATAAAACATGAAATTGTCATTGAACGAAACCAGTTTATGAATGAAGTGAATGTTGAGAAAGAAAGACGGCAACGTCTCGAAGAGAAATATAGTCAAGCTGAGGCTGAACTTCAAAGAATGCACTCGTCAGTAGAAGATATAAAATCAAACTTTTCTCTGAAGGTTGAGAATCGAAATCGATCAATTTTCGAATTAGAAAATGTTGTCAACGAAATGAAAATGAAGAGTATCCAACAAAATAATTTTATTCAAGAACACGAAAGCAATGTGGAGGATTTGAAGCATAAAATGAAATGTTTGGAAAGTGAAAAAAATTCCAAGATTGATGAACTAGAAAAAAATGTAAAAATATGGAAATAAGTAAAAACTTGGCGATTGAGGAAAGCAAAAATGTTCAAGAAGAGAATGCCAAATTACAAGAAAAATAAAGATGTTGAGTTTAGAAGCAAAGGATCAGAGAGATGCCTTAGCAAATGAACTTGCCGAACGTCATGATATAATTGTAAAATTAAAAAGTGATTTCTCTGTTTTGCAAAACAAACATCAAGCATCTGTTATTAAACTTTCTGAAAATGAAGATAAATTAAATCAGATGAAAGTTGAATGTTGTGATTACAAGTCAAAGAACGATGAGTTAGTAAAGAAAATGAAAGATATGACAATGAATTTTGATAATGTACAGAAAAAGTTTTCTGATTGTGAAAATGAACTTCAGTCAAAGGAGAAATCAATTCATGAAATGGCAGAGGCTTACGTTAGTCAGGTATTATAGAGTATGTATTTATAGATTATTCACTAGAAACAAAGTTTAACAAGTTTCTCTTTGTAATATGAACTCATAGATCAATGAGAACGACAATGCCTTGCAACTTTTAAAAGAAGAAAACACATTATTGAAGGAACAAATTAGTCAAGATGAACTGAAGATCAGTTACAGAGAAGAAGCGTTGAAACGACTTCAGCTACAACAAAATGATTGCTTAGATGAAGTATCGAGGAGAGAGAAAGCCATCGAAAAACTCGAACTTGATCTATTCAAGGCTCACGAAGAAATCAGAGAAAATAAAGATGAGGTATTGAACTGTATATTTTGGGTGTATTTTGTTTCTAAAGGCATACGCATTTAAAGTGAAATAAATTTTAAATGTTACACATAGATATGTCAGAAAAATGAACTCCTCAAGACCACAGATTTTCAACTTAAACAACACAAAGAAAAATTGAAGAATACTGTGGACGAGGTGAGTTCATGTACTCATCGAAGTGATTTTGATATCCACTATCATCCCACTTTATCCTCTCTTGCTCAGATTGCTCAACTTGAAGCTCGCTATCAGTCTCAACTTGAGTCTATTGAAAGTGAACGAGAAAGCTTAAGAAAAGAGGTATTGTTTCTTGATCCATTAATGATCCTACTTGTACATAAACCGAGTTTAAAGATATTTTGTGAATGATGTAGGTTAGTGAAAAAGATGAAATAATTCATACTCATGAAATGGAGAAACTACATTTTGTCGATGATATAACGAGATATGCAGAAGAGGTAAAAAATATCGTTTAAGTGAACATGTTCAATTAAAACAACAACTTTTTGTCTGTTTGTATATACAGATAAAAGTTCGAGAACAATCTATTGAAAGCATGCGACAAAAATATGAAGAAAGCTGTAACGAGGTATGAGAAAAAATTTTTAGTCATGCTCCAGATATGTTAAGAAAAAGGCGCATGCGCAAGTTGTAACGCCAGATGACGCAGATATTGTGTTGAAAGACTTACTGAAGATGTCAAGAAAATAACCTAGTTTATATCTTTAGGTGGAAGATCGCAACAAAACAGTTAATGATTTGGAAGATGAGTTATTCTCTTTGAAAGAAGAAGTTTTAAAAAGTTACAAAAAGGTTTTGTTGTAGATCATTTGTAAAATGTGAAAATATTGTTATTTACATTCGAAAAACGCTTCGCTTTGTTTTTACAGTTGGAGGAAAGCGAGAATACGGTTAAAGAACTCGATTTTAAATTGAATACGATTGAAAATGATCTTAAAAACAGTGAACACCAGGTTGAAACATTGAAGTAGTTGTGATTTCTTCAACAACATTTTAGATAATAATAAATTAACGTTTTCAGGTTTCAATGAAAGAAGAAAACATAAAACAATTGACCGCAGAAGTCGAAACACTTCGAAGTCAGGAAAGAGATTTGGAAGAGAAGGCATAAATTTCAATTTTGTAAAATGCGGTTAAAGTGAATCCATTTATTTGTAAAACTTTTTTATTTTTTTATTTTTCAGTTACGATGTCAAGAGCAAATAATGGAGAAGATGGAAAATGATTTGAAGTTACTGACAAATCAACAAAAAGAAAAAGAAAAACAGGTTTGTCCGGTTTATTTATATATGTATGGCATTGCAAGAATCAATCTGATGACGTCATAATCATTCATTGGTTGATCGCGCGCGTGTTTTTAAAAATTAAACTTTTCTTCGGTGGAGACAATGAGTTGTAGAAGATATTATGAAATTTTACAGATTGCACGACAACAGGACGCAGTGAAGAATTTAGAAAAAGATTTGAAAGTCTCTCAGAATGAGTTTAAAGAACTTCAGGAAAAGTCCGCACATGATGTATGTAAAGATTTTTAAATGTTGTTCTTGCAGCGTGTGAGAACAGACGCTTTTCATTTATCTTAGCTAAAGACATGAAACGAAAGACTTTGGGCTGATGATGATGTTGTGTGGGTTTTTGTATAGACGATCTTGCGAGAAGATGCGATGAAAACATTACAACAAGCAAGAGATGAATATCACGATAAACTTATTGAACAAGAAGAAATGACAGAAAATTTAAGAGAAGAGATTGAAAAACTGCGAACAAATATTGAGGAAATGAGAAATCAGGTAGGATTTTATGTAAAATACGAGCTTTCTCAAGAGAACTGAATAATTTTTCCATGTTTAGCTGGACAGGAAAGATGACGCTATCGAAGAGTTGGAGTTGAAACAAAGTTTAGTTGAAGAAAAGCTTGAAAATAGTGTTGAAGAAGTGAGGCATATCTGATATATGTTTTGGGACAGATTTTCTTTTATTATAAAAAGATTTTTTTGTAGTTGCTGGAGAAAGAGCAACAAATGACGCTGTTGCAGTTGAATTTGAAAAAGTTGGAAGATGAATATGATCGTTGTGGAAAAGAGTTGAAGCATAAAGAAGACATGATGAAACAATTAAATGAAGAAATGGCGATATTTAAAGAACAAATGATGACCTTGAATTTAGAAAGCAAGGTAATAAAATACAATGTTTATTCTTTCGTGATATTTTAATTTTCATAAAAAAATGTTTATATCGTACATCATTGTTTTTGCTAGGTTACAAAAAGTCAAACTGACTTGACTCAGCTTTCCAATGAAAAAGATCTTTGGCAGCAAGAGGTATTATACAAAACAAAACATTGTTGGATGTTTTCATAAAACTTTATTTACCTGCTGCATGACAAAATGTTATATAGATGACAAAAATCACTGTAAGTATGGAACATTTACAGACGTCAAATGAAACGGCGAAGGAAAAATACGAGAGAGAGGTAGAATATCAACTGAAACATTCATCTTAAAAGTTCAGTTTTTTTTCCAAATGATATAACATCTCCAACATTAGTTCATTTCTTCATAAAGAAAACTGACTTGTATGCTGATGTAGTTAGTTTGAAATCAGAGATTGTCGAGAGAAAAAATTTTAAGACTTTGCGATCGCAGGTAGCATTTTTTAGTTAACACTGAGATATTTTGTACATTGCTTCGATCTCGTGGTCGTTTTTTGTTTCTTAGTTAAAAGAAAGAGAAAAAGAGCTTTTAGCTTTGAAAAAAGAGTTTAGTCACTTAAAAGATCTTCATAAACAATCAACAAATAAGGTAGACATTTGAACATAAAAGTCGTTTTTCTATTGTGATTGAATTATGTGTGTGCGTGTGTGCCTTTTTTCTATAGTTGAATGAGCGCGAGGACGTGATTGCAAAACAAGCCAACGATTTGCTGGAATCACGAAAACAGGTTAGGGATGAATTATCCTTTAATCTTCGTTGCGATGATTTGATTTTTACGAATGAAATCATCATATTTAGAACGAAGCAATAAAGCAGCGACTTCAAGAAACGGAAAATCACTGCAAGGCAATGAATGCAAGTTTAATTTATTACAAAGATCAGGCGGATTTAATGACGAAGCAGGTTGATTATAGTGGCTTATCGTATTTATTGACAAAACATGCATTAAAGTAAACAGTGGGGACACAGAGAAAATGAGACGTTATTTCTTAAAATTTTTAGTATGAAGAATCAAGGCTAAGAGAAACAAAGTCTGAAGAGGATCTTTTAAAACATGGCGAGACAGTTCAAGATCTGGATAGAAAACTCCAACAAAAAACAAGTGAATTTGATTTATTGAGTGAAGATTATGAACGTGAACGTGTAAAGGTTTGTCATTTTGTTTATCCTTTGAAACTTTGATTGTCTGATGACGTTTATACATCTAATTACATACATATATGTGTTTATGAGCAGGGTAAACAACAAAATAAAGCAATGAATGAATGCTTGGCTGAATTATCAACCACTCGTGAGGCCTTAAAACGATGTAAATCACAGGTACATATTATTTTTTCTTTTTGATTAAAAACATGTTTTATTTATTAAATCATTGTTTTTCACCCTGTTGATTGTAGCTTTCACATTGCGATGAAATGTTACATACCTTAAAAGATAAGTTAGTCACAAAGCAACAAGAGGTAGCTATCATCCATTTGATAAAATTTCATTATTTTTTGCTTTGTCTTCTCGGGGACAACGATGTTCAATATGAATTCTTTTAAATTTGTCCGCGCTTCCTCAACTTATATCCAACTTTAGAGTTTTTTAGGCAGTGAACCCCCCCCCTGTCAGAAATACGTACATTCCTTCTTCCCTTTTTATAAAATTAAATTCTTTTTAAAGATTGGTACAAAGGATGTAACGATCGATAAGTTATACAATGATCTTGAAGGGACGAAAAGCAAACTTGTAAAAGCAGAAAAAGAGGTAGATACTTTTTCTAAAATTCTCATTTATTTTGTGAAAGCAATGTTTACTAACATAAAATTACCGTTGATGGAATAGGTTTCTGAGAAGAGCAGTAAAATCAGCGAATTAAAAATTGATTTGCTGTCAGAAAAAGAGCAACATGCACAAAGAGTTGAACAAGTACAAAATTTATTTATGTTTTACAGAATTTAATAATTCTTGATATATGTTGATTCTACAAAAACATGAAATGATTATATTGGTGCATAGGCATCATGCTATGAGTTGAGATTACAGAAGAGTGAATCTGAGTCAAAAATACTAAAAGAGGAAAATCGTCTCCTGGAAAGCAAGGTAAGAAGGTACACATTAGTTTCATCATCACATTTTTATGGACATTTTATTGTTTTATTCCTCTAAAAGTTGGCTCGCGAAAACGAAGTCTGTAGGAAGGTTTCGTGTGAGTTTGAAGAAAATAAACAAAAACATCAAGACAATGTACGTAGGTGCAATGTAGTACAACATAGAAATTTCTTCGTTATTGTGATCGATTACTTTTTACACATAAAATGTATAGATTATGAAGTATGAGCAGACGGTAGAGAAGCTCAGCGGTCAAGTGGATTCATTGAAGGCGACAAATGACGAGTTTAAAGATGAGGTGAACATTTAGATTTTTGTTGCAATGATTATATGTGATGAAATAATGTGAAATTTGTTTTCGTGTAGGTTGCTAAATTGAATGAAATAATAAGTGAAGGAATTGAGGGGAAAAGGGAGAAAGACAGAGAGATTACGAAGTATAAGAATCAGGTATTAAAATCTTTAGAAATTGTAGCTTTCAAAACTTAAATCATCTAAGATACTGGTTTTGACCCATTTTTACTCTATAATTATTTATTTGAGCGTGAGTTGATTTAAATTTATTTAAAAGATTGCAGAATACGAAGTCGCATTACAAGATATGAAAAATCAGCTTACTGCTGTCATTGCTGACCGCGATAGATTTAATCTGGAGGTATAACGTAAAGATGTACGTAAATAATATTTATTTGTGATATGTGATGGTGTGTCGTCGTTTTTTTATAGAAAAGGAACTCTGAGATGAAATTAAATCAACTTAATGATGAGTTGAATGACATGAAGCTTCAATATAAATCATCATCACAAGAGGTATAGTGGAGGATAAAATAGGATATTGTAGAACTTTTTTATAGACGGGTTTAGTATGGATCATTTCACACTAAATCCAGAGAGTCGTGCATCTTTAAAATGTATTTATGTTGAATTGACAGTTGATCAAAAGCAAAGAAAAACTGTCCTTACTTGATCAAAGACATTCTCACTTGGCGGAACAGTTACTCGAGAAAGTTAGTGAAATTGCCAGACTTGAGGCAACGCATCGAAAAAGCCAGTTGGAGTTGAATAACGAACTTCAAGAAAAGCAAATAAACAATGAGAAGGTAATGTTTTATATGTTTTGTAAGGATGTGAGTCACGTGACTGTTTTGTAACAATTTATTTATGAAAAGAAACGAGATCTTACGTATATTACAATGTTTTCTTAGATTGAATCTATTGAAAATCTTGTTGAAAAACTGAGACTAGAATTGTATGACACAAAGAGACTGCACAATGATACCTGTTTGCAGGTCTGTGGGGGTTTATTCTCAAAACAGGGGAGGTGATCACAAATTTATGGTCTGTGGATATTTTATATTTTGTTTTATATACGTAGTTAAGAGAACAAGAATCCTACACACAACAACGCGTCGACGAACTACAGCGAGCTGAAAAAGAAATTACAACCCTGGTCTTTAAGGTAACTGTAATGTATATTTTTTATTGTCTGTGTACAGATCTCAAGAAATTCGATATTACATAGATGGATTCTCAAAAGAAGGAACAAAATTACTTATCTGAAAAACTGGTCGAATCCAACGAGCAGCTGGAATGGTTGAATAAACAAGTAATGAATGAACACATACCCCTGAAGTGTGTCACTATTTGAAGCATTGAAGAATGTAAACGTATTTTTATAGATGAAGAGTCATGGCGATGTTATGAAAGAAAAAGAAGAAAAAATCTCTTCGCTTGAGCGGAAATTGGAAGATCGAAAGATTGAGGTACAAATTATATTAAATATTTTACGCTTTGATTTGTACTGTTGTTCCATAATATCAGTTTTGTTTTGTCATCTCTTAGATTCGTGATAATGAGAAAACAATATCAGCTTTAAAAGCGGAATTAGGATCAATTTTGGAGAAAAACAGAGCCCTTACAGAAGAGGTATGCTGTCGTAAAATAATTATCCTTTGTCTTTCCTTTACTACTCCATTTTAATTAACATGATACAGGTCACCACTAAAGATGGCGATGTTCGGCAATTACGTAATGAACTTTTATCAACACAGACTAAAATCAAGGATAACATTTCTGAGGTAAAAATATTGACGAATATCGATTTGATTATCCTTACTCTACGCTCAGATGTTAAAATATCATCAATTGATAATATTTAAAAAAAAATTGTTTTAGTTTGGTCGTTATGAAGAAGAAGTACTTCATCTACAGAAAGAGTTAGATGTGTCAAGCAAAATAATTCGACAATCTCAAGTAAACGTGAGTTGCTTTTTATACGTGCATTTATAATAGAAATACTCAATTTTTATTGATAACAAATTTTTGGGAAATTCTCGTTTTGTAGCTTGACAATATCCAAGGAGATCATGAAAATCTTAAAGTTCAATTTGTTAAAACGGAAGAAAGTTGTAAAGATATGACAATGGAGGTTTTTAGTCCGATATATTAAATCTTCATTATTTTTATTGTCTTTATTTATCATAATGTATAATCTTTCATAAAAAGGAACAAAATTTATTGTTCTTCTTTCAGTTGAAAGTAAAATGTGAAGAGTTATCTTCAACCAAAGCCGAACTTGTGATGTTGCGAGGGCAAAAATCATCGTTAGAGCAACAGGTTATAATAATGAAAAAAATTCATTGAAGCTGGGTTTTGTTGTTCAATAATGTTATCGTTAAACTTCAGGTTGCTGATATTGATGAGAAAACAAAACGTTTAAAAAGTGATCTGAAAAAATCACAGGACCGATGTAAAACTTCAAATGAAGAGGTAGCAGTTGATAAATAAGTATGTAATTATAAATGTTATGAATAAAAGTCAATGTTTTTGTTGCGTCTATAAGGTTTCAAAGCTACGTTGTGAAACAGAAAAGTTGACGAACGAACTATCAACGACACAGGATAACAACACGAAACAGGCTGATGAGTTAAAACGACTACAGGATGAAAAAATGACATTGAAAGTTGAAGAAGCGGCTTTGCAAGAAAAATGTCGACTTATTTTGGAAGAAGTGAGTCTTCTTGTCACTGTAAGGATTCATTATTTCATTGTTGAAAAATTTAACTAATTTTTCATATTTTACTATTTTTATTATAGAGTGAGCGAAATTGTATTGAATTTGAAGAGTTGAAGAAAAACCATGTCGCTTGCCAACAAGAGGTAAGATTCATCCCCAGGTTCCTTTCTTTTGACGCTTCGCTTAAGCAATGTCTTTATATAATTGCATTTTCCCATTTCCTTTCTGCAAAGTAAACTTTTGCAAACTATTTCAACTTACTAACGGGGAAATACTTTACAAAAATCTTGTTTCAGTTGCAGTCAATGCGTTTGGCTTTACAAGATTCACGCGCTCATCGAGATCGACTGCAGAAAGAGAGTGAAGTTATTGTTGAAAACATCAATCAATGGGTAAAGGAACAAAAGTAAGTCTTTACACAATAAACAATCTGTTATTATTAGTTATGTACGTACCTCAAGCTAATAATACTATAACTCTCAACAATTTCCAAGATGTCTTTCAATATTTGATAGCTAGAGATTTAAGTTACTTTTTATTTTTTTACATTACAAAGAGAGGGGAACTCCAAGCTTGCTTTGAAGTTAAGGTAATCTTCATTTGTTCAAAAAACTCAAGTCGATTGTTGCATCGTTGTACGCCATAGTAAAGAACTATATTTATTTTTAGAGAACAAAGTGAAAGTATAGTGTCCCTTGAAGCTGACAAAGAGTAAGCTTTTCATCTTTGACATTTCAATTTTGCTTTAGGGAATTAAATGATCATCAAATTTTTTCGTTTACTTTTCAGACAGCTGATTGAAACGAACGAATCATTAAAAAGAGCGAATAATTCATACAGTAATGAAATAGGTACTTCTGTAGTTAATGTTGAACCAAATGTCTTATTCATTATAGTAATTTTATGTCATAAAGTTGTACTTTACTATGGCATTGATTGATATAATACATTTTCACTTGTTGTTTTAGTTGAACTGCGATTAATACGTGATAATCACAAGGTTAGTTCATGAAATAATCAACCATAAAGAATATTTATGTTATATTTTTCTTTTTTCTTAACTCATCTTCATTTTCAGGCTCTTCAAGCTCACTCGGCCGAACAAGAAGTCGTTATTCAAGAACTCCGTGGTAAACTCAAGGAAAATGTGTAAGTATTTTGTGTTAAGGAGATACAAGTAGTGGGTTATCGATTTTTAACCACTTGGCATTTTATATCATGTAAGAATCCTTATTACATGAATTTTTTGTTTAGTTTGACCACCGAACATGAAGCTCTTAACCATTCTCAAACGATCGATGATTTACATAATCAATTGCATAAAAATATCGAGGCAAATAAGGAATTGAACCAAAGAGTAAGAAAAAGAATAACTTAAATCTGGACACAAGTATTTTGTCTTAGAATACCATCAAAATTTTGATATACATATTTCTACATCAGTTAAATCATTTGGGGAAAGAGCGACTTCGTTTTCAAGAAATTATTGATCGTGAACGTGTCGCAAGAAAGGTCAGAAAGGAAGATGTAATTTCTAGTAGAAGTCAAGAACATTAGAAAAACTTCTTTCATCTTGTTTTGTGTTGCTCTTCATTTTATATTGTCAATATGTTATAGAATTTAATGTCTCAACTGGAGGCGCGAAGTCAGACTATACTGGATTTAAAATCTCAAATGGATACTATCAAAGAAGATTTGATACCTCCGAATCTTGATTACTCATCTTTAGTAATGAAAGAAGAAAGTGAATTTAGACTTTTGTCATTTTTGTAGTGAATAACGATTATTTTGTTTTTAGTCTGATTCGTTTGGATTTAGTGATTCAGCATATATATCTGCACTTGAACGAGGATTGTAAGTCAATAAAACTTTCCTTTCTACTTGTATATGTATATCTCCCCACTCCCTCCTTCCATTTCCATTCTCCCCTCCCTCCTCATTTCCATTTCCATATCTCCCCTCCCTCCTCCTTCCTCCCCTTATCCCTCCCCTTCCATTCCTTCCTTCCTTCCATTTCCTTCCATTTCCTTCCTTCCATATCCTCCATTCCATTTCCATCCTTCCCTCCCCTTCCTTCCATTTCCTTCCTTCCTCCTCCCTCCATTCTTCCCATTTTACTTTTCTCCACCATCCCTTTATCTTACACAAGAACAGTTCATAAAGAAGCATTCTTAATGAAAATTATTTATCAAAGCACCGAACATTTATTTGCAATTTTTGTTTTTTAGATGCAAAACAACATCGTCAGACAAGGTCAACAACAACTGCATATATTCTCATACTAAACATTTGTTTGTTTTGCCAATATTTACATTTGTATTTTTAATGCTCACAACGTCAATAGATTCATCAAGCACTAAGACGAGAAATGAATAAAGTAGGAGTTAAAGACCCCATGACATTGGATAAGTCGTTTTGGATTCAACGTGTTGGAGAGGTGACTTATTTCATTCCTACTATAATACTGCTAATATAAAGTTAACGGTTCACATTGTCATTTTGGCAGATTGGCCTTTGCTCTTTTACTGATTTGAATCTATCACTTGTTTCCAGCTCTCCTCTCAGCTCCAACAATGTAGTGAATACTGGAGCGATAAAGTGAGGGATCTCTCTTCACAACTGGAGCGTCCGATCACTCCGTTTAGGTGACCAGTGTTTTAATAATTAAAATAGAGTTATTAGAGCTGAAGCAATATATAAAATTATCATTTTGCCGTACCACACACATTAAAACACTGACACTGTAGGAAATTATTTACACAAACCCAAATAATTTTAAATGTTCGTTTGTGTCAATACCTTTTTTTATCGTGTATTTTAATTCTTTTTATTGTTTTACTGTGTAAAGTGTTGTTTTATTGTGTATTTATGTACTATATTGTATTATATATAAATCCATATTATCTACGTAATTATTAGAAGTTTTGATTCTACATTACATGACGTATAAGCTATTGTGAAACAAGATGGCGGAAAGAATTAAAGATGTAGATGATGGAAACGATCTTCCTTTCGGTTGGGAGTCTCGTTTTATGTCCGATGGACGGCTGTATTACATCGAGTAAGCTGGCATTAATGCTGCATTGAATTAAGGATCTTTTATCATTTACTTTTTGTTGTTAAAATTTCCAATAAATTGCTTATTTTATGAAAGTCACAATACAAAGAAAACGCAGTGGCAACATCCAAGAACTGGTAATGTAACCAAAATAGACGGAGGTATGTCTTAAAGTAAATAAAATGATATCAGTGGAATATGACAGCACATATATTAACGTAATTCATTTTATCATTTTAAGAGTTGCCATTTGGTTGGTACAAGCAGGAAGATAACGATGGTGCAACATGTTTTTAAGTAAGAAGATGATTTCCACATTTTTGGGCTTTAAAAGCTCTTGATATCCTAATCTAGCTGACTGCTTTTCGAAAAAACTGCTCAAATTCAAATGAGAGCTGCTATTTTATTTGTGTAAACCATGCAACTACATTTATGTCTTTAGTACTATCAACGGAAAGTCAACTTACATTGATCCACGCGTTATTTTTAAAACAAAACCAAGAGTTAAAGGGAAGATTAAGGTGGATGCATGCCAAACAGCATCAGATGTTTTGAAGAATAAAAATCTCTCAGGAAAAGTTGTCATTATCACTGGAGCTAATTCCGGAATAGGTACAATTCTGATTTCCTAGCTACACCAATGAACATGCAAGATCTTTGTGAAATGATTTTTCTTTACAAATTCAGGGTTTGAAACAGCTAAAGCAATGTCTCTCTTTGGTGCTCACGTAATTATGGCTTGTCGTGATCTTCACAAAGGAAGCATTGCAGCTGAAAAAATTCGTTCTGTTCGCAAAACTATCATTCCCTTAGTAACTGTGCTAAAATTGGACTTGGCTTCATTTGCTAGCATCAGAGAATTTGCTGAAAAGTTTGATGATATGAAATTGTAATGTGAAATGTGTTTTATGGTTGTCTTAAAATGTCACAACATATGCTCTTTAATTTTGATTTTATAAGTTTTCAGATCTCTCAATATTTTGATATGTAACGCTGCTGTGTGGACATCTTCATGGCAAACAACACAAAACAACGTTGAAAAAACCTTTGGTGTTAACCATGTTGGACATCATTATTTGGTGAGAATGTTACAAGATAATTTAATCTCATCTGCACCTTCAAGGGTTGTAGTTCTCACATCTGAATCACACAGGTATGTTTTGGAGGATGCCAGCATTCTCATCTTGCGGACAAATAACATCAAACTTTTTTGTCCGTATATTTTATTGTAAGTAAACAATATGCTTATGTGTTTGTAGATGTAGATCATCCAGGTTGGTATAGCCCTGAGAAGGACTGTTTTTGTTGTTGTTGACTGACTTTTTGACAACCTTAGCGGTAGTCATCTTTAGAGTCAAAATGACTCAAAATGACTACTGCTAAAGTTGTTGAAACGTCAGTCAACATCAACACCAACAGTCCTTCTCAGGACTATACTAACCTGGACAATCTACATCTACAAACATGTAACGATACCCCTGGTTTCAGACTGTTTACGTTAATATATTTATGTGCTATTTGCCATATATTTTGTCAGATTTCCAAACTTTGACTACTCGGAACATCTGGACTTGAAAAATCTTCCTCAGACAAGAGACAATTACTGGTCAATTCTTGCTTACAACCAAAGCAAACTTTGCAACATTTTATTTTCCATGGAATTCAATCGTCAGTTTTCTTCACATGGGGTAACATCAAATGCTGTACATCCTGGCAATATGATCTACAGCTCATTGGGAAAAAGCTCTTTGTTCATTTCAATATTTTATGCACTGTGTCGACCATTTTCAAAATCAGCTGTAAGTCATGTTTGTTTGTGGTATTCTGCATTTGTAAAACTGTATAGAAACATGGGAATTTCAGTCTTTGTGTGGCTTGCACTGGAAATTTAAAAAGCAGAAACTATAAGCTTCATATCATTAAAATTGACGAATTTGTCTTTTTAATATTGCCTTTAAAAGGCTATTTTATAAAGGAAATAGAAAACACATTTACTTGTATCTTTTGAATTATATAAACACCTGTGAAAGTTTAGGAGAAACTCAAAATTGCTTGGAAACATTCGCACTTTGTTTTCGTATTTACCACGCAATTTTGTTTCTATGGAAATAAGCGTTTCTATCAAACTTTCTTCTATAACTCTGTAGAAACACGGAAAACGTTTTTAATTTCTTGAAAAATGTTTATTGTTAGGCTCAAGGGGCTGCTGTTGTTGTATATTGTGCCACATCAAGTGAACTGGATAATGCTGGTGGATATTATTTTAATAATTTTTATGCAATTGAACCATCAAAAGAAGCTATGAACTCAACGAGAGCCAAAGAACTTTGGAAATTTACGGAGAACTTAATAAAGACACACCAGCAGGAAAAGGTAGATTTCTTATAACGTCGTTAGAGTTTCGTAATTTTCTAACATTGTTTTGTTTTATGTTATTTCGTGCAGGTTTAAGGCATGGCTTAATTGATTTAAATATATAATGACTTAAGTAAAAATATTATATATTTTTAATCACGTTACTCAACAATACGTGCCTCAATCCCTTTTTTTACAACTCGTGTATAGCTAAGCAGCAAAATACGCTACTAAGTTGAAGGCTTAGTCTTAAACGTAGACTACTAACAACAATACCTATAAAGTTTTGGTGGTCCTTCAAACGGACGTTGAAACTTTGCTAAATTTACCAAAATTCCTTTAAACATGACATTTTCTGTTCCAATCATAACATTGAGAGGTTTAAAGAGTCAAAGTTGTTGAACATCTTTTATGTAAATGATGTGCTGTTTTGCTTCATAGTAAATAGGACAGTTAGCTATAGTTTTTCAAATGGATTTTTTTTTTCGTCACAGATAAAACTTAAGATAATTTCAAAATGAATTACTTTTGTTGTTTTTGGAGAAAAAAAATTATCAGTAAGCAACAGACATTGTGACAACAATCTACATGAAAATGAGAGATCGACCTTAAATCAATTCCTCGCGAAATATTGTATCAGAGAAATTGATGAGATTTTTTGGATTATGACATTTTCTTTTTGTGTTCATGGTACAACGTCAACGCATTAAAACGTGTTCATTAAAACATGTTATGACTTGAAGAGTCAAGCTTAAAGACAAGAAAATTCATTATGAAAAACAGCACATCATAACATACCTAATATCAATAGAATATCACTATGCTATTAAGCTACTGTCCTAGGCGCTACCACACAAAGTGTCAATGTGTATTTTCTTCCCATTCACCGGCGTAAAATGCGTAATTTTTTATTTTCTTCACGATGTAATAGTCTGTAGAATTAATAAATGTTTATCGAAAGGTTGTCAGTCGTTTTCTCTATCTGGAAACTTCGTTGAAAAGTCAACGGCAAAGTTATTCTTATCATATCAGCGTATAACACTTAATACTTCGAAAGGATACTTCGTGTAAGAACTAGTGGTTGATAAAATGATTATTGCGATCATTGTCTACAAAAGCAAAGATTTATTGCTGTCACGTACGTATATAATTTTTCCTCTTAAAATAGTCTCGTCTGCTCCCTAAATGGCGGTGTGGCGGCATTTTTATTTTTGAAGATAAAGAAAATTGCCGAAATGTTAGTTGTAAGGGTTGAGATATTTTCAACATGAAAAAATCCTCTTTGATAATTTATCGTGAAATGAACAGCGTTAAAAAATATGTGTTTAAACACGTCATAGATGAAGAAGCAAACAATCGTTTGGATCCTTTGTATTTGTGCCGTTTCATATTTTTCTGCTTTTTTTTCAGAAAGCAGAATAAATATTGAATTAAACACAAAAATGTGCATTAGTGCGTAAAACATAAAACAGTGACAGCATAATTATCGCCTGGAGTTTAACTTGTATTTGGCATAATTGGAAAATTATCCTTGCCTCGTGCATCGTACACGTGAGGAAGCGTATGCTTGTCTTGAGCAACATAAATATGAAATTTATGATTACAGGTTTTCTCAGTAGGAACAGTCAGAGAACTTGAACGGATCACTTTATTAAAGCGTCAGCAACTGTTAATATATTTTTGTTTTTTCAATACTAAATGGAAGGGAAAACGCTAACAAGAATGGGCCAGACATCACAGAACTCAATAAGGGAGTCAAAGATTCACCTAAATGTTGAAGGAACTCCAGGAAATAATGAAGAAAGAGATGAGTTTTATGTTCAGTTGGCAGAAAAATGCAAACGTCAAGCTGCCAAGGAAGTGAACGAACTGAAAAATAAGGAAGACTGTTCAAAAATGTCTAACGGTCGTAGTTTGACCGTCGTCCGAATTCCTCGGTATTTAAACGATGAAAACCTCAGAAAAATTGAAAACCATTTATCGGAATACTATATGGAGACAGTCTGTCAAAAATTATGGCAAAATGCACAGAATGCAGTCTATGGTGTAGAATGTATAAGCAGTTGCAGTTAAAATGAAACTGTAGAAAACAAAAGACATGTTATCGTTCAACTGTTACACGAGAAAATATGCACCTCAACCTTCACAAAGGTCCAACGAACACCTAACATGAGAGTGAAGATAGCTGAGAAAAAGCCATCCTGATTTGAAAATGAAAAAAAAACGTTTTTATGGAATGGAGAAATTTTCTTCGTGATGTGTGTGTCATCATACTATGTTCAACTAGCAGTTATTGGAGACAATTTTACTTTATTTATTGAAGAGAAACATAAATTGTATGCACTATTGCCATGTAAATATCTAACATTACACAAGTACAAAACGAATGCTTTTATAATGGCTATCAAATGACGAGCTTTAGGCACTTCAAGTCCTATTTATCTTAACAGCACTAATCTTCAAGTTCGCGCAAAAAGCGGAGGAGTTAATATACATAGACGTTAAAAATAAAACTAATGCCTTTTTGTTGTAAAACTACTTACTTGCGTTAGAATTAATGTTTGCAAAGAAAAATATATATGATAAAATCTGTCTAACTGTTCATTTTCGTTTTTTTCAACTTAATGTGCAATCTTAGTGAATTAATTTTCTTTCGTTATCAGCTGTTCACATTTCACAAACAAAAGCTGCTTGTCAGCCAATACTTAACAGTAAGCTAAATTGAAATATTCTCCCCCGTGAATAGACTAAAATATTCATCAATACCGGTGGGTAAATTGGCGAATTTCGTACTTGCTTAGCATTTTTGAAAAACATTTTATGCGTCAGATGGCCCTCCATGTCAAAAATTCCATATTATCATAAAGCAAACCTTTGTAAAGAAGATAAGACAGTCTGTTTATCTGTGTGCTTCTTTGAGCAAAAGCCATGGTCGATGGGCTAAATTTCAGGTGATTTGATCTGTTTATGCAGTTAGAATATAGTAAACTGGTCTTAAACTGGTTCATAGTATTTTGTGACCTAGAAATGGATCGATTGAGTTGCTCCGATGATAATGTGTTCAAAATGCGTAGTCCTGGTGACGGACGAAGACAACCGAAAAATGACACATCGTCCAGGAAAGTATGCTGTGATATTGAGATTTTTGAGCTGAGAAAGTAAAATATGTCATCAAAAAGCATATCATCTCGTTTTTATTAACTAATTATTGCTTCCTCGACTGAACAACACAATTTTCCTCTTTGCTACTTTTCGCAGTGTATTGTCAATACGTGTAACTTTAGTTTGTTTTATGCGCTGTTTGAGGTTTTTGTTGATTGCAAAATAAGGCTTTCATCTGCAATAGATACATTTATAGAATATTTTGAGGATACAAAATAAAACAAATTTTTATATTTGACAATTGATTTGATGATGTCTTTCATTATGATAAAGACGAAATATTACCTATTCTGTTTGCAAACACTTGTTTTTATCTTGAATATGTAAAAAGTAAACATTTTTTTTCTTTTTAACTATGATCAATTCGAATAAGATGTGGGAAAAGCACAGAGTACCATCACATTCAGCTATAGGATACAACCTATTTATATTTTAGCCAATCAGAACTTGAATTAACAATACCAGAATCTCATCAAAATCAACCAATGAAATCAGGGCACCAATGATCACGTCAATCATTTTTCACAGTTCACTCACAGCCAGATGCCCCGCAACTCGAAACCGAAGCGAAAGGTAGGTTTGCAAAATTTTTATGAATTATTTAAAGAAGTACTTCAAATGTGGATAAATTCGATGGCAAAAGCCTTGTTTGTTGTATGGTTATGTATTGTTTGACTTGCAAAACCATTCGTAGGTTATTTTTATGCAATTTGGCGTGCCGCGTGCATGTCTTCCTCGGTCTGTTTGCTTTGCACGAGGACCTTGTCAGTGTAAAAACGACAAGTTTTCTATGTTTCAGTGTCTTTCTTTCGATTTTACTTTTAGTCTGTCGCCTTTTGCTAGTGTGTGGAGTGTTTCGAAACGAAATTTTGTTGAATAGCCTTACTTTTAGCATGTATTTGTCAATCGATATATTTTCAGCGAAGAACTTGTGCGACGGACATCTTTCTCGTTTCAACACAAAAATTTGAACAAATACTAGATGAAAATGTACAATATGGCAAAATGGAGATAAGCAGGGTCTTTTTTATCTCTTGTGGTTGATTTTTGTCGGTAAAAAGTTTATTTTTCAACAAAAATTGTGAAGATATTTGAAAAGATGAAAATGTTGGACGTTGGACTTTCAATTAAATTGCCGCCTTTTTTGTTCCGCGTGAAATGAAGAAAACTGGGTACGAATTATGCAAAACTAACCAGCTTGATTATTAAAAAACAGTTTTTGACCAAAAAAAAGCTAAAATTATTTTGAGTGGAATGGGATACAGAGAAAAATTTTCTCCGTAACATTGGAATAAATGTCTTTAAATGTGTAGGCATTGAAGAGTGTCGGATTTTAGCACAGTTCTCGATGAAAAGTTATTGACTGCTTTTAAAGCATTTTGTTTACATTCTATATAGGAATAGAAGCTAATAATCTGCTGAAATTTTACGATGAGCAATCAAGAGCACAGCAACTGAGCTTGTATCCTAAAGTGAAAATGTGAAACAAAAAAAAATAGTTATGGAAACAATTGAAAATGAACTAAGGAGAAAAAAGGTAGGAAACTCAGAATCATTCAAACTTTCACTGATTGCCTTATTTGTTTTAGAGCTGTTTATTTCATGTTCTTACGCACAATAAAAACACTTTTGATGAATTTTTGTTATAAAGATTGTACAACGTCAAATGGGTAAATACCAGAATCTCATAACGTTTAATTTGAATTGTTAGGATACTCAAATGAAAAAAATAATCAGACTGAGAGTATTTTTAGGGATTTTCTTGTGCATACATTCAAAAATTCTCCTCTCTTCGTAAGTTTTGGATAAGAATGATTGGACTATAAGTCAAAAATATTGTAACGATCTGTCGTTCATTCGTTCATAAAGAAGCCTATAAGACTTCTTCTTTTGAAGTCTGTATAATATCAAAAGAAACATTCGTTGAAACTGAAAATCTACTCATGAAACAAAAATAAATATTGTGTGGATGTTGTATTTGTTCATACACATGCAGCTTGAAGTTATCATTACCTACAGTTTTGATTAAGTAAGATTATATAAGTCAATGTCAAATGTTGTGAACAATCTGTTCGAAATCAACATTCAATGGCGTTTGTATAAAGAAGTCTATAAGACTTTCTTTTTTTTTTGAAATGTGTAAGATGTCAAAAGAAACTTTCACTGAAAAAAATCTCTTCGTGAAACAAAAATACATGTTTTGTACATATTGTCCTTGTCTATACACTTGAAGCTTGAAGTTTTCATTTGCCTACAATTTTGGTGAAATATGAAAGTCAATGACAATTGTTGTGAACGACCTGTCTGAAGTCGACATTTAATGGCATGTATATAAAGAAGTCTATACGACTTCGTTCTTTTGAAATTTATAAAATATCTAAAGAATCATACACTGCAAAAAATCTACTCATGAAACAAATGTAAATGTATAGTTTACAAAAACTAACTCCTGCTGAGTTTAGGGTAAGGATTATTAGTCAATGAGTTAAAATTATTGTTGTGAACGATTAATATGAAATCGACGTTCAAAAGCAAACAAAGAAGTCTATACGACTTTCTTTTAAAATTTGTAAAATATCAAAAGAAACAATTCATTGGAAGAAATTTATTCTCGAAACAAAAGTAAATATTATATATTTCCTTACGTCGGCCACTTGAAGTCTTCATTTGCCCACTATTTCCTAGTAAGTTATAAATATTGTTGTAAATATCTTTATGAAAAAAAAAGGTTCAAGTATTATTGCAAGATGTCGAGAACAGTAAAGAAAGCCATTGAAGAGTTAACAATATATCAAAGAGATTACTCTGATAACCGCAAGTTCACTAGCACAAGAAAATTCTAGAACAAGAACTAGAACAAGAAAACACGAGAGTGCCATTCAGGAATGCACAAAAGATCAGAACTTTCGTTGTTTGGGACGTTCATCAACTCAAGTGCAATGTCTTCTATAGCTGAGATGCTTCATCTATATCTGTAAGTGCAGTGTCTTCCGTGTTGAGGTACTTCATCTTTTCTTTCAAGCGCAGCGTCTTCCGTTGTTGAGGTGCTTAATCGACTTTTGCAGCGCGCGCAGCGTCTTCCGTTGTTGAGGCACTTCATCGACTTTTGCAGTGCGCGCAGCGTCTTCCGTTGTTGAGGTGCTTCATCGAATCTTGCCAGCGCGCGCAGCGTCTTCCGTTGTTGAGGTACTTCATCGAATCTTGCCAGCACGCGCAGCGTCTTCCGTTGTTGAGGTACCTCATCAACTCTTGCCAGCGCGCGCAGCGTCTTCCGTTGTTGAGGTGCTTCATCGAATATTGCCAGCGCGCACAGCGTCTTCCGTTGTTTAGGTGCTTCATCGAATGCCAGCGCGCGCAGCGTCTTCCGTTGTTGAGGTGCTTTATTAATTCACTGAAGCGCAATGCTCCGTTGTAAGGGATGATGAACGATACTTAAGAGGTCAGCAACGTTCGCTGTTTCTTTAGCGTTTCTTTTGTATGAGCGTCATTAATGCATTTAGGTGTAAGATCGAATGAAAAATATTAAAAAAAGAATCAAACAAGGAAATCAAAGACAAAGATGACAGCAATCTTATTAAACAAATAAGATGTAATGGTTCAAGACAAAACAATCGAAATGGCACTAGCAATAGAAAGTGTCAGACAAAAATGACATACCAATCTTGTGAAGAAAACTGAGATGAAGTAATGCAAGACAGATGACAGCAATCTTGTGGGAAAAAATAAGATAAAGTGATAGAAGATATAGATTTCACGAGCTCTATAACAATATTTGTAAACACGTTGCACGACACTTTACCTCATGCATGACGTTTGAAGACTTCTTGTGGCAGATGTAACCTTTAGTACTTATTGCTTTCTATTTGTGGGTTGCATTTTCTAACGTGATTGGCATGATTTAATTGTCTTTTATAACTTACCTTAAACTCAATATGTTATTGTCCAACGTAATTTAGACAAACATGCATGAATAGCCTAGCTTTGAAAAGTTGTCTTTGCCGTTGTTTTTACTTGCATGTGACTTTTGACAAAGTGTGCACAAGTAAATCTTTAGAGATGCTGCAGTCGGTGCAAAGCGAAGAATGGATGTCAGGTAAGATTAAAATTATTTGATGGACGGTCTTATCACTAAAATTGACTTAGATTTGTGCCACTGAATTTCAGAGAAAAAGCATGCATATAATAACGCAAGTTATTTGGCTTTGTTCAATTGTGGTTTCTTATGCTGCAATATGCTGAATGATGAAAGTACGAATGATGACATCGTGTGAAAGTTTTCTAACAGTTACGGCAAACTTCAAATTCTTTATGGAAACAAATCATCTATCGGAATGACCACGCTGCTATGCACATCACAAGTATTTTGGTAAGTGGTTATTGACACGAAGAAACCTGTTAGTAAGGTAACAAGTGGTCGTTTCAGGTAGATGGATGT